GCGCGACGAGGTGCGCGACGACCAGCAGCCACACGAGCCAGCCCCACCCGTGCCACTCGTCCGCCTGCACACAGCGGCCCGCGGAGCACCCTCGGCGAAACTACACCCCCGGGGGGTAAACACATGTGACCGCCACGCGCAACACGGGCGGCCGCGCGCACGCGTCCCGCAGCCGCTGCAGGCCCCGCACGTACCTCCTCCTTCATTTTGCCCTCCATTTCGGCCACGAGCTCCTTCCAGTGTGCTTCCGCCTCGGCATCGTGCACCATGTGGTGGCCCTCCCGCACGTGCACCGCGGGGCGCGTGACCGCCGCGCCGCCCATCGCGCGCCGCAACGGCGCCGCGGCCTCGCTGGGGCTCCAGAGGCGCGTCAGCGTGGCGTCGGAAGCGGCGGTGGCACTGGGGACGCGTGTGGTCGGGGCCGACGCCGCGAGGCGCGGATCAGTCCTCCTTGCCGCTGTCAGCGCGGCGCTGCGGCGCGCTGGGGCTGGTGGCGAGCAGGTAGACCCAGACGAAGAAGACGAGCAGGTGCGCCCCAACAAGCAGGTACACCAGGCCGCTGTATTCTTTCCAGGCGTCCACGCCAGGCTGCGGGCAGGCGGAGCCGTGTATGAGACGTGTACGTTGCAGCGCGCATGAATTTCGGCCCGGAACGGCGCTTGGTGGCTCCGGAGCGTCGCACGAAGGGTCGAGGTGGGGTGGGAAAACCGACGGGGCGTCGAGGCGGAGCTCGGCGCTGGACTTCCCGCGCACAGAGCCGGGACAAACTCGGGGACGGCGTCGCCGGGACGAGAGATACTTCGAGGGAACGGCGGGCCGCGCGGCAGGCGGGAGCGCAGAGCGCTGGGAGAAGCAGAGTACGGACGGGGTGCGGGGGACAGCGACACACGGGGGATAGTGCTACGTGGGATATGCTTGCATCGACGTACCGTCTGGCGCATTCTAGGCGCAGTATCGTCCGCCCAGGACCGCTGTGGCCCGCTCCAGTTGACAGTTCTAGAGCCGGCTGCCTCAGCGCCTGTTTCGTCTTCAGGCGCGAGATCACACCACAGCAAGAGCGGTAAATTTCGCTGGAGCACCCTCTGCGCGGCCAAACGCGCGCCCCGGGCCGCCCTGGACCCCTCCCAGCTGGCCCGACTCGACCACCTGACTGCAGCTACACAACACTTTTTCGACGGCCGCGGCCCTCGCCCGAAAGGCATCGCCGCTCCCTCTCGGTCACCATCGGCGGCCTTGCATGCGCGCGCCTCGGGCGCGCACGCGCGTGACAGCACCAACCACCGTCGCGCGCAACAGCGACGGTTGCAGGACCCGGTTAGGGCAGCGTTCCGTCAGATCACACGGGGAGCATCGTGACGTGCGGCGCACCCGGTCGCTTCGCGAGCCGCCGCCTCTTGCCCCCGCGCAGCATGAGCCACGCCAGTGCAGCTACTTGCGCCAGCCCCATTGCCGACGCCGCCATCACCATCCACTTCTCCACCGTCGCGCCGCCCTCAACGCGCTCGTGGAAGCCCGACCGCGGGCGCGCGGTCAGCCCCGCTGCCACTTGCCCGGCGCTCCCGTTCCCGCCGCCCGCGAGGGCCGCTGCGCCCTCCGCCCCCGCCACGTCCGCGGCGACGGACGCGTTCTCCGCGGGCCCCGCAGCGCCCTGCGAAGCGTTCTGCCCAAGCAGCGCCCGCGCCGCTCCCGCCCGCCGCGCCTTCCCGTCCGACTTGGCCAGGTGGAAGTACAACACCCCCCCCTCGCCGGGCCTGACCACCACCTGCTTCGTCTCCGACGCGTACCCTGGCGCCGATGCCGTCACGGAGTACGTCCCCGGCGCCAGCGGGCGGTAGAACTGCCCGAACGTCTCGCCGGACGTCACGGCAAAGTCGATGCCCTCCACCTCGATGGTGGCGCGCAGGGGCGTGCCCGCGCCGCTGTGCGCGTCCCGCATCAGCCTCCGCAGGAACCGCCACGGCCCCGTCGCCCCCTCGTCCCCCGCCTCGACCACCGCGCCCCGCAGCCCGCCGAACCCCGCCTCCAGCGGCAGCGCCAGCAGCGCGTCCGCGTTCTCCTTCCAGACCTTGTGCAGCGTGCTCTCCGGCGGGTGCTTGGCGTTCGAGAGCTCCAGCGTCAGGTCGAAGCACTCCCCTGCGACGACCAACGCGCACACGCACATCCCTCGTCCGCACTGCGCCATGCCGCGCGGGGTGGGCCGCGACGGCGCTCTGCAGGCAGGCGGGCGCGGGCGCGGGCGCGGGCGCGGGCGGGCAGGGCGGCGCACCGACGAGGTAGGAGTAGTCCTGCATGCCTCCGTACACGGGGTACCACGCCGCGCCGTTGGTGATGCCGTTGACGAAGCTCTCGGCGTTGTTCGTGTGCATCCACTCGTGCGCGTCGGCGTACGTCTGCGCGAGGTGCCGGAACGCCGCGTCGTCGGGGCACGCCGCGTAGCCCCCGAAGCCCGCCTCGCTTCCGTCCCAGGGGTAGTTGGCCACCACTGCGCCCTCGTGCATCGCCGCGCCGCCGGCGAACTTCGGCCCGCGCTGGATCCAGTCCATCAGCGCCTGCGTCTCGGGCTGCTCCCGCCCCGTCGGCTGCGCGTGTTGCGGAGGGTGCGGCGCGCGGGGTGTGTGTTGTGCGGCGCCTCAAGGGGCCGCAGCGGGCGCGACACGACACGACCGCGCGTTCCGGCGGTGGCGCGAGGTCACCGCGCCCGAGGCCGGGCCGGCGGGGGCGCGTACGTGGTGGACGTCGCCTTGGATGGGGTCCGGGAAGTCGCGGTTGAGGTCGGCCCCCGCAGCGTTCTCCCGGGACATCGAGTGCAGGCCGGCGAAGCCGTCGGGGTTGACGGAGGGGGCGAGGTGGAGGTGCATGTCGTTGACGATGATAGCCGCGACGGGGTCGGATTCCGCGTTGGCGCAGAGCCACTCGGCCAGCGCGGGCATCAGCGCCCGGCTGAGGGGCTCGTCGCCGTGCATGTTGCCCGTGTACTTGAAGTTCGGCTCGGGCTCCTCCTCCCCGGGGCGGTCCGAGATCTCGAGAACCCAGATTTCCTGCCCCTGCAGCGCAGAGCGGCCGCGGCGCGGGCGGGTCGCGCGACGCGCCAGGGCCTTCGCTCCTGCTGCCAAAGCCGGGCCTGCGCCGCCCGGGGCGCGCGAGAGGGCGCCGCGCTGCACGAGTGAGATGGCACGATAAAGGCAGAGGGGGGCTGCGGAACAGCCTCCTGCGCGGGCGGCGCAGCAGGCCGCGCGGGGGCAGCGGGGGCGCACATGAAGACTCTTCCCGATGGAGTACTTCCTGGACATGTGCCCGCAGCGCGACGTGAAGTCCTTCAGCCACGCCTCGATCTCCGCGTTGTCGTAGTAGTGGTCCAGCGGCTTGAGCATCTTCCCAGCTGGCTCGAGGGACGCCAGCAAGCTCCTGCAACCAGCCAGCGCGTGCGATTCGCGGTCACGCGCCGCGCCGGCACCATCCGGCGCTGCGTCCGCGCTGCCGTTATGTCCGTGACCTCGCCGCCCGACGCTCAGCGGCACCCGCGCGTCACGCCCAACGCCTCTTCGGCGCACCGGTTGCGGGCGGCGCTGGGTCGGACGCCCGGCGACGCCCGTTGGCTGCATGCGTCTGTCACGCACCTCCCACGCATCCCCACCCCGGCCCGGGCCCGGACGCGCGACAGCACCGACGCCTGTGCCACGCCGCGCGCAGCGGAGCACAGCAGCAGCAGCGACGCGGCGACGCCCGCGCCGAACGCCGCGCGCGCGAGCGACCGCATCCCAACCTCTCCGCTACCTGCTCCCGGCCCGCGCCGCCCTGTCCGCGGGGTCGCGCCGCGCTGTTCCGCAGGAGGTTGTCGGGTCTTCGCCGGACGCGCGCTGTCTTCTCCTTCTAGTCGAAACGACGACTCGACGCGACCGAATCGCCTCACGACGCGACCCTCGTCCCCCGCAATATACGAACTGCCTCGCGGGAGCCCTGCGGCGGGAACATGGTTCCCGGCGCGACCCTGCAGCGCGGTCTGACTCAGCCCAGGGGAGGTGTCTAGCGAGTGACGCAGTCGTCCGCAGCGTGAGGCGCGCTGACTCCGCGGTGCGCGGCGCGATGCGGACGGAGTGCGCCGGGCGCCGTTGGTTCGACGCGCGCAGCAGTGGCGTCATTAGGGCACCACCCATCTCGTCGCCAGCGACGGGGGCAGCGCGTGCATGCCTGAGCGGCGCGCACTCGCTGGCAGTCGCGCGGAACGTGCCTCGGGAGCACGACGCGCGCCCCCACGCTCGAGCTCGCTGCCAGAAACAGACACAGACACAGGTGCGCTGCACGGCTTGATGACACGCCTGCAGGAAAGGTGGCAACGCGCTCCCGCGTGAGGTGCCCAGCGACCCCACGGACGGCGCACGGCCCGTCTGCACCTGCGCGCCCACGCGTTTGCTGTCGCGCCGCGCCAGGCGCGCCCGCAGTCGCGCCACGTCCCACGCCGGTCGTGCAAACGGGTGCAACGTGCTATTTCGCGGATAGAGCCTGCAGGGTGCGCTCGGCGGTAGTCGCAGCTGCAGCTCACACAGTTGTGCCCCGCGCGGCGCGCTCAGGCGCAGCTGCGGTCCGCGCGCGGTCGCGGCGTGCAGCTGGCGTGGAAGGCCTGCGCGCGAGGCGTAGTGCGCGGCGGCAGGCGGCGGCCTGCGCGCGCCCGGGGCGGGCGCAAGGTGTGGGGGCGCTGGCAGGTACGAATCAGGAAAAGGTGTCGCTTTTCGCACCGGCCCGGGCCCATCGGGGGCTGGCCGCGCGCCCGGCCGACAGTCACTTCGCCAAGTTCCCCGTTTACGGAACGCATACAAGGTTGCCATTCGCGACGGCATTCGCCTCGACGTCGCGCCTCAACACGCCTCCGTGCGAGCTGCGCGCCGCAGACCCGCGAAAGGGCCGTGCCGCACCGCCGTGCGATCGTAGGATGTTTTTCGCCCCCCGCGCGTGGGCACAGCTTCCGCTCGGTGCGCGCCGGAGGGCCTAAACGCGACTATGCGCCCCGGCGAGAAAAGCGCCGCAACGGGTACCTCGGAGCAGACCGAGGAGGCCGCCCGGGCCTTCGCCTCGTCTGGCAGGCCGACGAGGCAGGTCGTGAGCGCCTACGCGAGCGACGATGCGGACAAGGTGAGCGGCGGGCGCGGTGCCGGGAGCCAGCGTGCTCGCAGCCGCTCAGCGCGCTCGACGCACGGCGCGCGCTGCGGACCGGCGGCGTGACGGTCACTTTGCTGACTTTGCCCCGAAGCGCTGCGTATGGCCGCCGATGCGCGCACTTCGGGTTTGCAACCAACTGCGCTTTTTCCGACTTCGCGCTGTGCGCAGAGCAAGCGGCCGCAGAAGCGCGACACGTGGAGCAACGAGGAGCATGCCCTTTTTGTGGACGGCGTGCGCAAGTACGGGCGCTCGTGGAAGCGCATTGAAGGTGCGACGCCGGCGATTGCCCAGCAGCTCGTGTCGCTTTGCCCGGCTGCGCCCCCCTGCCCGCACCCGCCGGGCCCGGACCGGCCCGGCCGCTAGCGCTCTCCGAGGCGAAGCCCGCCTGCACCACCGGACCCGCGGGGGCGCCCCGAGCCGGCCGCGCGGCCCTAAAATCTGCCCGGGTCTCACCACATCGTCCCCGCGCCGCCCGTGCAGACATGATAGGAACCAAGACCTCCACGCAGATCAGGAGCCACGCGCAGAAGTGGTTCGCCAAGATCGACAAGCAGCAGGCCGCGGTGAGCCCCGCACGCGCGTGCTTCGCCACCTGCCCCTCCCTAGCCCGCGTCCGCTCCCCGCCTCCCGCGGCCCCCGCGCCCGCAAACGCCGCGCCCGCGCCGCTCCCGCCCGTCTCGACCACCGGGACGCCCGGCCCCGAGGCGTCCGCGCCGCGAAAAGCGCCTGCCTGCGCGCACGCGGGTCAACTACCTCCACCCCTGAAAAGGACACCTAGCAGGACCGCGCCGAAACGCCCCCGCACCCCCCTCCCCCGCTCGCAGGGCGGCGCCGTGGATTTCCACATCCCCCCCCCGCGCTGCCGCCACTCCCCGCCGCGGTCCTCCGCGCCGGCCTACGCCGCCGCGTCGGGCGGCCCGCACGCGCACAACGCGGCCGGCCACGCGCCCGCGGCTGGGTTGATCGCCGACGCGAGCGCGCCCGCGGTCGCGGGCAGCGTCCCCCCGCCGCCCCCGCCGGCGTCTGGCTTCCCGGCGCTGCACACGGCGCCCCCCGTGGCGCAGCCCGCGACGGTGCGCTGCCCCCCCGCACCCGCCCCGAGAACGATGACGCAGCTGCGCCCCGCACGCGCGCCCAGCGCACCGCACCGGCGTCACGGCCGACCCGACCTGCGCCGCGCGTGTTGCACCGCAGGGTGGCACGGGACAGGTGTCGCAACGGTTTGATGCGGTCAAGGCGGCGTCCGCGGCAGCGGTGGCGACGGCCGCGGCGGTGATCAGCGCGACGAACGGCACGCTCGCGGACCTGGAGAACGCGCTCGCGCTGGCGCGGCTGTCGTCGACGAGCATGCTCCCGGAACATGCGCGCGCCACACCGGTTTCGATCGCGACGGTGATGGGCTCCACGCTCGGCACGGGGCAGGCCCCCGGCAGCCCGGTGCCCCCGCACGCGTCGCACCGCGCGCACGGGCTCCTGCGATACCTGCCGTCTCCGGGGGGCGGCGCGCGCCGGGACCGCAGCGGCGACGGCGCTCAGCGCGTCTCGCTCCTGGCGGACGCGGCGGCGCAGGCCCTCGGCGGGGGCGCCGTGCCGCAGCCGATCCTGCAGCCGGCGGGTCCGGGCGGCGGCGTCGGGCATCCGGGCGGGCCGGGGCAGCAGCCCGCGGCGGCAACCCGCCGCGCAGCTGCCCGCGCGCCCGCCGGCGTCCGGCCCGCACACGCAGCCGGCGTCGCTCCCGCACGGGCAGCAGCATGCGCTCGTTGGCGCTGCGCCCGCACGCGGCACGCCCGCGGCGGCCAGCGCGGCCCAGAACAACAAGGTCCTGTCCCTGCTGCGCGCCATGGTGCAGCAGGCCGAGGGCGGCCCCCGGCAGGGCGGGCCGTTCGCGCCGGCGCAGGCCCCGCAGCCCGCGTCGCAGCAGGCGCAGGCGGCGCGCCTCGCGCAGCGCCCGCAGCCGCAGTATCACCACGCGCGCCGCGACGACAAGCAGGCCGACGCCTTCCAGAACCCCCCCGCGCCCAACGCCGCGGGGGGCGCGATGCAGCAGCCGCAGGCGCCCGCGTCGCTCCCGCCGGCCGCGCTCGCCACGGCGCCGACGGTGCTGTGGGACGCGGCGGGGGCCGCCGGCGACACGGGCAGCGCCCTCATCGGCATGCTCCTCGGCATGAGCGCGTCCGCGCAGGCGGCGATGCAGGGCGCGCCGCTGCTGCACGCGCAGCCGCCGGCGCGCGGACAGGCGGCGCCCGGCCCGGCGAGCGCGGCCGCGACCGCCGCGCAGCAGGTGCTGCCCTACATTCAGCAGATCTCGACGGCGCTGCGTGCGATCCAGCAGCAGCAGCAGCAGCAGCAGCAGCAGCAGCAGCAGCAGCAGCAGCAGCAGCAGCAGCGGCAGACGCAGCAGCAGAAGGCCCCGTCGAACGAGCCGTCGGTGCCGACGGGCGGCAACGGGTCCGGCGACGGGTCGGGCAACGCTGCTGCGGTGACGCAGCAGCAGCCGCAGAACGGCAGCGGCACGGTGCCCGCGCAGGCGGCGGGCAACCAGCAGCACAGCGGGCTGCCGGGGTCTGGGTCGGACACGTTCTCGCAGTCGCGGACCGCGGGCGACGGGCAGAGCCCGCGCGAGGGTGCTGTTGCCGGTCAGCAGGCGCTGCTCAGCAACGCGGACATGGCCGCCGGCGCCGCGCAAGCGCTGCAGTTTTTCACGACCCTCTTCATGGCCGCGCAGGGGCAGGGTGCCGGCATCGCGGCCGCCCCGGGGGTCGTCGGGGCCGGGCGCGACGCTGCACCGTCCTCGACGCGCGCGCGGCGCAAGCACGCGCGCCACGCGGACGGCGCGGGCGGCGACGGCCAGCGCCGCGGCGGCAACAAGGTGCGCCGCACGGACGCCCGCGCGACGGCCGGCGGCGGCAGCGGCGAGGAGGAGCAGCAGGGGTCTGGCGGCGACCAGGACGAGGCTCAGGTCAACGTCAACCAGAGCAGCGGCGCGGGGCGCGAGGGCTCCAACGAGGCCGGTCGCCTGCAGGGCAGCAACCCCGGCAGCAACCCGGGGAGCGACCCTGGGTCGAACAACGCTGCGGACGACAAGTCCAACCACTCGGAGGCCACGCGCGCGACGTGCAACGGCGCAAGCGGGCGGGCCTCGCCGGTGCGCACGTCGGGCGACAACGCGCACCTCCCCGTGCCCGAGGCCGCCACGACGGAAACGGCGATGGGCACCACGCAGACAAACACCAACCCGGGGATGGGCGCCACCCAGACCGCGATCGCGAGCCACGCGGCGCGCGCGCTCGGCGTGATGCTGCGCGCGTCGGGCCCCGCCAGCGACGCTGGGGTCAAGGTGGTCTCTGCGGAGGGCAACGCGCCCGCCCAGCCCGCCTCGGACGAGAAGGGCGTCGACGCGCCCATGGCCGACACCGCGGCGCCGTGCGACGCCGCCGAGGCGATGATCGTCGATGCCGCGGACTGAACGCCGCACACTTCCAGGCGCCCCGCCGCTCGCTCACCGTTCAAGGCGACCCTGCGCTAGCTGCTGGCGCATGAGGGGCGTCTCTGAGCGCGCTGGCGGCAACCTTCCCAGAACGCCAGCCCTGCACAGAATGATCTATTTCGTCGCGGAGATTCCCGCCAACAACACTCCCTTGGCGCCAACGGGGGAATCTCTCGCCGGGCCCCCTCTTCCCCCCCCCCTCCCGCCCCCGCTACTGCTCCAGAAGGAGCGTCACCCGCCTCGCCAGCCCCCCTTCCCCAGCAGCCCCCGTAACGGTCCCATGCCGCACCTTGAGGTCCCCCCTCGAGGTCTGCCCTCCCGACACCCCCCCTTAAACGGTGTCCAGCCGCGATGCCACGAAACGCCCGACGGGCACCTCGAGGACCACCTCCGCTCGCGCGTATTTTCGACCCACGCGGCTCCCAAGCGCCGCTGCCGCGGGACCCTCCCAAGAGGCAGTCCGAGGTGCTTGACGCACCGCAACACCCCCAACCCAAACGAGAGCTGGCGCGTCCCGCGTAGCGCCCGCGGGACGCCGACTCTTTTTTGTGCCGCTGGCCCTCGCACGCGTCGTTTCGCGGAACCGCGCGCAGGTGAGCGAACCACCGTCAGTTACGTAGACAGACCCTTGCTGGCTAGTTACACATGCACCCTCCACCCCACTTCTCCCCCCGCACCCAGGACCCATCCGCACGTTCCCGCTGGTTATCTGCTCCCAACGAGGTCCGCTCGCCCTGACGCGGCCTCCGTCCCGCCCTCTTTCTGCTCGTTTCCTGTCCTGACAAGACAGTAACCCCCCCTACCAGTCAGCGCGACCCCGGCCTGTGCCCGGCGGTCTACAGTGGCGCACGTCTCGAGTGCGACCGGCGTCACGCGGGCGCTGCGCACGGGCGCGCCCGCAGTGCGACCTTCGACGCGGCCACGCACGAGACATTTTTGCACACTAGGAAGCCCTTCTTGGAACAGGTCGGGTTTCGGTGGCGCAGAACACCCTGACCTGCCCTGTTCTCGAACCCGACCCTTGCACGCGTCCTTCCGCCAGGACGTGTATTCGCCCGGTTGTGCCAGGATCTCACGTCCCTGAACGGGATCAGGCACCTCGCGAGGCCAATCTCGTCGTCGCGAAGGGACGCCCTTGCCCACTCCGCGTCAGCAACAGAACGTGGAATCCCAGCGACTACAGTGCATTTGGAAATTTGCTCGCTTTTTCGACGGGGGTTCGTCACCCAGTGCATTTTTAGCCGCTCAGCACCAGCCCTCTGCGCAGATGCGGCCGCCTAGGCCTCGGATCCCCCGCGGCCGCGACACCTCGAAACCCGCTGGCGCCCCGCTGTGGATGGCTTGAAGCCCCTGCAGCGGGGCCGCGCATGGACGCAAACCACAATCACACCCACACCCACACCCACACACTCACGCACACGCTCAATCATGAAACTCCGCTCACCCCTACAACCGCCACGTCAAAGCGCGCATGTCATAGTCGTCCGTGCTCCCAGCACCCGCTCAACAGCACCCGTCCCCCCGCTTAGCTCGCGTGTCCCGGCCACCGGCCCGACGGACATGCACCACCCGACCGATCGGTGCACCGCGAAGGACTCTCTGCCTTCTCGCAACATTTCCGTGATTTTTGGAGCCACCGTGCCGCGGTCTTTTCCTCGCGGACCCAGGCCCACTGCAGCGGCAGTGAAAAGGATGCCGCCCAGGCAAGCAGCCTGTCGACGCTGCTGGACCGCACTCGCACTGTGTGACTCGTGTTCGGACTGCTGCTGGCGAAGTTCCACTGTCTGCTGTGTGAGTCTCGCCTGCCGTACCATTTCGGTCGCTCCGGCATCCTCGCGGTGAGGGTGCTTGTAGGTCAGCGAAGAACTATCCTCGCGGTGAGGGTGCTCGTAGGTCAGCAAAGTACTATAGCGAAGAACTATGAGTCTAGTCCCCCAGCGAGTCTAGTCATTGTGAATCCAGCAGCAGCCCAGCGCCCAAGAACGCGTGCCATTTCGGTCGCTCCGGCATCCTCGCGGTGAGGGTGCTCGTAGGTCAGCGAAGAACTACCATTCGGTCGCTCAAGCGTCGAAAGTGCTACGCGCCCCCATGCGCCAGTAATGGTCCGCGCTTGTTCTCTCCGAGGCGTACTCCACCCAGCCCGACAATCCCACGAAGTTCATGAAGGCCTGCTGCAGCCGTGCCCCTACGGCGGTGCGGTGGCAGCGTGGATACACAACCCTGGGGGGACTGGCACACTGACTCATGTCGGTTGGACTCTGGACGTGCTGGTGGACCGAGGCACGAAGGCCCGTCGTCACCTGGGGTCGTTCAGAGACTCACGCAGCACGCTGTGCGCTTCCTGAACGATCCCCGCATTGTCTCACCGTCGTGCAGGTGTGGACGTGCATGACTGCGCACATTGCCTACCCTGTCTGCTGTGTGAGTCTCGCCTGCCGTACCGTTTCGGTCGCTCAGGCATCCTCGCAGCGAGGGTGCCTGTAGATCAGCGAGCCACAAAGACCGCCAATGTCCGTTGAGGCTGCGTTTGTAGTCAGCCATCTGATGAATCATTCGCAGAACACTGGGAACGCGATCGCCAGCCGCAATGCCTGCGCCGCGAGCTCGGTGCGCCAGGGACTCGGGCGATAGACTGGCCTGGGGTTGACCGTGATTAACGAGACTGGAAACGCACAAGCCCCGTTGCGCCAGCGACGGTCCTTGCTCTTGAACGCGCGGGTGGTTCGAGCGCCGTTTTCGTCTCTACAGCGAGTACGGGGGCGCTGTGAGGTGAGGTGTCACATTTTGTGTGGGAAGTGAGATCACAGTCAGGAGACTAATGGAGCAGCGATGAGAGGTCACGTCCCCTACGAGGTGCACCAGCGTGTGCTGCAGCCCACAGGGCGCTGCCGCTGGTCTGCCCACTTTCTTGCCGCTCTCGTGTTGAGTTTCGGAGGTTTGGTCTCGCAGTGAATGTCGCGGCCGCTGAGAGGGCTCTAAGGCTCTGGGGCTCTTCAGATAGACATGTGGTAGAGGGCAGGTGATCCTGTGCGGCGCTCGCAGGTGCGACTGGCGACGCAGCTGGGGCCGGGACGAGTGTCGCTGTCTCAAGAGAACGAAACAGACAAGCTGAAGCTACGGGCGAGGCTGAGCGCGGCGATGTTGACTCGAGAGCTGGAGGTGATGACGGTGCCCATCGAAAATGGCTGGGAGTGATGGGGCGCCGGTTGCGTGTGAGGCGGCTCGGGGGATGGGGGGAAGAGTTTGGGGGGGGATTGATGTTGCTCGTCTGTGCACCATCGGGCGCCCAGATGGCGTGGTCGCACTGGCAGCTGCGACAGCTCAGACCTCGTTCCTTCGCCAGTCCTCGTCGTGCTCCTGCTCCTCAGCCCTCCCGTCGTTGCCAGTCTCGCTCCTCGACGACCCGATGAACGCGTTGTTGTGAATGACCATGGTGGGCGTCCGCGGCGTCTCCCCGGCCGCTGGCATGTCGTCTTCTTTGGCATTGACGGAACTGGTCCGCAGGATGTCGGGTTGCGACATTTGCAGGTGGCTGTGGCCGTCCGACGGCTCAATTGTGTGCCGGAAGTTGCTATCCGTCCCGGTCCCCGGGTTCGCCGCCGACACCAGCCACCACACCTCGGGCGCTCCGGATCCCCGCCGGACGATCTCCGCCTTCTTGCCCATCTTCAGGTCCTTGCCCTGGAACCGCCCGATGAGGTCTCCGCCGGACACCATGACGCACTCGAGCGGCTCCTGCACGCCCTTGAACGCCACGGTCCCCGCATCCACCACATGGCAGATCTTGGACGCGGCCATCATCGTCGCGGTCTGCCCGTACGCCCCCATCGAAGTGGGCGTCTGCATCCCGTAGATGGACGCGACCGCCGAGATCGCGCCGTTGCTCGCGCCTCCGGACGTCGTGGGCAGCGACGAGTAGCGAACGCGCATGGCTGCCCGCCCCGGGTGGTCCGGCCCGTCGACGCCCTTCACGGCGAGGCCGGACGCCAGCAGCGACTGCATACCGCGCGTGGCGGTGGTCTTGTCCATCATGATGCTCCCGGCCTGCGCGAGCCCGAAGCACAGCCGCGCAGCGCGGTTCACCAGGGGGCCGAAGTAGTCCGCGCGCCCCGTGATCTTGTGCGGCTCCACCTTGACGGGCCGGCCCTCGAAAATCCCGATCTTCACGGTGAGGCCGCGGAAGAGCAGCTTCCCGTATTTGTCGAGCTCGACCTCGAACCCAGGGATGTCCATGAGCGCCTCGGGCCACGGGGCCTGCACGAGGGCCTCCTGCAGGCGGATCGCCCACTGGATGGCGCGGCCCGGGTCGTGGAAGGCGATCATGAAGGCGCCGTCGAGGTCCTGGCACTCGTACCCCCAGAACTCGAGCAGCGTCGAGCGCACAATCTGCGAGTAGATCTCCATGCAGACGTCGGCGAGCCCGATGGCGCGCGCCGTGAGCCGGTCCACGCAGCACGGCGTGCAGAAGCAGATCGTCACGTTCGGAAGCGCGTTGCCGCAGTCGATGTCGTTCAGCGTCGTGCCGTGTTCCAGGCAGTCCGCGCAGGCCTGCAGGTCGACGCCGTGCGGGCACACCGAGTACGTCTGCTTGATCAGCGCGTCCATCGCGCCCGGGGCGTCGGGGTAGCCCGGCCCGACCTGCCGCATGGCCAGCGGCGGGAAGCTGTGCGCGCGCGCCTCCATGTACGGCACGAGGACCTGGAAGACGTTCTCGCGCGCGCGCTGGCGCTGCTGCGCCACCGTGATGCCGTCGTCCAGCCCCGACGCGTTGCCGCCCTGGAACTTCGCGCGGCAGTTGAGGTGGTACACGCCCATGTCGAGCACGGTGACCTGCCCCTTGACCTGCCCCGAAATGGACTTCTGCAGCCGCAGCAGCTCGTGCCGCTGGTCCTCGGCCTTGGCGAGCGCCTTGACCACGTTGGACACCTTGGTCTTCTGCCGCAGCTGCTGGCCCACCATCGCCTTGGCCCGCGCCTTGGACGTCGCCAGCGCCATCAGCGTCTTCCCGCGCTGCACCGCCGCAGCCTGCGCGAGCACTGCCGGCGCCATCTGCGGCCTCGTGGCGCCCGGCGTCTTCTCCGCCTCGCCGTCCTCCACCGGCGCGCCGCGCGGCGCCTCATGCTGCGACCCCATGGCATGCTCCTCCAGGGCGTGGAGGTCCTTCGCGGGGCTGGCGCTCCGAGCGGCGGCGACCTCCGACGAGCCTTCCTCCGGCCCTGTGCCGCCCAGCGTGTTCGTCATGCTGCCCTCCATCGGCGCCTCCGCCACAGTCGAGAGATTGAGGCCAATGTTGACGTCTGACGCCGCGAGGTGCTCCGCAATCTCCCGCGCAAACTCCATGCCCGCGGATGATGCCGTTTCCAGCTGGCGAGTGTCGACCGCGTTGACGATGGCGGCGCTGTGGCTGGAAGTCTTGTAAAGCTGCTGTGTGGAAGGCATAGGCCTCCCGCCCCCGCCGTGCAGGCGCGCACCGCCTGCCGTGTCCCCCTGCGGCGACGCAACCTGAAGACGCTCGAGCGTCCTCCCCTGCAGCATCGTGCGCAGGTCGATCCGCGCCAGGTGCGCCGTGCGCTTCCGGTACCGCTTCTCGTTCTCGCGCACGCGCTCCTCCGGGCCCGGGAGCTCCATGCTGCGCCGCGCAGTCTTCGCGTCGCGCTTACCCACCATCATGCTGCGGAACCGGCCGCGAGAGGACGCCGCTCTGGCGGGCGCCTGCCCCGAGGCACTCGTTGCGCGAAATTCCAGGAACCCGCCCGCGCGGCGCGCCTCGTCGCGCGACGGCGACTTCGCCGGCGCTACCGCGACGCTTGCGGTCCCGTCGGGGTCGATCGGCTCCCCGGCGGAGTCAGTGGCGAGGCGCTGCGGGCCCGACATGGCCGAGTCACTGCCTCCGCTTGTGGACGGCGCGAGGCCGCCGGAGGACCCCGAGGACTCCAGCGCCTTTGCCGCGCTCGCAAGCAGGTCGTCGCCGGTGGAGGGCAGCCCCGCCAGGGTGGCCAGCTGCGACTCGGGGTCGGGCGAGCTCTCCATGTCCGGGCTCGCGATGCGAACGCGCAGCTTCTTGCGGCTCTGCTTGCCCGCCCTGAGCTGCGACTGCACCTCCGCGGCGACCTCCTGGGGCACCGTGACGGACTTGTCGGGCCGCGACGAGTGCGTGGTGTCCTCGCCCTCCGTTTTGAGCCACCGCCGGTTCGGTACGACGCCCGCGTCCGCCATGCCCTGGAGGATGAGCTGCACGTTGCCCTTGTCGAGCGCGGTCAGGTCGCGCGACGTCTCGAGCGTGGAGAAGAGCCGCTCGAGCTGATCGGCGATGCCCACCATCGTCGGGTTGTCGCAGATGATCTGCCCGCCGTGCGCGTAGTCCGCGAGCTCCTTGGCGACCTCCATCACCTGGCCGGTGTACTCGAAGCGCCGCGTAACGTGGTGCCGCTGCCGGTTGGTCGCCATGCCCGTCGCCGCCACCATGCGCACGCTGAGGCCGCGGAACGGCATGCTCACGTGCGACTGCGCGCGCGGGTGGTTCAGGATCTGCTCCGGCCACTGCGCGGCGAAGAGCGCCTGCTGGACCGTCAGGCAGTACGCGATCGCGTCGTACGGCTCGTGGAAGGCCAGCACGAACGAGTCCCCCTCCGTGTAGCACTCGTAGCCCTTGTACAGGCCCAGGTACGCGCGCAGGGTCGCGTCGTGGATCTCGTTCGCGCTCGACATCGCCTCGGGGAGCTCCTCCCACAGCTCGGTCGAGCCCTGCGGCGCAGCAGCGGGCGGGACGGCAGGCCAGGTGGGCGGTCGTGCCAGGCACGTGAAGGCGCGGGAGGGCAGGCGGGTGCGGGGCTGGGCGGGCGCGGGGCGCCGCACCTCGACGTCCGTCACGACGATCGTGACGGAGCGCCCGACGTTCGGCGGACCGCGGCCCTTGGCGAGGTTGAGCAAACGTCTCTGCGAGCCCTCGTAGCGCGCCCCGATGATCAGGAGCAGGCCCAAGGCGAGCACGAAGACAGTCGCGGGCATCTCCTGTGCCAAGATGTGCCTCCAATTCCTGCAAACCGGGCGCGCGGGGCCGGGTGAGCTGCGCGCGCGTGAGGGGGCCAGCCCTGAACGGATGACCCAGCTGCGCAGCGCAGCACGGGCACCTCGCGCCCAGAAGGGCGCGGGGACGAGACGCTGACCTGTCAACGAGGACGTCGTGGCAGATTTCGACCAGCTCGGAGGGCGTGCGGCCGCTCTCCCCGTCGTCACCCCCTGCATCCCCCGCCTGCAGGAAACGCTTCGCAAAGGCACCCTGCACCAAGGCCCGCGGCATCGGGCGCATCCCAGCGCCATGTGCAGCCCCATCGACCTGCGAGAGGCCGAGGCACGCACGTGTGAGCGAGCAGGTTGCGGAGGAGAGACTGAGCAGTCAAAGTGCGCGCGTGCCCGGGAAACGGGCTCCCGGGGCGGTCCAGCAGAGCGAGCCGCGTTGTGGGCGGCATGGAGGAGCCTCCGGACGCCAATGCGCGTCGGCGGTCCGCTGCCGCGCAGGGTTTCAGGGCCGGCACAGCACCTCGGCCGAGCCGGGCGGCTACGGGTGCGTGAAGGAGACCGTGCTCGGGAATATAGCCATGTACATGGGTATCCTAGGCGAACACGCTTCGAAGGGCTGCCTTTCATGTGCACGGGCGGCCCAATTCCGCCCTGGAGCAAGTCGGCGCCGATGCGCTCGGCGGCGCTCGTTGAGCGGGCGTTACGCGCCCCGCAGCAACAGAAGCGTGCAAAAATATATCCAGGAGCCAAATGACCCGCACATTCGCCGGGGTTCCGCAGTGAGCGCACCTGCCGAGCGTGGACGTGCTCGTTGGAGAGCCTGGCGTCGTCGCCGTAGAGGATCGAGTGCTCCGAGTTGCTCGCGCGTATCGACTCGCGTATCGTCAGTGAGCCGGCGCGTGCGACCCACGGGCCCGCGACGGCCACGACGAGCGCGAGGAGGAGAAACGTTCCTTGGAAGCGCATGCTTCGGTGAGGCCCCTACCAGCGCCGGCACACCTGAGACATCAACGAAATCTGAACCCGTATGCCACGCAGGGCTGTCTCGGCGGCGAGCGCCACAAATTGCCAAGCAGGCAGCGCTGCGGCGACCTACACAGAGTGTCAAGGCAGGATGACGCGCGCCAGGCTGGCAGGTGGACCGGATATGAGTTTCCGAATCCAACTCAGGCCACCAAGCAATCGCGTGCCTCCAATCAAACACCGACCGTTGCCCGACGCCGCCGCCCGGAGCCGGTCCGCTGCCTCAAGGATTGGGCCTTGAATGCGCAGCTGTGCTAGGCTGACTGGATGGGCGCGCCCTCGCACGTGCCAACACCATCAGGTCTGCACACGTGCCGCGTTCGCGCCCCCCGACGGGCCCGGGCGAGGCCCTGCGGGGGACAGTCGCAGCCGGTAGCCCCATGACGTGGTGAGACCAGCACGCCGTGCCCCGGGGCGGCTCGAAGGCGGCAGGCGCGCGCCATGTGCTCGCGCCCGGCGCGTCCTTGCTCAGATGAGTGGGCGTTCGCGGCGTGCGACCCGCTTTTGTGACGTGGCAGCCCCGCGAATCCCGCAGGGGCGACGCACAGGCAGCTCGCTCACGGTTGACACAGCACGAGGACCGGTGTGTCCGCCGACACGGATGCGCGGGATGGCGCAGTAGCGCAGCAGTTGTGCTCGTGGCAGCTCACGTCCCGCCGTGCCGCCCAGACGCGCGGGCGTCACACCATGCCGTGTCACGGCGCCCCGCCCTGCGCGCCCGCGCGGGGCAACGGGGCCCTCCGCTGTGCGCGGCGAACGCATGCATCGACGTGCTCCGTGCGCTCGGACGCGGGAACTAGCCACCCAAAGCGCGTTCGGGCACGCAGCGGCCTCCTCACAGCGGGCCTCGAGTGTTGGCCGCGGCGGCGACGCTGGCAGCGACGTCGAGGTGCGCGGGCGTCCTGTCGTGACGGAGACGCGGTTGAGCGGCCGACATGGCGCGTCGTGCTGGCCGCTGGGGGCACCGGCGGCCACGTGTTCCCTGCGCTGTCGGTTGCCGAGGCCGTGCGCGAGCTCGGAGAGGCGCGCGGGTGGAATGTCTCGATCAGTCTGATGGGGGATCCTCGCAGGTGCGGCAGGATCGCGGGAGGGCGCGTGTTGCGCAGGGGACGCGAGGGTTCTGGGCAGCTGCCAGTGCATGTTGCCTCCGGGCTCGCCGTGGCCCGCGGAAGGGCGATTCCGAAGTGAATCTTGCCGCATCGTCCACGCATGATGCGAGATTCAAATTTGCGACACCGCAGGATGGAGTGGCGGCTCGCCAAGGAGCACGGCCTGCCGACGCACCCAGTCAAGGCGGTCTCGCTGCGCCGCCCGCTGTGGCTGCCCTGGAACGTGCTTGCGCCTTTCCGGGTGCTCATGTCGATCATCAAGGCCGCGATGTACGTCGCGCGGGTCAGACCGCACGTCCTACTCGGCACTGGTGAGTTCCTCCGCCTCCTGCCCCAACAGCCCCCACACAGGCCCTCGCAGCCGTGGACCTGGAGCTGTGTCGATGGCACCCCCGCCCTCGCGATGTCCCCCTGCTGACCACAGGCGCGCTCGTCCCCGACGTCTCCGCGAACTGGTGTGTCGACCTTCCATGCGCAGGTGGCTACGTGTCCGTGCCAGGGTGCCTGGCTGCGCGCTTGCTCGGCGTCCCGGTCGTGATCCAGGAGCAGAACGCGCGCCCGGGGCTCGCCAACCGTCTGCTCGCCCCCCTGGCGGCACACGTCTGCGTCGCGCATCCCTCCGCATGCCAACAACTCCGCGCGCCGCGCGGGCGCTGCTCCGTGCTGGGCAATCCTGTGCGGGAAAGCATTCTCCAGGTCGGGCGCGAGAGGTGCGCCGGCAACCCACGTGGGCGCCACGCAAACCGACCGCTCACCGACTGCACACGTCGCAGCTGCACCGGCACGCGGCGCTCGACCTCCCGAAACGAACGAGCAGTCCTCCGGCGCACTGTGCGCAGGGAGGCAGTGTGGCGTCTGATGGACTGGCGCGAGGAGCGGCAGCGTGCGCGGGCGCGGGGGGCGTCGCGCAACCTGCTGGTTCTAGGGGGCTCCCTGGGCGCGCCGCCGATCAACCGCGCCGTGCTCGGGAGCCTGGTCGACCTGCTGCACTCGCTGCAGCCGGACGTGCGGATCGTGTGGCAGACCGGTCGGGCGGCGCACCACGAGGTGTGCCGCGAGGTGCGAGCCCTGGGTATCGACCCCCAGGGCCCGCGTCTGACGGTGGTGCCCTTCCTCGATGACATGGCGAAGGAGTACGCGAACGCGGCGCTGGTCGTGGCGCGCGCCGGGGCGCTGACGTGCAGCGAGCTGCTGGCGTCCGGCACGCCCGCCGTGCTGATTCCTGCGCCGCACGTGGCCGAGGACCACCAGCGGCTGAACGCGGAGGCGATGGCCGACGCTGGCGCGGCGGTGGCCGTGCTGCAGCGCAGCCTCACGCCGGAGCGGCTGTTCGAGGAAGTGCTGGGTTTGTTCGACGACGGGGCGCGGCTGAGGGCCATGGCGGAGGCTGCGCGCCGCATCGCACCGGAGAGCGCAGCGCAGGAGATAGCGCGCCGGGTCGAGGAGGCGGCGGCGAAGGGGCGGCTGGGAGTCCCTGCCGCGCAGGTGTCGCATGCGTGACGGACTGACTCACTTTACTTGTGTGCAGAATCACGATGTCGACGCGCTGCGTTGACCCCAGGGCGTGAGTGTCCTCGTCCCTGCACGGCAATCACTGCTTCTCTACCAAAACTGGCCCGCCACGGGGCACGAGAACCGTCTGTTGTGACACCAGCGCCGCAGTCCATGGCCAGGCCCGCTCGTTCCCGGAGAGAGCGTACCGCTGGGGCGCAGCAGTCCAGCAGCAGGTGGCGGAGGTCCTCCGGGGCGGGCGAGACCGCCACGTCCACGCAGAAGCGGCAGACTTTCGACGGGTGCGACAGCGGTGTGTGTTGCCACTGCTGCTCCTGGTCCGCCATGGCCATCGTGGAGGTGCGCAGCCTCGTAGCTCCCACACGCAGGCGGGACAAGGCACGGCGGTCCGCGTGGTAGATCGCGGTGTCGAGCAGATGTGGAGGGATGGTGAGCGGTGGTGGTGGCTGGCACCACCAGGCGTACCTGGCCCGTGTGCGGCCAAGCCCGTGCTGAGTGACCTCGGTCCGGGGATCCGGGGTTGCCGCGGGCTCGTGGTCCGGCAGCACGACCTGAGCGATCTTTCGTACCCTGCGAGTGAGTCGGAGGGGGCCCGCAGCACGAGTGAGGACTGGCTCGGCCGCCGCGCTGCTGCCGGATCGCGCATCTTCATCACGCCCGTGCTAGACCTCGGGCTGTGTGCCCGACCCTGTGATCAGGGAACCGGGTGTCGCTACGAGCAGGCCTGACAGCTCCAATTCGAGGTCGTGCCGCGGCCGTGCCGGCGCATGCGCCCACGCAGCACAGCAGACGCGGCCCTCGACGCCGAAGGACCGTGCTGAGCCCTCAAGATGCTCGTGTCACGCGGAAGAGGAGGTGCGGGGGCGACCGTGGGCACGCCAGCGGGCGCGGGCTGGGTCGCGGGCTCCTGCGGGCCGGTGGTGGAGCGATCCGGGTATCGACCGGCATCCGTGCGCTCATCCAGTAGCGAGCGCGACCTTGGGGGCGAGTCGTCGCGGCCCTCGCGTCCGCCGCATTCCGCGTGGTCCCATGCAGGCAAGCGCAGCGTCGCCGCGGGCGATAACGAGCACTGACAGCAGGGGGCGCGATATAGAACCACCGCCTACGGATGTGTGCCGCCCGCGGCAGGTGTTTGCGGGCCGAGTTCCCGGGGGGGAAGGCGTCACAGTGCGCGCCGGCCGCTCGGCACCAGTTGCCCGGCGAGGCACACGCGTCACCCGGTACGCCCCGCGACCCCCCCACAGTGATGTCCACGACATCGGCCGCAACCACCGAACTGCACGGCGCCGGGATCCCCGGCACCGGATGGCACGCCGGGGTGCCTGCTCCTCTCAGGGAGGTGAGGCTCTCTCACCCTGACTGGCGGGGCTCCGATCGCGTGGATGGAGGCGCCCGGAAGCAGTCCACGCACGGCCTGCGATGCGCCCTCGCCCGTCCTCCACATTCTGCCATCATGCACCGGGCAGTCGCTGAGCGACGCTCCGCCCAGCATGGCCGGACAACTGTTGTCAACACCCCCATCGCGCCGGCATCATGCCGTCCTAGAGGCCGGCTGCGCGCCCAGCGTCGCAACTACGGGCACGCCGGCCCCTCTGCGGTAGGCGCTGCGAATCTAAGGCGAGGAGGCAACTATCCCAGAGCGGTAATCGAGACTCGAGTGAGCACACGAGGTGACCACCTGTTCCCTTGTGGCCGGCCACGCGCTCCGGACGAGGGGTTTGGAGCCCGTGCCGCCCCACGGACGCCCTGTCAGGCTTCTCCTGAGTCGTTGTGTCTCCGCAAACGGCGGAAGCGGCGTGTTGACGCCGAAAACCCGATGCGAGCCACAGTTGCCCCAAAAAGCAACGGCTTGAGGCGCTGTTGAGCGCTGAACCGAATGATAACCGAACGATTGATGCGGCATCTCCGTGCGCGCGCGCGGGACAACCATCTCCCGCGCTGCCGTCGGCAGGCGCTCTGCCCTTGACTCCATGGTCGCGCTTCCCAAGGCGCCTCGCGGCCCGATTCTGCGTTTCCCGCTGCTTTCATCGCGATGAATGTCTCGACCGCGCCCGTTTCCCCATGCGCGAAGACGGCGCCGCCGCGCCCCGCGATCCTGCTGAGGTGGTGGCCTGCCGCAACAGACGCTGCTCATCGCGCTTTCGCTCCTCCGCGCCCTCCATCAATTGTTTCATACCGACGCGGAACGGCCGCGACGTGGCGCGCTTCGCTCATACGCCCCCGCGGAGCGGCGCAGTTGTCCTGCGGCCCCCCCCCTGCCCCGCGCGCCCGTCTCTGCGATGTCCGCGACCCATTCGCCTCGCCCCATGATCGCGCAGGTCTCGCTCACTGGCTCGGAGGCCATCCCAAGCGTTCAGGACGCGGAGGACACCACCACCTCCATGGCGAACCTCAAGGTGAGTCGGCCTGGCACGGCGGCCTGGAACCCCGCCTTGCGCCAACGCGTCGTCTGAAAGGGGCCCCGCGGCGCCTTCCGGCGACTGCACGAAGCGCGCGCCGCTGCCGCACTGCGCGATGATGCCCTTCGCACCCTCCCTCCCGGTGCTGAGGCGGCACGTGCGTCGTTCGCCCTCGTCGAGCCCAGCCTCCCCATCTCACCTTCGGGAGCTGTCCTCACCGTCGCTCCGCAGGCCCACGCGGGAGCCGCGGGCAGCCGCCGAGTCGACTAGACTCGGCGACATCGGCCAGCAGGCGTGCAGGCCACTGCCCATGGATCGCCGAGGCCGTGGTGGCCGAGGCCGTGGTGGCCGAGGCCGTGGTGCTGCACGTGGCGTGGTGACCGATGAGCGCGGGCACGCGCATAATCGCTTCCTCACGGAGCACGGGTCGAAGCGGCGTCGGAGCAGCAGCTCGTCCACACCGTCACAGTTCACGCTAGAGGACGCGATCAAGCTCAGTTTGTCAGGAGCGGTCCAGTTCAGCGGGCCTCTCCGAGAGGCGTTCTTGGAGCTGGTGCGCGAGTTCAATTTGTGGGTCAGCCAGCGCGCGGAGGTCGCCAACATGCTGGTGCAGCATGCCCTGCTCCTGGCCCTGGAGCGCGAGGAGCAAAACCTGCACAGGGCTCTCGACATCGAGAGCGACGCCGGCGTGAAGAGCATGTACCTTCATGCGATGACGGGCACCGCGCAGGACATCCACTCCCCGGCGTTCGCCATCGGCCTCAAGCCGTCCTTCGAGAAGTTCGACGCCCTGGGGCTCCCGGCGACGCTTGCGGAGGGGGCACGCATGGAGGGGGACATTCACGCCTTTAACAGAGTCGCCGGCGACCTGGCCCGCGCGTTCCAGAGCCTGGGCTCGGACGTGACCTTCAAGGCCCGGCAGCGCAAGGTCATCCGCGCCTTGCTGTTGAAGATGGCGCCCGACGACACGCGCGACGTGCGCAAGTGGCGTCTCCGGAGCATCGTGGACCAGATCAACGGGGATCCGCCGTCGGAGGACATGAAGCGCACCATGTCCCGCAAGGCCTACAAGCTGACGCGAGACATGAAGAAGCTGATCAAGGAGCACCGCGCGGTCCTGAAACCGCGCGAGTGGGTTGAGCAGCGCGAGGCTTCCCGCTTGGTCGTCGACGCCGCCACCGGGCTGGGGGTGGGCTGGTACAAGGAGGAGAAGGAGAAGAAGGACGTCGTGTGGGACGAGGAGTGGCGCAAAAACCACCCCTGGGAGGTAGTGCGCTACTATGCGTTCCTGCTGAGGAAGTGCGACATCCACAAGCTCAAGCTGCGACGCCCCTTTACTCTGGCCCTACGCCCCCACGTGCGGCGCCAGTATGTGCCCATCTCGCCGGAGGTCCTCCAGGGACTGCTTCGCGCCTGTCGCGCGCGGGTCTCACGCGCTGACTGGGAGGCGCACTTCGGCCCCACCGACAACGACCTCGACCCCCTCGGAAGGGCTGGCCTGGAGGCCTTCAAGAAGCGTGCGGCCAACTTCTGGTGGCCCAAGGTGTTCGTCATGAAGCGGAAGCTGCGGCGGGAGCGCAGGGACACCGTGGTGCCGCGCGGCAAGGTGGCCAAGGGGGACAAGACGAGCGGCCGCAAGAAGAAGACGAAGTCTCGCTTCGAGGAGCCCGCGCACACTCCCGACGACGACCCGCACAGGCGCATGCGCGGGGCCGGTGGGTGGACGTTCTCCGGGCTGGTGGCGACGGACGGCGTCGGAATCGACTTCCACTTCAGCAAGAAGCAGCCGCGGCGGACGAAGGCGCGGAAGGTGTCACAGGGACAGAAGGCCGCCGGACAGAGGGGGGCGCAGGAGCCCGCTGGCGGCCCGCTCGAAGGTCAGTGCGTCGTCGGGGTGGATCTCGGTCGGATCAACATCTCCCAGGCGGTCGTCAAGCGCCCGGACGGGGAGTTCATCGTGCGCCCCGCGTTCTCGGCCGCCCGCTACCACACAGAGAGCGGCCAGAGGCGACGCGCGCGGCGCACGCGGGGCTGGGGGCAGGAACGGGTGGGTAGGGTCGGCGTGTTTCGTCGGGATCCGAAGTCCGTCGCGTCTCGCACGCGGTCGAAGCCCCTCCCCGCCAAGTTCGCCGAGGTGATGCAGGGGCTCGCCACGTCCAGTCGCGCCGACATGGAGAAGGCCGTCAAGGCCTACGGCCCCATTCGCGACGACATCTGGCGGCTGCGCACGCAGCTCAAGTGGGCGCGCGAGCGCTTCAGGGCGCACCGGTTGTCGCAAAAGGCGATCAGCCGCGACCTGCGGGGCGCCAAGAGGTGCTGCGCGCGCGACGGAGACGGCAAAAAGCGCCCGCCTCACCTCATGGCGTGCGGCGACGCGGCGTTCCCCGGGACCGGCCGGGGATGCCTGCCCGTCCCGCTTGAGACGTATCGTCGCAAGGCCAAGCTCACCTTCCAGCCGGACTTCAAGGCCGTGGCGGAGGACTTCACCACCAGGGCCCACTGGCGCTGTCGAAAGTGGACCGTTCCCGCGCACGCGCGGCGGCCGGACGCCAGTCACGATCACGTCGTGCACGACGTCCGGTGGTGCCCCATCTGCGAGCAAAAGGTGGCAAGGGACAAAAACGCCGCCAAGAACATGGCGGAGGCGGCCGCTCCGGACCGCCCGGCCTACCTCTGTCCTCCCGGCGAGGGCGGCGGCGGCGGCGGCGGCGTCGGCGGCGGCGGCCAGCACAAGGTGCACATGCTGAAGTGCTGGTGCAAGGAGCCGCGCAAGGCCAAGTCGCGGCGCACGTGAGTCCAGGAGGCGTCGACGACTCCAGGACCAGCGTCGCACGCGGCCCCGCGAGCGTGCGGGGCAACAGAAAAAAACCTCAGAACACAAGTTCTGGTACTGGAGGACTGTTCGCAGCGACCTCCAAGTAGGCGACCCGAAAATGTCGCTCTTTCGAGGACATCTTTCGAGGCGCTAGCGGCTGTGCCCTGACTACAGGGTGTGACCGGGTCACGACCTATCTCCTGCTTGCGGAGGACGGGTTACAGCTGTGACACCTCTACGACCGCTTGTGGCCGCCGCCCCGACCGCCCCGCCCGGCCTTCTTCGCCCCGCCCGGCCGCGCCGACCGCGCCGCAGCCGCTTGCCCGGACACCGCTCCCAGACGCATCCTCGGCGTCTTCCTGCCCGCGTCGCCGCCCTCCGCCGGGCCGGACCTCCCCGCCGCCATCTGCACGCCGCGAATCGCCTCCATGATCTCCGCGAGGTCCTCTTTGCCCAGGTCCGGCCGCGAGGCCAGGAGGCGCTCCAGCATGTGCGGCGTGACGCCCGCGTCGACCTGCAGGAGCGTCGTGTACGCCAGCACCGCCGACTCGACCGAGTCGATCGACAGCATCTCGCGCAAGTCCGCGAGCGGCTGCACGGCGGCCTGCACGCGCTTCTCCGCCTTGCCCCTGCGAGTCCAGACACATCACAGCAGGGCCGAAACTCAGCAACAGACGGGCACGCGAGGCTACGGAACAGCCAGCCGTCAAGCGACCTGCATCGCGAGCGAGCGAGGCGCCGTGGCCACCCACCCGGACGACTTTTCTTGGAGGAGTGAGACGCAGGCGCGCAGGGACTTTTCGTCGTCGTGGATGCGCCGCACCGCCGCGTTGTCCACGACCTGCAGCCGCATCAGGATCGCGCCGGCGTACGTCCCCGCTATCTCGGCGACCACCGCCTCGACGAGGCGCTCGTACGCCGGACGTTTGAGCAGTACGCCCATCTCGTTCATGTAGTCGTGCACCGTGGCAATCAGTCCCCCCATCGCCCGCCCTGAAGCCCACTCTCCGCCTACGGCCCCGTCCGCCCGAGACCCGCCCCTGTGCTCTACGCAGAGCTGTCCCGTTAGCTCCGCGGTCCCCGGGTCGCGCATGATGCAGCCGCACAGCTCCGTGATGGCCCGGCGCGACACTGAGAGGAAGTCCGCGGCCGCGTCCCCGACCTGCTGCGCCACCGCAGCCCGCCGCCTGCCCATGAACTCCGCGCCCCGCAGCCGCTCCTCGATCGTCTCCTGCGCCGAGCTCGCAGCAGCAGCGAGCACGGCTCAGAGCGACGCAGGAGCCACAAGAGCACCGTTATCGAACGCTCCACCGCCTCGCAGGCGTCGCGTGCTCGTACAAGGCGTCGCGCTGCATGGTCGTGGTCTGCGTGGCGCTCACCTGGAGGTCGAGCGCGTTGTCGTAGCTCTGCAGCATGTTGTTGATCAAGGCACACAATCGCTCAATTCCCAACCCCTGGCCCTCGGCCCCGCTCGGGCCCTCCAGCTCGTCCTCGCTCGCGCGTGCCATCCAGCTGATGATCCCGGCGAGCCCCCCGAGCATGCGCGCCGTGAGCTCCGGGCACGACACCTTCTCACTCAGCGTCAACTGGTCATTCACCAAACGGAAGAGGTCCGTCGGCGCATCCGTGTAGGCCAGCCCGCTCGTGTCCTGCTTCGGCGTCGCCTCGCGGTCCGCCGTGACAATGTTTGTCGCCCAGCCGCGCACTGCCTCCAGGGTGCGCTTGATGTATGTGTCCATCAATGCACCCAGCCCGCAGCTCTCCCAATCGAGCTCCAGGGTGTCCTCGCGCGCCTCATCGCCCTGCTCACTCGTCGACCCGAAAATGTCGCCGAGCTCGCCGTCCAGACGGAGCTGCGTCGGCTTGGCGAACGACGCAAGCGACGGCGCAATGCCCAGCGCGCCTACGCGCGACACGTACGTCATGGCCCAGCCTATGATGGCCAGCACCTCGGCGTTCGAACAGACGGACGCTCCCTCGCCGAGCATCCGCAGGCACTCCTCGAAACGTTCGTGGTACACCGACCAAATGAGGCGGAACGGATCCATGGTGGGAATCGAACCGTCTTCCTCGTCGCCCCCCTGGCCTGGCGAGCCGTCGCCGCTGGCGTCGTCCTCATCCGTGTCCTTCGCCTTCTTCGCGCGCCGCCCGACGTCCGCGGGAGGCAGGCAGGGCGCCACGTGGTCGAACACGAAAAACAGCTCCTGCGCAAAACAGCACAGCCAACGCCAGCTGAGCGCCCGCCAGGCTCCGCGCGCATCGCAACCGATACGCCACGCATCGGGCGGGGGGCGCTTGCCTGCATGAGCTCGTCCGCCACGTCGAGCAGCTCCATCACGTCGGTCTTCTTTTCAACGCGCTGTGCGGGGCGGCCCGGAGCGCCCTGCTTCGCGCCGCCGACCGAATCACCGGTCGCGTCGCCGACGACCGCGGATCCAAACAGCGACGAGACGCCGCGCCTGTGGCCCGGCCGCGACTCCGCGGCCTGAGCGGACGCCGTCGCCGCCCGCACCGCCTGCACGATTTCGCGGCACATGGCGTCGATGTTCCTGAAGCGCGCGACGACACCCTCGCGGATGGCGTCCTCCATGCGCTGCCGGTAGTTCGACGGCAGCGAGGCCGCCTTCAGCGCAGCGGCTGACGCCTTCCCGCCCTTGCCTCCATCTTCGGCAGCTGCGGTGTTCAACGACACGCAGGCCTCTCGTGAGGCCAGACGTTCCTGACCGCCTGACGGACTTGACATTCAGGGGCAAGACAATCGAGTTGCGCACGCAATCCACGACGCTCGCCACATGCGGTCGTGTGGCGCACCGAGCAGGCCTTGCACTTTTTCCTGCACGACGACGATCTGCGCTGCCTCCACCAGCCGTGCGGGGTCGTCGTGCGCGACCGCCAGGAAATTCTCGAAAATGCCAAAGAGCTGGCTCTGCAGGAAGCGTTGGCAAGGGATCTGGTCGTCACCACGCAAGAAGCACAGTCGCTTGGAAGCCGGCCATGGCGAGGGCGTCAGCTTGCGCGGCCGCACCTCGAACTTGTCCTGGACCGCGTCGGCCCTCTGGAAGTACTCGTTGAGCCCGAGCGTCTCCAGCCCTGACTTGAGCGCCGCGCCGCCCCTGCCGCCCTTTGCACGGCCCGCAAGGCTGGCCTTCCGCTGTGCGCACATCGCCTGCAGCGCGACGATCGCCTGAAACACCTGCATCATGTCCGCGCCCCGCGTCTGCAGCGCCTCGACCGCCTCCGCCGCCGCGGGGATGTCGGAGATGCCCTCCACCTCCCCCACCGTCGACTGCAGGTTCCGCCGCACCACCGCGAGCATCTGCAGCCGCTCCTGCTCCGAAACGATCCCGCACGACTCCGCACACAGCGCCTGCGGCGTGCAGCAGCGGCGGGGCCGTGCGCCTGTCGGGCAACGCGGTCAACGCACCACGACATGAGCCGGCCACGGGGGGCGACATGGGAGGTCCGGAGGACGCGACGAGGCGCGGGGCGCGTGGAGGGGGGCGCAGCGTGCCTGGATTTGCTGCACCGTGCGCTGCAGCCCCTCGAGCGTGCTCCGGACGTGCGCAATGAGCGTCAGTCCCTTGCGCATCTCCATGACCTGCCCGTCCATGATTTGAGACAGCCATCGCCGCGTCTCCTCGAGGTGCTGAGCGGTGTCGGTCTGGAAGCGGTCTGCGTGGTATCGGCGCGGCACGGGTGTCGTATTGGCCTTGTCCGCCACAACATTTGTGATGCGGCGCAAGCACGCACGTGCGGCTCGTTGCGGCGCAGCGGGAGTCGGCTGTCCTCGCATGGGCACGCCGTCCTTCAGCAGAACTTGCATGTAGCGTCGGGGAAACGCGGCCTGCCTGCTCAGGAGCGCCGGTGCAACTTCCAGAGGGGCGCGACGGGTGTGGGTGGCGAACCTAGGCTGTCTAGATCGTCAGGCGTGGCCAGGAGTCGATGGAGCTCCTCGACAGCGCTCTTCTTCGCCTCGTTCGCGATCTGCGCGATGCCCGCGCCCTCCGGAACGCCCCCGCGAGCCATCTTCAGTGGGGCCGCGCCGACGTTCCAGGCCCGTTCGCGGCTCTCCAAGTCCCCTCACACCAGACACCACATCACTCCGGACCCTGCCGCCTCGCGGCCATGGTAATGGCGGCGTGACCAGAGCCAGGTCCAGAGAACAGCTGCAAGGGCACTTTGCCCCCTCGTCGGCCCTCCTCCGAGCTTGTTCCGCTGCCTTTCTCGCTTCGGTGCAGACAGCAGCGCGCGTGCCTTGCGCGAGGCCCATGAGAGCCCGCCCCCGCGACGCACTGGACCAGGAGCGCGGGGGACTCCCGCGCGCTGACACAAGGGCTAGCTCCACCCCGCGCAGGTCGGGCCAGTCGAGTTTCGGCCAGCAGCCGATGTCCGCGAGCACTTCAGCCGGCGTCCTCGACGTCTCGTCGCGATTCGTTCGGGGTGCGAGATGGCAGTGCTCTCAGCAGCGACGTTGGCGCCGTGCACGCCCGCCGCGGCGCTGCGCAGGGCTGCGTGCCCGGCGGTGCGGGCGTGCTCGGTCGGCTCTCCGTGCTCCAGGGCAAGGCTCTCGCGATGCGGACGCCCGACCGTCGCGGCGTCGCGCGCCACCGTCGTTGCCGCTGCGTCTGCAGAGGGTGCCTCCCCGGGCAAGGTGCGCAGCCTGTATGAGAACCGCGCGTCGCCATCAGAGCGGATAAATCAGACAAGGAAGATGCCATCGCGTCGCCAGAGGCGCCAAACGGTTCCACGACGTGCAAGCCCCACGCCGTGACGCTCCTGGCGCATCCACGGCGGCCCCCACGGAGCCCCCACACGTCGCGCACACCGATGCATCTGCTCATCAGCGTCACGGACTCTGTTCCATCCCAGCGAGCACTGCACAGATGGCACCGAGTCCGAGCCGCGGCTCCTGTCGCCCCCTGCCAGCACACATCCACTCAGACAGCCCGCCTGCAGGTCGAGGACGGCTCCATGTCGGTTGTGCTCCTCGCGGGCGGCGTCGGCAAGCGCATGAAGGCCTCGATGCCCAAGCAGTACCTCCCCTTGCGCGGGAAGCCCATCGCCACGTGGTCGCTGGAGACGTTCGCTGCCATGCCCGAAGTGGGCGAGATCGTCGTGGTGTGCGACCCGTCGTACCGGGACATCTTCGAGGACGTGACGCTGCCGCGGTCCGTGCCGCTGAAGTTCGCGCTCCCGGGCAAGGAGCGCCAGGACTCGGTGTTCAACGGACTGAGTGAGGTGGCCGAGGGGGCCGCGCTGGTGGCGGTGCACGACTCCGCACGGCCGCTCGTGCGCGCGGAGGACGTGAGCCGGTGCGCGGCGGACGCGGCGCGCGTGGGCGCGGCGGTGCTGGGCGTCCAGAGCAAGCAGACCATCAAGGAGGCGGGGGCGGACCTGATGGTGGTCAAGACGCTGGACCGCAGCCGGCTGTGGGAGATGCAGACGCCGCAGATCATCGAGCCGGGGCTGCTCAAGCGGGCGTTCGAGAAGGTGCGGGGGTCGCTGCGGCGTGGCGGGGGGAGTGTGGGAGGTGTCTGTTGCTCACGGGGGGGCGTGTTGGGCTGTGGCGTGCAGGTGAATGCGGAGGGGCTGGAGGTCACGGACGACATCTCGGTGGTGGAGCACCTCGGCGCGCCGGCGATCATCACGGTGGGGGACTACACGAACATCAAGGTCACTACCCCGGAGGACATGTTCATCGCGGAGCGCTTCCTGGACGAGGTGGGCGTCGGCGCGTAGGGCACAGCACGGGACCGAACGGTGCCGTGATTGTGACGGGCAAGCGCAACGGTGATGTTTCGGTCCCCCAGCCTTGCGCGCTGTTGCACGTGTCCCGCATCACCACTGGAAGTCGTCGCTCAGCTGCACGTGCGCGTGCGTTTCGCGGGATGGGACGGGGCGCGCACTAGACGCGATGGGTGCCCAGAGCGCTGGGATGACGTGCGTGACGCAAGACAACCCCTGTTGAAGTTGAGAGTATGAAGGCTCCGGTCCGACCTGGCGTGCCGGCGGACGACGCTGATTACCGCACGCGGAGGTGTGTTCCGCGCAGTTATGCGCGCGCAGCGTCCGTTCTTCGTGTTTGGCGAAGGCTAGCGCCCGCGTCACCGCCCGTTGATTGAACGCGGCCAAGCAGAGGCGCGGCCAGCCCTGGCTCGCCCCGAGGGGCGGCGTGCGACGGCGAGATGCAGCACAGCAGCAGCCAGTATGAGCACTGGAGGCAGTTCCAGAACTCCGCGGGGGAGCACAGCGCGCCCCTGCCACCGCGACCTCCACCAGCGCCAGTTCAGAGGGCCACGTCCCGCCACACCGCGCCCGAGACGCGCCCGCTCACCCACGACGCGCGAACGGCGTCTCAGACCACCTACGGGGGAAGCAGCTACGCGCGCCCCAGGCCCTCTGGGACGGAGACGGAGGCCCCGATGGTGGACTCTCGGTACGACCAGGACGCGGTGACGTTCACGGACGTGTTCTCGCTCCGACGACCGAAGCACCTAGGTCCGTTCGAGTGCAGCTGTGCCGCGTGGTCGTCGCGCGCCCACGAAACCCGCATGACGTGCGCACGCCCGCGCCAGATCACTGGGAGCAAGCGGGCCGCGCGGGCCGTGTCTCCGCCCGCGTCTGCCCTCCGGTCGCACGCGACCCGCACGGAGCCAGACGCCGCCCCTTGCGGCAACAACGCAGCCGTTCTCCTTCGCGGGGACCGCGTCCACGCGCGCTACCTCTCTTTGGATGTTCACAGCGTTTCCGGCGCGCGCCCCGTCGCTTCATCGCAGGTTCCGGCCTGGTTTCCGGCACGAAGTCCCTCCTGAAGGGCACCGCGGCCGGCGCCGTCGCGCTCGTCGCCGCGCCGGTCCTCGGCGCGCAGCAGGACGGGTTCGTTGGCGCGCTCAAGGGCGCCACGGTGGGCATCTGCGGCGCCGTGCTCCTCCCGGTCACGGGCGCCACCGTCGGCATCATCCAGACCGTCCGCGGCGTCATCAACACCCCCGTCGCCATCCACAACCACTGCAAGGGGCGGTTCTGGGACCCCATCGAGCGCGAGTGGACGGACGACGATCCGCGGCTGCGCCTCGTCCCGGAGCCCGAGCCGCGCGCCGGCCGGGCGTCCGCGCGCAGCGTCGCGGGCGCGCCCGTCGGCCGCGGCGCGCGGGACGACCCGAAAGGGTACTACAAGGCTCTAGGTCTGACGCACAGCGCCACGGCCGAGGAGGTCAAGCGCGAGTACTACCTGCGGGCGCGGCGCTGCCACCCGGACAAGCATCCGGACGATCCCACTGCGCACGAGGCGTTCCAGCACCTCGCGGAGGCGTACCAGGTCCTGACGGACTCGAAGCGGCGGCGGGAGTACGACACCACGGGGGCTGCGGACGTGGAGTTCATCGAGCCGTCGGAGTTCTTCACGGCGCTGTTCGGGCTCGACGAGCTGGACGAGCTCGTCGGGGAGCTCACCGTCGCGGCGGTGACGCGGCTGCAGGCCGAGGCGGACGGCGGGCGGCCCTCGGACCACGCCATCGCGGCGTACCGCCAGAACCGGCGCACGCGCCTGATCATCGCGCTGCAGGAGCGCATCCAGAAGTGGCGGACCATCGGGCCGGACGGCGACGCCGCGCGCGCCGAGCTCACGGAGCAGGCGGAGGCGTTTGCCGCGCTGCAGAACAGCGACTACACCCTGCTGATTGTCGGGCAGGTGTACCTCGTGGAGGGCGAGCGCGGGCTGGGCGGGTGGGACGGGTTCGTGGCGGGGGTGCGGTCGTGGGGCGCGGGCGTGGGGTCGCAGTGGCGCGCGGCGAAGGCGGCGTTCCGCGTGCTGCAGAAGCAGCGGGAGCTGGACCGGTGGGAGGCCGAGCAGGACCGCATCGAGCGGCGCGAGGCGCGGGATGCGATCGCGAAGGCCGCGGCGGACGAAGCGGCGGGTCTGCGGGACGGGCGGTACGACCCAGTGCGGACGGCGGCGGCGGCGCCGTCGGTGGCGACGACGCCGGAGCGGCCGGGCCCGAACAAGGCGGTGTCGATGAAGCAGCCGTCGCAGGTGCCGGGCGTGTGGGCGCCCGAGCCGTCCGCGAAGCGTGGTCTGCGGTCGCCGCGCAAGATCCGGCGCGAGTACACAAATGTGTTCACGACCAGTCCGGGAGGCGCGGCGAACAACGGCGACGACGAGGACGAGGACGAGGACGAAGCGGGCGAGGGAAGGGCGGGCGCCGGCGCGCAGCGGAACGGCGGGCTGAAGGCGGAGGAGTCGGGTTCGACGGAGCGTCTGCGTCCCGATCGCAGCGACGGGCCGAAAGACACGTACCTCGGCGCCGAGGGCCAGGACAGCAAGGGCCAGCGCGTGGGGCCGGAGGCGTGGGCGCGCGAGGCGCACCGCAGCTGGCACCGGCAGCGCGAGGAGGAGGACTCGCTGCCGCTGGTGCTGGACGCGCTGTGGGCGGCGACGGAGGTGGACATTCGGCAGGTGGTGGGCGAGGCGTGCCGCGCGGTGCTCGCGGACGTCCCGCGCGAGGCGTTCTCGGGCGTGGAGCGGCGGGAGATCCGCAGGGAGATGGCGCGCGCCATGATGGAGCTGGGCCAGCTGTACGTGTCGGCGGCGCACGCGCGGCAGGAGCAGCAGCGGGCGGCGGCGGCGGCGGCGCGGCGCGAGGCGGAGATGGCGGCGGCGGGGCGCGCCACGCAGGCGCCCGCGGAGGAGTCCCGGGCGGAGGCTGCGCGGCGGCGCGTGGTGCAGGCGATGCAGGAGGCCGCGGACCGCAGGGCGTGGAAGGCGGAGATGGGGCGCGTGGAGGACCCCCCGGAGGAGCGGTGGTACTGAGCGGGCGCGGAGACTGGCATGTGAGGCGCGCGCGTGCCGGTCATCGTCGATGTTGCTCTGGCAGATAGGCCGGCGCCGCGCTGTCGGATCAGAGCATGAGCGTCTGCCTGGAGAACCAGCGACAGGTCGGCACGGCCGCCTCCGACCTGTCGCGCGGCAACAGCCGACGCATGACATTGTCACGGCAGCTCCGTGCTTGAACGACCACGTGGCCGCACACGACGCCGTCGCTGCAGGCTCACACGCTCCTCTGCGACTCCTGCGCCGCGCCACACCACGGCGCCATCGCTAGGCGGCGAACTGCACTGCAGGCTCCGCGTAGCGCCCGCCCGCCGGCAGCCCCAAGTCCGGCAGCACAACGCCCGCGAGCTTGTCCTCGTTGCCCCAGCGCGCGGGGAGGAGCTTCGCGAGCTTGTTCTTCCGTGGCCGCGACTTTCCAAAGCTGCCCCGCCACACCTGCACTCGCGCAAGCACCCTCTCGAGCGCGCTTGTCGGCGACCTGGCAGGCGTCGCTCGAGGACGGCGTGCTGGGGAATCCGACGGGGTGCGCGGAGAGGGAGGGGCGCAGTCTGCCGACGAGGTGCAGCGCGGGCGACACCAGCGTGTGGCCCTGGGAGCTTGCCTTGCCCCTCTTCGTCCTCCGATCGCCGCGCCCCCACAGCATGCTATCCCATACCGACCCCCAACCCTGGAAACGGGCGGCGGCGGGGCCTTCGGCAGCGGAGAGCGCGTGAACCCAAGCTAGAGCACGGGCCGCCGCGCGCTGCATGGTCCCGCTCACGATCCGCCAGTCCGACCGTGTCCTCGTGAACGATACCGGCCGCGCAGTCCTCCTGTCGCGGCAGGTCAGCCCGGCTCGCCCTGCGGTGCGCAGGTCGCTGCCTGGCGCTTCGGTAGGTCGGTGGAGTGTGTTCCTTGTCGCGAGGTTTGAAGAGGAAACCGCTTGACTTGTAAGATGCTCGCGGCCGCAGTCCACTGCTCGAGGGATCGGACACGATGCCGTCTCGTAATCGCTCCACGCAGGCGCACCGTGCCGCTCGGGAAGTCCACCCCCTGAGTACAAGCGAGCGTGATTCGCGGGCTCCCCCGCGCTTGAACGGGATCGCGGTTTGCACACGAGCAGCACAGCGATCCGCTGAGTTGATTCGGGGCGCCGTACCTTGCGAAAGATCCTGAGGCTGGAGGCAAGGACGAGAACACTCCTTCTGGGCGCTGCGTTCCCTGCAGCGTGCCATCCAGGCACCCCGTGACGTACGCTCATCCACGCATTGAACGAGTAGCTACGTGTCTTTGGCTGCCCCGCACTGAACCTTGAAGATGGCAGAGGAGGGAGGGAAGCAGGATGGTCTGTTGGCGATGATTGCCGACGAGGTGCGCCCCGCTGCAAGAGCATACAGGCTGGGGTGGCTGAGAGCGACAGCGAGAGACCTGCGCATGCGGCGTCGTCTCGCGGGAGGCCGGCGGCCAGCGCGGAGCTGCCACCCGCAGCACCCTGCAACGCTCGCCGCGCACGAGACGCGTGTCAGTCTCCTTCCAACCACGCGTACACCCGCCACGAGCCATGCCTGCTCTCAGATTCGGTCCTCCGTTCGCGGCTGCCGCCCGCTCTGAGACGCTGGCCGCCACCTTGCTGCAGGACACCATCACGGGCATGCTCCTGGCGGGCGTCGGGCACGTGGACATGCGGAAGCGGTCGAACTTCCTGTCCGTTGACTCGAAGACGCAGGTCAAGGACATCGAGCACGCGTTCCGGGAGTTCACCACCCGCGAGGACGTCTCGATTGTCCTCATCAGCCAATTCATCGCCGACATGATCCGGCCAATGGTCAGCACCTACGACAAGGTACGCCAACAGGCGCCCTGAGGTCGCCCGCTCCGCCGCCCCGCGCCCGCGGCCCAGCAGCAGCGATCGCCCGCTGTTGCTGCGCGTCTCATGTCATCGTCGTCCTCCGTCGCGCGACACAGACGTTCCCCGCGGTGCTGGAGATCCCGAGCAAGGAACATCCGTACGACCCAAGCAAGGACTCGGTGCTGGACCGCGTCCGGTACATGTTCGGCGACAGCTGATCGGCCACGCACGGAGGCGATCACACGCAACGCAAGCGTCTTCTTGATAGGCCCGTGACGCTGACGCACGGCGTGTGAGCACGGTCCGCAGCAAGCCGCTGTGCCTCGGGCTAGCGCCGCGCGCGCGGCGCGTGCCAGCGGGACATCCTGACCTATGCCAGGGGCGCATGCAGCTTGCTGATGGTGTGCGGGTGGTCAATTACTACTCTGTGTGCGAGCACCAACAAGCGCGCGCTCGGTCCATGGCACCGCCCTCGCACCGCGCAGGCGCGCCTCTGGTCGCGCGCTCCCAGCGGCAATAGGCCGGTCGTACTCCCGCGGAGCAGCGCGCGGTTTCATGACGCAACGCACCAAAACGCTCGTCGCAGTGGCGCCGGAGAGTTGCGTCGCCGGCGCGACCGCGGACACGGTGCAGTCGTCGCTAGCAGTGCGCTAGGTAGGTGCGTCCGGAAGAGCCTGGCCTCAGGCTGACACAAGGGGTGTGACCAACGGCTCTGAGCCGAGCGCGGTCGACGCCCGCGCGCACGTTGCGTTTCGGCGGCGATGCGCCGCGGCACCGTGCGTGACATTTGTAATTGTGACGTCCGCGGCTGGTGCGTGCGCTGAACACAGGTCAGGGACGCCGCGCTGCGCGACATCAGGTTGCTGTCGGAGGACGGACCCGCCGCGAGGTGCGCTGTGCGTCGTGGTTGTTTTCTCGCATAAATGTATGTACGATAGAGTGTGTGGCACAGTGCCCCAGCAGCCGCTCGTGAGGCGCTCTCTCAGCCCGCGGACAAGCGCTTGAATGCCTACCCAGCGGGCATGCTCGCAACATCTTGCGCGCGGCCGTGGTCGGCGTGCACGGCTTCGAGCATGCAATCCTTGTATCGCAGATGGATGATGCGTCTCGTTCCGTGTGGCTTTCGCTGCACGGCGGCTCGCTGGGCCGCAGGAACGGCACCTGTAATGCGCGCAACAACTGCCCACCGCACGCACCCCAGCCGCCGCGATTGTCGAAGATGAGCGCACGGAACGTCGCTCAATCCGCGGTGCTTTCCCGAAACTGCAGTGCTGATAAGGATTCAGGCCGCACTTGCGTGAAAAGCAGCGCGCACGTCGCTGACAAGCAAAGATGACGAAGGCGAACAAAGGGCACATGCGCGCCAAGAAGATCAAGGCTGGCCGGTCTACAGGACCTGCTGTCAAGAAGGTCGGCGTCGCAGGCGCAGAAGCGTCGTGCTGTCGACGGAAGAGCGGATTGCTGCGCTGGTTACGTCGCGGATGCTGCTCTGACGCCCGACTGCCGCTGTTCCTACGCCGTGCGTGCAGAACGCTGCGCTGTCCGCGAAGCCGATCAAGCTGGGCAAGCACACTGGCAAGAAGAAGTCGAAGTCGAGGGCTCAGAAGCGGGCGGCTGAACCTGCCAAAGACAGCTCGCCTGTCAAGGCAGAGGCGCCCGTCCAGGAGACGACACCCGCCAAGACGAAGACCCCGGCGAAGACCCCGGCGAAGGCGAAGTCGCCTGGATCTGGGAAGCCGACGCCCGCGCGCATGGTCGCGAGCGCGCGCCGCACGCCCGCCAGGCGGGGCCGGACCCCGGGCACAGCGGGCAAGAGGGCCTCCGCAGGCGCGCCGGAGGAGCCCGCGCTGCCATCAGGTCGGACGCCCACGCGCCCGACACGAGGTGCGCCTTCTCCGCACAGACGCGGCATGTCCAGCTGCCACACACACGCACAGGCTGTTGTTGCCATCCGAGTCGCGCGCACGACTGATGCGAGACGATCGCTGTGCGAGCGCGCGTGCCCCACGATGCAGCGAGCACGCGCGGAACCGTCAGCGTCGCCGACGTGAACGAGATGATTCTCGCCAACAAGAGCACGCGCGGGAAGAGCGGCAGTCAGGTGCGCAACGCCGTCCTGTCGGATGCAGCGGGCGGAACGCGGGCCTGGCATGGATGCGCCTGCACAGATCGCGCCTGCAGCGATCAGTGCCTGTCTCGGCCGCCAGCAACAACGCGCGTTCCGCATGCTGTTGTTGTGCAGAGCTTCGGCAGCAAGGTCAAGGCTGCGCTCAAGTCGATCCTCCCGAAATGGCTCATGGCGTGAAGCCCGCGATCTCGGCGAGGCAACGCAGACCAGATCGCGCGCAGCCCCGCGCGCCACGGGTGCTGCGCGGGAGCTCACAACCCCACCGGCACGCCCGTGCCTTCGCGCGACACGAGGGTGCGAAGGATCACACGGCTAGATATCCCCACACGCACCTAGTCGCTATCAAGCAGCGGCCATGTGAGTCATCGGCTGACCGGAAACATTCTCATCGGCTCCATGCGACGAATTGCCCCCTGGGCACGTCGTGCCGGACGGCCGAGGTTTGGGTGCAGGACGAGTCCGCCATCTCATCCGCACAGGTGTCGGCGTCTGTATTGGGTGCTTGTCCCGTCACCATGCTTTGAGGTTTCGACCTCGAAAAAGGAGAGCAGCAACCACGACGCCCGCTGTGTACGTCACCAGAATACCCCGTGCCGCCCAGTGCGATGCCGCAAGCGTGTCGACGAAGAGATTCACCGCGCCGGTCCCCAAGTTCGCTGCAGTCAACCAACAACGCAGTTGCAAGCTATCATAGCAGTAGGTGTTTCATCCACACACGTGACCGAAAGCATGGCGCTGGTCCTCTGCAGAGCACTCATGGTCCAGGTCAAGGCAGAACCTAGACGTGCCCGATTGCTGCTGCAGAGTTCGAGGTTCACCATTCTCCAATGGCGGCATCTTACCTAGGAGGAACGTCACGAGCAAGTTCTGCGACAGGGCAGCGACCACGGTCGACGCCCCGCGCGCCTCCACCACCAGGTCCGCCGCCACGTGCGTAGCCATCACGAGGGTCGCGAGCAGCGCCGTCCACGTCGCGAACGCGGCGTTGCAGGCCCTCCGCGACACTGGGTCAATGGCAGCGTGCAGCACCACGGTGCAGCACAGCAGCGCCGCCGACGCCCCGGCCATGCGCCTCAGCAGGGCCCAAGCATCTACGCGACCGCGTGGGCGCCGCGCCGGCGCCAGCACGAGCTGTTCGACGGCGCTGCACAGGTAGAAGACGCCGAGATATCCCACGATAGTAAAAACGCCCTCCTTGTTGCGCACGACGAATCGCTCGAACCCGGCGAGATACGATGTGTGCCAGACGGTGGTTCCGGAGCCCCATCGGTCCTCCGACTGCAGGAACTCCCCCATCCCAGCGAGTGACAAGGCCGCCTGGTGCGTCGTCAACACCAGCGACGCGACTGGAAGGCTCCAGCGCGGTGGCGGCCGCCCGACGAGCTCCGTCACTGCGACGAGCACTGCTTGCGTCAGGAAGAAGTTCCACTCCACGCCGTACTCGCTCACGTGGCTCTGGTAGTCGACGGCGCGCAGCGACACCAGCCGCACAGCGCCCAGAGCCACGAGCGGCAGCGCCCGCAGGAGCACGGCGCTCGCCGCGCGACGCCGGCCGCTGGCTCCGCAGCCGAGGACCGCGACGAAGAGTCCGACGCCCGCGTCCATCAGAGACCACCCGCAGTGCTCTGTTTTTGCAAACCGACGCGGGAAGGCGTGGAAGTCGACTGCCAGGATGCACACCGAGGTTAGCGCGAGCAGCGCCGCGCGCGCCTTGGAGAGGCAGACGTAGCGGCCGTCGCGCACCAGGGCCGGTGCGGCTGCGAGCGTCGAGCGAGGCCGTGCAAGTGCGGTGTGTTGCCAGGGCACCTTTAGGGCTCTGATGATGAGAAGAATTGTAACGGCGCCCGCCAGACCCGAGTACGCGCTGACGAGGTCTGCGGGGACGCGAGCGAGGTCGTGGCGCGCTTGTCGTGCATGAGGGGAGCAGTGTGCGGGCTTGTCATGGCACTGGGCGGAATGTGCGGCCTGGCGCGCGTCCGAACCTGTGAGCACTGCGATGAGCGGTAGAAACAGGATGCAAAACTCCAGACACGGGACGAGGATGACATTTCGAGCGCTGCTCGCGCGAGCCTTGCTCGCACGCCGGGTCTCAACACGGTCTTGGGCCCCGCCAGCTGCGGCGCTTGCGCATGTCGCTATTGCTTCGAGAACCGGGAACAGCAGGACCAAGGCAAGAACTTCCTGAGGCCGCCCTCCGGCCAAGCCGCTGACGAAAGCTTCCCGGTCTGCGCGTGACGAGCCCATGCTGGGCAGGCGCGAGCACAGTCGGGGGGCGCCCCGCACTCTAGAGGACCGATTCAAAGTCGAACGTCATCGAAAACGCATGTTATGTCATCGAAGACCGCGAAACGCCTAATTCTCTGCCACAAGAGCAAACCCCGGGAGCAGGCAGAAGCCACTACGGCAACGCTCAGTTCAATGATGCTGCGCGCTCCTCGCTGAGAGGCTTCGCACGGCTGTCTTTCTGGCAGCGAGGGGAGTTCCCCCGCGACGTCCCGGACGCGCCGAAGTCGGCGGTCGTCCCGGACCCCGTGCCTGACTCTCATGTTTATGAAACATCACACCCCCCGTGCTGCGTCAGGATCCCGGCACCTCCGCGAAGAAGTCGACGCGGTCCACCAGCGCAGCCGCCTTGCCCTCCAGCAGCTCCACCTCCCTCAGCGCTCGCTGGAGCGCCGTGCGCGCCTCCCGCCGCCCAAGCCCCTGGCGTGACAGATCGGCCGCCTGCCCGCGCGTATCCAGCCCTGCGCTCCATGTCCGCGGCGCTTGAAATCATGCAGGGGCGGCACGAACGAGGTCGCCAGCAAGTGCGGTTCGTGCTCACGTCAGCGGCACACAGGCGCGCACCGTCAGCAGTGAGAAACACCAGTGCCCTTCCAGCCTCGTAGGGGCGCCCCTCGTGGTGAAACACGCCACCCTCGGACGTCAGCGTATGCAGCGGGCCGAACAGCGCCCGCGGAGCCATGGCCAGCACGTCCCGCACCAGCACCACGGGCCGTTGGCAGCGCGCCAGCACACCCAGCACGAGGTCGCTCTGCAGGTGCGACGCCGCGCGCTCGCCCAAGTACTCCCCGCCGTCCACGACCAGCGTGCACTCCCTCGCGCACCCGCGTGGCTCGAACGTCACCCCCTCCGCCACAACCGCTGTTCCTGCGTCCCGCGCCGCGCGACCAGATCGACCGCCGACACGCGACCAGATCGCCACCGTCGTCGCCTTCGCGTGCACCACGCCGCTCTGCGCCCGCTCCCTGTGCGCCGCAATCAGGTCCGCGAGCTCCTCCGCCGCCTCCCCGCCCCCGAACGCCCCCGCGAGCCCGGGGGGGTCAATCTCAGCGACACACCCCCCCGGGGTCGTTTCCGGCACCCCTGGCCACTCGCCGCCGCTGATGCTCGCGATGAGACGGACGAGCTGGTCCCGTGCAGGTCGGTGCAGTGCTGCCGCGACCAGAGCGGGGACGAGCACCAGAAGCAGTGTGCGTGCAATGCGGGTACAGAGGCCGGCCCGGCGCGCGGCCGGCCTCGGGGGGGTCGCACGGGGGGGCGGCGGCCGTTTGGCCTGGGCGCCTGACTTGTCCGTCGCGGGCCGGGGCGACGTTGCGGGGGACTTTTGAGGCCCCGGTCTGTCATGCGGGCTCAGCGGTTTCCTGGGGACCCTCGGACGGCGGGGCGGACCCGGCGACCTGCACAGCGAGCGCGGCAGAGAGGGCGAGGTGGCGTTGTGGCGCAAAACGGCACGCTGACAGACACACGGGACACCCGCAACGTTGCAGCGCACTGGGCGACGTGCCCGACAGCCACGAGCACCCAGAGGACTTCGCTACGCGCGCCGTTGAGGTCCTATACTGTGAGGTCCCACCTTGTCCGTGACTCCTTCTCCTTCGATCCGGATGAGCCCGCATTCACGCGACGTTTGTCTTCTGCTGCAGTTCTGGCGGTCGCCGGGGACCTCGCTCTGCGGCGTTCTGGGGACGGCGGACTGGTGCCCTCCTCTTGGTCACTCTTGCGTGTGGCTTGCAAGCGAGTCTTGACCATCGCGCGTGGCCGCGGGGCTCACTACGCCGCCCCAAACACCGTGCAAGTTGTCGAGCACGGCTCCCCAACCACGGTCAACCGGAGGAAGTCGCGATCGGACGATGCCCCCAGTGCTTAGGGCCACACGGGCACCTAGAAGCGAGCGCCCAAGTCGCGGCGTGCAGCGGTACAGGGCTAGCAGAGAAGCAACCGCTCCCAGACCACCACGCCGTCCTCTTCCGGCAATAGTAACTCGCACGAAATTTGTGATCGACGGAGCAAGCTTGCGTGTGCCGCCGCGCGCATCGAGGGCGGCCAAAAAGGCCGCATGGGGCCAGAGCTGCGACACTCCCCGCTCCAGCCTGGCGCAGGGCTTGAGTCGGTCCAGGCACGGCGTGGCGGGGCGTACTAGGCCATCCTGGGGGACCGGTCGGATGTCACGCTGTATGTGGATCGTTTGAGGGCTGTAGACGATCATGACACGCTGACATCGGCACATGCTGCGGCCGTTTCGTGCTGAGAGTGTTGTGGGTTCGAGACGTGTGACTGGGCGCGATGGGGAAGGTGAAGAACCTCGAGGAGAAGAAGAAGGCCGCTAAGGTCTTCTCGAGAGGAGGCGGCGGCGGCACGAAAGGCCCGGCGGTCGTCGACAAGAGGTGACGCAGCGCCAACGCCCTGTGCGCGGTCGCATGCAGCGCTGTAATGCACCAAAACCCCACCAAGCCGCGACACAATGGCTCGATTCCGCCGCGCATGCACACCTCACCGTCCGGATCTCGCGAGGCTGTGCTGCGGGGCCACGCCTTCTCTTCCCCGCCGAGGTCCGTCGCCACCTCGCGCCCGGTGTCGCAGGAATCAGGAGCTGCCGTGTCCGCACTGCGACCGCATATTCAAGCAAAAGCAGCGGCTGACGGAGCACATCAAGAAGCAGCACCCGGAGGAGGAGGCCGCCGCAACTGAGGAGGCTGCCGAGTCCACGTCCGCCGCGCAGACCAAGGCGAGGAAGCGCGAAATCCCGCTCTCGCCCCTGCGAGCGACCATACCCTGCTTGCAGCGATGCGCACGAGGCAGCCTGCCCCGCTCCCACTTGGCGCTACACACAACAAAAGCTCAAGATATACAATCATCGCGCAGGAGAAGAAGTACTTCGACGTGGGATCCAAGGCCGGGTACTACGATGGAAAGACGCCGCGCATGATCCTGCACGAGTGGTGTCTGCAGCAGAAGCGCCCCACGCCGAGGTTCACTGCGCGGAAAACTGACGACGGCGGCGTCACGTGCAAAGCCGTCCTCAAGGACCTGAAAGACACGAACAAGGTGCGCGCCGGCCCGCACGACGAGCCCTGCTCTCCTGTCTCGCATCTGTTCCCACGGATGGGCGAGATCATGATGTCTATTCAGGCAGGAATCATGTTTGCACGCAACCGTGCCCTGCGCCGCCGCAGGACATCGTCTGCTTCGCCCCCAAGGACAAGACCTACGCGTCCGACCAGGAGGCCATCCAGGACGCCGCGCTCGTCGCGCTCCACGCCGTCCAGGGCGACCGCAACCTCGACCGCGTGCTGCCCCCCGACTTCCTCCCTCTCTGGCAGCGCCTCAGCGCCGACAAGGCCCAGCGCGCGCAGCGCGACGAGCAGCGCCGGCAGCGCGAGGAAGCCCGCGCGGCGCGCAGCGCCAGGGACGCCCGTATCAAGGCCGAGCAGGCGCGCAACACCCAGAGCGTGCAGCTGTCGTCGAAACAGTTGCGCGCAGTCGAGTCGCTGGTGCGCGAGGACGCGGGCGGGGCAGGGCCGTCGGGGCTCGAGGAGGGCGCGGTTGCGGCGCCCGAGGTCGTCGCGAAGCTGCAGGCGATGGGGTTTACGTGGACGGACGCGCGGGCGGCCGCGGAGGGGGTGGGCGCGACGCAGGAGGAGGACGTTGCCGCAGCGGTGGGTCGGGCCGCGGACTGGGCGTGCCTGCACGTTCCCGAGGCGCGGCTGCCGAAGGAGCTGCGGCCGGAAGCGGGGGCGCAGATCACGGTGCTGCGGGCGAAGCGGACGGGCGCGGGGAGCTGCGCTGCGGGGGGTTGGGGGGTCCCGAAAGAGACCCCCGCGGACGTTGCGGCGCTTGCGGACATGGGATACTTCGCGCACGAGGCGGAGAGCGCGCTGGCGGAGATGCCCGGGCTGCGGGACGCCGCGCTGGCGTGGCTGTTCTGCAAGATGGCCGAGTCGACAGCGGGGGGGGTGTCTTTGGCTGCAACAGGCGACATGGAGGGTCCGACGGGCGGTGCGGCGTGGCAGGAGGAGCGCGAGGCGATCGAGGCGATCTTCCCGGACGCCGCGAGCTTCGTCGACGGCGGCATGGACCTGACGCTCGGCCCCGACGCAGGCGGGGGGGACGTACCAACCGTCGTCCTGCACTTCCGCGTCCCGCGCGGCTCGCGCTACCCCGCCGAGCTGCCCGCCGTCGGTATCACGTCCGTTGCCGTTCCGCGGGAGGCGCTGCGGTCCATCACCAGGGAGCTCGCCGAGACTGCCATTCGCCTTCTTGGGCAACCTATGGCTTTTGAAATCGCGTCGCATGTGTCGGGCGTGCTGTCCGACGACGCTGCGCTGGCCAAGCACCACGCACACGCGCCGCAGAGCTTCATCTCCGCGCCGGGAGCCGCGCCGGAGCCGGCACGCGCTGCCACGAAGGCAGGCAGCGAGGCACCGACACCAAGCCAGGCCAGCGAAGCCGGCGACGCTGCGAGCGAGGCGACGCTGGCGATGGATGCTGCGCCGCTGGATAGCATCGAGGACCAGATGGCGGACATGAGCGACGAGGAGGGTGCGGGGAGCGAGCAGCGCAGTGCGCCGCAGCCGCGGCGGAAGGAGCGGCGGCGACCGCAGCGCAGCGCTGCGGAGGCGCAGCGCCAGTCCGCTGCGCTCGCCGCACACGCGAAGCGCATCGCGACGGACGCGCGGCTTTCGTCGGTTCGGCGCGTGCAGCAGGCGCTCCCGGCATTCGAGCGACGCGACAGCATTGTGCGCCTCGTGGAGGACGCGAGGGTGGTGGTACTGAGCGGCGCGACGGGTTGCGGGAAGAGCACACAGGTTCCGCAGGCGCTGCTGGACGCGTGGGTCGCGGCGGGCCGCGGCGGCGAGTGCAACATCATCTGTGCGCAGCCGCGCAGGATCTCCGCAGTGGGGCTGGCGCGGCGCGTGGCGCAGGAGCGCGGCGAGGACGTTGGCGGCACGATCGGGTACAGCGTGCGGCTGGACAGCAAGCGGTCGGACGCCACGCGGCTGCTGTTCTGCACGACGGGGGTTCTGTTGCGGCAGCTGACGTCAGCGGGGGCGCTGCAGCACGTGACGCACGTCGTCGTCGACGAGGTCCACGAGCGCTCCGCGGACTCAGACCTGCTGCTTCTGCTCCTGCGCGACCTCCTCCCGCAGCTGCCGCACCTGAAGGTCGTCCTGATGTCAGCAACGGCAGATGCGAAACTCTTCTCCGCGTATTTCGACCCCTGCCTCTCCGACATGCGCGCTCCGAGCAGCGCGATGGTCGACATCCCGGGCCTCGCGCACCCCGTCCGCGACCTCTTCTTAGAAGAGGTTCTGGAGATGACGGGAGTCACGATCGGTCGATCGTCCAAGTACGCAAAGAAAGGGGGAGGCGAGCTGCGGCCGCTGCCGTCGCACGTCGTGCCGTCGCGCTGGGCGAGCGGCGCGGCCCCAGGCGCACCAGCTCCGACCGAGCTCTCCGATGCGACGAAGGCTTCGATCCACAACATCGACGAGTCACAAATCAATTACGACCTGATCGCGGAGGCCGTGGCGCACATCGTGCGCGCGACGTCGAAGCACGGCGAGAGCGCGCTGCTCGCTGGCTGGGACGGCTTGGCGGGCGGGCAGGGCGCGAGGGCCGCGGAGGGCTCCGGGGGCGCGATTTTGGTGTTTTTGCCCGGGGTGGAGGAGATCAACAAAACCGCGCGGGCGATCGCGGCGAACAGGGGCGTGCCGCGGGGCTCGCTGCACGTGCTGCCCCTGCACGGATCGCTCCCGCCGTCGCAGCAGGGGCGCGTGTTCGACCGCCCCCCCGCAGGGACCAGGAAGGTGGTGTTGGCCACGAACGGTGCGTGCGCGGCTGTCGTCGTCTTTTGCGGTGGTTCGAAGAGCGTCGCCCTCTGCTATGCGACACAGATCGCCAGTTATCGTTGTCCACCTGCATTTGTCCTTCCGCCCGCCGTGGCTTGCGTTCACAGCCGACGCGAGGTATGTTGCACTTTGCAGTTGCGGAGACCTCGATCACGATCGACGACTGCTCCTTCGTCATCGACACCGGGCGCGCCAAGGAAATGGGCTACGACCACGACCGCTCCATGTCCCGCCTGGAGCTCACGTGGGTGTCGCGCGCCGCGGCCACGCAGCGCCGCGGGCGTGCTGGCCGCGTCCGCCCCGGCGTCTGCCTGAAGCTCTACTCGCGGACGACCTGGAACGACGTCATGCAGGAGCACCAGCAGCCCGAGATGACGCGCACGCCGCTGCCCTCCCTGTGTCTCCGCGTCAAGGCCGCTCTGCCCACCATGGCGGTTGAGGCCGCCCTCGGCCGCGCGATGACCCCGCCGCCCGCCGAGGCCGTTCAGAACGCCCTTGCGCTGCTCGAGGCCATGCGGGCGCTGCGGCGGCATCGCCAGACCGACGGCGGCGCGGAAGTCCCCCCGGGGGAGTCTCTGCTGCCGCTGGGACTCCACCTCGTGGGGATGCCGCTGGACCCCCACGTGGGCAAGATGCTCCTCGTCGCGGCCGTCCTGCAGGCGCTCGACCCTGCCCTCACGATCGCCGCCGCGCTGTCGTACGGGCGGTCGTTGTTTCTGTCGCCCCCCGACAAGCGTGGCGAAGTGGACGCGGCGAAAGCCGCGCTCGCCGGCGCGCACAAGAGTGACCACCTCGCCGTCGTGGCTGCGTTCGACAAGTGGCAGCGCGCGCGGCACGAGGGCGGCCGGGGCGCCGGCGACGTCGTCGCAGAAGAGTTTTTCCTATCTCTGCAAGCTCTGGAACATATCAGGGCGGCGCGGGCGGACTTGGCGCGCGTCCTGCAGGGCGCGGGGTTCGTGGACGCGCGGTACGTGCGGCGCGTGGCGTCGGGGACGCCGCTGGACGCCGCGGACGAGCATCCCGCGGACAGGCACGCGCGGAGTGCGCGAGTGGTCAAGGCGGCGCTGTGTGCGGGATTCTACCCCTCGGTGGTGCGCGTGAAGCACCCGGCAACCAAGTACGAGAAGATCCGGGAGGGCGTGGTCGTGGAGTCGAAGAAGGGGGACGATCCGCGCCAGCTCAAGTTCTTCACGAAGGACAAAGGGAGGGTGTTTTTGCACCCAGCATCTTGCAACTTCAAGCAAGGGAAGTTCGAGAGCGGCTGGCTCGTGTACACAGGTGAGACGCGCGTCCTGAGACGCGCCGGCGTCGGACTGCGTGCTCGCATCGAACTGCGCTTCGCTTACGCGGTGAGCGCTGCCCGTCCTCGTGTGCAGAGTGCGTTCAAACGAGCAAGGTGTTTATCCGCGAGAGCTCGATGGTGCCGGTGTACGCGGTGCTCTTGTTCGGAGGCGAGCTGACGGTGCACCACGACGAGGGTCTGATCAAGGTGGACGGCTTCGCGGAGTTCAAGGCGCCTGGGAAGGTGGCGGTGCTGGTGCGGGAGCTGCAGGCGCGCGTGTCAACGATGCTGGCCAACAAGGTCCGCGACCCGTCGACCGACGTGTCGAACTCGCGCGTCGGCCAAGCCATGCACGAGCTCCTCGCGAACGACGGCCTGTAACTGTGGCATTGGAACTACAGCTGTTTGTTTCGACTCGGTCGTCTCGCTCCTGGCCCTGCCAGGACGTAACAACGATGCGCGCGACCTGCGTTCACGCGCACGGTCCGCAAGCTTGCGCTCGAGACCCCCCTCGCTGTGCCACGGCCCTCACGACTGCTTCTTGCCGTTGGCCTCCAGCGACCCGCTTTTCCGCGCCGGTTTCGAGGTGTGCACGACCAGCTTGTACGTCCAGAAGAAGTTCAACGCCAGCAGCGTCCCTGTGCTCACCCGCCCGAACGGTCCTGCGCGCACGACACAGTATCGCCGTTTTAGCGCACAGTGGTGCTGCGTGTTACCAGGGCCAATGCTCTCGCGCGGCCGAAGCGATCCCGAACGCGGTCGCGCCCGCCGCGGCTCGTCGTCCGCCGCACCTGCCCAGCTCGGCGCGTCGTTCACCACCTCGCCCCGCTCCGCCATGCCCAGCTTGTCGAACAGCTGGAGGGTGAAGTACGTGCCCCACACAATGCGGCAGCCCAGGAAGGCGACGAGCGCGCATGCGCCGTTCAGCGCGTACAGCACGCGGCCCGCAGCGCCGTACTCGGTGTGCACGCCGCCCTCCTTCATGAACCAGCGCGCCACGATGATAGGCGACGACACCTCGTACAGCAAGAAGCCCGACGCCCAGTAGTGCCAGCGGTCGTACAGGAGCATGAGCGCGAACGACGACGAGCAGGCGAGGGAGTGGATGAGGAACGCGGGCCCCTCGATCTTGTAGTGGTACGCCACGACGCCCATGTCGTACAAAAAGTACCCTGCAGGAAGGGGGGTGTTCAACGGAGGCGGTTCGAGGCCGAACCCGTCGGACGCGAGAGCAGGGGCGCGCGAGAGAGTGGTCTGCCTAGAGCGGGGCGCGCGGCGCGTCACCTGTCGAGATGGCGAGGTTGGTGCGCGTCAGCTCCGTGGCATACATGAACGGGTTGGTGGAGATGACGCTGGCGTGCGCGCCCGTGAGGATGGCGGCGGAGAGGACGATCTGGTGGACGTGGTGGACGAACCCGGCGATCCTGCACGGCGCGATCGCCACGGCCTCCCCGAGCCGCCCCTTGTGCCGCCTCATGTCTGGGTTGCGGCCGAAGTACCACTTGAAGAAGGCCGTCGCCGGGGCTGCGGGGGCGCCGCGGGGAGCTCGATGCGATGGGGTACGCGGTCGCGGGAGGCGCGGTGCCGCGGTGGCGGTGCGAGGGCGCGGCGGCCCTGCATCGATGGCGGGAGAGGTGGGGAGGGGGAGCGCTGCGTGGCGCGGGGGGGGTCACGTACGGAGAGAGAAGAGGAGGTGGATGCCGAGGAACACGCCCGTGGAGATCGCGAGGGCTCGCAAGTTCGCCTCCGTTCCCGGGGCGCCGAGGTAGGCAGCAGCGCGAGCACCAGGGAGGCTAGTCGCCACGTGCTGCATAGCGCCGTTCATGGACGCGATGGCGCCCTTCCATGCATCGAACATGGCCGTGTTCGCGTCGCAGGGGCAAGGCACGGGCTGGTGAGGCCGGGGGTGAGCGCTGACGGCCCGAAACGAGCCCGAGGAGGAGGGGCCCGCAGCGCTTCTAAATCGAGGTTGTGGGACACGTGAAGGACGTCTGCGCGCGGCCAGATACGGATTGTAGTCGGAAAGGAAGAAGCGCGCGCGGATGCGCGGCGAGCGGCCCCTGTGCGGCACACAACGTTTGACACTAACTTGACTTGTGCAAGGGCGCCGTGGCCTGATCGATCCTGGTCGTTCTGCCTCTCAACGCAGCACCAAGGCGCGGGTGAGGCCAGCGCTGCCGCCCAGCCATCCATTGAGCGCGTGTCCGCGCGCCACCGGGGTGCCCCCGGGTCGTGAGCGGCGTGGGGGGCGTGGGGCAGTCGGGCACCGCGCACGCAGTGCCCGTCGCGTCTCGTAGGCGCGCAGCACCGCATGGCCCAGCGCAGTCGGTCCCCATCGTGGCGAGCACGGAGCCTCGGAGTGTTTCCGCGACGTCTGCGACATCCCTCTTGCTCTGTGTCCTTGCTCTTCAGCGCGCGTGTGTTCTCTGGGGAGGTCGAGCAGGCGCGCCTAGCTGCGGCGGTGCGTGGACACGATGGTGGCAGAGCTGGGGGAGAGGGAGTCGGATTATGGGTAAGCAGCGCGGCCGTCCAGCCGTGTGTGCGCAGGCCACGGTCTGGCGCTGCGCCGCTCGCACGGCGCCCGAAGCGACCTTTTCCCGCGCATATATTCAAACCGAGATATCGTTTGCATCGTTTCGTCCGACGGATCACGCCGAATGCTGGCCTGGCAGCCGGGCAAGCTGGCTTGGCTCTTCCTTGGTCCTCGCCTTCGGACCCCAAACGAGTTTCTGCTCTTCTTCCATCGGATCCCGTTCCTCGAGACTCCAGGACCACGCAGTCGCGCGCGAGCGCTACGTTCCACCCCATTTGGGTCGAGCCAACCCGCCCTCGACCTCAGTTGGCCTCCCCCTGCTCTCTCCGCCAGCAACACAGCGGTTCGCGTACATTTTCATCACCCCCTTCTCGCTTCCCAGCATCCTGTCTATCCACCTGACAGCGCAAGCTCGCGCCAGACTCCTTCCAGGCCGCCTTTCGCGCGCCTTGCCCACCTCCCCGTTGCACGCCCGCCGTCGCTTGCTCGCACCCCTTCCGCCCGCACGGGCGGCGCTGCGGCCACCCCTGACGAACGATTCGCGAGCCCGCGCCGTCCGCGGTCGTCGGCGTCGAGCCAGGCGCCCTCTGCGGCAGCCGTCCCATCCAGCTGAGCAACCGCGTGGTCTTGCAGGCACATCAAGCGCGTGTCCGGGCCCGTGGTGGTCGCGAGCGGCATGTCCGGCGCAGCCATGTACGAGCTCGTCCGCGTAGGCGCCGAGAACCTCATCGGAGAGATCATTCGGCTCGAGGGAGACACTGCAACCATCCAGGTGCCGCCCGCCCCTGCGCCGGACCACTCCGACGCACCGCTCCCACCCCCGCGACAGCCAGCTCTACCTCCCGCGCGCAGCGCGGGTCCTCCCTCCTTCACACTCCCCCCTGGTGCTGCTCCCCACCCCTGCGCGCAGGTGTATGAGGACACGTCTGGGCTCATCGTCGGCGACCCGGTGCTCCGTTCGCGGCAGCCGCTGTCCGTCGCGCTCGGCCCGGGCATCATGGGCAACATCTTCGACGGCATCCAGCGGCCGCTGAACGAGATTGCGGCGCGGGCGCGCTCGTGCTTCATCCCGCGCGGCGTGGACGTGTCGCCGCTCGACACGAGCAAGCCGTGGGAGTTCCACCCGGCGAAGTTCAAGGTCGGGGACCGCGTGACGGGCGGCGACGTGTTCGGCATCGTCCAGGAGAACAGCTTGATGGAGCACCGCGTGATGCTCCCGCCCAGCGCGCGCGGCACCGTGACGTGGCTCGCGCCCTCGGGCGACTACACGAACAACGAGAAGGTGCGCGCGGCCGTGCGTCGCGGTGCCATGCGCCGGCGCTGCTCGAGAGCTCGCGAATGAGTCAAGCAATACCAGACGGGATCCGTCGTCTTCCGTTGCGCAGGTGATCGAGGTGGAGTTCCACGGGGAGAAGAAGCAGTACACGATGACGCAGATGTGGCCCGTGCGCGCGCCGCGGCCCGTGGCGAAGAAGCTCATGGCGGACACGGCGCTCCTGACGGGGCAGCGCGTGCTGGACACGCTCTTCCCGTCGGTCCAGGGCGGGACGTGCGCGATCCCGGGCGCGTTCGGGTGCGGCAAGACGGTCATCTCGCAGGCGCTGTCGAAGTTCTCCAACTCGGACGGCATCATCTACGTCGGCTGCGGCGAGCGCGGCAACGAGATGGCCGAGGTGCTCAAGGACTTCCCGGAGCTGACGATGACGCTGCCGGACGGCCGCGAGGAGTCCATCATGCTCCGCACGACGCTCGTGGCCAACACGTCGAACATGCCCGTCGCGGCGCGCGAGGCCTCGATCTACACTGGCATCACGCTGGCCGAGTACTACCGCGACATGGGGTACAACTTCTCGATGATGGCCGACTCGACGTCGCGCTGGGCCGAGGCGCTGCGCGAGATCTCGGGCCGCCTCGCGGAGATGCCGGCGGACTCGGGGTACCCGGCGTACCTGGGCGCGCGGCTGGCGAGCTTCTACGAGCGCGCGGGGCGCGTGCAGTGCGCGGGCTCGCCGGACCGCAAGGGCAGCGTGACGATCGTCGGCGCCGTGTCCCCGCCCGGCGGCGACTTCTCGGACCCGGTCACCGCGGCCACGCTGTCGATCGTGCAGGTGTTCTGGGGGCTGGACAAGAAGCTGGCGCAGCGCAAGCACTTCCCGGCGGTGAACTGGCTGATCTCGTACAGCAAGTACGGCAAGCACCTCGAGCCGTTCTACGAGCAGTTCGACCCGGACTTCGCGCGGCTGCGCACCACGGCGCGCGAGGTGCTGCAGAAGGAGGACGAGCTGAACGAGATCGTGCAGCTCGTGGGGAAGGACTCGCTCGCGGAGGCGGACAAGATCGTGCTGGAGACGGCGCGCTTCCTGAAGGAGGACTTCCTGCAGCAGAACTCGTACACGCCATACGACAAGTACTGCCCCTTTTACAAGAGCGTGGAGATGCTGCGGAACATCGTGACGTTCCACGAGCTCGCCACGCGCGCCATCGCGCGCACCGCGAGCATGGACACCAAGGTCACGTACAACATGATCAAGTCCCGCCTCAACGAGCTGCTCTACAAGGTGTCGAGCCAAAAGTTCGAGGACCCCTCGCAGGGCGAGGCGAGCATCCGGCAAAAGCTCGCCGCCATCAACGAGGAGCTCAACGAGTCGTTCCGCATGCTCGAGGACGAGTGCCGCTGATCGGCGGCGACGGACGCCGCGGCCGCAGGGGATGCGGACTGCATGCCCACGCCCCGCCGGTGTGATTCAGGAGCGACTTGCGTCCCACGCAGCGACCGCCCTGTCACAGGCTATGAGCCCTGGAACCGCTCAGCAGTGCGCCTGGTCCGACCCAAGGCGCGCTAGTCCGTGTCGCTCGTGGCGGCGATCGCGTCCGCGGCGTCCGCGGGCCTCCCGATCACGACCTGCTCCCCGCCCTTGATCACCACCATACCGGGCTTCGCCCCCTTCGGCTTCCCCACGTCCCTCCCGCGGCACATCGACACATCGAACCGCGCCTCCTGCCGCGCCCGGCTGTAGTGCACGGCCAGCGCCGCAGCAAACGCAATGTCCGCATCCTGCACGTCGTCCCCCGGCTCCACCCGCATCACCAAGTGCGCCCCGGGGCACCCGCGCGCGTGCATCCACACGTCGTTGGCGCGCGCCACCCGCATGCTCAGCTCGTCGTTCTGCCGGTTGTTGCGCCCGACGAGGACCTTCAGGCCCCCGGGGGACTCAAACTGCCGGAACCCGCCGCCGCCCCCGGCCGACTTCGCGCCCTGCTGCTTCTGCCGGGCCTTGCGCGAGGCCTTGGACTCCTTGAGGTTGAGCTGCGATCTCACGCGCTGCTCCTCGTCCTTGACGTACCCGCCGTCGCGCAGCTCCGCGAGGACCTCCCGCAGCGCCGCGAGGTCCTCCGGGCCGCGGTACTCCCACAGCTGGTCCGCGGCCGACTGAATCGATTCCAGATAGGAAATGGTGTTCTTCGCCTCCTACGTGCAGCCAAGACCGCCCGGAGCGGCAGCGTCATGCGTGCGAGCGAGTGATCCGAGGACCGCGGGTGCGCGCAAGCTCAGGAAGCGCCGCGATCAGCGCCACGACGGCATGGAATGCAAGTGCGCAGCGACGCCAGGCGCACCTCCATGAGAGGTCCGAGCGTTTCGAGCGCGCGCTGCAGCTTCTTCGCCTTCTTGAAGATCGCCTCGGCCTGCTCGTGCGGCTTCTTGTCCGCCTCCAACTTCACCGTAACCTTCTCCCCCGTCTCCCAGTCATCGACCTCAATCTCCTTCATCCCGGGCTTGATCCGCCACACGTTCGCCACCAGCAGCTCGCCCTGGTGGCGCACCTTCGGCGCGTCGTACCCCGCGCGCTCCTGCTCCTCCAACGCGGCCACGCGGCCCCGTGCCCGCTTGAGGTTGAACTTCAACGCCCTGTCCACCACCGCACGCACCGCCGCGTGCTGCTCCTGCGAACGCAACGGCGCACAAGCGGCGCGCACTGTGCGGCGACAACGCCACAGGGACAGCGCGCGTACAGACAGGGACGGAGGCATGCGCGTCGACGGAGCGGACGAGGCGCACCTGGCCGGACTCGCCGGGCCGCAGCGCCCCGAGCGCATCCGACACGGTCGCGCCAGGCCCCCCTGGAGCGTCCTCGTACACCCCCGTCCTCCCGTCACTGATCGCTGAAATGCACCTCGCAGGAACGCACAGTCCCGCGCGGAACGCGCCCGTCCTCACCGCCGCGACCCAGCGCGCCACCTCGGTCCGCAGCCGCAGCCACGTCGCGTCCGAGATCGTCCCCGCGTCCTGCGTCGGGTCGACGCCCGCGGAACAACACAGCTCGGCCCCCAGCGCTGGCGACACCCCCAGGAGCGCCCGCGCGAGGCACTTGGCGACCGCGCCCCCGCGCACATCGTCCTTCACTGCCAGCACCGCGTCGCGCAGGTCCGCGGCGTCCAGCGCGTCGGACGGCTCCCGCCCGGCCGCTGGCGGCGGAAGCACGTAGCGCTCGCCGACGCGAACCTGCCGCTCCCGGCTCTGCCCCTCGCCGATCTGCTTCGCCGCCGCGACGATCGTCTCGCCGTCCTCCGCCAGCAGGAAGACGTTCGAGTGCCGGCCCATCGGCTCCACGACCAGCGACAGGCACGGGGGCTCGTCCGGGCGGCGGGCAAACTCCAGGCGCGCCACGCGCTCCCACGGCACCGCGACGTCAGCGCCCGTGAGGACGAGGTCCTTGAGCTTCGCAGCGAGCGTCTGCGCGAACGCGAAGGGCTCCGTCGTCGCCGCCGAGCCGTCGCGCGCTTGCAGCGTGACGCGCGCGCTGTTCGCACCCCAGGACACGATGAGGTTCGCCGTGCCCTCGAGGGCGCGGAGCCGCACGCTCACGGTGACGGCGTCGACCTGCGGGGGCCGCGGACCGGGCGCGTCGCGTTTGGACGGCCAGAGGAGCGCGAGACGTGACGTGCGTGCGCCCCCCAGCGCTGCACGAGCAGTCGCGGAGCGGACAGGCGCCTGGAGGGCGCGCGGCCGGCGGATGCGGAGAACACGCAGAGACAGGCGGGGTCGCGGCAAGCGGGTGTGCGTGCGCGGCGTCGCGCGAAGGTCGTGGTGCGAGCGGGGTGGATGTCAGTTGCGCCGTGCCGCGTGTTCCCGCGTGAACGCGCCGCGATTTGTACCTGCTGGACGCTCTGAACCTTGGACGGAATCCACCCCGACCGAATCTCGGTGCAGACGGCCTCGAGGAGGGTATAGTCGAAGGACTGTTTGGCGGCCTCGTCCAGGGCCCGTCGCCGGTCCCCGGCCGAAGGCGTGACGGCGGCACTCGCGGCGATGTGCCGTGCGCAGGGACCCCGTTCGCCGGCCGGCGCGCGCGGCCGTCTCGTGACTGGCGTCGCGCCGAATGCGCGCACGGTGAGTGCCGCGCCCCAGCCCGTCCCCCCCTGGGCGCGCGCAGCGCGGCACGCGATGCCCTTTTTTGCCAGCATGGCGCGGCCTCCCCTAGCACTCTCAAACATCTCCCCCCTGCCATGCTGCCGTGCGTGGGCCGTGCGTGCTCGGACGCGCCGGGCAGCACTGAAGACTCTGCACGCTGCCGGAGCATGCGTCGGGGCGGCTGGCGCGGCGTCTCGCATCATGTGCCGTCTCGCAAGGCCGTCGGGGATCAGACGAAGGATTTGCGCGCCGCGGCGGAGGGACAGCATGGGCCGCCGCACGCCCCGGGACTGCGCCACTACTTCGTTGCCGCCAACCAGGGGTTGCTCGGCCGTGCCGGCGGACAGTTCCGGGCAGCCCCCGCGCCAGGATTGCCCGCGACGGCGACGGCGATGGGCCTTGGGCGCGGCGGAGGGGTGCGATGGGTCATCATGGGGATGTGACACAGTCGGTGACAGGGCGGGCCCCGCACGGTGCGTCGCTCGGTGCGAGGCTGCCGCTCTGAATGGTGTGGGAGAGCTGGGCGGCGACGGTTGTGGCGAATTGCGCCGCAGATGCGCCAGGTGACGCCGGAACGGGCAGTGCGCGCGAGTTGAGACCCTAGCTAGGCCTCACACAGCATTCGGGCGCGCGAAGCCGAGGCAGGCCCCGCGCGCCTCATTTTCGCGCCGCGGCCCCCGCATTGCTACGTCTGCGCGTGAGGGGGGCGGGGCGGCGGGCCAGGCGCCTTCGAACCATCGGTGCCGAGGAGCTTAGGTCGGTTGCTCGAAGGGCCGCGAGCGCGTCGTACTGTGCCCCAGCAGCGGAGCAGCGCGGCCAACGTGCGAGGAGGAGCGATTCTCCCCCCGTGGATGCGGAGGAATCTTCCGTCCTGACTCCGCCGACGCGCGTGGCGAGGGGGGACTAAAATTTCCAAGTCGCGAAGCCGCCTATTGCCAGCTGGCGGCGCCGCGCGCGCCACTTCGTCACCCAGTCGCAGTCCATCATAGTCAAGATGTCCGCCATCGCCCAGATCTCCACCGCCAAGGTCGCCGTCAAGGCCCCCGTCGCCAAGGCTTCGGCCTCGGCCATGCGGGTGCGTGCCCTGCCTCTCCACAGCCGCCCGCGGCCCTCTCTGCGCAAGCTAGCGGGCTCTGTGGCACGAGCCGACTGCTTCCGCGCCCGTCAGGCGCCGCGCCGCACCGCCGCGAGCCTGCGCTTCGAGAGATAGACTCGATGTGCTGGCGGCCCCCGGCGCGGCCTTCCGCGGCCCGCCCGCGCCGTTTCGTCGCCTTCTCTCGATCGTCCTTTCCGCACTAGCCCCATCACGCCCAGTTTCGTTGCGTTTTGGGCCCCGCACGCGCTGCGCCGCGGAATGTCAAGGGCGCTGCTCATCCGCGCCCCCCCGCGCGATCCCGGGCCAGTCCGCGGCTTCCTTCGCCGATGACGCGCGTTACCGGCGAAGATCAGCGAGCCCGCACGCGCTGCCGCCGCCAACTCGACCCGTGCGCGCGGGGAGAGGAAAGTCGACTGCACGACGATCGCCCGCCCGTATCGCGCGACGCGGCCCCGTCTCACACAGCGTCCCGCCGCCCTTCGATCCTCACGCAGGTGTGGACCCCCTTCAACAACCAGTTCTTCGAGACGATGTCGTACCTGCCGCCCCTGACGGACCAGGAGGTCGCTCGCCAGATCGACTACCTGACCAACTCGGGCTTCGTTCCCTGCATCGAGTTCGCCTCGGAGGACCAGGGCATCGTCTCCAACGAGAACTGCATCCGCTTCGCCGGCGGCGCGTCGGTGACGTACCAGGACAACCGCTACTGGACCATGTACAAGCTGCCCATGTTCGGCTGCACGGACTCGCAGGAGGTCATCCGCGAGATCGCCAACTGCAAGAAGCTGTTCCCGGGCTGCTACATCCGCGTGGTGGGCTTCGACAACGTCCGCCAGGTGCAGTGCGCCGGCTTCCTGGTGCAGCGCCCGGGCTCGGCGCTCGCGCCGGAGGCTCGCTCGGTGGCCTAAGCTCCACGTCCATGACGGAACGCACGCGTAGACTTCTATGCGTCGCGGACTTCTTGACTGATCGCTGACGAACACATCAGCTCCGGCGGACACGCTGGCGCTCTGTGATGCGAGATGGACCACCCACGTGCCGCCTGCACCACCCCAGCGGAGGCCCTCCGCCGATCGCCTACCTGCCGCTCGCTGCGCCGCGCTGTCGGAGAGACTCTCACGCCGCCCTGCTGCTTCCGCGACGTTCGTGCCTGGCCCCGAATCCACCGCGCACGTGACGCTGCGTCGTCGCCGCCCTCAGCCATCATCGCCGGACGACTGCTCGTCCACGGCGCGGTGGCCGCAAGCGCAACGAGCCCACATCCTGCACTCGCTGTCGGTTGCTCTGGCCGCGTCCGCGGCGACACCGACGCCTCTCCGCACCGGCGTCGCCCGGCAGCACGGCGCAGTGTGCCGAGGTGGCGTCATGCGCAGCGGGTGCGGCCGGCGTGCGTCTCGATCACTGCGCGGCGACGGCGTGGCCCGTGCTCGTCGGACTTGCGTCGCGGCGCGCACGCCCTGGAGGGGGGAGCGCAGTGAGGGGGGCTGTTGGGGACTCGGCACTGAGCCTGGCGGTCCGGAAGCGATGGGAGGCGTGGCGGGCGGCTCCTGTGCGTCGCTGCGGACGCCTCACGAGCAGTTCTTGCATGTGCTCTTGTGAGGCCTGAGGAATTGAGACGCTGCCAGCCCTGCGTGACTCCCAAGAAGGCACAGCACGAAGGGAAGCGCGCTAGCACCGCTGCGCGGCACTAGGCACGTCCGCGTCGCCCTCTCGGGCCAGGATCTTCGGCGCTGAGCGGGTTCCGCGCTAGTTTGGCGCTTGAAGTGAAGCCGCAAGCTCGTCCGCGGGTCCTGGTACCTGAAGAAAGCAGAATGGCCGCGCAGGGCCCCTCCGACGGCCCGAACTCGTGCAGCCCGCACACAGGGACGACGATCCTGGCTATCGTATACGACGGCGGGGTCGTTCTAGCAGCAGACTCGCGGTACGTGCCTCGCGCCCGTCCTCGCTTGCTCCCATGACGGGCTCCCGCTCACAGCGCTCTGCGGACATTGCCGCCGTTCGTCGCGACGTGCGCGATACGACGTGCTCGGGGATGCCACACGCGCGCCTGCGGCGAACCTCCGCCCACGCGCGGGCCCGTTCAGCGCCCCACTCCAACCGAGACCCACCACCGCGAGCGTTTGAGCGCCGCGCGTGCCCGCAGGGTGTCCATGGGCTCCTACGTGTCGAACCGCGCGTCGAACAAGATCGCACCGCTCGGCGAGCGCGTGTTCCTGTGCCGCTCGGGCTCCGCGGCGGACACGCAGGCCGTCGGCGACTACGTGGCGCACTTCCTGAACCAGCACGCCATGGAACTGGGGTCGGAGCCGAAAGTCCGCACCGCCGCGAACCTCGTCAAGGAGGTCCGCGCCCGCCGCGCCCCCGCGAGACGCGCCCCGCCGCTCGTTTTGCCTCTTTCTGAAAGTAGTAGCGCGGTTCCTGGTGCGTGCAGATGAACTACAACAACCAGCACCTCATGGCCGCGATGATCATCGCCGGGTACGACGACCTGCGCGGCGGGCAGGTGTACGGCATCCCGATCGGCGGCACGCTCGTGCCGCAGAACTGGGCGGTGGACGGGTCCGGCAGCACCTACATCTGGGGGCTGTGCGACGCGGAGTACCGCGAGGGGATGACGCGCGACGAGGCCGAGACGTTCGCCATCTCGGCCGTCTCGGCAGCGATGGCCAGGTGCGGCAGCGGCCCTGCGTCTCGACGCAACCCATTTCGCTCACGTCTCCGCCCGGTCGCTGCGAGCGTGGCTGGTTCGTCCGGCGCGGTGCGGTGTCGGGTGTTCCGACGGCGTGCGCGGTGCGTTGCGTGCAGGGACGGGTCCTCGGGGGGTCTATTGCGGCTGGTGACCATCAACAAGGAGGGAGTGCACAAGCGGACGGTGCTGGGGTCCGAGATCCCGCTGTACCACGAGGAGCTGCCGATCCCTGCGGCGGCGTGAGGGGCGTGTGAGCTTGCGTCGAGCTTTGGCGCGGTCGCGGCGGCGTGACAGGGACGCTGCGTGCGCGCGTCCGTGGGGCGGCGCGTCGTGGCGTGCTGGGGCGCGGTGGGCGCGCGCGTGGTTCCTTAGGTCAGCGTGGTCGTTGGCGCCCGTGCGGGTCGTTTCGAGGCGCCGGGCGAACCCCCCCTGGGACGTAGGGGCCTGTGGATGACAGCGCAGGCTTCTCGGGCGCGCGGGTCATCGGGAGGGGCTCGGCGGGTGGCGGAGCAGAACGACAAGGGATCTGCCATGAATGCTGCCGTAGTCGGACCTCTGACGCCCGCGGGTGTGCGTGCGCGCGCGGGCATGCAAAGCGCTATCCGGGCATGTCCCGCGCCGCGGCACCGCTGCGACCGCGGGGAGCACCAGGTACGATTTTTCGGACCGGATGCTCTTTGTTGAGCAGATGCGCTCGTCACAACGGTGTATCTGCGGCCCGCGTGCCCGCGCGAAGGCTAGGCTGATCTGCAGCAGTTGGGCTGCGCTGCGCGTCGACTCAGACGACAGCAGCCGCAGACGCCGACCAACCCAGTGCCCGAGAAGTGCACATGCGATTTCGGCGAGAATAGTCGTATTTGCGGCCCCTCGTGCACGCAGGTGTGCCGAGCTGCTGGCTTCGGGAAGAAGCAGGCCAAGGCCGGGAAATCAGGGAAGACCTTCCTCAAGGAAATGAGCGAGACCTCCCTGGGCCTCGGCGGGTGCGCTCGCAGGTCCCTCGCCCCCCGCGCTCCGCCTCAACAACGAGCTCGCGCACCGACATGCTGCGCGCGCCCGCACCGCACGCAGGAGGCTGGTCGCCGAGCTCCGCGCGGACAGCAAGCCCTGCCCGTGCGGGTCCGGCCAGGCCTACGGGGAGTGCTGTCAGGTCTACCACAACGGCAAGGCAGCGCCAACCGCCGAGGCGCTCATGCGCGCCAGGTACACCGCGTACGCGAAGAAGCTCGCCGACTACATCGTCGACACCACGCACCCCGACAATCCGGCGTACGAAGGCAGCAAGACGCCGGACGGCGAGCACTCGAGCACGCTGCGCGAGGACGTTATCGCCACCTCGCGTATCTTCGACTTCGAGAAGCTCAAGGTGCGCGCACGCCGCGGAGCGGAGCCGTGCGGGCCCTGTGAGCCGTGCGGGGCCGGACGTGCGCGTGACGGGCGGAGGCGCGTTCGGGCCGCCGCGTGCTGCAGGTCGAGGAGGTGCGCGAGGGCAAGGACGAGGACGAGGCGTACGTGGGGTTCACGGTGTGGGGCCGCGTGACGGGCCAGAAGGGGCAGCGGGCGAAGGGGTCGAAGACGGAGACGATCCAGGAGCTCAGCAGGTCCGCTCCTACTGCGTCACATCGTCCGACCGCCTTGCACGCGCGCTGCGCTGCGTGCGACAGCTGCTAGCGGGACCGCAACCCACTGTTCGAATGACGCCCGGCGCGGCATCTGGACTGTGGTTCAGGTGGATGGCCAGTTTGCAACGCAGGTTCGTCCGCGAGGACGGCAAGTGGTGGTACATCGACGGCGACACAGACTGGGTGCATCACTCGTACGGGGACAAGAAGGCCGCCTAGGCTTGCTGTAACGCAATCACACGACGCCGGTCTCGCGCGTCGCCTCGTGCGCCGGACAGCACGCGCTTGCACCCGGCTCGGCCCTCGACGCACGTCCCCAGTGCGCACCACGAGGGTGCGCCTAATCGAGGCGGAGCTTCCGCGGGGTCGCCGCGCGACCCTGCGGTGTGCCTTGTGGCCTCGTCCACTTGCCGTTGCTGTGAAGGACCCAGCCGTCCTGCACCAGCTTCTTATGCGTACCTGCACCAACCTTGATAGCTCTGCCCGTGAGCGGGTTCTCCACGTAGACATCGTGGCGCGGAATAAGCAGAACGGGCGTCCGGTCGCCGCCATCGTCGCCGCCGCCATCTTCGTCGTCGTCGTCATCGTCGTCGTCGTCGTCGTCGCTGCCACCCCCTGGTGCGCCCGTGCGCTCCGCCGACCGCCAGCGCACGAGCGGCACGAGGGCGAACACTGCCCCCAGAGCCGCGCCGACGACGCGGTCGGATGGCCCGAAGAAGAAATTGCCGAAAATGGCCAGGAAGCAGAGAGTGAACTCGGAACAAATGATCTTCCAGTCGCCCTGCTGGGCCTCGAACCAAGCTGCCGCGGCGAAAATCCCGATGACAGTGCTGAGCAAGAAGAAGGACGCCACGGGCCGCTCCAAGAAGTAGTCGATGTAGTCGTGGAGCTGCAGCCCGTCGTCCACGCCTTCCATGGTGGCAAAGCCCACGAAGCTCAGCACGTTGGCGAAAACGCCGACACCTTGTGTGGTGTTCATGAACATTTGCAACACCTGCCCGCCGACACCGGAGACAGTGACGGCGCAGCCCACCACGGTGCTCAACATAGCGGTCCGCGACACGCCCCCGAGATGCATCGCCGCTAGATCCCTCGGCGCGAACGCCACTGCCATGATATTCCTGCCCTTTTGGAGCGCGAGCCTGCGTACATCGCAAGCCACAATCCATGACTCAGGGACAGGAGTCGGGGCGCGACGAAACGCGCCGGCGCTCACGTCCCTCCGCCATGCGAGCGACGGCACTGACGGCCGAGGGATCGGGCCGCTCACTTGCAGAAGATGAGGGCGACGATGACCAGTAGGGCGAACATCGCCCCGACGCAAACAACCCCGAAGCCGGCCAGTGCCAGCAGCGCCACGCGCGCGGGCTGGCTGTGCGCGAGTTTCTCCGAGAACAGCGTCGCGAGGATCGCAGCAACGATGACCAGCGGCCTCCGGCGCCTGAAAGTGTCCTTGTGCATCACGTCGCACGAAAAGTCCTCGCCGTCTTCCTCGCTCTCCGTGGTCCGGTTCCAGACGCCGATGAGGGAGCTCAGCCGCCAGCCCTCAGCGACGGGCACGGCCTCCGCCCGCAGGTACGTCGTCGAGGCCGGAAGCAGCCGGCGGAAGGTGGCGCACTTTTGGTTGTCACTCCCCCCTGCCAACTCATGCACGGGCCTCGCGGTCTTGCAGCGACTGTAGCTGCGTGGGTGGCTGCCGTAAGGGCCTGGCGGGGCCACGAAGGGGCCGAGTTGGAAGAAGTCCGCAGCGCGTTTCGCCAGCTCGAGCGCCGGGCTCAAGTTGGGTTCTGCCAGGGAGTGCTGCCGGACGCACACTTGGACGGGGCTGCGACGCGCAGGGCACCAAGAGAGGACAGATATCGTGACGGTTCCGAGCAAGGAAGCGCACAACTCGGCGCTCGTGGTGCGGTCCGCTGGATGGAGTTGCGCCCTGCGCGTCCCGGAGGCGCGCGGTGAAGTACGTCTGCGCTCTGGCAGAACTGCACTTCCACACATGCCACGCGCCGGCGCGCGCCTTTCAAGGCGCGCGAACGCCCTCAAGATGCGTGGCAGCGCGTCCCCACCATGCTGGGTGGGCGAGGCGGTCGGCCACATCGGGGCGCCCGCTCGAAGCCAACGCGCGTGACTAGAATGTCCTTGAATCGAAATACGTGTGGCATGCTATCTCGGCCTGCACTGCGCGCGCATGGGCCCGTACCGGCTGGATGCACAACACATCGTGACCTCCCGGCCCTGGAGCAGCTCGGGCCCGAACGTCAGCCGCGAGCGCCCAGGAATCATCCCGTACACATATTCTCCCGCCACCAGCTCGCTGTTAGACGGGTTCAGCGCGTACACCGCCAAACCCGCCAGGCCTGCCACGAGCAGCGCGCCCAGCCCTATTAGGGCCCGCTTCGTCTTGCTGCGCGGCAGCATGACGCAACGCTGCCGACGTCGCGAGGTACTGGCGATCCTGACCGCTCATGGCCCGCGCGACCGGGCTCGTGCGCGGCAGTGGTGAGGAGCGACCTGCAATCAGGTGCATCTCCCCCCCTCACACCGTGTCCTGTCAACGGCGCATCAGGGCCTGCGCGACGTCAGAGGCAGCTGCGCCCACCGCCGCTCGAACTCCCTGGCCCCGCAGCGCTGCCTGGGCGGCAACCAGCACGGCCTGCTCGCCGACACCGCGTCGCAGCAAGATGTCAGTGTCCTCGCGTTGGCTCGCGGCGGCGACGGCTGTGCTGTCGATACTCGTGTTCCAGGGCGGCGGATATTGTGAGGGCGCGAACGTGCGTTTGTGCAGCGCCACGAGCCCCCGCGGCGCCGAAAGCGCGCTGCTGAAGCCGCTTGAGCGACGACCATTGGGCGCGCTGGTGCGGGCCGCCTGACGCCCGTGCCATGGCCACCGCGACGCTGCAGGTCGATGACGTCCACGTCGTGCGGGTGAGCGCGCGCGTGGACGCGTTCTGCGACGGGAAATGCCGTTTCTCGTTCGTGGAGGGCAGCGAAGCGATGCCCGCTGGCGTGCACAGCGACGGCACGATCGCCAGCCTCGAGCGGGAGAACGTGGTCGTCGTGCGTGGCAGGATCACATCCCTGGAGGCGAGAGTCCCGTCCGCCCTCGTGCAAAGACGCGCGTCGAGAATGGAAAAAAAAAAAACAGCAAGAGCGCCGGGCAGGCCTCGCCAGGCCGGCCGCTCACTCCTCGAAGCAACCGTCCCGTCGCACCCGCAGGCGTCTGTGCGGTGCCGGGACTGGTGTCGCGCGTCGCCGCGGACATTCCGCGTGGGGCGGCTGCGAAGCGAGCCAGTGCAGAACGCCACCACGCCGCCTCCTGAGCCCGCGCCACCGTCATTCGAGGCCATCATGATACACATCCACTCGCCGAAGCACCTCCTCGTGGCGGGCCTCGTTTGGGCCGCCCGGGTCGTTGCCGCGGCGTACCTGAGCTTTCGACTCGTGAGCCTCCTGCCCTTCGAGGGGCGTGCCGCGGTCGCCGCGCCCGTTGCGCCGGACTCCGTCACTCCTCAGCGCCAGACGAGGGCGAAGAAGACCCCGCGGACCCCGGAAACCGTCCCGCACGCGCCACAGGCCCCGCTGAAGCACGGCAGGACTTGAAATCGCGTCCCAGACAGCGCCGCCGGGCCGCCCGGCGTCGCCCGGCGTCAGCGTTGCCTGTCGCATGGGATCCTCCGCGGCGCAGGCGCCATGGCGCGACCGCGCGGCTGGTGAGCGCGACGTCACGTTACGCTCCGGACAGGACGCGCTCGATGTGACGCAGCTGCTCCTGCGCGATCTGGATGCGCTCCTTCGCGACATCGACGCGCTGCTGGTCGACGTAGGCCGTCGCGCGCGGCATGACGACGGTCGATGTGGACCTGCGCCAGTTGAGTGGTGCTCGCGGGTCGTTGCATGGTGTCAACACCGGCGGCGCCGAGAAGTGGCTGCAGACGCAGCAGGCAGCGGTCGTGCGGGTGCTGCGCGGACCTGTACTCGCTCCTCAGCAGATCCTGACACCTCCGCACGCGGTGCAGCGCCTCCGTGGCGAGCCGCCCAGCCTCCACGCCTGACGCGTCCCTGCAGGTGGAGGGCGCGGGGGAGCATTGCTCATGAAGGATCAATCGAATAACCTGTCGAACGCGGCCTGGTGGGTCCGCGCGGGGACGTGGCTGCGCGTCTCCGGCGCCCGGTGTGGTGCAGTTGCTGCGTCGTGCCACACCTGCCCTTCGCCAGCTCGGCCATGACGCCCCCGGCGAGCTTCAGCGCCTCGATGATGCTCTGCTCGACGACGTCGAGCCTCGCCAGCGACCCGCCCTGCTCCCCGTCCGCCGCAGCAGCGGGCTCGGGCCCCTCCATGGTGCTCCCACCTCCGCGGTGGATTTGTGCGGCGTCTGGGGCGCGTCGGTCTTCAACAGGCTGACGACACGCTGCTGCGCATGCGAGAGAAGTCGGGAGGCCCGCGCGGCAGGCGCTGCATTGAGCGCATTCGCCGCCCGGCCCGCATCGTGGGGTGCATTGCACTTGTACCGGAGGACGGGCGCTCGGGCGACGTCGGCGCGACCGCACGCGTGACCCGAGCAGAAGTGCGCTGGGCATTCTCCCGCGGAGCTAGATAGGACGGGTGCGCGCGTAGATAGCGTGGAAGAGCGTCGCGAGGTCGTTTCGACGCGCCGTTGTCGCGGCAGGGGGTCTGGGCCGCCGTTTGCGCCCGGGACCCGTGCAGGGAATTATGTCGGGCGACGGCAATGCGCCGATCAATAGCTATCTGCGGGAGAAGGGCCCGCAGCAGGAGAACTACAGGGGCTTCCACCCAAGCGGCGAGTATGCTCGCTTCCACGGGCCACGCATGTCGGCGAGGTACCCGGAGTTCCCTGTGGTGGATCAAGACCCGTCCTTCACGGCAGTCTGTACGCCCCTGGACCTTTCCCTGAGCTGCCAGACGGGAACTTTGGGTCCAGTGCACCTGAATCGCTCGCCGTGTCCCCTGAGGTGCCGCGCGCGAGCCTCCTGCGCGTCGTTCTGGCGCACCGCACCTGCCATGATGGGCTGGCCGTCCTCGCGTGCCGTTTCGGGCGGGTGGCGAGGCGCGGTCGCCGTCCTTCCTCTGGGACCTCCTCACCGCCACCGCCGTCTCTGTGCCGCAGTGTCGAACGCGAACGTGGAAGACTACTTCCGCATCGCGAAGTGGACGACCGTGGGCTGGCTCGCGGGCTGGTGGACTGGCCGCAGCGACATGAGGCGAGCTCCCTGCCTCGGCAACAACAAAGCGACCCGCCTGCGGCCCTGCGCGTGCACCAGCGCCACGTCCCGGGCCGCCAAGCGCACGACACGAGTGCGGACATGCCTGATCCCTCCGACGGACCCCCAGGACGCCCCTGAACCCCTGTTCCCGGCACCTCTCCCGCAGGTGGGCGACGGGCACCGCGGGGCGCCTCCGCGCGGCGTGCACCCTGGCGACGTACGCCATGTTCATCGGCGCCGCCGGCTCCTACCACGAGTCGTGGGCTCGGCTGACCGGTACGTCCTCCTCCTCCGCCCCGCCCGCACCGCTTGCGTACGCGGACGCAATGCACAGGCTGACCAGCGCCCGCGCCCGCCTCGCAGGCCGCAAGTCCAACAAGGCCGAGGTCATCGAGCTCATCGAGCGGGACCGCGACCAGTTCGTCGCCAACAATCCGGACCTGTCGCTGCGGCAGTCGTTCCTGGGCGCGCTGGCGGGCGGAGTGCTCCCCGGGACCACCGCGATGCAGCAGCGGCCGTTCGCCGCGCTGTCGACGAAGGAGGAGCCCCGCTGAGGCCCGCGGCGCGCCGGGGGACGCGTACATGTGACTCTGCTGCTTGCACCGTGACGTGCTGTGCGTTGTGCGTCATTTGCATTTGCACGCCGTGGGCGCACGCGGGGGCCGGGAACGAGGTCGCGAGGTCCGCGAGTGCGCATGCTGCGCGGCGTTGGGCTCAGGCCGGCGCGTTCGGAGCCTGGCCGGGGCGGCGTGCCCCGCGCGCTCGAAACGCAGCGCAAGTGGGAGTCTGCGCGAGAGCGGGGGGCGACAACGTGCGCGAGCGAGGGCAGACGCCGGGAGCCGCGAGCCAGGGGTCGGTGAGGCGAGTTGGCGGCTGCCGCGGGGCGTCGCGCGCCGGTCGGGGATGCCGCCACTGCGCAGGCGGTGCGGTGGGGGCGGCGCGGCCGCGGGGCCTGGGGCTGGTGTCTCGGAGTGTGCGTGTGTGTCTTGAGGAGGACGTGCTCGAGCTATCACATCGGACGGGAGTCAGGTCGGCGATCGCACAGGAGTGCCGCGTTGTCCGCAGCGCGCCTGCTGCGAGTTGTTTTGGGCCGAAGTGCGGCGCCCGGCCGCAGGTGTCGCTCCTGGAGCTCCTTGCCGTGCGATACCCGGCTTGTTGGACTGCGTGCTATTCGTTTCCTGGCAGCACATGGCGCTTTGCGCGGCGGAGACGTCGCGGACGGGCAGGTGCCCTGCAGCAGAGACAGCTGCGCCGCGCAGGCCCTGCGGCGTCTAGACGTTGAGATTGCGCGGCTTCAAGCGAGACATTATATCTTGAAAGTCCCAGTGCCACATGCGAGGAATCGAATGGGGCGGCCCGCGATCGGCTGGAGGCCAAGGCACCACCGAGCTCGGCTTTCTCGCGCACACGTAGGCGGAACCGGCCCGTCGCCGGAAACAGGCGATAGGCCCTGCACCAGACTATTCTGTCCGTCCCGACACACAGACCTGGGCCGCCCGGATCGCGACGGTCAGCTCCCATCTTGCCAGCGCTGCTCGAGGGGCGCAACCGCGATTTTGCGCGCTAGAAGGGCGGGCGGCGCAGCGAGCCACGTAAGTTGACGGCAGTTCCCGTCCAATGAGCGTGCTCGCAGGCGTGTGGCGACCTTACGTGGGCCAGGGGGGGGTGGGATGTTGACTTCGAGCCTCGCCGCGGCGCGGCTCATTGCCGCGCGCGCCGACCGGGCACGTCACCTTCGCAGGAAAGTTACATCAGGCAAAATGAACGCTGTCATCTCCACCGCCAAGGTCGCCGTCAAGGCCCCCGTCGCCAAGGCTTCGGCCTCGGCCATGCGGGTGCGTCCCGGCCCCTCAGGCGGCCATCTCCCCCCGATTTCCGCGCTCCTTGTCACCTGATGTCGCGGCCTCGCGCAGCCATCACCCGCGATCGCGCCTCCATGCGCGCCGCGCCGGATCCGCCTATCGACTCCGCTGGCCGCCTCTCCCGGCCCGTGGCCCGGCTCAATCGCGTAACCAAGCGCATTTCCGCACGCTCAGTTACGTTCCTGACCAAGTGCGCGCACGTTCCGTCGCGGGGCGTGCCCGTCGCCGCGTTGCCGCCCAGGGTCGATTTGGGCTGCAATCCGCCCCCTTTTCCCCGTTGTGGCGGATTTCCGCCGCGCACCGGCGAACACCCGGCCACAACCTAACTCCTATAGACCGGTGCGCGCGAGCGATGCGGCCATCAGGGGCATCGCGAGCCTCGGCCCGTGGATTTGGCCGCCGCGCTTTCCACCCCGCGGCAGCGTGCGCGCCGCCGCTCCCTGCGGATCAGCTGCACGCGACAGCGTTCTCGTAGTTGCTGAGAGCCCTCTCCGTCCGCCAGCTCTGCACGCGAAGCCGCCACGTCGCGCCCGAGCTCACCTCTGTGCCGCACAACAACCCGCCCGTCGCCCCGCAGGTGTGGACCCCCTTCAACAACCAGTTCTTCGAGACGATGTCGTACCTGCCGCCCCTGACGGACCAGGAGGTCGCTCGCCAGATCGACTACCTGACCAACTCGGGCTTTGTTCCCTGCATCGAGTTCGCCTCGGAGGACCAGGGCATCGTGTCCAACGAGAACTGCATCCGCTTCGCCGGCGGCGCGTCGGTGACGTACCAGGACAACCGCTACTGGACCATGTACAAGCTGCCCATGTTCGGCTGCACGGACTCGCAGGAGGTCATCCGCGAGATCGCCAACTGCAAGAAGCTGTTCCCGGGCTGCTACATCCGCGTGGTGGGCTTCGACAACGTCCGCCAGGTGCAGTGCGCCGGCTTCCTGGTGCAGCGCCCGGGCTCGGCGCTCTCGCCGGAGGCTCGCTCGGTGGCCTAAGCAGTCCACGACGGCGGTGGCAGCTCTGCGACTCACGTTAATTGAAACGAGTCGCGGCTCGCTCGCCTGACGCTGCGAGGTGGAAGCGACGGTGCCTGATGTAACAAAATGTACCCAAAGCCGTGACTCGAATCCCGTGTCTCAAGCGAAGTGTCCTACAACACCTCCATGCACACACGACCTCTGGCCCAGCTGCCGCGGGCCACCGTTCGCGACCCGCAACGGCCTCCTGCGAGCTCAAGCGCAGCGCTCTCTCCGCGGGATCGGCAGCCGTGCACCGCCCAAGGATGCGCCCGCCAGCGACCATGCTTGCTGCAGCAGCGCGTTTCGACGTCTCAACAGCACTGTGCGCGTCATCCGTCACATCTGCGATCCCACACCGAAGTGGAACCGGCTCTGCCCGCGGTCGTTGAACGCGTACTCGAGCCGCAGCGGCCCGACGGGCGAGTCCAGGCGCAGGCCGGCGCCGAAGCCGTAGCCCATGCCGGGCTTCCCGCGCGTGCCCGCGGGGTCCCCGCTGACGCTCTCGCCCGTGCCGAGGTCCGTCCCGCCGTCGATGAACGCACAGCCGGCCACCGGCGCCAACAGCGGCCAGCGCAGCTCCGCGGAGCCCACAAGGCACTGACGCCCGGTGCCGACGCCGCCCTCCTCGTACCCGCGCACGGAGTTGGTGCCGCCGATCGGGAACGCCTCGTACGGCGGCAGATCGCCCTGCAAGCAGCGAGCGGCACGCAAACGTCACGCACTGTCGCCGCACGTGCTCGCAGACATGCCCGTTCGCGGCGACCCGCGGCCTCCGGTCCGCGGACGCCCGCACGTACCTTAATGGTGCCGCCCTTGCCCGCGAGCACGAGCGTGCACGGCCCGATCGGGAGCTGCCGCTCCCCGCGCACCCGCATGCGCCAAAAGTTGAGCCACGCCTCCGACGGCCCGGGCGGCGCGTACTCCGCGGACGCCAGCAGCTGCGCATCGCCCTCGACGGGCGAGAACGCCACCTGCGCCTTGAACACCGCCTGCAGGTCCGTCTCCGTCCCGGAGAACGTCACCGGGGCCATGTACTGGTCGCGCGTACACGGCACGCCGGCGTCGTCGAGGCAGCGCACGCGCGACAGCGTCGCGCCGGCCCCGGCCGTCCAGCCCTCGCGGATCGGCCGCGACCACTCCACGCCGCACAGCGCGCGCGCGATGATCAGGTCGCGGTGGTGCGGCTCATTGCGCGGCGCGCCAGAGGAGCCGCCGGGCGGCGCGGAGGCCGCGCCGCCGCCGGCGCCCGCGGCGCCCACGACGGCGCCGCTCATCGCGCCGGTGCCGCTCACGCGCATCCCGCTCGAGCTCGGCGCTCTCGCGACGCTCGCCGCGCTGCTTGCGACGCAGCGTTGCCGCCGCCCTGCGAGCGCGCCGCTCCGCCGCCGCCGCGCTGGCGCTCCTGCGCGGCGTCCTCGAGGTCCGCGCGCGAGCGCCCGAGCAGCGCGGCCGCGGAGGTCCGCGTGTTCTGCAGCGTGACCGTGCGCGACGTGCGGTGCGGGTCGCCCCACACCCACGGGTCCGTGTGGTTCAGCCGGCAGAGCACGTCCGACTGCCCGAGCTCCACGCTCGCCGTCAGCTTCTGGTTCAGGCCCATCAGGTTGCGCTGCGAGTACGCCAGGTTCCCGATGAAGCCGGGGTTGCCGCCGCCGTCGCCGCCGGACGCGCTGATGCCGCCGCCGGCCGTGAGCCCGCCGGAGCGCCGCTCCACGACGTTCAGCGTGAGGTCCACCTGCGGCGCCCCCGGGCCGTTCGCCTCCGTCGTCGTCGGCACCATGCTGACGTCATCATACAGCCCCATTGAGTACACTGCAAAGGGGAGGGGGGGGTGTTTTGCATGCTGAGGGAAGAGACACGGAGCGAGCGAAGTCGAGTGCGGACAGCGCGTCTCCCTGGCGCACCGCACGGCCCCGCCGGGCGCTCGCACAGCCCCGCGCCGCTGCCGAGGGTCGTGCGGTCTCACCCGAGTCAATGTCGCGACGGGCCTGCTGCAGCGAGTAGATCTGGCCGGGTTTGGTCGTGACGTGCCGCATGATGATCTCCGGACGCGTGCGGCCCCGCACAGGCTCCCCGGAGCCCGCCTTTAGGAACCGCAGCCCCACTTTTCCCACCGCGACCTCCGCGATGCGCAGCTCCGCGACGCCGCGCACCATCTCCACGTCCGCGACCTGCCCGAACAGCCCGCGGTTCTCGTACCACCGGTTGATCACCTGGATCGCCCGCGAGAAGTCCGTGAAGTTGAGCGTGCGCCCGTACTGCCCCGCGAACGCGTCCTGGAGCACCTTGACCGGCAGCGCGTTCGCGCCCGACACCACGATGCCCTGCGAGCGCGTGCGGGCGGAGGGCGCGCGCTGAGGGCGCGCGCGGTCGCACGGCAGCGGGCGGGAGGCGCCGCGGGCGGCGCGCGCGTGCAGGGCGGTGCGGCCGCTTGCCTTGATCTCCGGGTTCGGCTGCACGACGAAGGTGATGCGGACGCCGTCGCGCGTGTCCTCGGCCTTGGGCTGGCACGACGAGAAGTACCCCATTTCGAACAAACGTTCGACGTCGTTGCGGATGTCGCGCTGCGTGTAGGCGAAGTTCGGGCGCGTCGCCAGCGCGGCCTCCGCGGCCTCCTTGAGCGCGCCGTCGACGCCCTGGATGTCCACCTGCGTCGGCGGAGCGGGCGCGAGCTTGTCGTGGGCGGATCTGGCGACCGCAGACGCTGGTGGGCCGGAAGCGAGCCTGTCGCGGGAGAAGAGGCGCGAAGCTGGGGGCCGCGTGGTGTTTCTGTGCGTGGTATGGCCGGGAGGCTGCATGGGGGCGGCTTGTGGGGCTGTGCGGTCGGGCATTGGGCGGGTTTGGTGGGAGACTTGCCTCACTGATTAAAATGCGCTCCTCTGTTTCCTTGGCATCCGCATCGGGTGCCGGGGCGGGGGCCTGGTCCTCCTTGCGTGTGGGCGGCGGCGGCGGCGGCGTCGGCGCCGCAGGCGGCTGTGCGGGGGCGGGGGCGCTGGCCGGAGGCGGCTGAGCAGGTGCGGGCCCGGGCGCGGCGCCCGCGGCCGGTGGCGCGGGCTCAGGGCTCGGCGTCGCTTGCTCGGACGGCCCTGCCTGCGCGGGCGCCGCGGGCGCCGGCTTCCCGGCCGTCTGCGCGCCGGGCGGGCTGCTCTGCGTCGGCTGTTTGGGCTCGCTGCTCTTCGGTGGCTCCTTCTGCGGGTCCGCGGCGCTGATTTCCGCGATTGGCTGCGCGGAGAAGCTGAACCTCATGGATCCATGCCCCGCAGATGCCGCGCCCGCGCTGATGGACGCCAGCGGCGCGGCCCAGCCCGCCGTGAAGGTCGCGTTTCGCTGCCCGGGTGGCCGACGACGCGCAAGGGAGTCCCGTGCGGGCCCGCTGCCGTTCGAGATCGCCCTCCGCGCCTCGCCCACCGCGTGGTGGAAGCTCCTGAGCCCGTCGGAGGCCAGGTTCTCCGCTGCCGAGCGCGCCTGGCGCAGCCAACGCAGCGGCCCAGGCTGGCCCTGAGGCGCCCCGTCCTGCGCCATCCTCGCTCCCGTCTCGCCGAAAACGCGCACACAAGCAGCAAGCACCGCTGCGCGCGACAGGGCCGGGCCTGCCCCCTTGTCCCCGGGCCGCTCCGGGCGACCCCTCCTAGGCAGTGCAACGCCTCCCGCAGTGACGCGCGGACGTCGCCTCCCCGCCGCAACCTCCCGGATCCTCCTCTCCTAGCTCAGAAGAGATGCCACGCTGGCCGGTCAGCGCCCAGCGGGGCCGCGGCCGGGTCGCAGGGCGCGGGGCCAGGATGGCATCCGAAACCCAGCGGGGTGCGATCGAGCGTTCCCGACGAAATGCGATCTGAATCACGGAGGATCGGCGTGTTTATGAAACAGGGAAGGCGTCGGCGTGTGATTTCGTCCGGGCAACGCGCTGGATTCGCGGCGCGGGGGGCGCTTGCTGCGGCGCCGCCAAACGCGCGGGGACGGGGCGACGCGGCGCGATCCTCGCGACGGCTGCGTCTCGCGCTGCTCCGAGTCGCCGTCGCGCAAACACACATTGGCATCGGCGACGCAGCGGCCGGGAAGGAGCCCGCATCGCCTCGGGTTGGGAGGCAAGTGGCGAGGCTCGCGGCGAGCGCCGGAGCAGGCGACGGGCCGGGCCGCACGGCTCACACCACGACGCGCAAGCGACACGCCGCCGGCGCCACTCGTCCAGCGAGGTGGAGGGCTCCGGCGCGTGCCGCCGCGCGAAAGCAGTGGCAACAGCTGGAGCGTGTGCGCGGGGCGCTCGACAGCGCAACGGTCCGCGCGACGCGCTGTCCGCGTGTGCGAGCACGGTGACGCCGGCGTGAGTGAGTCGCGCATCTTGTTGCAGTTCACAGAGGCCCATCAGCCGCAATTAGCTTAGGCCACCGAGCGAGCCTCCGGCGCGAGCGCCGAGCCCGGGCGCTGCACCAGGAAGCCGGCGCACTGCACCTGGCGGACGTTGTCGAAGCCCACCACGCGGATGTAGCAGCCCGGGAACAGCTTCTTGCAGTTGGCGATCTCGCGGATGACCTCCTGCGAGTCCGTGCAGCCGAACATGGGCAGCTTGTACATGGTCCAGTAGCGGTTGTCCTGGTACGTCACCGACGCACCCTCGGCGAAGCGGATGCAGTTCTCGTTGGACACGATGCCCTGGTCCTCCGAGGCGAACTCGATGCAGGGAACGAAGCCCGAGTTGGTCAGGTAGTCGATCTGGCGAGCGACCTCCTGGTCCGTCAGGGGCGGCAGGTACGACATCGTCTCGAAGAACTGGTTGTTGAAGGGGGTCCACACCTGCGCAGGACGCGACGCGGAGACGCGCGACGTCGTGAGTACGGGGCCCGGATAACGCACGCGCTCGGGCGACCGGCGCCAGCGGTCGACGGAGGCCTGAATCAGCGCCGGTGCCGCAAGAACCTTCGCGTTTGATACCAAGAGATGCAATCGCACGCGGGCGGGACGCGCCAGGGGCCGCAGCGCTGAGCCGCCGGACCCTGGGTCGCCTCCTTCAAGCAACAGCCCGCGCGTGCGGCGCGCAGCGCCTACTTCCGGCGCCGGGGCGCGCATTTCTGAAACGATCTGGTTCGGAGAAGGCGGGAAATCGCCAGCGCGAGCGTGGGTGCCCCCGCGTCGCGCTGTACGGGCCGCTCAAGGGCTTGGGGAGCAGAGGCGCGGCGGCCGCGCGCGATGGGGGCTCCCGGGGCGGCGCGGCGCGACAGATCGCGAGAGCAGGTACTGATGTGGCCGGGGAGGCGCGTCTCGACGGCGCGGGGCGCTCACCCGCATGGCCGAGGCCGAAGCCTTGGCGACGGGGGCCTTGACGGCGACCTTAGCGGTGGAGATCTGGGCGATGGCGGCCATTTTGACTGATTACCTCTGTGAACTGAGATGACCTCGGAGCGGCCGCGCGGCCGCCCTACGAGCCCCGGGCGCGGCGAAACCGGGCCTGGGGGCGTCGCCGTGTGTGTGGCAGACCGTACACGCTCCGCACGGGAGCCCCATGGCGGCAACGGCCGTCACGTACGCCCGCAATGTATCCGTCTTCCCCGTCATACCATCGCGTTCGGCCGTGATCGCCACGCGTCGCGCGCATCGGGGCCGATAGGGGGCATCTCCTGCGGCAGCGGACCACGGGCGGCAAGCAACGCAGATTTTACCGCCAATTGCGGGGAATTAATACCCCATTTCATCGGGAAACGCGCTCCGAGCGCCGTCGAGCGAGGTCTCACACGCCGCAGCGCGCTCCTTGTCCACACCTCTGCCGGCGGGGCACTCGGAGCGCCGCGTCCTGCCGCCGGGCGCGCTCGGACCCGCGCTGCCGCAATCTTGTGATCCAGCGCATCCCGTCCGCGCCGCGTTCCGCGCCTACAAACGCCTGCGAAAGCGCGCAAGAGCCAAAGACTTCCCAGCCATGCGAAACCCTCGGCCCTGGCAGCGCGCACACAGCCCGCGCGAACGGCCGCCGGACGCGCCACGTTTCCGCGCCCCCGGCGCGCCACTCGATCAGGAAGAGCTCTTCCAGCACCGAGCGCGCCTCGCCTCGCCCCGGTTACTCTCCGCCGGAGAGCCTGTCCAACCACCAAACAGGGTGCGGCGGAGCGCGACCTGGCCCGCGCGCGCGCCTGTGCGGCAGCCGTCTGCGCTTGTACGTATCTGCTGGCGGTCCCGGTGCCGTCGGCGCGGCCGGCGGAGGTCGAGGGGTGCGCGGGGCGGGGCGTTGGGCTTGCAACCTCCCGTATGGGGTCGGTCGCCGTTGAGGCCCGCCGCGGCTCCCAGCGGCGCTGCGCGCGGGCGCGGGCGGCACGGGCGGGCGCTCCTCGCCGCGGGAACGCGCGCCGCGCGGGCCCCGCGCGCCGCGAAACCCACCGACTTGGACTTGGACCAATAACCTCCGTTCCTCGAATCGAGATTCACATCTTCCCAGAGACTCGGCGCATCGCCGCGCAGGCGCCCTCCGGGCCGCCCGCGCGCCGCGGACGCCCGCCTACTCGTCCCCGAACAGCGCCGACCGCACGTTCGGCAGGTTCTGTTGCAGCACGATCTCGAGACGGTGGTCAAGCGTGTTGCTGCACACAATGCGCCCATCCTCCGACGTGACCGCCACGCCGCCCAGGCACGTCTTCGCGCCCTCCTCCTCTTTTCCTGCAAGCAGAGGAACGGTGTGCGCGGGCGCGTGTGCGGACGCGCGCACAGGTCACGCGCGACTGCGCGGGGGGCGCACGTTCGTTGTCGGTGGTTGCATAGGGAGGCCCGAGTGCGGGAGCGTTGCCGGCGCAGTGACGCGCGCGGGGGCATCATTCCTGCGCGCGTGCCATGCGTGCGGGTCGCGTGCGTGGGCGGCTGCGGCGCGGGGGGGTGTGGCACCTGTGGGGGGGGGTGGCAAGAACTTGGCCGTGTCGAGGGTCGCTGCCGGCGCCTCCTTGCCAACCGCCTTCTTGTACTCCGCGCGGGCGTTCTCGATCACCGCCTGCACGAGCCCCTGGTCCACCTGCAACAGACAAACACCCCAGCGCAGGCAGTCAGTCAGCGAGCCGCGGCGCCGCCGCCAGGGCGCCGAACGCGCCGAGATCGCGAGCAGGGAGAGGCATGATCGTGGCAGGCGAGGATCGGCGGGCGTCGGGTCGCACGCACCTCGCGGCACCGCACTTTGACGGACTTCTCCTCCATGTGCGTCATCGCCTGGGCAATGAGCCTGGTCAGGAGGGTCTTGTAGTCGGCCTGGCGGCGCGTGAGCGCGACGAGCTGGTTCCTGGCCTCGCTCGCCGTCGACTGGACCAGCGCGTGCTTGGCCTGCAGCATCTGCAGCCGCACTGCGTTGAGCTGCTGGGAGGCCTCGACTTTCTTCTTGGCCTCGAGCTGGTGCTGCTTGCGCGCGTACTCCTTGCGAATGCGAGCCTTCTCGGCCTCGACGAGCTGCGGAGCGGGGGGCGCAGGGAGGGCGTGGGCGGGCGCGAGGGTGCGGTGGCGGCGTAGGGGCGCGGGGGTGCCGCGGGGGGGGTCTCCGGGCGCGGGTCAGGCGCGCTGTTGCATGGGGATGAAATGGTGTCCGTGGAGGGAGCGAGGGGAGTGGGAAGGAAGGGCCCGGGGGGGTTGCTGGGCGCGCGAGAGCAGCGGGAAGCCTTCGGGCCAAGCGGCTGGGTGCCTGCTGGGGGATCGCGGCAGGTTCTCGCGCGGGAGGCATGCGAGAGCATGGATCCTCGCGCGAGGTTGCGCCGCGGTCGCCGCAGACCGCCGGACGCTGGTGCGGTGCGCACGAGGAGGCAGCGTCCCGCAGGCCGCCATCCTGCCGGAAAGCGCGCCGGAGCGCCTGGATTCCGGCCCTGGCGAGCACGTGGCTGTTGTCAGGATAGAGGCGGTGGCAGCCGTGGCAGCAGGAAGCGCAGCTGCCGGGCGCGCGAGGCAGGAGTGTGCAGAGGGTGGCATAGCGCTGCCCTGGGCCCGGCGGGGTGGGCAGGGGGCGTGGGGGGCGCCTCACCTGCAGCTTAGAGATGTTGAACTCCTCCTCGGCCTCGAATTGCAGCTCGTTCGCCTTCTCCTCTGCCTCCTGCTTGATGAAACGGATCATATGCGCGAGCTGCCGCTCGACCTCCCCACTGTCGAGCCCCATGCTGCTTCACCGAGTCCGACCTTTACCCTGAAGGAGAATTCCGCCCGCGAACCCTCGAACGACAGCTCGCTCCGGCCTCCACACGGGCCTGCCGCGACTCGTCTCTCGCTCCCGTTCCCGCTCGTGGGGTTTTTCAGCGTACGGTCGCGTCTACGATCAATGCGTGGTTTGGACTCGCCGATTGTGTCGATAGCACCACCGACTCGGCCCCGAAGAGGCCGCGAAGGACTCCTGAGGACTGAGTCCGACTCTGGGGCGTGTCAACACACCGTCGTCCCCCGGGAGAGCCTAGCCCTGCCAGCCGACATCGACGCCATGTCCAGCAGACCGCGGGCATAGCCGCGCACACGCGCTGCTGCGAACCGCGAGCTTCGCGAGAGGTTGCGTCATTCGATGTGTTAAGGCGACTCGCTCCCGGGCCCTGTGGAACAATAATGGACGGTGCGGTGCCAGAGCAGGAGGCCCTGGCGATGGGAATGTACATGGCCTGCGTGGCCTGGGGTGGCGCGATCGGCTTCGCGTGCTACGACGCGAACCGCAACTCAGCGGCCGTGTTCCAGGCCCCCGACGACCTGGCTGCGAGCACCGTCGACTGCACGCAGTCCGTCCAGCTCGTAAAACTCCACGTCTCCCCCGATCTCATCTGGACGAGCGCGGGCTCCTCGGACGCCCTTGTCGAGGCGCTCAAGTCGCCGTCTGTTGGTGCGGGCCCGATTACGTGCCCCGCAAGCCCGCGATGGACCCGCCCGCGCCGCGACACGCTGATAACAAGGCTGTAGTGCCGATCCGCGGCCCTGTCGCACGGGACTCGCAGTGAAAGAACGCAAAAAGTCAATGTGAGTAGTTTTTATTCGAGCAACACGCTTGGCTGCCGCACCGTTGCTTCGCTCGACACGACCCGCCCTTCCACGTTCCTGGGATCGTTCTCCGCAGATCGCGCGGAGTACGTCGTCAAGAGGGAGCGCCCCGGGATCTTCGGGAGGAAGGAGGTGCACGCGAAACTCATCTCGCTCGAATGCCAGGGCATGCCGCCCGGCCTCGTCGACGCCCGCCAGCGCTGGGCGTACCTGCGCACCCTCATCGACACGGACGCGGACCAGCAGCTCGCGGCCCTCGGCGGCCTCATCAGCATCCTCGAACGGGCAAGCGCCAACTGCACCCTGCGCCGCGCCGCGCGGCCTTACTCCGCGATGACGGCATCTTTCATAAATTGAAGCTCCGATTTCCGGGCTTTCGCCGCCTCTCTGCGCAGGAAAACGCCCTGGAGACGGAGAACGGTGTGCCGGTGCTGGCCCGCCTCTCGCAGCTGACGCCGGAGGGGTTCCTCGTCGTCGACCCGCAGACGCTGCATTCCCTCCAGATCTTCCAGTCGGAGCCCCCCCCCTCCCTCATGGGCATCGGCGTGGCCAAGGAGGGCTTCAGTGTGTTTGGGTGGCTCAACACCACCGTCACGCCGGTCGGGGCGCGGTGCCTGCGCAGCTGGATGGTCCGGCCTCTCGACAGCGTGGCGAGGATCGAGCGGCGCCTGGACCTCGTGGAGGCGCTCGCGCACGCGCGGGAGGCGCTGCGACCCAAGCTGAAGGGCTGCAAGGACGTCGTAGCCATCCTGCGGCGCCTGGAACGGTCCATGGGCGTCTACGAGAACAAAGACTTCTTCGTCCTGGCCAAGGCGCGCCCCGCGGGACGCTCCGGTTCGTGAACAGCATCGTCCCGCATGTGTTTATGTGTTACCGGTCGCCGAGCCCGGTGCCCGCAGGCGGTGTCGAGCATCCTCGAGGTGAAGCACGCGCTGCTGCACATCGCGAGCGAGACCCTGGCGGACCGGTCCGGGAGAACTCCGGCCGCCAGCCCCGCTGCGCCGAGCCCGTTCAGCCCGCCCGCCTCCAGGCCGCGCAACACCCCCGCCGCCCTGAGTCAGGGCAGCCCGGAGTGGGACTGGGACGTCCTTGACGGTGAGCAGCAGCGCGATAGAAGCGAAAGCCCCGGCCCACCGCCGACCTCGACTGCGCGCATCGCGTTGTACTTCTACGACGTTGTACTTCTACGACGTCATGACAACGAATCATGACGCAGCTCAGACCTCCGGGAAACGCGCGTGTGCGCTTGCGTGTCACCCGTGCAGCCTTGGCACGGCCTCCGCACGCCGTGCTTTCGCGCCGACGCGGGTTCCGGCCCTTTCCCGCGCGCAGAGACGTCGAGCGCGCCCTCGCTGCTGGAGGAGCTGGTCGATGCGCTGTCGTCCGACGCGCTCGCGCAGACCCACGCGCTGCTCCACACGATACTCAGCGAGGAGTACACGGACGGGGACGACTCGGTGATCGCCGACGGCGTCTGCGACGAGCTCGACGGGCTCAAGGTGCGCCTCTCGTCAAGAGGCAATGCCGACAGCGAGGCGGCGAGGCGGCGCCCCGCAGCGGAGGGCAGGCGCAGCAGGGATGCATGGGATCTGAGCCGAAGCGCCAGCGCGAGTTGTAGGTATCCGATCCGCTGAGTGTCTCTTGTGTTTCATACAACTTGGTGTCCGTGCTGCAGGGCTCTTACGGGATGCTCGGCGACGTGATGACGCGCGTCGCGGAGGCCGAGGTCCGTCGCGTGCCGGAGACGCTCGCGGCGCGTCGGTGCGCGGGCCAGGTGTGGACGTGCGAGTACTGTCCCGGGACTGGGTACCTGATGCGGGTGCGCGGCCCCATCCCCGGGCAGGACGTGCTCGATTACCTGCCGGACTGGCAGTTCGTCATGCAGGGGCCCGAGGAGGGCGGCAAGCCCTCGACGTTCTACTACACCGCCGGTGCGCCGCCGCAAAGCGCTAGTTGCAGCTTCAATTGAAAAGCCTAATTGACTGCAATGCAATTGCCAGCTCGAAAGCAACCGATTGCACCATGCCGGTGCTCGGGACCCGAGCGTTCCTGTCACCGTGCTGCGCGCATCTCGTGTGCTGCTGCGCAGCGTGCGCCGAGCTGGACGCGGAGTTCGGGGACGTCTTGAACAACATCCGTGACGTGGAGCGCGCGGTGCTGTCGGAGCTCGTCACGCGGCTGTCCACGGAGTCGCGCCCGGCGCTCGAAGCGTCCGCGGCGGCCGTCGGCGCTGTTGACGCAGCCCTGGCGCTCGCGTCCGCAGGTAGGCACGCGCGCCGCATCCCAACTGACAGCGCGACTGCAGCGACCTCGTGTCAACCACGCAGCGACTGTCGCGCCCGGCGTGGAGCCGCACGCGCGCTCATGGCGTCTGGCTCCGCGGTCGAGACTCCTGCAGCGCAGGCGCACAACCTCGTTCGTCCGGAGGTGGTCGAAGACCCTGTCCTGAAAATCACGAATGGGCGCCACCTGCTCTCTCAGATCGCCGTCGAGCAGCGCGGCGACCCGTTCGTCGCGAACGACTGCCACATGGACCACGCCGCAGGCCGCGTGCAGGTCGTCACCGGCCCGAATCAGTCCGGCAAGAGCGTGCACGTGCGCGGCTGCGCAATAATCGCGTATCTCGCGCACGTGGGATCGTTTGTGCCCGCTGACGCGGCCGTGGTCGGGCTCGCGGACCGCATCGCGGCGCAGACGCCGGCGCGCGTGGGCATGAACGCGAAGATCGGGTCCAGCTGGTTCCTGACTGACCTGACGCGGGTGGGGTCGATTCTGCGCGCGGCGACGCCGCGGAGCATCGTGGTGCTCGACGAGTTCGGAAAGGGCACGCTCGCCGGCGACGGCGCGGCGCTGCTCGCCGGGTGCATCCAGTACCTCGCCAGGGGCGTCGTTCCCGCTCCGCGCGCGTTCGTGGTCACGCACTTCCAGGAGCTCCTGAGTCAGGACGTGCTGCCGCGCACGCCGAGCATGGAGTTCCTGACGATGGCGTACCGCGTGGAGCAGGACCGCGGCGGTGCGTCGGGGGCCGGGGGGGATGTTTCTGGGTCATACCTGCCCGCGGAGGTCAAGTATCTGTTCAAGCTCGTGCCGGGGCATCTCGCGCCGTCGTACGGGATCCACTGCGCGCGGGTAAGGAGCTCGGCGTCGGCGTGCTGCCACGCAGATGCAGAGACGCAACAACCTGTCGTCGTTTCGGCAGTGAGGTTTTGCATTTACTTCGAGGAATCCTCGAGTCCCCCATCCCGCGCGTTGTGCATCGCGCGTGCGTGCAGGTGCACGGCATACCCGAGAAGATCGTCCAGCGCGCCGCGCAGATCGCGGCGTGCCTCGAGAGCGGCGCGCCCGTGCCTCCGCCCCAACACAAGTCACGTGTCCTGGAGCTGCGCGAGCAGAGCATGCGCGAGGCGAAGCAGATCGCCCGCACCTTCGACCGAGGTGCGTTGCCCCGTGTCTCGTCCAGGGAGCCCAGGCAGCGTGACAGCCGTCAGGAATACCACGAAAGACAAAAATATATGTCTTATCGAATCAAGATCGAGAAAGCAAGTGTTCTGGTCCACTGCACCGCAGAGCGCGACGACCCCGAGGTCGTCCGACAGCGCCTCATCGACTGCCTGACGATTCAGTACGACAGCGATGCTGACGAGGACCAGGATTCCCCCCCCACCCTGGTGCCCCAGCCGCTGCCAGCTGCCGCGAACGAAGCAGGCCCAACCTCCGACCACGCCACCCTGCGTCCTGTGGAGCAGACTGCGAGCCACGGAGGCGAAAGCGCGCCGCGCGACGGTGGCGCACCGCACACGCCAAACGCAATCGCCGCCGGAGACGGAGACGGGCCGACGCACAAGCGCGCCAAGACCGGGGCTGCCGCATCGAGCGGCACGGCCCGCGACCTCGGCCCCGTGCTCGACTTCCTGTAGGCTGCACATGCGACACGTCAGCGCCCAAACAACCAACACATGCCTCTGCGCATTGCGGGGCGTGGCGAGTATCCAAAGTGCCATGGCATCGCCACCACCTGTGCTCCAGCGGATCGGCCTGCTGTTACACGGCGTCACGCTTTCTTCTTCGCCTTGGTCTTCCTCGCCCCGCCGTCCGCCTGCGCCGCACCCGCCTTGCGCTTCGCGCCCCCTGCCGCCCTCGCCGCCGTCCGCCCCGCGCCCTTCGCCGCACCCGGGTCCCGCACAAAGACCACCTCGTGCTCGCCCGACGCCTCCGGGTCGTGCCGCCACTCCCCGTTCGCGCCGGTGAACGTTTCCAGCCCGGCGCGGTCGTTGATCTTGTTCTCGATGATGTGCCGCACCATCGCCCCGCGCGCCTGCTTCGCGTACACCGCCGGCCCTGGGAACACGCAGTGCACGAGCGGGTACTCCAGGTCGGCCACGCGCACCGACTTGAGATACTCTGCGCTGGCGCACGACACCACAAGTCGAGATTTGGGGTCTTTCTGCGCAGCCAAAGCCTTGTTTATCTCCTTGGCGTTCCGAGGGCCCCACAGCGCGTACAGATCCTTGCCTGCGAGCGGCGTGCGCGGATGGTCGGGCGCGTGAGTCGCGCAGGGCCACCACGTGTTTGCGAACGACATCACAGCAGGCAAGGAATGTGTGCGCACCGTGCGGGCCCGAGAGCTTCGTGCCCATCTCAAGGCGGTACGGCTTGATGGCATCGAGCGGCCGGAGGATGCCGTACAGGCCGCTGAGGATCCGCAGGTGCTCCTGGGCGTAGCGCAGGTCCTCGGGGGAGAGCGTCCTGGCGCGCAGACCCTTGTACGCCTCCCCGTCGAACAGCAACGCGCACTGCATCTCCTTCTGGTCCTCCCAGCCGGCGTAGCGCTCGTGGTTGAGCGCCGCGAGGTTGTCGGAGATGCCCAGAGTGGACCGCAAGTCCTGCTTGCTCATCTCCTTCAACTGGGCCACGAGCTTGGCTGTCTCGGCGGGAAAGGGAATGCTCGACTTCTCCTGCACGTTGACGACAGTTGAACGAAGAGGGTAGCGGTGGGTGAGGCAGCTGCACCGCTGCCAGGACTGGCAACGGTGCGACGCTCGCGGCGGCAAGTCGCGCGGTGATTTCGGTGCCCGAGCGGACCGTGAAGTCTGGATCACTCTGGTCGACCGTCTTGGCCGGACTGAGCAGGACGATCATCGTCCACGCGCGCGGTTGCCTGGCCTCGGCCCTCTCTCCGGCACACCCAGATCGCTACCAGCCCGCAACCCGCGTCCGCGACATCTCGAACGTCTTCGTCCGGGCCCACTGGCACTGCCGTGAGTCCGGCGTCCTCCTACGACGCGCGGCGCTACCCGACAACCGCTGTCAGGAACATGACTTGTACTCTAGTCATAAGTTGTCGATGTCAGGCGCGCATGACTCAGGCCTGTGGTGACGGGCGGCTCCTCGTTGCCCCGGGGCGCCGGACAGCATCGCAGCGCACCCTGCCGTCCAAACTCGTTTCGACCCCCTCGCGGTTCGATAGAAGCGAAGGGCGCGGGCAGCGCGGCCGTGCCCGTGTCGCACTGCGGACGTTTCAGGCCCAGCGTGTCTCCTTCCCGCGCACGTCTCGTCGCGTATCGTGATTATCTGTCCACGTGCGCTGGTAGACCCAAAAGAAGGGCTGCAATTGCGAGCCTCACGGCTCGAGTGGGCCATGGGCCTGTACCGGAGCTGCGCCGCGGCCGCGTCGCGCGCGCTGCCGTGGCTCTCCGACGCGATCGATCCCGTCCTGAAGCGGCAGCACCTCTCCCGCATCGCCCCGTCCGCGGCAGCCCGCGATTTCGGCGCGGCACACCCGCCTGGTGGCCGGCCGCGCACTGGGGCCGTTGCCCCGCACGGAACGCGCATGGCGTCCGCCACCGCGAGCCCCGCGGGCGACGCGGAAGATATCCCCGTCGTCATTGCTGGCGCCGGACCCACCGGCCTCGCGCTGTCCGGCCTCCTGTCGGGCTACGGGGTGCCGTCCGTTGTCCTGGAGGCCAAACAAGCACCCTCGACGCACCCCGCGGCGCACTTCGTGAACAACCGCACCATGGAGGTCCTGCGCCACATGCGGGGCCTCGACGCGGCCGTCGCGGCCGAGTCCCCGCCACTCGAGCAGTGGCGGCGTTTCATATATTGCGAAACCATGTCTGACGAGCCCCTGGCAACCGTCGATCACTTCGCCGGCGCGCCCCCGGACGGCCGCGTCGGCGCGCCGGCCCCGGGAGCGCCGCGCGAGTCCGACGCGTCCGCCAGCCCCGTCGCCCCGGCCCACCTGAGTCAGCCACGGCTGGTAGAGCTCCTGGCGCAGCACGCCACCGCCGTCGGCGGGCCCGACGCCGTGCGCCGCGGCTGGCGCGTCCTCGACGTCCGCGCCGCCCAGGACGTCCCCGCGGACGCCGACCGCGAGGACGAGCCGCCCGCCGACGCGAAGGACCTCCACGCCGGCCACGTGCACGCCTCACTGGGCATCGCGGCGCTCACCGGAGTGGACGCCGGGATCGCGGGGCCGTGGGACGCGCCGCCGGAGGGCAGGGCGGGGCCTGGGCCGCTGCTCGAGGTCGAGGCTGCGCGGCAGGGCGCGGGGGGGGTCGAGGAGCGGCGTGTGTTCCGGTGTCGGTACCTTGTGGGCGCGGACGGGGCGCACAGCACGGTGCGCGGGCTGGCCGGGATCCAGATGGTCGGCGAGCCGGCGCTGCAGCACCTGATCAGCGCGCACGTCGTGTCGCGGGAGCTCGCGGACGCCGCGCTGACGTCAGGGAGGACTGCGATGTTGTACTTCGTTTACGGCCCCGCGGCGATCGCGGTGCTCATCGCGCACGACCTGCGGCGCGGGGAGTTCGTCGTGCAGATACCGTACTTCCCTCCGCACCAGACGCCCGAGCGGAACTTCACGACGGAGAGGGTTGCGGCCGTGGTACGGGCAGCGGCGGGCGCGCAGCTGACCGACCTCGAGGTGCTGGACGTGCGGCCGTGGACGATGTCGGCGGAGGTGGCGGAGACGTACCGCGCGGGGCACATCGTCCTCGCGGGCGACGCCGCGCACCGCTTCCCGCCGGCCGGGGGCTTCGGAATGAACACGGGCGTCCAGGCGAGTGCTTGCAGCCACACTTGATCGATTGCGTGAGCTCCGGCGCCTTTGCATGGCCGTGGAGACCCGGAACGTATCCTCGCTTGATACATCGCGCCGATGTGCGTCGCGTGTGCTCTCGAGGCCGCCCCCAAGATCAGCTACGCATTCGCGCACCGACATGCGTGTTTCGCCATCGATGCCGCAACCGCAGGACGCGCACGCGCTGGCGTGGCGCCTCGCAGCGATCCTCCACCACGGCGCACCCGCGAGCGCCCTCCTGGACGCGTACGTCGTCGAGCGGCGCGCCATCGGCCGTGCCAACTGCGATCTCTCGGTTGCCAACTGGCAGGGCGCGGCGCGCGTCCCCGCCGCGCTCGGACTGGACCCGCGGGCCGCGTCCTTCGTCAGCGGCGCGCTCGAGTCCGCCTCGAAGAACCTCGGGCTCCCCTCGTTCCTGACGTCGGGCGCCCTCAGCGCAGCGCTGTCAGTCGGGCAGGCCTTCTCCGGCACACGTGGGCCCCTCGGGCCGGCGCGCCGCGCCGCGCTCTCCCGCGCCCTCGGCCCTGAGACCTCGCTGCGGCTGCAGTTCCCCGAGCACGACCTCGGCTACACGTACGGGCGAGGGGGCTGGCCCGCCGTCCACGAGGGGCGGCACAAGCGCGGCGGCGGCGGCGGCGCGCCGTGGGTGCAGGAGGTGTGCATGGGCGGACGGATGCCGCACGTCGCGATCGAGCGCCGCGGCGCGGAGGGAAGCATCACAGAGATGTCGACCCTCGATTTGGTGCGCAACGACAAACCAGTGGCGCTCGTGTTGTGCCGCGGCGGGTGCGCGTGGGACGAGGCGGTGGCGTCGGAGTGCGCGGCGGTGAAGGCGGGCCCGCTGAAGGGGCTCGTGGAGGCGGTGGTGGTCGAGAGTGGGGAGGGGGAGTCTCGCGCAGCGGAGTCAGGGGTGGCGGAGCGCGTGCGCGACGTCGCGGCGCGCTGGCCGGGGCTGCCGGGCTGCGTCGGGCCCGTGGTCGTGCGGCCGGACGGGCACGTGTCGGCGGTGCTGCGGGAGCCGCTCGGGTGGTCGACGTCCCGCGCCGGCGTCAACATGGGCATTGCGTCGGGCGAGGCGGCGGTGCTACGCGCTGCGGCGCACGCGCTCGGCCTGGAGGCCGTGTACGCGGCTGCGTCGTAGGCACGTGCGCGGGGCACGTGGCCCGCTTAGTCTGTGACGAAAAACGACTCCGCAGTTGGCATTCGATGTTCGCGGATGAATCTGACAGCCTCGACTGCGTGCTGCCCTACCAACCGTAGTACGTACGCCCCCCCCCCCTTCCCCTCCTCCTCGCACGGTGAGAAGAGCACCGTCGTGCGGCGTTGCGGCCGCTACGTGTCGTTTGCCGCTGCCGCTCCGCCGTCGCCCTTGGGGAGGCGGGCGTGGGCGGCCGTCAGGACCTCGCGCTGCCTCTGCACCGTCGCGCGCCGGTGCCGCTCGACCATGTCCGACACGTCGACGTTCCCCGGAAGATGCACGAACTTGACAGTCCTCCCCTGCAACCAAAGAACACAACGACTAGCAACTGACACAACATCGGCGCGAAACCCGCAGGGATCGCCGACGCAACGATGGGCATGGCCAGGAGGCGGTAGGTGCCACGCAGTGTGGTTGCGGCCGGGGCTGCTGCGGTGGGTGGGGTTGCGGCGCGTGCCTTGACATACAGCATGGAAAGTGAGCGACCGCGAGCGTCTCGGCCCTGGCTTGGATCGCGGACCTCGACGTCCTCGAGAGTCATGCTCATGTCTTCCTCGACTTGCGTCAGGAGGCCCTGCAGGTGCGTGGGAGTCGACAAGCGAGCGATGATGATCACCAGGGGCTTCGTTGCTTCATTATGGGAGCATGCGGGAAACAAAAGGCTCACCGTCACTGTGGATCCGTTTTTGAGTTCGATTACGAGCCGGTTATGTGACAGTGCTTGCAATACGCACACTAGTGTGCGCTCGGCGGCCTTGAACGACCTCGGAGGCATCACTGGCCCACGCGCCGTCCCAGGCCTGAACCAGGCCGTGACTCACGCCATCTCGGCTCCTCTCCGCATCTCGTCGCGCGAGACGACCGCAAAAACCGTGACACGGCACCCTGCACGCCTCGAACGCACTAGAAAATTGCGGGGCGATCTGTCCCGCTCTCCTGTCGCCGAATCCGAACATGAATGCCCGTAGCACCGTGCAGGCGCCCGCCTTCACACTGCGGCAAAGGCAGGCCGTCGCGGGGGGGACCTCTTTGGCCCCTGGGGGCGTCAACCGACAGATCCCCCTCTACAGACCAGCAGCTGGTTGCGTCGTCGCAAGAGCTTCAACGGCCATTTCTGAGCCCTGCAGCCCCTCGCAAAAGCAGGCTGGTATTCGATCAGTCGTATTCGTACGACGAGAGCGCGCGCAGAGGCGTTCGCTCGGACACGATGTGGACCAGCAGCAGCGGCCGCGCCCTGGCGCTCGTCGCGCTTGTGTCGCTCCTCGCCGGCGCAGCGGCGAGCACGCGCTGGGACGGTCGCGCAGTGGACGCCGAGACGAGCGCGCAGGGCCAGCCAGGCGTCGGCGCGCCGGCCTCGGAGACCGCGACTGGCGAGGCGGTGGGCGCGGAGCCCGGCCTGGCGTTGCCGTATCCGGGGTCGAACTGCGTGGGGACGGTTTCGATCATGGGTCAGGTACAGTAGCGGAGCCGTTTCCTTCACGCGCTGAAGCACGCGTTGCAGGACGCAGCATTGCAGTTGGGCCCTGTTTGTCGTTCTCACCTCTTCCGCTGCCCCGCTTCAAGGCCACGACGCGGCGCTGTCCGTCGCCTCGGGCTCGCCGTATCCGTCCCGCCAGCAAGCACGGTGTGGATCTTCGCGCAAGCGGCCTCCAGCGGTCACGAAACGTGACACGTGTTTGTTCCACGATCGGTGCGCAGGCGGACGAGCAGGAAGCGAGGGACGAGGCGAACGTGCAGCTCGCGGTGCAGGTTCAGCGGGAGACGTCGCAGGAGGCCCGCGAGGACGCTGCGACGACCGTCCAGAAGGTGCGCTCGCAGACACCACATCATATCTGTCCGCTCCGCGACTTCCAACAACAACAGATCGGCGCGACGGGCTCCCGTCATCACGCCCACTCACTGAAACGGCCCGCCGCGGGCAGCCCACCGCTCCGCGCTGACCCCTCCCCAACACGACCCCCCTCTTTCACCTGCGCTTCGCGGCCACGAGGCGGTTCCACCCGCCCGGTCCCCGCAGGTCCACGAGGCCGTCCTGGCGATCGAGGGCCTCCAGCAGCGGGACCTGACGCAGAACTTCGTCAACGTGTACCCGCACTACGAGAGCGTGCGCGTGCGGGGGGAGAACAACTACAAACAGGTGATTGCGGGGTACGTCGTGCACAACAGCTTCACGGTCAAGGTGAAGGACGTCGACACCGCGGACGGCAACGCCGTCCTGAGCAAGGTTGTCGACGCGGCACTGACAGCGGGCGGGGATGACGTCAGGGTCAACCACGTGGGCTTCGGCCTCAGCCGCGGCCGTAGACGGAGCGTCGAGGGCCGCGTCCGTGCGCTGGCGGCCAAGGACGCGCGCAGGAAGGCCCGGGCGTACGCGGAGGAGCTCGACACCACCGTCGGCCGCGTGCTCAAGATTTCCGAGTGGATGCCCGGCGACACGGGTCCGGCGCCGCGCATGGACGTGGCCCCGAAGATGGCCATGGCGCGCGCGGGCGGGCCGGAGATGGCCATGGCGGACGAGGCGTTCGTTGATACGCCGCTGGCGGGGGTGCGGGCCCACTGCTGCTGTTCACGCTGAGTGCGTCGCCGCGGCGGACGGCCGAGCGAGGTTGTTCCTGCCATCTCTCGGGATGCGCTGCGCCGGCGCGGCGGCAGGCGAGGCAGCCAGTGGCACGCGCGCGTGCGACAGGCGCGTGTCTGCTCCCCTGTGCCTTGCAGGGCGGCGAGGAGACCGTGGCGGCGAACGTGTTTGTCGTGTTCGAGCTTTGCGAGGCCGACGAGTGAGAAACCGCTCCGCGAAACGCCGGAAGTTGGAGGTTGGGGATCAGCTGCGCTGTGCACCTTGCTGTCTGGCAGCGGGGCATCCTGGAAGAGCACGGGCGTCAGTCGACGTGCGCACGCGTCGCGGCATAGCGACGCGCTGACGCAGGGCAGGGCAGCCCGCGGCCGTGAGCTGAAGTCGCTCTCACAGTGCGTACTGTGACTCAGCGCGGCGCGTCTCTGAAGACGCGCCCGTCTACTCTCCGGCCGCTGAGCGGCGTCTCCGGTCTTCTGGGATCGCTGCGTGTCCAGCTCGCGACACGAAAGGCCTAGTGTCTCTTTGAAACGCCTGATGCAGCCCTGTTGTACAGCAGGGCCCGGGGGGCTCAAGGGCTCACTTCCGGTGGTAGGGGGGGGAGCGGCGCAGGGTAGGGTGGGGATGGGGAGACAAAAAGGAGTCATGTGATGATGCGAGTGCTCCACGTTCGGGTGCGTGGCGACTGCGATGGGGTGCCATGTGGTACGAAGCTGCATGATGCCGGTGGCCGCTCCAGTGCGGGGCACGCCCTGGTGCTTGCTGGAGATCTCGGCCGCATTGCCTGCTAATGCACTGCCCGTGGCGTGACATTCCGCGATGTCCGAGATGGTCAAGAGGCCCTGCACTCGCGGCAGAACGGAACGGGGAGGCTGGTGCTTAGCCCGTGATAGTGAACGCGATGGCGGGCGTGGCACAGAGAGCTTGACTCCGTCGCTGCGCGGAGGCGCAGAGCGCGACGACTGCGCGGTTCCGTCCAGGGCCGCACCTGGAGGGGGCGCGAGGGGACACTCGCAGGCCTCGTGTTTGGCGAGGTTCGTCGGTGCCTCGCTAGACGGCGATCGCTCCCATGGCCACGTTGCGGGTGTCCTGGTCGACGACCTGAGTGGCCCAGCGCCCGCCCCGGCCGTCGTCCAGGTCGTCGAGGAAGTCGTCGTCCAGGAGGCCGGCGTCGGCATGGCCGCTGTTCATCACGTTGCTGCGCGACATCGATTCGATGGCGCGCTGCGGCAGAGTCGGCCGCAGCGACACGGCGTCCGTCACGTTGGTGACGCCCGCCATGCTGGCGCGCGCCTGCGCCTTCTCCGCGAACTCCTCCTTCATCGCGAGCACGCCCATCGCGACTTGGCTCTTCCCTGACCGCAGGTCCATCGACTTGCTCGACACCGCCGACGTCTTCCCCGCCAGATCCTTCCTGCTCTTGTTGCGGCCGCCGCCGCCCTTGCGCTTCCTGGCCTCCGCGAGCAGCTCCTCGTGCGTCTTCACGCCGCTCACGGCCCTCGCGACGCCGTCCCCGTCCTCGTCCGTGGGGTCCACCCCGGGTCGGCGGCCCATGCGCCTGTCGTAGGCCTCCACCTCCTGCTGATGCGCCTCCGCGATCGACGTGTTGAGGTTCACGCGCTTCGAGCGCGGCGAGGGGGCCGCGAAGTTCTCGGACCGGCGCCCCGAGCTGCGGCGGCCCTCGGAGGTGCGGCCTCTGCCCGACACTTGCGTCGTCAGGTGGCGCTGACGGTTCTTGTTCATCATCGCCTTGCGCGCCAACGCGTCCTTGGCTTGCTGCACGTCGCAGAGGCGGAACGGCGCGCGCCGTGGGCTCGCGCGGCCAGGGGCGCGGCGCAGGCTCGTCGCAACTGCTGCTCGACGTACGTAGTGGGTGCGCGGGCTTGGCATGGCGCGGTGCGCCGCTGGCTTGAGGAGGACGGGTCACGCGGGCGACGGGCTGCGAGGCGCTCACCGGTGTCTGAAACTCGTGTTCGATGACGTCGCCCAGCCGCACGGACTTGCGGCTTTGCCGCTGGGGGCTGGCGCCGGCGCTGCCGGCGCCTTCCAGGAACATCTCAGCCGTGCTGTTCTTGCTGACGTGCGCCATGAATCTGTCGCTCGCGGTGGTCTTCGGGGACAGTCCCCGCGCAGACGCGTTGCTGCTCCCCTGCGACGCCCGCGGCTCCGGTGCTACCGTCGCGCCCCCCACAACCTCCTGCGCACCAACGGCGGCGGGCTCGCTCAGTTGCCGTGTGGCCGGAGGGTAGCACGGGAGAGGGGTCCGCGGGCGCGCCGAGGCCCTCGTGGCGTGAGGCGCGAACTGCGCTCACTGCCAGGGAAGCTGATCCCTAGGATCGCGTCAGGGGGGGCTGTCGCGGACCCGCGGCGCTTTCTGGGGGGCGGATACGCACGACGACGTGCATGGTTCGTCTGTAAGGGCAAACGGCTAGGTTCAAGATGCGCCCGGAGTGCTGCCGCGCCCCTGAGTGCCCCTGCTCTGTGAGGGCCCCGGGGCGCTCGACGTGGAGCTTCGAGAGCGGACACTGCGGCGTTCCGCGCGTCGAATAGAACAGGAACCGGCCCCCTGGAGGTCGAGCCAAGTTGTGCACCCCACAGCGATTGCGGACCCGAGTGGCAGGGGGACGCCCAGTCGTTGGCTGGGCGCCGAGGGCGGGCCGAAGCTGCCGCTCGAGCCCTTGGCAGAATAGCTCGTTAGTTCACGGCGAGCAGCTGCGCTCGCGCTTGGCCCACGCCCCCCAGCAAGGGCGGGGTCAAAGCGCTACGATGCGGGGAACTAGTTGGGCGGCTGGCCGCGTGAGGGGGGAAGTTACGACGCAGCTCCGGCGGAGGGGACGGACCATCTTCGAGGAGCACGCCCCCATCGTTGCAGACGCCGCACCGCGCCTCAACGGCCCGGCTGCCCCGAGGCGACGGGCTCCACTCGAAGGTCGACGGAGAGGCGGGGCGTGAACGTGGCTGGTTCTCACCTACCCACACAGGGTCCATGCGAGTTCAGGGACTGCACGCGGCCGCGAGGCATTGCACGCGGCCTCCGTGCGCCGTGCCGGGCGACTCCCCTGCTTACGTGAGCTCGGTCACAGAAGCCGACGCGCCGGGGCGTTTGGAATCGACCGCGACATCGGACACGCATCATATCCGGCCAGCGAACGCGCCGCCGCACCGGTGCGTGCGGTGGCCCAGGTTGCGGGAAAAGCGTAAGGCCCATGATACCTGTTGTGTGGCCCAGCGTCCCCCGCCCTTCCGCGACGTCTTGCACACCGCGCCGACCGAACCAGCAGCCCACTTCACGGCCCCGCTCTCAGGGCCACAAAAGGTACGTTCGGACCGCCGCCGCCCGCTCCAGCGCCAACCAGCCACACTGTGCAGAGTCGATCGCCGCTCGCGGGGACGCGGGCGCGGGGGCGTCCGCACGCCGCTCAGGGACGGCCGTGCTAGTACGAAGACGGCCCGTACGCGCCCACGGGCATCTTGGCGGCGTGCACTTCGTCGTGCGCCAGCGACGCTACGAGCGCCAGGAACGCCGCGTCGGCCCCCGCCGGCACCGCGACGAAGCTCCTGCACGCACCAGCCCCCGCAGCAGGTCTCGCCACACGCGCACGCCGCGCCGCAACGCCCGCACAGGTCCCTTGCGCACGTGGAACGACAACGACAACAACAACGTCTTTGTTTGCGTTGTTGTGTATCTGCGCACCTGGCGTGGTGAAACGGGTTGCCGCTCGCGACGACGAACCCGATCTTCCGCGGCGCGCCCGCGCCATCGATCCGCAGAATGTCCGCGGCGCCGGTCCACTTGAGCTTGACGCGGATGACTTCCTTCCCCGTTGCTTTGTCATACACGTACAAACAGTCCTTGCTCAGCGGGCCGTTGTATGAGATGCCCTTGGGGGACGTGACGTGGAAGCGCCGCCCCGTGCGGACGTCCTCGATCTCCTCCTCCGCGCCCGCAACTGCCTTTTGCGCACGCAGGAACACCACCTTGCCTTTGCCCTTCCCGCTCTGCGCAACGGACGGCGCTCGACGTGCGGTTCGAAATCGAGGTCGTGGGCAGCCTGCTGCTGCGGGTGTGCGGGCAGCGGGGCGAGGGACGAGCGTGCGGTGTGTGAGGACGAGCGTGCGGTGTGTGTGGTCGGTGAGGAGGCGTGCGGCGACCTGCGGGGCGACGGACCTCGAGCGTGTACGTGTACGTGTCGAGCTTGGCGGTGCCGAAGTTGTCGATCACGTACGACATGCTCGGCCCCGCTGCGTCCACGGGCTGAATGATGGTTTTGCCTCTGAGCTTCTTGTAGTCGATCAAGAACGCGGTCGGCCGCGACGCGACGTGCGATGGGTCCAGCACGATCTCCGCGTCGTCGATGCGCTCGGCCTCGAGGCCGCCGAGCGCCTTGGACGCAGATGCCCCCATTGTTCCGCCGCGCGTCTGTTGCACCTGTCCCGGCGCTCAGGATGCGTCCGCAGCGGAGCGAGACGAGCGCGGCGAGATGCTCAGAGCGTCGACGCGCCGAGGAGATCGAGATCTGCGTGGCATCGGGGCAGCGTGCTGCGTCGATCACCGCCCTGTGCTGGCCCGGATGCCTTGACGGCGCGCGGCCGGCAGCGATCTGCGGAATCTCGCGTCCGGAGGATCCAGTACGGCGGTCACGTGGCCGTCCATGCGCGCAAGTGGCTCGCAACGACGGGTTCGCGCGCCGACCGCTCGGACGCGGCCATGAGGGGCAGCGGGTGGCAACCTCCGCGGGGGGACGTTCGGGGAGTGCGCGCACTCACGTGCTGAGAGCGAATCGTAGCTGCTCCGCCAGACCGCTCACTGCGGAGTTTCGGGCGGTTCTCCGCGTCCCGCGCCGTCACGCGGACGCGTCACGCGGTGTGCTAAGCTGAGCGCCCGAGTCGTGTCGACGTCGGAACTGGGACGATGAGGGGCTGTTGGGCACGCGAACCAGACCTTGACCTCTGTGTCTACACGCAGCTGTGCGCACGGGCGCCACAAGTGAGCCCTGACGGGCTCGCGTGCGCGCCCGACTGCGGAGGCCTCCTGGACTTAGTCGCCCCTGCTTGCGTCAGGTCCGGTTTCACCGGAAGGCGCGACATCGGCTCGCGTCCGGGCCGCGGAGACGCAGCTGGTGTGACGGTGCGACCGTGCGACGAACATCCAAGTCGCCGTGGCACGCACCCTGTTGATACGTGTGCACCAGACGTGCGCGTTCGTGGCTGTGAGCGCGTCATTTGGCAGCCACGGCGCCTTGGAGCCACACGCGTAGGTTCGGGCTGCTTTGAGTCTCGTTGCGCGCCGGAGGCGGTCGCGCAGAGGCGGCAGGAAGGAGGCAGCAGGGTGAGGTAGGTACAGCGATGGGCAAGTCGAGCAAGCGCAACCGCTCCGCGCGGTCCTCCGCGAAGTCGAAGTCGCGTGGGTCCTCGGGTCCCACGAAGCAGTATAAGTCTCTCATGGCGGACGACCCGGTCGCGGAGTCAGCGAGCAATGGTGCAACCGGCGCCGTGGGAGGGCCAGATGGGGGTGTTCACGCCGCGGCCGGATCGTCCAAGGGTGAATCCTCTCCAGGTCCGTCGGTTTCATAACGAATCCGATCCGTTTTCGCCCCAGCGCGCGCGGGGCAGCGCGAAACAGACGCGCCGTGCCCATCCGACCCCCGTCCTCCGCGCGAAGGAGGGCATTTGTCCCGCCGCGTGCATATTCTCGTGCATCCACGCAAGGAAGATGCGATCCGAATCGACACAAGCGACCGGACTCTTCTGCGCGCTCCGACTCATTCGCCCTGCTGTGTTCCACTGTTGCTTCCACCGCCCCCAGCCGGCACCGGCGCCCGCTGCGCCACAGCTCCGTCCCACGGCCCGTCCTCATCGCAGACATCTCGCGCGTCTTCGTGGTTCGCGCCATCGTCAAAGCCTCGGGCACCCACAGACCCACCGTCATCCTGGCTGGTACGCTCACCGCAGCCTGACCGCCCCGCGAACCACCCAGCCCACGCGCCCCCGCTCCCCGCCCAGCGGCTCCGCGAAGCCGAGCGCCGCAACGCCACCGTGCACGCCGCGCTCCCGCGACGCAGGCGATCTCGTGTCGCTGACGGGACCGGACATCTCCGCCGCCGCCAGCACCGACCCTGCGGTGGTGCGCCCGCTCTTCCTGGGATTCCACAACGACGACGCGGAGCCCGGCGCGGACGGGTCGTCGGCGGAGTCCGCGTCCGCGCGCGTCCTGGGGTCGGACCTGCAACTGACGTTGCGATACGAGCCGCCGAGCGCGCAGTTCAGCCGGCACGCCGAGGGCAAGTCGTCCTACAGGTGCGCAACGGCTCCTGCGCGCGCGCACGCCTGGCGGCAGCCGCGAGCGCGCCAGCGACGGCGAGGGCTGGAGCGTATGTCTGGTGGGTCGGTTGCGTGCAGGGTGACGCTCTCGGCGGGCGGGGCGGCGCCAGGGGAGTTCCTGGGGGCGTTCCGGGGCCTCGAGAGCACGCTGCGCAAGGACGAGAAAGGCGGGCTGGTGCTGTGGGGGGGTCTCCATCTTTTACTCCCCTCCTCGGAGCAGGTCGCGACGCTGTCTGACGCACTGAAGCACGTGGAGGTGCAGAGCGCGGACCTCTCGGCGTGGGGGCGGGTGTGTGCGTCGGCGCAGGAGGCTGCGCGGTGCGCGACGGAGTCGGCAGGAGACACCCCCGCTGCTTCGTGGACACACCCCCCCCCGCAAAGCTCGGCGAGCACGATCCCGGAGAAGGTCCCCGCGACGCGGACGTGGACCGAGTGGGCAAAGGGCTGGCAGGAGTGGATGCGGACGCCGGCGGGCGCGGCAGCGACCGCTGCGGGCGCAGTCATTGCCGTGGCCGGTGCGTCGGCCGTGGTTGCGCATGTTGTCGGGGCGAGGGCGCGCCGGGCGGGCTGAGGCTGTTGGTGGGCTGTTGGGTGTTGGACCGCGGAGGGGCCGGCGGCGAGCATGAGCGTTCGCCGCTCTTTCGGCGCCCTGCTGTTTGTAAGACATGCAGAGGCGATTCCTCGCTGCTGCGGGCGTGTTTCCGCAGCCTGGCGCCGAAAACTCGAACGACTGCGAGACGCCATCGCGTGCGCGCCTGCAATCCGTCCGAACCTCCATCGTGGCGAAGCTGTGTTGTGCGCGGAACTCAATACACGAGGCGAGACTCAATGCATGAGCCCGTGCCTGCTGTCGAAGACCTCAGCTGCACCACGCATCCCGGTCGCTTCCCAGCTCGGTGCGCAGCCTCGCGACTCCGCTCGTCGGCTCGCATCGAAGGAAGTCTCTGGCAGTCGCGAAAGAAAGATCAAAGTGAAACGGTTTCCCCTGTCTTCGATCACCCCTGTCACCCACTCGTTCCGAACGGCCGCACAGCGAATGAGAGGGTCTCACAAGCTCGTCGTTGCCCACTTCCAACCATTTGCATGTGACTCCCCCCCGCGCAAGCGCACACACATGCACACTGCACGCTCCAGGTCGACCCTCGCCGCGACACGACGCCACGCACGCCTGGGGACCACCGATCCCTCCGCGCGTCGCGTCGCGGCAGCGGGTGCGACACGGAGCCCGGAAACGTCGTCGTCGCAGCTCAGCTCATCCTCGCGCAAGGCAAACCTGCAAAAGCGGCATTCGGCGTCAGGCCTTGCGCCGACGCTTCGGCCCTCGCTGGCCCTCGTCTTCGCCCCGGCCGTTGTCGACGGCGATGCGCCCGGAGACGCCGCCCCACTTCTCGAAGTCGACGCACAGCCCCGTCAGGAAATCCGCACTCCCCCCCTCCTCGCGCAGGTAATTGTCCCCCCTGCGCTTCTTGCCCTGGTCCCACTGCCGACCCACCTCGTCCACCGCGGCCTTGACGTCCTGCGCCGCGAGCGGCAAGTCCACGGTGTGCACCACCGGCTGCTGCGCGCCCGCCACGCCCCGCACCTCCCCAAACCGCCACACCAATCGGCCCGCGCTGCTGCGGCCCGACGAGGCGCGCCGCTCGCCGACGAGCTGGTGCAGGACGGAGATCTGGCCGGGGCGCTGAATCAGCTTCTTGGACGCGTTCTTGCCGGCGGCGAAGGCCCCGGGGGGGGTCAGTGTTGCGGCGCGCTCCTTGGGCAGCCGCTTGGCTCCCCGGGGGGTGTGGTTGAGCCAGATGTTCGCGAGAAAGGTGACGCGCTCTTCTCCGGCCTTGGGAGACACGGCGCCCGCAAGCTCCGGCGCGGCGCCGTGCAGATATCTGCAAACACACACGAAAGATTGAAGATTAGATATGACGCTTGTTTTGCATCAAATATGTCACGTGAGGTTGCGGCACGCAGGGCATGGGCTCTCAGGGCCCGGAGGTGTCGCTGGACGGCAGGCCCTTCGCGGCGTGTTGGGGCAAAGACGACCATGCACGAGCGAGAGCACAACAACCACACACCGAGGTTTGTTGCGCCCTCTTTTGGCCCCTATGACGCCCCGTGCGGGTCGGCGGCGCAGCAACCACGCCGCACACCTGCCATCGAAGCACATGTGCTTCCCGACGCTCGGCCAGCTGATCCACGCCCGCTTGGCCGACCCCTGGCACGAGGACTCGGTCGTGAGCGGGGCCGTGTGGTCCAGCACCACGGTCGGCGCGCCGCCCTCGGTCAGGTACGTCACGGTGCCCAGGTGCGGGCACACGTTCACGCCGTCCTGCTCCATGTCGTAGTCCTTGTCCCAGTGCCACCCCACGGCGTCGTCCGACTTGATGCACACCGTCCAGAACTCGACGCCGCTCGAGGCCGCGTCGAAGCGCGCCGTGTCCGTGTGCGCCTCGAAGACCAGCAGAGCGAGCTGCTCCAGCGCGCAGCGCGGCGCCGCGTTGGCTTGCAGCCAGAACGTCTCGCCGGTGCTGTACGCTAGCTCCTTCGCGCGCACCTGCGACGGCGTGGCGGGGACGGGACGCGGCTGCTCGGCGCGGCAGCGCGGTCCCGACGCAGGGGCGACGCAGGGCGACGCAGGGCGGCCGCGGAGGCGCGTGGGCGGCCGCTTGCGACGCGATGAGATGTTCGGGGGGATTTTCGGCGGGGGCGCACCTTCATGACGCTTTTGCAGTCGGCGACGAAGTGCGCGAGGTCGAACGCGTCCCTGTTTGCGACCGCGGCGACCGCGGAGGGCCAGCAGCGGAAGGAGAAGTCCATTTTGCCGCCGAAGGGCACACGGCCGTCCGCGCCGATGACGAACTCCTGGCTCGACTCGCTGCCGCTGCTCTCGTGCGGGCCGCTGCCGCTGGACGAGGAGGAGCGGTCCGTGGTGTCCTGCGCGCTCTCGCTGCCCGAGGAGTTGCTGCTGAAGTTGTCGCTCGGGGAGCTGCAGGACGCCCCGGTCCCTTCGCTCTTCCTGCGGAAGAGCAGGAGGATGCAGTGGACATTCGGCCGCGCGGAATCACGTGCGGCGTCCGGCGCGCAGAAGGCCGGAGCAGCAGCAGCAGTGCCGGTGATCTGCAGCGGCGCGCACGAGCCCGTGCAGGGGTCGTGTGGGACTCACTCGTCCTGCTTCATGATACGAGCTTGGTGTCCGCTAATAGCGCGCCTCTGCGCGGCTTGTCATGCACCCTGGCGTCTGCCGCCGCAGCACGTCTCGGCAGTCACCCAGTGCGGCCACCTCGCAGTGACGTGTGATTCCGCGCCTCCGATCCCGCAGTCGCCTAGGTCGTCAGCATCGGCGGGACTCGCCACCTGCGTGCCGTCGCGCGTGCGCGCTCGGCTCGCCGGCAAAAGCGCGCTGGAGCAGCCTGGCGTCTGTTGCGGGCGTCACACCCCCGCCGACGATATTCCTGACGAGCTTTGGCTGCACGGCACGAGTAGAACGTGCTGCCCGCGCCCCCCGGGCAATCTGCTTCGACCTGAGCGAAGCTGTCCGACTGAGCGTGGTCAGGTGCTGCGTCTCCCAGCCCCCCCCGGTGCCTCTTGTTCTGTCTGCGGGCGTGAATCTTGGCGCCCGCGCCCCGCCGCGCTCAGCACAGTGTCTGGTCCTCGCACGGTGCGGCACGTCGTGTATTGGCGCCCTGGTAGTTCGTTTCTTGCCGTCTTAGATCAGCCCCAGAGTCTGGCGAACAGGGAGGTCTGCGAGAGGCGCCGCCTGGCGGCGACTGGGCAGGGCCATGGACCAGGCGTTGTACGATGAGTTCGGCAACTACATAGGCCCGGAGCTCAGTGGGTCGGAGAGTGAGGTGCGCTGAACGCTGCCCTGAGCAACCCCGGCCGCTTCTGGGCTCCGGATTGCACGAGCGCCGGATCACGCCCCACAGCGTCGTAAACCACGACCGTTCCACGCCACGCATTCGCGCATCAGGCACCCCGCAGCCCTCAGAGGCGCTGCACGCCGCCCACGCTCACGGCGGCAGCCACGAGCCCGCCCCCCGGGTCCCACGCCCTCTCCACCGCCTGTCCGCCCAAGATTCTTTCCTGCGCTGCTCCAGAAGACCCAAAGCTCCCCTCCGACACCTGCCACTGCGCACCACGCCCTCAACCCCCCCACGAACGGCGTCCCGCCTTCCTCGCGCCCCCTCCCGCTCCCGACACCGCCCCCAACGCGCCCCCCGCCCCCGGCCCCTGTATTCTCCAGGAAGAGGATGAGCAGGAGGCGTCGCCCGCGCGGTCCCCCGCCGCGGCCGCGATGAGCGAGGACGGCGACGGTGGCGACGATGGCGAGGGCGACGACGGCCCAGGCACCGCGGTGGTCCTGCACGAGGACAAGAAGTTCTACCCGACCGCGGAGGAGGTCTACGGCCCGGGGACCGAGGCGCTCGTGATGGAGGAGGACGCGCAGCCTATTGAAGTACCTATCATTGCGCCGCCCTCTTCCAAGGTGCGTCGCGCGCCGCCGCGCGCCCGCCGCAACGGTACCGCGGCGCCCGGCGCGTGGGCGCACACGCGGGCGCGTACCGGGGCGCCACGCGGGCCGTTCGCGCGAGTTCGGAGCGTGCGGAGATCAGTTGGAGATCTTCGATTGTTCGTTGCTCGCAGGTGCACGACTTGTTCGAGGAGGAGCCCCCCGCGACGACGTACTCCGCGGAGTTCCTCGCGGGTCTGATGGGCAACGCGGACCTCGTGCGCCACGTCGCGGTATGCGGGCACTTGCATCACGGGAAGACCACACTCATGGACCTGCTCGTGGAGCAGACGCACGCGGTGGCGCACGAGATGCGCGCGAACCAGAAGCAGCTGCGCTACACGGACACGCGCGCGGACGAGCAGGCGCGCGTGATGTCGCTCAAGACGGTGCCGATGTCGCTGGTGCTCGAGGGCGGGAACGGCAAGCACCGGCTCTACAACCTCCTCGACGCGCCGGGGCACCCGAACTTCGCGGACGAGGCCACGGCGGCGGCGCGGCTCGCCGACGGCATGCTGCTCGTCGTGGATGCGGTGGAGGGCGTGATGATGGGCACGCGCACCGCGGTGAAGCTCGCCGTGCAAGAGGACCTCCCGGTGTGTCTGGTGGTGACCAAGGTGGACCGGCTGGCGACGGAGCTCAAGCTGCCGCCGAACGACGCGTACCACAAGCTGCGGCACACGATCGAGGAGGTGAACAGGCTGATCGAGGGGCTGGCGCCGGGGTCGCGGCGGGTGCGGCCGGTGGACCCCGCGAAGGGGAGCGTGTGCTTCGCCGGGGCGCTGTACGGCTTCGCGTTCACGCTGCAGTCGTTCGCGAAGCTCTACGACGACGTGCAGTGCGGCGGCGGGCGCGACGTCGACGTCCGGGCCTTCGCGAAGCGGCTCTGGGGGGACTACTTCTTCGACCCCTCCACGCGCAAGTTCCTCAAGAAGGCCCCGCCCGGTGGCCGCGACCGCTCCTTCGTCGAGTTCGTCCTCGAGCCGCTGTACAAGCTGATCTCGCAGGTCGTGGGCGAAGACGCAAAGACGCTCCAGAGCGTGCTGTACGACGAGTTCGGCGCGTCGCTGAAGCCGTCCGAGTACCACCAGAGCTCGCGGCCGCTGCTGAAGCTGGTCGCGGCGTCGGCGTTCGGCGCGCCGACCGGCCTGGCGGACATGATGACGGAGCATCTGCCGACGGCGCGCGAGGCCGCGCCGACGAAGCTCGAGATGTGCTACACAGGCCCGCTGGACTCGGCGCTCGCCGACCACGTGCGCGCGTGCAACCCGCGCGGCCCGCTCGTGGTGCACGTGGCGAAGCTGGTGCCCAACCCCGACCAGAAGGCCTTCGGGGCGCTTGGGCGCGTGATGTCGGGCACCGTGCAGCCAGGCGACCGCGTCAGGGTGCTCGGGGAGTCGTACTCGCCCGAGGACGAGGAGGACGCGTCCGTGCAGGAGGTGGCCGCCGTGCAGGTGCTGCAAGCGCGGTATCGGCTGGGGATGACCAAGGCCGGCGCCGGGAACCTCGTGCTGCTCGCGGGGGTCGACGAGACGATATCCAAGACGGCGACGATCGTCTCGGACCTGCTCGACGACGAGGACGAGCCGCACATCTTCCGCCCGCTGCGCTTCCCGACGCGGGCCACGGTGAAGATCGCGACCGAGCCGCTGAACCCGTCGGAGCTGCCGAAGATGGTCGACGCGCTGCGCAAGGCGGGGAAGTCGTACCCGCTGCTGTCGACGCGCGTCGAGGAGTCGGGCGAGCACACGCTGGTGGGCACGGGGGAGTTGTATCTTGACTCGGTGATGCGGGACATCCGGGAGACGTTCGCGGAGGTCGAGGTGAAGGTCGCGGACCCCGTGGTGACGCTGTGCGAGACGGTCGTGGAGACGAGCAGCCTCAAGTGCTTCGCGGAGACGCCCAATCGGAAAAACAAGATCACCATGATCGCGGAGCCGCTCGACCGCGGGCTCGGCGAGGACATCGAGGCCGGCGCCGTCGACGCGTCCTGGGGCAAGAAGAAGCTCGGGGCGTTCCTCCAGGGCAAGTACGACTGGGACCTCCTCGCGGCGCGCTCGGTGTGGGCCTTCGGCCCCGACGACCGCGGACCCAACGTCCTCCTCGACGACACGCTCCCGGGCGAGGTCGACAAGCAGCTCATGGCCGCGGCGCGCGCGAGCGTCGTGCAGGGCTTCCGCTGGGGCGCGCGCGAGGGCCCGCTCTGCGACGAGCCCATGCGCAACGTCAAGTTCAAACTGATGGGCGCGCAGGTCGCGCCGGACCCGATCTCGCGCGGCGGCGGGCAGGTCATTCCGACCGCGCGCCGCGTGTGCTACTCGGCGTTCCTCATGGCCACCCCGCGCCTGATGGAGCCGGTGTACGAGGTAGAGGTGATCTCGCCCGCGGACTGTCTGCAGACGGTGTACAGCGTGCTGGCGAAGCGGCGCGGGCACGTGACGAGCGAGGCGCCCAAGCCCGGGACGCCCGTGTTCATCTTCAGCGCGCTGCTGCCCGTCCTGGAGAGCTTCGGCTTCGAGACTGACCTCCGCTATCATACCCAGGGCCAGGCGTTCTGCACGCAGCAGTTCGACCACTGGACGGTGGTGCCGGGGGACCCGCTGGACCGCACCGTCGTGCTGCGGCCGCTGGAGCCCGCGCCCGTGAACGCGCTGGCGCGGGAGCTGATGGTGAAGACGCGGCGGCGCAAGGGGATGAGCGAGGACGTGAGCGTGGCCAAGTTCTTCGACGACCCGATGCTGCTGGAGCTCGCGCGGCAAGATGCCGACCTGCACATGCTGCTGTGAGAGCCGCACCGGGCGCTGCGGGGTGGCAGCGGTGGTGTTTCGGTGGCCAGCGCCGTCGTTCGCGATGCAGTGCGGCGCTGTGCGGCGTGCGGGACATTGCAGCGGAAGTGCACGTGGGGTGACAGTTCATGCTGTATTTCGTGGGCGGGCCGGTGAGCCTCCGCAGTGGCGAGATTCCGCGAGGGTAGCTTGCCACGTGTTGGGTTGCAGGCAGCGAGTCGAGGGGCGGAGAGAAACAGGAGCCTGGAGCGGTCACGACCCTCGCTGGTTCAGTCTTCGCCCTCGAGATGCGCGCCGGGAACGGCCAGAACCCCTGACTCAGGCTTGACGGTGCAGCAGCAACGTTCCCTCGCGAGCTCCCGGCTTCCCGGCTATGAGTTGACTGCCAGCGCCGACACGCACACTTGTTCGCTGCGAACATCAGCTCAAATCGCGATCGTGGGGAGCAAGTCGGACCGGCAGAGGTTGGCTGGGAGCGCTACGCCGGGAGGAGCGGCCTCCTGTCTGCTGCGTAGCGAAGTGGCCCGGGGGCGACAGGTGAGCGATGGATACGCACGTAGAATGCACGGCGATACATGGTCAAAGGATCCTGAATTCCGCACGTGACGGGTTACCCGCCGCGGGGCAACAGAGCACCGGTCGAGCAGCCTCCCTTCAACATGTTGGGCATGGCCGCTGTCCTGCGTGCGTGCGAAAGGTTTCGGCGCCCGAAGCCAAAACCGCGAACTATCATCGAATATCCTTCCGTATCGGCGCGACGTATCTTCTGTTTCTCCCGCAGGTGGCAGGACGGGACGAAACCCCTGCCTGCGAAACCCCAGCCAAGATGGCCAACACCGCTGCCGAGATCAAATCTACCCTGAACGACGCCATCAGAGACGTGGCGAAAGCGAGCGCCCCCGCTTTTGCCGCGGAGGGAAACGTGCGCGTCGTTGGGGACGACGATGAGCGCGCCATGCTGCCTGGCGCCATCACGGTGGGCACTCTGCAGGTCGACATTCCGATGACAGATAAGACGCTTGTCGCGCTTGACGACATCGGCGAAGCTGCTCCTCATGGACGTGGTATGGAGACCGTTGTCGACCCCAAGGTAACCGCTTCACCTGCACGACGGCTGCTCTGCTGGCTGTCTGATCGTGCTGGATCGCCGTGGACGCTCGTGGTCCTGCCGGCCGCTGGGAACGATCATACCGCACGGTGCTTTGAGCGAGGCGTGTCGCCACGGCCAGAGACTCATCGTCATCCCGTCTCATTCGCACACGCAGGTGCGGCGGGCAACAAAGATCGATGGTGAGCGCATTCACTTGTCGCCGGCCCTCATGTCCGGCATCGAGGCCGAGGCTACTCGTCTAGCGCAGACTGAGCTCGGGATCCGCACATCCGTGCGGCTCCGGCTGCACCAGATGTGCATGTACGCCGTTGGTGGGCACTTTCTCGAGCACCGCGACACGGAAAAGGACGAAGACATGTTCGGGACGCTCGTTGTGCAGCTTCCCACGTGTCAGAAGCACGCCGGCGGCGCCCTCAAGGTCAGCAACGCGCAAGAGAGCAAGGAATTCAACTGGGATCTCTACCCTGGGGACGTTGACATCTTCTGCTGCGCATTCTTCGCCGATTGCGTGCACAAGCTCAAGCCCGTGACCGCTGGCCGGCGCGTGGCACTGGTTTTCAACATGATCCGCGGTGGAACGGAGCAGGACCTCAACCCTGCGGAGATCAGCAAGGCCTGGCAGGGCCGACTCACGGACGCGGCGAACGCGTGGCTGAAGCACCTCGTCGCCGAGCCTGGGACGCCGAAGGCTTTCTTCGTGCCGCTGAGCCACCTTTACACGGAAGCCAATCCGCCACGCGGGGTCGAGGCGCTCAAAGGCTGCGACGCCGCCGTGGCGGAAACGTTCAAGGCCGTGCCGTCGCTGAAGGTCTCGGCCAGCCTCGTGTATTTGGCCAAATTCGGCGAGCCGAACGGCGCTCCTTGCGAGGGTCGTCGCAGCCTTGCCCACGCAACGATGGAACAGGTCCTGGGCGCCCTGGACAGTTCGAATTTGGGCTCGACGAGTTCGAGTGCCTGGTCGGTAAGCAAGCTGGGCAGGTGCGCTTCGCAACGGACGGCGACGACAGCACTGCGGACGGCAGCAGCGAGGGCGATGAGGACGACAGGAGCGACGACGTCGCGATGGACGGCGAAGAAGGCTCCCGTTCACGGTCGAGGGCGTCCTCCGACTCATCAGGATCTCGCGTCGAGAAAAGCAGCTCCATCAACGTGCTCGCGCGCGGGGCGCAGGAGCGTGTCAAGCGCGGCAAGGAGCTGTCGTGGGTGCAGGGGTGTGAGGGGGAGGTCTTTCCTCTCGATGGCGGGGACGCCAAGAAGCTGACCTTCGACGACGAAGCGCTCAAGGCAAACGTGCTGCTCGACACTGCGGGCCGCGAGGTCGAGCTGTTCGTTGGAGCTCCCGATCTCGCCGCCTACCGCGCATACATGGGCAACTATGGGCCTGACCTCGCACATGTGTATCGGCGGGCGCTCCTCGTGATCGAGCCCCAAGGCCATACGCTCAGCCAGCGCGTGGCTGCCATGGGTTTTGGGGAGGCCATGGCACTTCTCGAGGCCATGAAGAGCAAGCTCAGCGCAGGCGACTGCGGCGCACAGGACTGCCACGAGGCGGTGGCGACTCTGGCCCGTCGAGCGATCGCGGGCAAGCAAGAGCTTGTGTGGGTGCTGAGACTGGTATGCGCGGCGGGGGGCGAGCGCCTGGCTTGCGTTGCGAACGCGATTTTGCAGAACACCCAGGTCTCCAACTTTGTCCAAGTCCGGGCAGACGACCTGATCCTCGCCGTGTCGACGTTTGGGTGGGAGACGCTCGAGGAGGGCTGTCGTGAGTGCTTGCGGGCGGCATGTCACGGTGCCGTCCGGAGGGGAGAAGCGACTTTTGCGTGTCAACAGTTCTTCAAAGCCTTTGCCGACCTTCGTCAGGAAGCTCCGCAGACGGTGTTGCAGCTCACGCAGGCTCTCCTTGAATGTCTGCCTGCTTCGTTTGCACCATCAGATGGAGGAAGCGCGGAGCTCGACTTCGAGATCGCCCTGCGTGCCGTCGGAGACACGAAAGCTGGAGAATGCGTCGACAGATGGGCGGGGGAAGCGCTCAAGCACTTCTGGGGCGGTTATGACGCATGCAAGGCGATCGTACGTGCGGTGTCCAAGCACGGGACCCTGTCGAAGGTGGTTCCTGCGGTGGCGGAGTCGTTGGGCGACAAGTGCGCGGACATCATCACCGCAGCTGCTGCGTGCGACGGCGCGCCTCGCCTGGAAGCTTCGTTGCAAGATCGCGACGCACTCGCGGTGCGGAGCTTCCTCGAGGCGCTCGAGGGGCGGATGAAAGCGACACGCGAGGCAACTACGTGTCGCCACGAGCTCTCGTCTCTTCCCGCGAAACGGTACAGGGCGGCCATGCTCCGGGGCTTCGAGGCACTCGCACGGCACGATGGCGCCGCAGGCTCGCGTGCGGAGACGACGCTCTCGACTTTCCGCGACGCGGGTGACATCCCGCTGCTGCGCGAGATGCTGAACGGCCAGGACAAGGTCGACAAGCTGCGACGCCAGGTGGCGGAGCTACTGCTGGACCTGCTAGCGCAGGCTCCCGGGTCCAAGCCCATGAGTCTCGCGGTCGAGACTGCGGAGCACTGCCACGATCGCATCCCCCTCTCTTTTCTGCGCGGCTGCAAGGAGGAGGAGGTCGTTTGCGAGTGTCCATCGTACGACGAGGCGCGCGAGCTGGAGCGCGAGCTCTCAGGCCTCGAAACTGGCCTGGAGTTCAGCATCGTTCAGGATGAGTCTGACGCCTTGCGTCATACAGTTTGTACTTCGACAGCGTACAAAGTGGTGGCGAGGAAGACCCTGGAGTGGTTGAAGGTCCAGGGGGTTCTGCCTCAGACACAGACCTGGGCTGTGCCTTTGGCGGCGTCGCATTGCGAGGAGTTCGTCCCCACGTCGTTCCTCCAGGGCGAGAAACGGTGGTACGACACCGAGGCGCGATCGCTCTTCGCAAGCATCAAAGATGCGCGAAAGGCCGTCGTTACGCTGAAGCGGAAAGACTACTCCGGTCTCGAGTTCGGTGCTGGTGGACGCGGAAATCGCGCTTTCGTCAGCGTGAAGAAGACGCCGGTCTGGGTGCTCAAAGAACTTCGAAGTGCATGGACGAGGGAGGTGGCGCACCTCAAGGAGATCGCTCGCGCGTGAAATTGCACAGCTGTGTGACGCGAGGCCCACCGTTTGCCTTCCGAGCGCACCCCGAGCCGCGAGCGGCGCTGCTGATGTCTCTTTGACACACGCGCCCCGCACTGTGCGGGGTCCTCCAGGCTGCCGCCACACACCGCGGGCGAGAAAACGCCGCGATGCTGCGTGCGCTTCCGGGGAAGTCGATCCCAAACAGGACCTCAGCGATTCGCCGATGGTCGTGGCCGGTGTAGCTACCCTATAGGGTCCACTGCTGCTTTCCGGGGCTGCACGGAGCCGCCGCACAGCATCGTCTCGTCGCGGCCCGTGTGCCAACCGTGCCGCTCGCACCGGGGCAGCGCCCCCCGCGGTCGGCCATGCCCGCCTGACCTGCCTCAGCAACTTGACTCAGGTTCCCTAGTGTGTTTTTAATACCCGAACCGTCTCATTGGCCGCTGTGCCGGCAGGACGCGAGCACCACGCAGCAGCAGCGGGCTGCGTTGGGCGCTTGTCCGGGCCGCAGATCTCCGGGCCGCGTCGTCGCTCGACGAGCCGGACCGTCGGGACTGTGTGTACCGTTGCTTCCCGGAGCACCGCTGCGCCGCAGTTGGAGGCAAGCCAACTTCCGCTGCCCGCTGATGTCGAGGCTGGCTTCAAGGATGCGTGGGGTCTCGTTGCCGGGATCGGTTTCGCGCCTCGCTGCACGCGGGAGCGGCGAGCCTTCCGCGCATGCAGTGTCCGTGCACACTGCGTGCCGTTGCGGGGCGCTGGCCGGCTCCCGGGCCTCCGTAGGGCGCACGGACTCTCCGGTGAGCTGCAGAGCGATTGCCCCGGCGCTTGGTTTGCGCGGTGGGTGCGCGTGTTGCCCGGTGCCACAGCTCGCAAGGTTTTCCTCTAGCCTGGCGCGGAGAAAGTCGTTGCGTCAAAAACCAGCGGCTGGGCAGGATGTACTGCACCTGAGTCACTACGGGCGGCGGATGAGACACCACGGAATGCGCTCTCTGAGGTGCGCGCGCGCTTCCCTCCATTCGCTGTCCCTCCAACCAACCCCTCCCTGCCGTGCTGTGTGGGCGCGTTCCGTCCGTGTCCGGTGCACACAAGGACGGGCCTCGTCAGAGCATCCCAGACCGCCACAGAAACCTCACGCATCATCTCTTGACGCTTCGCACCCGCGACATGCTCTGCAGGCTGGCCAAGCACGCCATTGCGGCGCCCGAACTGCGCAGCGCACCACCTCACGCGGCCATCCAGCCGTCCAAACGCCTCCTCGCACACTCCGGCGCCGCACCCGACGTCGCTGCGCGAGCGTCCAACCTCAACACGGCCAGCGCGTGCCCTGCAACCGCCTCACGCATCGCACCACCCAAGGGCCGCCTCCCTTCGCCCGCCCACGGACACCGCGCAGCCACGGACCCACCAGCCTCCGCGGACCGCCGCCGCTCCTCCGCAGCCATCCGCGAGGCGCTTCTACAGCTGTCTGACCGCGTGCCGCCGTCCGACGTGGCCCAAGACGAGTCAGACGAGACGCACGCCTCCTGGCTGGACCGCGACCGCGACGGCGACGGCAGCAGCGGAGGCGACACCGACGGCGGCCCAACGGGCAGCGGCAGCGACGACGAGACGCTGAAGGACATTGACGTCGATCTGTTCCGTGCGCCCGCGCCCGCGGAGGCGATGCGGGCGGCGCTCGGGGCCGGCGCGGACGTCGACGGGGAGCGCGTCGTGCTGCGCGTGCCCGAGCTGGTCCGAGCGGAGGTGCTTGCGCGCCCGAGCAAGCAGGTGAAGAGTCCCTATTTGGCAGATGTCTCTGTGTGTGGCGGGGGTGAGGACGGGGGCGGGGGAGAGCCGGTGATGGCGCACACGGCCGCGCTGGGCGCGTGCTACGTCGGCGCGCAGGTGCTCATGACGCCGCGGGCGCGGTCCAGCGGGGGGGTGTCGAAGTACGTGGTCAACCAGCTGGTAGAAACCATCAGCGGGTGCGAGGTGGGCGTGGGCGTGAACCCGATGATGGCGGAGGACGCGGTCGCGTGCGCGGCGGAGCGCGGGTGGATCCGCGGCGTCCCCGAGGGCTCGCGCGTCGAGAGGCAGGTCATGGTGAATCACTCACGCCTCGACCTGGCCTGCGAGACGCCCGGCGGCACGGTGTACGTCGAGGTGAAGAACGTGACGCTCGCGGACCACGCGGACTGCTCGACGCGCGTGCGGGCGCAGCTGGAGCGCGACGGCGCGTTTGCGGACCTCGACCCGTGGAGCAAGGCAGGGATCTTTCCGGGCAACGCGGACCCGCTGCGGTCGCGCAGGGTCACGCGCACGCCGGTCAGCTCAAGGTGAGGGCCCGCGCGGAAGCGCCCGCGCGCTGTAGGACGTGCGTTTCCCGCTACAGACCACGTGCGTGGCCAGCGCGTGAGCGGCGCTCAGCGCTGGCTGGCTTGCGTGTGCGTTCGTGCAGGGCGTTGCGGCACGTGCAGGAGCTTGCGGAGCTGGTGCAGGAGGCTTGCGGCGGCGGCGGCGTGCGCGCGATGCTGGTCCTCGTGGCGCAACGGCCCGACGTGGACCGCATCGCGCTGTCGCGTCTCGACCCGACGTTCCGCAGGGCCGTGCGGGCCGCGGCGGACGCGGGAGTCGAGGTGCGCGGGTACCGGATGCGCTGGGTGGGGACTGTTGCCATTTGGGAGGGGGAGTTGCCTGTTCTACTGGGCTGCGACGCCGACGACGACGCCACGGAGGGACTGCGCGACAACGCCAGCGCCATCTGACGGAGCCTCGCCCGCGGAAACGCCTTGGAACGAAGCGAGAAACTCGGAATCGAGGATTCCTAATTCTGTGTTACTCTATTTTCCACACCTGGGTATGCCGAAGCTGCACGTGACGGAAATCGTCGTCCTGGACGCTCACACTCCATCTGTGCGCCGTCAGCGTCCCGCTCATGCCCCGGGCGGCTTCGGCGCTGTTACCGCCAGCGCCGCTCGCTGCGCCGCCGCCTTCGCCAGCGCCGCGCGCGTCTGCTCCGCGACCGCGCGGCACCCCTCGACCGCCAGCGCGATCACCGGCGTCAGCGTGTCCACCGCGGTCCGCCCGTCCGACTCCAGCACCACCACGCGCCCCTCGCGCGGCTGCAGCGCCACGACCACGTCCGGCCCGTTCCCGCCGTCCTCTACGTAATTCAAGTCCAGCAGCGCCGTGCCGTCCAGGTACCCCGCCGCCACCGCGCCCGCGACGTCCACGCACGGAATGCCGGCGTCGATCACCGCGGCGATCGCAGCGTTGATGGCGCAGCTCCGCGTGCCGCCGTCGGCCTGCTCGATGAGCACGTGCACGTCGACGAGCGACCGCTTGAGCAGGGAGCGGACGACGCTGTTCTCCACCGCGCACCGCACCAGCGCCGCGCACTCGGCGGAGCGCCGATCCCCCTTGCGCCGCTTTCGACGCTCCGAGGTCGCGAACGACGCGGTCGTGAACTCGCAGCGCACCGTGCAGCCGTCCGGGCTCTCCGCGACGCCGGCCTCGAGGGGCCTGCAGCGTCGGCGGGCACGGCCGGTGAGGTGCCGCGACGCATGTGCGTGTGTCGCTGCATCGCTATGTTCGAACTCCGTCTCGGAGGTTGAGTCGTGGTTGTGGGGGCAGGGCGTACCTCGGCCCGTAGACGGCGGCGATGGCGCGCGTGTTGCCCATGGCGAAGCTCGCGCTCCCGTCAGCGTATGGCAACACCCCGACCTCGCACTGGATCCGTCGCAGCTCTTTTGGCCTGCGGCCGTCGACCCGCAGCCCCTCTGGAGACACGTACTCCATGGTCGGAGCCGGCAAGACCCCCCCGGGGCCCCAGGGCGTGGCGCTGGAGGTTTGTCCGAGGCTGCAGACTCGCTTCGGGCGTCCGCGTCGTCGCTCGCCTCTCGGCGCCTCTGGTGCACGGATATGCACAATGCTCCAGGGCCACAATGACGGCCAAAGACGGACTGCGAGAACCTCCTAGCTGTACGGCACGACTTGTTCTCTATGAGCAAGTTCTTGTTCGGCTCCTCGCGCACTCTGGATGAACGATTCCCCCGTGGAACGCCCGTCGCTGCGAGTTAGTGGCGGCTTGAGGCTGCGCGACGCACAGAAACTGCAGCAGGCCGCGCACGGCCCTGCGAGAGCCCCCCGAGAGTGTGCCATACCACTCCCCGGGCTGACGCATGTTTTCCCTGCGCCCTCTCGCCAACAGTTGGCGTGCGCGGCGCGCGGACTGCGGTGTCCGGTGCATGGCGGGAGTGAGACGCATCGGAATCGCTGTCGAGGGCTCCCGGCGAACGGTGCAGTCTGTTGGTAGTGCGCCAGTGCGCTCGGCGCAGCGTGCCGGGGCTGGGCCGCGCCGCTCGGCCCGCACTCCTCGGCCACCATGTCGCTCGTCAAAGCCGAGCTGACGCACCAGGTGTTCCAGGTGCGACCGACGCGGGCTCGCTCGAAGCTCCCATCCACGCCCCTCTGTCGTGCGAGCACCGGCCGTTCGCTCCGAAATCGTGTCACGCCGCCGGTCCAAGCGAGGCGTCGGTGCGACCGAGCGTCGCTGGATCCGCGCTGCGCGAGCGGAGCGCTGGGGACCGCAATCGACTCAACGAGAGGTCGCCACCGGGCTCTCGGGCGGCCCCGGGAGGCACAGCGAGGCGCCAAGTCGTGACCGCCGCCATGTCCATGACAGCCGCTCCCCGTTCCGTGGCACACACGTCGCTCAAGGGGCGCATGCGTCCGGAATGACGCACGGGGCGCAGTGCGCAGCATCTCACGCCCTGGAGCCCGCGACCCGCGACGCAGGTCGGCCTGACGCACGCGCTGAGCACCGAGAGCGAGGAGATCATGGGCCTCCTCCTCGGCGACGTCTTCGACAAGTACGCCGCCCTACCCCCCCCCACACACCCCCCCTCCCACGACCGACCCTCCGCGACACCACGCAGCCCCCGCCCCCCCCTCCGCAGCGGCCCCGACGGCCTCACGTGCCGCGTGTGGTGCGCGGTGCCCCAGATCCGCAACGACCGCCGCCGCGACCGCGTCGAGGCCTCCCCCGAGCAAGTTGCGCAGTGCGCACAGGTCGCCGAACGCATCGCCGCCGCGACGGGCGTCGCCACGCGCGTCATCGGGTGGTACCACTCCCACCCGCACATCACCGTCCTGCCGTCCCACGTCGACGTCCGCACCCAGATGATGTTCCAGCAACTTGACTCAGGGTTCCTGGGTATAATTTTCTCGTGCTTCAACGAGGGCGGCGCGGGGGAGGCGTCCGCGCGCGGGGGGCACATCAAGGTCACGGCGTTCCAGTCGTTTCAGGGGCCGAGCGGGCCGGAGCGCAGGCACGTGCCGGTGGAGCTGTGCCCGGCGCGCAACCGCGCGGAGGAGGGGCTGTCGGACCTCGGGGGCCTCCTGCGCATCATGCTGCTCGGTGAGTCGCGTCGCGCTGCGCGCGTGGATGCGGGCCCGCCCGGAACATGTCGGTTCGCCTGTTGAGGTGTTTATTTTCGTTTCATGCGTGGAGCGGGGGTTGCCAGGTGCCGTTGGGACCGACTGGGCGCCGTGCGTGCGCCGCTGCGATGTGCGGTGGCCGGCGGTGTCAGTCGAGGATCAAGCGCGCGCTCAGGACCCCGAATCCTCGGTTGTTTGTCGTTGCAGAGGAGCAGATGGCGAAGCGCACGGTGAAGCGCCTGGCGTCGACACGCAGCTCCCTGGGCGCGTCCCCCTCGGACGTCACCGCGCAGGTCGCCTCCCTGCACGCCTCCTCGGTCTACCTCGCCTCCTCCACAACCCTCCTCGAGACGTTCCTGCTCGCGCTCCTGCGCGTGGCGGAAGACAGACACCGCGCCGTCGAGGGCCAGCTGCGGCAGATCGAGGCGGACAAAGAGAGCATGCGCGGCCTGCTCGCGAAGCGGCGCGCGCAGCCGGCTGCGGGGGCCGCGGCGGCGGCAGCAAACATCGTGGGGGACTTATTGGGGGACTCTGACCACGCGGGGGGGATGGCCGCTGAGCCCGGACAAGGGCCGATGGCGGATCTCATCAGCTTCGGCGATACGCCGCCCGGGTCGGCGCGGGGGGGGGGTCCCGCGGAGGTGCGTCAGATCAAGCGGTATGACACGGGGGACTTCGTGGGGTCTCTCCTCGGGCCGACAGCGACTCCGCGCGGCGCGGACGTCGGCGACCAGGCAAAACGCATGGCCGCGGTGCTGTCTGCCGCGGCGCACGGGGCGGGCATCGTTTCGCATCCGATAGCGGATGCCGACGCGCAGCGGTCGTCGGTGGGGACGCCACACGGGCACGACCCGCAGCCGACGTGGTCGGGCGAGCGGGCGCTGGAGGGCATCGGGGAGCTGGCGCTCGGGGACCGGCGGCACAGCCGGGGATCAGCGGTGTCGGGGGGGGGAGTGAATCAGCCGGGCACGCGACCAGCGGCGCATCGGACACCGCCTCCGCCGCCGCCGCAGCCGCCGAGGAGGTAGCGGAGAGCGGGGACGGCGGTTTCACGGGGTCTTTGACGGTTGTACATGCAGTCAAAAGCCGCGTCATGTTCTGCATACACTTGCAGCTCAGCCTGCGATCAGGAACACGAAATCGACGAGAACAGGGCTGTCGAGGCGATCCGGCGTCGCAGAGGATTGCGAGCTCGCTGTGCGGCGCGTGCGCGTCGCGGGCGGCGCTGACGTGGTCCTGTGACGGACTGGAGATCTGACTGTCAGACAGGAGCGCACAGCGCGGCACATGTGCGTTCGAACCTCGCGGGCGCCGCAGATCCGGAATCATGACCTCGATCGCTTGCTTCACCCGTTGCGCGCGCACGGCCTGCGTGGCCGCGGCCAGGGTCACGCGCGCAGCTGCTGCGCGCCCCTTCACCGCCCCCCGCCCCGCGCTGCGCCAGGCGATGGCCCCGCCGGCCCCGAGCGTGCGTTCGATGGCCAGGGGCCGCTCGACGCACATCACCCGCGCCGCCGTGAAGGCCGAGGACGGCGATGTCGTGCAGGTGAGCCTGCCCCCTGGTGCAGCCGTCAGTGCCGCCCCGCGCAGTATAGGACGCCCTGCGGCCACGTCAGGGCCGCTCACGAGACAGCAGCAGTCCAGGGCATCCCCCACGCGATGCGATCCGCAGCCGGCAGGGCACGGGCGGGCCGGGAGCGCGGGAAGCGTGGGGCGCGTGCTCACAGGGTGGTTGATCGTCCGCGGCGCGCGCGCAGGTGCACTACACGATCATCGACGCGGACGGGAAGGAGCTCGAGAGCACCAAGAACAGCGGGCAGGCCCTGCGCCTCGTCGTGGGCGACGAGCAGGCGCGCCAGGACGGTCTTATGCAGGCAAGGCAGCGGCACCCTACCCCTGGGACTGCCCTTTTGCGCGCCGTGCAGCCGGACGGCGTCGCCAGCCAGCCTGCGCGCTTGGTTGGGGCCAGAGATCCTCTGAGCATCCAATCGGGGGCGTCGCACGGCCGGTTCGAGCCACGCACGCTGCTGTCGCGGCGACGTTTCCCCATGCGTGGCCTCCAGCTCGCCGTCAGCAGCGGATTCCGCGGCCGCAGGCGGCCGTTGAAGCTGCGTGCCGACGGCCGGAGCGTCGGCTTGCCCGGGCGTGAGCGCGCGGGGACGTGCGAGAGATCGCTTCGCGGGGACGACGCATCATATGTCATCAAACAAGTCTCGTGGCGCGCTGAGATCGTCTCAGGGGCTTTCTTTTTCGTTGTCTTCCTGCAGAAGTTCGACGAGGCCGTGCGTGGCATGGGCAAGGGCGACACGGCCAGCATCCCGCACGAGGGCGAGCCGTGGAAGGAGGAGCTCGTGGCGGCGGTGCCGCGGGACTCGGACGCCCTCAAGCAGTTCGAGGCCGCGCTGCAGGCTCAGGTGCACGCCTGCACCCCCTGAGCTCGCTGCGCGCGTCGCACGTCGCACGCGTGGCTCCCGGGCAAAACCTCAGCTCGCATCCGCGGAATCTCGATAGGGCCTTTCCGGCAGAGACACGCGGGTTTGGTCATCGCTGCGGCGCTGAACGCGGCGCTGATGGCGCAGCACGACGCCTCGTTGTTCGCAGAACCTGGAGCTGATTCCGGGGATGCCGCTCCAGCTGAGCACGGGCCAGGTCGCCATGGTGGTGGAGGTGACGGACGAGGAGGTGAAGATCGACGCGAACAGCGTGTTGGCCGGCAAGAAGTTCACCTTCGACATCGAGGTGGCGGAGATCGTGCGGATGGACCCGGGCGAGCGCCAGGAGTTCAGCGTCGAGACCATCGACGGGCAGGAGGGCGACGGCAAGTCGTTCCCGAAGCCCGGGGACACCGTGACGGTGCACTACACCGGCACGCTGACCAACGGCAGCAAGTTCGACTCGTCGCGGGACCGCGGGGAGCCGTTCAAGTTCAAGATCGGCACCGGCCAGGTCATCAAGGGTACGTGCGCGCGCCCGTCGCGACCGCACCGCGCCTCTGCGCGCCGTTTCCTGTCGAGCACAGCAGAGGCTTCCTGCGCCCGCGCGATGCAGGCTGGGACGAGGGCGTCGCGAAGATGAGCAAGGGCCAGCGCGCCAAGGTCGTCTGCCCGCCGGAGATGGCCTACGGCGACCAGGGCGCCGCGGGCGTCATCCCCCCCAAGGCCACCCTGGTGTTTGACGTTGAGCTGATCGACATCACCCCGGCGTGAGGCTCGCCCGCGGCCGTGCGCGCACGCCGGCCTGGCCCCGCTCGATCGTTGGCGGCCCCGACTGCGAGCCAGTGTGAACGAAGCAGACGTTGCAGCGACTCGCACACGCGCTGATAATCTTGGGAGCTCTCAGAGACCCCGGACGCCGCCGTTTTGACCGCGATTCCCCCCAACAGAATCAACACCTTTCGAATGCCTCGAACGAAGCACGTGGCCCACGCAGCACGCACGACGTCCCCTGCTCTCTCTCAAACACGCGGGCGCAGCTGGGCGGCACACATCTGTGCCGGCACGTCGTCGTCGGAGCGGCCGCACGCGGTCAAGCAGCGGCTCCCCTCCTTCCCACCCCGCTCGCAAAAACAGCCTGCCCAGCCCTCACAGCACCACAACCTAGTCGTCGTCGTCGCCCCTCTTCTTCTTGCCCTTCCCCCCGCCCTCGTGCCCCTTCCCGCCCGCCTCCTTCCCCTTGCCCTTGCCCTTGCCCTTGCCCTTCGCCTCCGCCTCCGCCTCCGCCGCCTCCTTCGCCTCCTTCGCCTCCTTCGCCTCCTTCTCGTTCGCGGCGCCGTCCTCGTCCCAGAAAAAGTACATCCCCGCCGTCTTCTGCTCCCGGTCCTTCACGGACCCGAGCTTGTTGATCCGCGGCCGGAAGTTCGTCGGGTCCCGCCGGAAGGTGATCTCGAGCTGCCCCAGGAAGGCGTTCATGCCAGTGAGCAGTGTCTGCGGGGCGCGGGCGAAGGCGTGCTTGGACGGCTGGCCGTCGTACACGACGACGCGGTCCGCGAGGTACGTGGCCATGATGAAGTCGTGCTCGACGATGAAGGCCGTCTTCTTCGCGTGCATGATGTAGCGCTTGATGACCTTGGCCGCGATGATGCGCTGCTCGGCGTCCAGGTACGCCGACGGCTCGTCGATGAGGTAGATGTCCGCGGGCGTGCCGAGCGCCAGCACGATGGCCACGCGCTGCAGTTCGCCGCCGGACAGGTTCTGTACCTCCTGGTCCAGCAGAGGCTCCAGCTGCACGCACACGACCCGACGGACCGCAGTCAAGTGCGCTCCCGGCGTGCATCATCGTAGTCATGCCGCGCTCGGAGCGCTAGCCGCTCGGTCGCGCGCGGCAACGTAGGAAAACAAACCTTGCCAGGTTGCGCCAGCGGCGCAGTGCCGGCGGCGCGGGCGCGCGCAGTGTGCGCGCAGCTAGGGTGCGGGGGGTGATTGCGGGGCGTGGTGTGTCTAGCTGCGGGGCCGCGGGCTCACGTTGAGGGGCTTCGTTACGTCGGTCTGGAACTGCGGGTGGTGCAGCGACTCGCGAATCTTCTTGTGGAGGAGCTCGCGGACGGTGCCGGGGAACTTCGGCGCGATCTTCTGCGGCTTGTACGAGATGTTGAACTGCGGGATGTCCTCGTCGCCCTCCACCTCGTCCGGCTTCAGCAGGCCCGCCAGCATGCGGATGAACGTCGTCTTCCCGGTGCCGTTCTCCCCGAGGAGCACGTTGATCTCCGAGTCCGAGAACGACCCCTTCTCGACCTCGAGCGTGAAGGCCCCCTGCGTGACCTTCATCGCGGGGTACTCGTAGGCCTGCGTGCGCGTGATGAGCTCGTTCGCCAGCTGCGCGTCCGTGACGCGGAACGTCATGGCCTCCTCGCGGAACCGCAGGTTCTCGGTCGGAACGAACCCCGCGAGGAACACGTTGATGCCCTCGCGGACGGAGAAGGGCATCGTCACCACGCCGTACGCGCCCGGCTGCCCGTACAGGCAGCAGATGAAGTCGGAGAGGTAGTCGAGCACGGCGAGGTCGTGCTCGACGACGATGACGTAGTTCCGCTCGTCGAGGAGGTCGCGGATGACCTGCGCGGCCTTGAGGCGCTGCCGGACGTCCAGATAGCTCGAGGGCTCGTCAATCATGTACACGTCGGCCTTCTGGCACGCGACGACCGCGATCGCGAACCGCTGGAGCTCGCCGCCGGACAGCACCTCGACGTCGCGGTCCATGACCTGCTCCAGGTCGAGCAGCCGCGCGAGCACGCCCTTGTTGCCGCGCTGTTCCTTGGCGTCGAGGACCTTGCTCACGTTCCCGCGGACGGCGCGCGGGATGTGGTCGACGTACTGCGGCTTCATGACCGCGTTGAGGTTGTCCTCGAGGATCCGCGTGAAGTAGTTCTGGAGCTCGGAGCCGCGGAACGACGCCAGGATTTCCTCCCAGTCGGGCGGCGAGGCGAAGCGCCCGAGGTTGGGCTTGAGCTTCCCGGCGAGGATCTTCAGAGCCGTGGACTTGCCGATGCCGTTCGTGCCGACGAGGCCGAGGACCTGCCCCGGGCGCGGCATCGGCAGGCGGTGCAGCTTGAAGGTGTTAGGCCCGTAGCGGTGCGTCGTTTCACGCTCCAGGTTCTTCGGGAGGTTGATGATCATGATGGCGTCGAACGGGCACTTCTTCACGCAGATACCGCATCCGATGCACAGCTCCTCGGAGATCCACGCGATCTTGCTGCTCGGGTCGGCCTCCACGCACAGCTTGCCTGCAGACCATGGCCGGGCCGCCTCGGCGCGTCAGGGGCGCGCTCACGGCGCGTTCGTGGCGCGCGGGCGCCGCAACGGTGCGGAGTTGGATCTCGCGGCCGCGGGAGGGCTCCGCCGCCGCTGCGGCGAGGCGAACGGGGACATTGTGGCTGCCGAGGGCGAGCAGGCGGCGCGTGCGCGGTCCGCAAGGGGCCGGACGGCTGGAATCGCCGCCCGGTCGGTGGGATAGGTGACTGAGAGGGCGTAGTGGGCGCAGGATGGCGTCGGATGTCCCGGGATGCGGCGTTTGGGCGTCGGCAGACAGCACCGGTGGAACGCACCGACTTTGACGACGGGGCAGTACTTCTTGCATTCCTGCTTGCACTTCTTCGGCTTGCACCTGGGGAGGGGGCCGCGGGGCGATAGTGGCGTTCAATGCAGCGGCCCGGCGAGGACGGCGCGCACCAGTGCCAGAGCTCTCGAGGGGATGTGCCGCGCAGACTCGCGGGGCGCGCGAAAACCGGCCGCGCGATCCGCGTGCGAAAAGACGACGAGGCGAACGCCGCGCTCGCGGACGGCGCCCTCGCACCTGTCGGAGCTCACGATGGCAATACGGGTGAGCGTCTCCCCGCTGGAGCCGCCTTTGTCCTTCTTGCCCATGGTTACCACGGAGCGGCACAGCGCCGTGTGGCGAGCCGAGGAGGGTCGACCCAGCGCACCGCGCGGCGCATTCAGCCGCCCGGGGCGCCCGGGGGTCTTGCCCCCCAGGTGGAGGTGTGGCACAGGCGCGCTCGCGGCCGTTGGCCGTGCCGGCCCCGGCGCGCACCGCACTCCCGGCAGCCCCCACGCGCCGCTCGCGGGGTTTCTGTCTCGTTTGTCCACGCGAAGCGAACGCGACGGAGTCCTGTGTGGTGCAGCTCCGTGTGCGCCTGCGGCTCGCAGGGAGGGCGCGTGGAGACGAGCGCAGCGTCGCACCCGCTTCTGGCAGACCGGCGATGCTGCGGCAGGCCTGCCGCGCCGCGCAGGCGAGGGCGCTGGACGTGCGGGGCCTGCTCAGAGGGTGTGGAGGTCAGGGTGCCTCGCCGTGCGCAGCTCAGGCGGATTCCGCTGGATTCGCGACCAGCACCGATGGAGCAGATAGCAGGGAGCGCGCGCGGCGGACGACGTCGCCGCGCAAGCCGCCCAGTGAGGCGCGCGGGGGGCGCGAGAGGAGCGCGAAGAAGGTGCGCGCCCCTGACGCCGCGAGCGAGCGCGTGATCCCCGTGATGCAGCTCCGCCGAGCATGTCAGTCCTGCGCGCTACGAGCAGCGGGGATCAAGCGCCTGGCTCGGGCACGCGCTTGACGCCGGCGTGCGTTGCAGGGGGGCCCGCAAGGTTTGCGCAACGATCCCTTCACGCCGGAAGGCATGGAGGAGCAGGCGCGGTCGCGCGATCCCCTGGTCAAGGGCCTTGCCCAGGCCGGCCACGGCAAGCTCTTCGCGTCCGCGTACATCGACCAGCGGTGCGTCCCAAGCGCGTCCACCCCGCCCCGCCCCGCCAACCGCCTCCGGACCGCTGCCACGCACAGCGCCGCATACACCGCCGCTGAATGCGCGCAGGGCGCTGGACGCCGTCGCGGAACAAGACCCGCAGACGCACAAGGAGATGCTGAGCAGTGGGCGCGCGGAACCCATGTCGCCCGAGGACCGCGCGGCCGGCATGGACGCCTACATCGCGCGCGACGGCTACGGGCTGTACGACGAGACCCCCGAGAACCTCGTGCGCGAGGCCGCGGAGGCCACCGCCGCGCACGCCCAGCAGGCGATGCGTCGCGCCGCTTTGATCGAAAGCTACCCGTACTTCCACCCGCCGGTGTGCGGATCGGACCTGCGGAACCTGGGGAAGAAGCAGGACCGCGGGGACCCCGCTGCGCGGCTCGACGCGGCGCGGGAGATGCTGGAACGGGAGCTGTGTTTGCCGCGCGGCGACGACGGCGCGTGGGAGGCGTACAAGGCGAAAGCCGTCGAGATCTACAACGCGCGGCAGGCCGTGATGAAGCAGGTACGGGGCGCCCGGGCCTGCCGCGCTCCGTCGCGCAGCGCACCCGCAGAAGAGCTGAGGGCCGCGGCGCGCGTGCGTGCGGTTTGCCCCCGATTTGCAGGCGTACGAGGCGATGGGCGAGACGGACATGACGTACGAGGAGCAGCGCGCGTACCTGGAGGGCCTGGTCGACGCGGCCGGCGTCGCCGACCAGGACAGCACAGGCGCTGCGACGCGGCACATGGCCATGGTGGTGCGCGAGGTGATGCGGAACCCGACGATGAACTGGCGCGTGCGCAAGCAGACCGTCGAGGCCTCGCTCGAGGCCCTCGGGTTCGCGGAGCCCCGGGGCCCAACCGAGGACCGGCGCATTGCACACACCGCCAACGCGCCGCTCTTCGAGCCGAAGAAAGCGACGGGGAAGAAGGGCAGACGCTGACGAGGACGGGCGCCGCGCGGACAGCGCGGGCCGTGTGAGCCGGGCCGACGTGCCGGTCAGCGCACGACGCGAGCAAGTGCCGTGCAGTGCGGCCGTCGCGGCAGTGCTGCGGGGATGTTTCGCGTCACGATCGCCGAAGCAGCTGCGGTGCTGCGTGTGCAGCTGCAGCGGGGAGGAATTTCCGGGGCAGGGGAGGGGGGGCGTGGAGGCGGGGCGAGGTGTCACGGCGTGCGGTGCGTGTCCTGACACCCAAGGGGGGGTGGTTTTGCGCGTCACACGTGCGTAGCTTGCCGGCAACGTTGCGCGCGAAGCGAGGCTGGCGCTGCGGGCCATGCGCTCGCGCGGCGTAGAGGTGGGGACGGGCATCGCTGCTAGTCTTGGAAACGCGACGTCGCAACAGTCTCAATCTCCTAATTCCAAGCACCCTGCTCCAGATAGCGTCCAGCGACCCGCGGGGCCCCGTGCGGCCCGCAGCGCGGCCGCGCAGGCGCACTTGCGCGCGCTTCACCGCAGCAGGCTTGCCACCTTGTCAGCGACATCCATCGCAGGCTTGCAGAACGTGTTGTACAGGGCCTTGTCGAGCTGCCGCGGGAGCAGGTCCTGGACCGTCTTGATGTGCATCACGCCGATCGCGACGACGACGACGAGCAGAACCATCAGGACCGGCACCAGCGGACTGGGCTCAGGCGCCTTCCTGCGCGCTCGGACCGTGCGACGCGCGGCGTGTCAGCGCACGGCGCCGCGGGCGAGCTAGCGCGTGCGTGGGGCGAGGCGGGGGGGGACTTGCCTGCGCGTCGCCCGGCTTGAGGCCCTGGGGCGGCGTACGGGGGCGTCCGTGCTCTTGCGCGCTCGTCCGCGGCCGCGCGCCGGCGACGGGGACTTCGCGGGGCTGCTCTTGGGCGCCGCGGCGCGGGCGCGGCCGCGCCGGGGGCTGGTCGCGGGTGCGGCCATGCGCCCCGCGAGGCGCTTGGGCGTGATCGCGGACCGCGGCGAGGCCGGGGAAGCCGCGCCCTTCGCCGCGGTCTCGTTCTTCAGCTCCTCCTCGTACCTCTTGACGAGCTCCTGCGCGCCGCGGACGCCGGGGCGAGGCGCGCGCGGTGACGAGGGGGGTGCTGGGCCCATTCGCAGCTGCTGGGGCGCCGGAGCGCCGCCGCCCCGCGCCGCTCGCGCGCCGTGCGCGCCTCGCGCGCGACGCTGACGGCATGCCAAGCGAGCGCGCGCGGCCGCGGCGCCGGGTCCGGCCCCGCGCGCGCGCGTGGCCGGGCTGTCGAGGGAATTGGTTCGAAGGCAACAACGAACGAGTGGCTCGTCGGACGGGCCGTGCGGGCGGTTTTTGGGCCGCTGGCGCGGCCACGAGCATGAGAACGGTGTCCTGGGTGCGGTCGCAGCGTCGGCGGGCGGCCGGAGCGCGGCTGGAGGGGCGTGCGGGGCGGAGAGGCGTGGTACGGGCGGTGGCGGGTTGAAGGGCCTCGAGGTCGCACGCACCGCCTTTCTGAGCTTGGCGATGTCGGTGTGGCCTCGGGCCTTGAGGTTCTCGCGCAGCTCCTTGACCTTCATGGCCGAAGGCGGCGGCGTTGACGGCGCGGCCATGCTGTGACGCGCGGGTGCTGGGCTTCGCCGGGGTGACTCGAACGTCGGTCTGAGTGGACGGGAGGCGGCGCAGTGGACGCTCGGTGCATGGCCGGGGTCGCGCCGGGGCGCCGCAACGTGCCCCGCGCCGCGCACGGGGGCCTGGCGCCGGGCAGACTGCCTCAGGCGCTCCCCGTGGGGGCTGGGCGCTCGCGGGCGCCCGCGGCTCGACGGCGGGCCGAGCGCGACGGCTCGTCCTCTTTCATTCGACGACGTAGTTGGCAAGATGGGTAAGCGCGGCAAGGGAACGGGGTCTTTCGGTGAGTTCGCGGCCTGCCGCCTCGCGCTTGCGACGTGCGGCGGGGCGGCACGGGCGGTCCCGCCGCGGCGCTCGTCGCGAAACGTGCCGTTCTTTGCGCCGGTCGCGCGCGCCCTCGCGTGCGGGGCTGCATCGGCATCGAGCGCTGGTCGAAGGCCTCCCTGCGGCCTGCCGTGGATCCCAGCGAGCGGCCAGCGCGCGCCAGAGCGCTGTTCGCAATGCAAGCGCTCGGCATTCGGCGTTTGTCCGTGCTGCGCGGCCGCAGCGGCGCGCAGGGAAGCCGTTCCCGAGGCTTGCTGGGTCCCCCGCCCCGCTGCGTGACCCCGCGCCCGCGTTTGCGCACCATGCAGGTACCCGCAACGACAAGACGCACGGCCTGTGCCGTCGCTGCGGTCGTCGGACGTGGCACATCCAGAAGCTGACGTGCGCCTCGTGCGGCTTCCCCGGCGCGCGCATCCGGAAGTGTAAGTGCCCCCCCGCGCGCCGAATTCCGCACGACAAACATTTCAACATCTGCGTGATCCGACGTTCCGCCCCCGGGCGGACCTCACAAGGCGCCGCGGAGCCCCAAAGCACGCAGCAGAGCCCACATCACGCCACCGCGGCGCCTGCGTGCCGCCAGCGCGCCCGCGACGGCCCCAGCCGAACGCCGTCCCCGCTCCCTCGCTGCCGCGCGACGCAGACAACTGGTCCGTCAAGGCCATCCGCCGGAAGACCACCGGCACTGGCCGCTGCCGGCACCTCAAGAACCTCCCCCGCCGGGCCAAGAACCAGTTCCGGGAGGTGCGCAGCTCACGACCGCAACGATACCGCCGTCGCCGCCGCCCGCCGCCCGCCAGGCGCCCTCCCCGCGCGCCCCTGGCCCCTGGAGGCCCACCTGCTGCACCCTGTGCCCCCGCTCGCTCGCAGGGCACTGAGGCCGCGCCCAAGAAGGCCGCGAACTAATTCTCGGACCATACCAGAGCGCCCCGGCGGCTTCCGCGAATACACGGACGCCGCATGGAGCGCTGCTGACACCCCAGCGCTGCGCGGACGGGCGCAGCGGACGCAGAGAGGCGCCTGCGTCGCCTCAATGTGAACCAGCTCCATCTCCTCGAACGATCCCACCGCCCGTCCGCCACCCCGCGCCCTCCCGCCACGCCCCGCGACGGCTACCACGCGACCCCAACTGCACAGCCACCCACAGGACAGCCCGCGCATCGCCGCCGCCGAGCGCGCGCCGCCGCACTCCGCCGCGCGCACGCACACCCGCCCCAGAACCCGCTGCGGCCCGCTCAGCTCGCCCCACCCTCCCAAAACGTACCACCTGCCTTCTCCCTTCGTCACATCCCCAGGCCAGCAGAGCAGCCCCCCACCGCCACACTCGCGGTCCTCCGTCCCGCGTCCTACCCCGCGGCGCCCTCACGACTTCTTCGCCGGCGCCGCGTCCACGTTGAGGCTCGAGGCGAATCTCTCGAACGCTTGTTTCATGCCGCCTCCGTCGTCCTGGTCGTCCTTCGACCAGCTCCTCCAGTTCGGCAGCTGCGACCACACAACGCACGGAACCGTCCCGGTCACGCCCGCGCAGCGCCACGCCGACCAGCAACGCACGCAAGCCAAGCCAAGCACGCCAGCGCGTACCTTGGGCGGACTGCCGGGGCGCGCCGTGGACGGGCGCGAGCCGACGGCCGACGTGGGCCGCGTGCCCACGGGGTTCCTTTGCAGCCCGTCGCGCCACTTGTTCTCCTTGCGATGCGCTTCTTTGTACGAGTCGTGCTGCACCTCGCTCTCGTGCTGCTGCCGCCGACGCTGCACGTCCTGCCGCGCCACCTGCGGGCTCGCGGCACAGGCGGCCGTCGGCACGTCGCTGCCGCAGCTGCACGCGACGACTCGCCGCGGAACGGACGCACCAGCCCCTGGCGCAGGCATCAGAGGTTGCCTGGAGCGTGTGCGCGGCTGGGCGGCGGCGCCGCGGCGCAACAGGGCGCCGCCGATGCGCTGGCACGCACGCACGTACGGCCGCGGCAGCCGCGCGCGCAAGAACCCGCCGCAGCCACATCCACGCGATCATGTAGGCGGGGCACGCACGCACCTCGTCGACGTACATCAGCTGCTCGATCTCCTGCAGCCCGAGCGCGCTCAGGCCGCCCTCCCTGACCAGCTCCGCCTCCTCGAAGTCCGTCTTCCGCGCATTCACGTCGTATTCCGCCAGCGCGGCCATCCAGTGGTCGCTCCCGTCGTCGCTACCCGCGTCCCCGCGGCCCGCGTTGCTCTGCGCCGGCGCCCCCGCGGCAGTCGCGCCCGTGCCCATGCGGGAGAGCGCGCCGCTGCGCCCCGCCGCGCCGAGCGTGCTGCGGCGCGAGAGAGACATCTCGGGCTGCATGGAGAGCGACGAGAGCGGGAAGCGCAGCAGCGTGCCCTGGTCCGTTCCGACGACGGCCTCGCGGACGTCCGAGCGGATGACGAGGGAGAGAAGCTGGTCGGGCCTCGAGAAGTTGCGCACGACCTTTCCGGATTGCGTCGACCATACGAACACCTGGCCGTCGCGGCTGCGGGGGCGAGAGGGAGTCAGGGGGGAGCGTTGGTGGGCGGTCGAAGGCTGGAGCGTCGCCGTGGGGTCGGGGCTCGCGGCGAGAGGCTCTGTCTCGCTGCAAGGGGGGTTGTGTGAAGCGAGGACGTTGCGTACCCGATGCTGCAGAGGAAGATGGATTCCGGGACCATCGCGAGCGCGGTGACCTCCTCGGTGTGGCCGCGCAGCACCTGCAGCGCCTCGGAGCGGTGGAACGCGAGCGTCCTGCCGCGCACCCACCCGGGCGGCGTCGCCCGCACGATGCGGATGTCGCAGTCCTGCCCGCCCGTGATCACGTGCTGGTCGTGCGTCGTGATGCAAGACACCCCCCCCTTGTGCCCCTTGTGCGTCCCCATGAGCTCGTACGTCCCGACAAACCACACCTTGACCACGCCGTTGGCGTCCCCCGTCAGGATCGCCTGCGCCGCCTTGCAGTACCCGACCGCGAGGATCTCGACGCCCTGGTGCGCGACGAACTTGTCCGCCTGCATCGCGTCGTTGCCGCGCCGCCGGAAGTCCCACACCGCTACCGTCCCGTCAAACGCCCCGGAGATCACCAGCGTGTCCATCGACGACACCTGCGCGATCGCGAGCCCCGTGACGCTGTTCCCGTGCTCCTTGACGCTCTGGCAGCTCCCCGTGTCCAGCTTCCACGCCTTGACGGTGCCGTCCTCGTGCCCCGTCACGAGCAGGTCGCGCGGCGTGAACAGCACCATCGCGGTCACCTCCGGCCCGCGCTCGTGCAGCACGCGCAGGCACGCCATGTCGAAGGGGTCCCACTGGCGAATGGTGCCGTCGTTCGGGCAGGAAGAAATGAGGCGGTGGTCGGCGGCGCCCACGGCGTGCCCGAGGCCGTCGCCGCTCAGGCCGCCGTCGCCGCACGTGAGGTGCGCGACGGGGCCCGTGTGCCCGCCCTGCACGATGTTGAACGCCGTGCCGCGGTCCACCTGGTAGAACACACACCTGTCAGGCATGATGGCAACAAGCTGCGTATACCCCTCGACGTCCCCGCTCTCCGCCTCGCTGATCTCGTCGTCCTTGCCCTCTTTCAGCGCGGCGTCGCGGGCGAACGAGAGGCCCGGGATGAGCCCTGGGCGCGTGTGTGGGAACGACTCGATGCCGCGAAGGGAGTCCCCGAGACCCTGCTCGCCCTCGCCCTCCGTGGTGCGTTTCACGGGTGGGTCCGCCCAGAACAGAGCGACCACGCGCTTGAACGACGTCTGCACGCGACGCAGCGGGACGCCAGCGGCGATCAGGTGTGGGACAGCTGCGACTCGACGCGCGGCTTGTTTGGCCGTGATACCGACGGCTGGGAAACAACGTTCCGCTCCTCTCTGAGCAATAGCGAAGGGTCGGGGCGGTCTCTCCGCAGCAACAATGCACCGGAGCGCACGTGTGTGTGTGTTCTAGAAGCACGCACTGCAGTCATAGCACCCTGCGCCCGCCGGGCCGCCGTGCCTGGACAGGCTGGGCGCAAGGGACGCAGGCTGAAGCGCGGCGGAGGGCGTCTCACGTTGAGCTTCATCTGCAGAAGGATCTTGCCGGCTTGCATGTCAAAGGCAAACATGTTGCCCTTGCGGTCCGCGACGAGCACGCGGTCGTCGAGCGGGTCGTACTCCACCGCGGTGAACGAGCACGCCTCCGGATTCGCCAGCGTGTGCAGCAGCTTCGGCTCTGCGGCGCCACCACACGCACCAACACCAACGTCAGTGCGCGGGAGGCAGCGGCTCACGCGCGGGGCCGGGCGGGACCGGACGGGGCGGGGCCGCGGAGCGGCAGGCTGGAGCGACAGCGGCGGCAGGCAGCAGCGGCGCCGAGCCCTCACCTCTGGACTCCAGGCGGTCCTGCACCATGAGACCTTGCAGACTGATGATTTTCATGGTGTTGTCGTAGCTCAGGACGATCATGAGGTACTTCTCCGGAACGAGGCGGATGAGGCTGATGCCGCGGTCGCCCATCATGTCCGGGTGCAGCGCCTTGCTCGGGGCGCCCTTGGCGGCGGGGGGGTGTCCGCCCAGGTCCGACAGGTACAAGTCCGGCGCCCCGGCCTCCCCGGGGAGCGTCACCATCTCCCAGATCGCCACCGTCGCGCCGCCGTCGCCCGCGCAGAACAAGTTGCGGTTCGCGTGGCGCGTTGAGATGCCCGGCGACATGGTGTTCACCCACCCGCCCATCGTGCACAGCACCTCGGTCTGCTCGAACCACGGATACACCGTCATGTCCCGGTGCGGCGACGCGCGCCAGATGCGGATCGTGCGGTCCGTCGCGCCCGTCAGCAGGTGGTGCGCCATCCCAGAGATGGAAATGATCGTGCCGCCGTGCCCGACGAGCGTCTGCACGTCGCACTGCAGCGACGTCGCGGTCTGCGACGCCGCCTTCACGCGCGGGTCCCAGATCTTCACCGTCGAGTCCGCCGCGCCCGTCGCGATCAGCCCCGAACACCGCTGCGGCGCACCCGCCCAGCTGAGGTCCAGAATGCACGACACCGGACCCTTGTGCTGTCCTGCGGCCGCACACGCCCAGGAGCAGCACGCGGGACGTGAGAACGAGCCTCCGGGGCGCCGGGGGGGGTCTAGGCGGCGCGAAGTCAGACAGGGAGCGTTGTGGACACGGAGGAGCTGCGGGGGGGGGGGTTGGCGGGGCGGGGAGGCGGGCGAGGTGCGGGACGTGTGGGTGTAGGTCGGGGAGGCGCGGGCGGGGCGCAGAGGGCGACGTCGCGGCGCACCGATGTCTTTCGGGCTCTTCTTGGCAGAGGGGAGGTGCATCATGAGGACGCCGCCGTCGTCGAGGCCCGCGAGAATGGCCTGGAGGTCCTGGCGGAAGATCCCGCACGTGATGACGTACTTCTTCGTGGGTTTCCCGCCCACTGAGAAGAGACTTTCGCGCGGCAGCTGCATCGTGACCTGCAAACGGACGCTCCACGGGGCCGACGTCGCTGTGTCGGGCGTGTCTGGGACGGGCAACGATGTCGAGCGATCGCGGGTCGTGCGCGCCGGCCCCGAGCGCGAGAAACGACGCGTAAAAGCGTAGCAGAGCGTGCTCTTTTGAGGGCAGCCCCGGCCGCATTTGCCGCACGCGCGGGCGCGCCCACGCACCTTGGAGATGATCTCCGTGGAGAACTCATACTCCTCTTCCGGGTTCACGGGTGGCGAAACGCCGTCCATGACTTCGCGAGCGCCTAGCGCGCCCCGGGACGACACACAAACGTTGGCGATTCGCGGCCCCTGCGCGACCCCACGAGATGCTCAGGGACCCAGCGCGACGGCTCGGGCACTCATGCTCTACCGAAGCGTGTCCGTGGCGCAACCGCGCCCGACCGGGCCCTCGAGGCACCCGTCGCGGCCGCCCGGCATGCACGAACACGCGGACGAGTCCCTTCCAGAGCCGCAAGCGCGCGCGGAAAGCCTGCTCGTGCCGATTTGGTTGGTCCTCGGCCAAGATATACCTATGAACGCCACCCCGACGCGTGCGTCGCCTGACACAGAGCACAAAGCACGCCGGACGCGCGCGGAGAAGGAGGTAGCAAGGACTTCGAGGTCACGTGCGCGCAGATATTGCAATACAGGGGCTGGAGTATCACCAGAAAGACAGAGTGCCGCGACCAGAAGCACGCGGAGCCGAACGCGGCCGCTGCCGGCGCTCCCAGACGCGCTTGTACCCGCCAGTCGTGGGGCACGGAGGCCTCACGCCACGCCCCGCGCGCGCCCGTCCGCGGAGTCGCGATGACGGCCCCACGCGCGGCCCCCGGCGCGCAGTCCATCGCTACCGGCCCGGCCAGCAGTGCAAGCGTCCGCGAATTATAGCGCCAGTCCGCACACAAGCCCAACACCTCTCTCGCAGGCCCGTCTTGCGTCCGTCCGCGCGTGAGGGAGCGAGGGGCGTGCTCTCGAGGGAGATCTTTGGCAGAGTAGTGCCGCCAGGCGTCGTTTGGAGGGTGTTATTCGCTACAGCTCCGCCCTCGGCCGACGATGTGCGATAGAGTGCGCAAGCCGATGCCGCAGCGGGCGCCGGACCGCAACCGCCCCTCGGCCATCATATCGCCGAGCATCCTCTCCGCGGACTTCGCGCACCTCGCGCGCGACTGCAACGACGTCCTCGCTCACGGCGCAGACTGGCTGCACGTTGACATCATGGTACGTTCTCGGCGCCGCCACCTCGCTCCGTCGCCCGCGGCGTGCGCGCTCAGCATGGTGGCGGGAAGCGCTGGTCGCCGCGAGCGGGCCTGGGATGGCCACGGCGCGACGAACACAGCCCGGGTAACCCCAGTGCTAGGCTGCGTCGCCCGCCGCGCACGTGCCGCGTCGTGCTGAGATATTTCAGCGGAGGACTGCAATTTATCCGTGAGTCTTATCTCTGCGCGCAGGACGGCCACTTCGTCCCGAACCTGACGATAGGCCACCCTGTTGTCAAAGCCATCAGGAAACACACGACTGCGTTCCTGGACTGCCACCTCATGGTCTCAGACCCAGCCAAGGTGCGAGAACAGCGCGATCCACGTCGCTGACGCCGCACGAGAAACCGTGTTCGCGCACATGTATCCCGCGCGCGCGCCGCCCAGTCTGCGGCTCTCTGCGGGCGCCCCCGCTTCGTGCGGGCCCGCGCCGGCCCGTAGCGCCGCCGGTCAAGGCGCGGTCTCGCCGGTCGCGCGGCCCGGAGAGGCAATGTCGCGCCGAGACGCCGCGCTGAGGCGACCGGAGGGGGTGCAACCAGTGCGGTTCGTTGCGTGCATGGCCGCAGTGGGTGGACGAGTTCGCGAAGGCCGGCGCGGACATGTTTACGTTTCACATCGAGGCCTTCGACCGCGACGAAAGCCTCGCGGAGGGCGCTGCAGGTGCGCCCGCAGCGCACCATCTCCAGACTGTGCCTCAACCATGCGGGGAAAACGCACGGGAGTCGAGAATTCGTGACTGAGGTTTCCCCGAGCGTTCCCAATCGCAGACCCCCGCGTGCTCGCGCTGCTGGCGCGCACGCGCGAGCTCGGGATGCGCACGGGCATCGCGCTGTGCCCGGAGACGCCCTGGGGCGCGCTGCTGCCGTACGCCGCGGAAATAGACATGGCGTTAGTCATGACGGTGCGACCAGGCTTTGGTGGTCAAAAGTTCATGCCCGAAACCATGGAAAAGGTGCGCGCGCCCTCCCGCCCGCGCGGCACGCGCCGCCTGCGCCGCGCGCACGCAACACATCCCGCGCGGCCATCGCCCCATCGAACGCGGGCCCGCGCCGCAGCCACCCCCCGTTGCGACGCGGCGGTTGCCCCCGACGACACCGCGACGCGCGGCGACGCGGTGCAGGTGCGGGCGCTGCGGGAGCTGTACCCGGACCTCAACATCGAGGTCGACGGCGGGCTCTCGACGGCGACGATCGAGGCGGCGGCGGAGGCCGGCGCGAATGTCATTGTGTCGGGCAGCGGGGTGTTTTGCGTCGAGAAGCCCGCGGTCGCGATCTCCGACATGCGCGCCGCGATCGAGGCCGCGTCGAGGTGAGGGGCGGGGGCGTGCGGGCGGTGGAACTGGCGGCGGCGGTGCCGTGCTGGTGCAGGGAGTGTGGGGCGCGGTGTGGCGGAGGGAGGGGGCGCGGCGGACGAGGTAGGGGCGCCACGGTGGAGACAGAGTGATTTGTGATGCGGTGGGAGGGAAAGTTCGGGCCTTTGCGGGCTGTCTGAGTCAGGGGCGGGCGGTGGCAGGAAACGGAGCAGAGGGGTCTGTGCCGTTGGGCCCCCCCCGGGCGCTCCTGGCGCGATCAGCGCGCCGCGGGGGCGCGGCAGTGGTAGTTTGCCGCCCTCGTTGCACGCGACCGGCGTGAGGTCCCTCGCACGCGCCTCCAGCGCGCTTTCGGTGCTGCCACGCTACGCTGGGTCGAATGCGGCGCCCTGCGTGACGATCGGTTTCGCATGGGCTCGGTCCTCGCTCGCGCTTGAGAGAGCTTCGCGCGCAGGAGCTTCGCGGCCGCAAGGGCCGCCGTTCGCGTCGCGCACGGGCCCCGACGCGCGCGGAGCGCTGGCGACGAGCCCGAGATGACTCCCGCGGCGGGCGCCCCCGAGGGCGGCGCTGTTGCCGGCGGGCACGTGTCCGACAGCGACGAGGACGCGAAGCAGGCGCAGGTCGGGAAGGAGACGTGGGTGCAATGCGACAGATGCGACAAGTGGCGTCGAGTGCAGCAAGCGCTCCTAGCGGGCTTCAAAGACGACGACAGCTGGTGCGGAGCGCACACCGGCCTGCTCTCACACGCCGTAGCCCGCGCCGCCCTGAACCGTCAAGTTCCGCGTCGCGCAAGAAGAGCCCGCCTTTCGCCTCCCTGCACGCTCAACGTGCGCTCTCCGCAGTGCTCCGCCAGCGCCCCGCAACGCCGCTCGTGGCGCGGCGCAGCCGTTCTTTCGAGCCTGAGCAAGGACGCGGCTGCGTCAGGGGGGTCTCAAGCGCACGTAGAGCTCTGGAATGCCGTGCCCTGCCGGGTTTTTGGCTCCCGGCGCCTTGTTTGCTGGGACGGCGGGGCCGTGCGGGGTTGCTGCGCGCGTCGCGCGCGCTTCCCAGGCTGCCACAGCCGAGAGGGTCGCGGTCGCGGCGCCGCGCGGAGTGTATGTGTCCGGGCGAGCGCCGCGCCCCGAGACGGGCGGCGACGCAGCACGAGGGCGCCGGGGCGGGCGGCGTGCGTCTCAACCGGCCGCGTTTGTGCGCTTCGCTGCGCAGGACGTGCGACATGAACACGGACGCGAAGTTCGCGAGCTGCGAGGTGCCGCAGGAGATGACGGACGAGCAAATCGATCAGCTGGAAGCAGGTGCGGCTTTTTCCCGCGACGCAGCGACCGCCTCCGGCGCATTCCGGGCGTGGCGCTTCAGACTGCCGCCGAGAGCGAATTCACCGCGCCAGACGTGCACCACGCGGGCGCTGCACGGCGCTGCCGCGCTTTTGCTTCTCAACACCCACGGGCGCCATGCGCCCGTGCCCGCGCGCCACCGGCGCGTCTGTGCCCCCGGCATCTCGAGCACGCCATGACCGACGCGCTCGGCGCCCGAGACCTCAAAAAACACCGGCCCACGACCGTCGCCCCCACCTCCATCTCACCGACGCAGATCCTGCGCCCAAGGCCCGCCCGTTCGACCACCACAAGATCCCCCAAGTCTGGCAGCGCATCCTCTCCAGCATATATCTCTACCGCAAGAAGCGCGTCACCGACGAGGACGACATGGTTTGCATGTGCGCACCGCGCACGCGTGCCGACGGCTCGCAGTTCGGCTGTGGGTCCGACTGCGTCAACCGGCAGCTCTTCATCGAGTGCAACGCCGAGTCCTGTCCCTGCGGCACGCTCTGCAAGAACCAGATGTTCTCCCGCCGCGAGTGGTGCAAGCTCCGCGTCGACCGCGCTGGCGGCAAGGGGTTTGGGCTGTTCGCGGACCAGGCCGTGCCGAAGGGCGGGTTCGTGATCGAGTACGTCGGCGAGGTCATCGACGAGGAGGGCCACGAGCGCCGCCGCGCCGCGTATCTCGAGCAGGGCCAGCGGCATTATTACTTCATGAACATTGGCAACGGCGAAGTGATCGACGCGTGCCAGAAGGGCAACCTCGGGCGCTTCGTCAACCACTCGTGCGAGCCCAACTGCGAGACGCAGAAGTGGAACGTCGGCGGCGAGATGGCCATCGGCTTCTTCGCGCTGCGCGACATTGCGGCCGGCGAAGAGATTACGTTCGACTACAACTTCGAGCGGTACGGCGACCGGCCCGTGCGGTGCCTGTGCGGGTCCGCGTCGTGCCGGACGTTCATCGGCGGGTCCGGCGAGGGCATCCCCGCGGAGGCGACGTTCGCGGAGGTGGACGACTGCTCGGACGACCCATGGTACATTGAGGTGGCGAAGGAGGCGGAGCTCGAGGCGGAGATGCAGAAGTACGGCATCCCGACGATCGCGGAGCTCGAGGGGCCCATCGACGCCAGCGCGCCCCGGCGGAAAGGTGCGCCGACCCACCGCACTTCTTGCGCAATACACCCCCACCGCTCGTGGCTGTCGAATTGGCCCCCTCGCGCAGCTTGCCGTTCCGACTCCCGCGCCCCCGCGGCTCCGGCGGTGCCAGTGCGCTGGGCGCGACATCGGATCACACCTTGCGTGCGCTCACTCGTCCAATCTATAACAAATTATAAGTGTTATTTGTTATTTGTTATTTGTATTTGTTGTTCGTGCAGGCAAGAAGGGGAAGAAGGCGTCGAAGTCGGAAGCGCGCGAGTCGTCCCCTCCGCGCGCCAAGCGCGACGCGAAGAAGCAGGCCGACGCAGCCGCCGATGCCGGCGGCGCGCGCAGGGACGCGTCCGCGCTCCCGCCGCGGCCCAAGCGCGTCGCGGACAGCAGCGGCGACGAGGACGACGACGTGCCCCTCGACGTCGCGCGCCGCGCGGCGCAGAGCGCGGGGCAGCGCACCTCCGCGGGCGCGGACGACAAGGAGCGCAGCGCCACGCCCGGGCCGCGCGCGCCGTCGCCGTCGGTCGCGGCGTCCTCTCTGGACCGCGCACGCAAGAGCGCCGGCGCGGGCGCGTCCCGGCAGGCGATGGTGATGCCGTGGCAGATGATTCCGCGGATACAGCGGCGGTCCGAGGTGGAGCGCAAGCTCGACGGGATCACGCTAAAGTCGGGTGGTATCCGGGACAGTGACTGCGCGCTGAAGCTGCTGCGCCTGTTCAACATCTGCCTGCCCGGGGCCGGCACGAGCGTGGACGGGACGGAGATCACGGGGCAGACGCGCGGGCGCATTCGCGACCTCAGCATGGTCCTGGAGGTGGTGCTGACAACAAAGTGCGCCGCCCGCTCCCCGCGCACCTCGCTCGGAGATTCCCGCCCCGCTGCCGCGAGGGACCCGTACCGGTACAACCGATGCAGGACGGGTCCTCCTTCTTCCGCGTTCCCTGCCATGTATATCCTGCGCGAACGCCGTCGCCGCGAATCTGCACGCAGTCTTCCACGCTCCTCCTCCCGCCACGCCGCACTGCAGGGGCCGCGCGCTGAAGCAGGCGATCGTCAAGGCCGGCGCGCTGCAGCAGCTGATGTACGTCATCCAGCGCCTCGTCTCCGTCCCCTCGGCCAACACCTACACCATGATTGAAAAGGCCCTGACCGTCCTGCGGCACCTGCGCGTCAGCAGGCAGGAGCTCGAGTCGACGCGGTCGTCGCAGACGAACTTCGCGCAGTACATCGCCACCCTCGCGGTGTCCAACATCCTGCGCGCGAACCCTGCGCGCGAGGCCGCCCGCGTCACCGCCAAGGAGCTCAAAGTCCCCCTCCCCGACTTCGCCGGGCCGGGGGGGTCCGGACACACCCCCGGGGGACCGCCCGGGAGCGACCCGCGCGGGACGCCGTTCCGCCGGTCCGGGGGGATGCCGCTGCCGACGCCGCCGGCCGCGCCGCGGCCCTCGCGCGATGTGGACGGTGCCGACGGGCAGCGCGGCCTCCCGCCGCCGCCCCCGCTGGGCGGCCACCGGGACCGCATGCCCTCCGGCGACGCGCCCAGGCGCCGCAGCGAGCCGATGGCTTCGCCGCCGTTCCGTCCGCGTCGCGACGACCCGCCGTACCGCGAGCGTGGAGCCTCCCCGCCTCGTGACCGCGGCAACCAAGAGCGACGCGACAGCGACAGGAACAGGGACGCTGAGAGGCCGCGGGCGCGGCGGGGGAGCCGCTGGGGCCAGGCGCCGGACGTGGGGGTGTTTCCGCCACCCCCCCCTCTGCCGACCAGCGTGCTCGCCGAGTCGGACGCAGAAATCGCGCGCAGGTTCCCGCTGCCGCCGCCGCCGCCGCCGGAGCCGGAGCCGGAGCCGGAGCCTCAGCCGGAGCCACAGCCGGCGAACTCTGCGGAGTCCGGCGAGATCGTCGACGGGGGGGGGAGTGACAAGTCACGCCCCGCCTTCATCAGCCCGTTCAGCGGCGGCACCAACCCGCTCGGGCGCAGCGGGTTCGCGCTGGACCTCGGGCGCCGCGCGGACACGGCGGCGGGCAAGCGCGCGTTCCCCGTCGAGCTCGGAATCGGCGCACCGGGGTCGGCCGCCTGGGACGTGCGCAGCGTACGCCCCCGCGTGGACGACGGGGGGGTTCCAGCGGCTGACGCAGCGGCGGTCGCCGCGGCCGCGGCAGGCAGCAGCCCCTGGGCGCTCCTCGCGGGCATCACGCCCGCGGCCCCGGCGCCGCCCGCGGCGGTGCCAGACGACGGCCAGATGACGTCGGGTCATACTTCAACAGTCCCCCACATCCCCGCGGGAACCCCGAGCCTGGTCGCGGCCGGCAGCGGGGGCTCCGAGGAGGCCGCGGAGGTGCATGCGTGGGACGAGCCCGGCCCGGGCTTCCGCGAGTGGGTGAAAACGGTGCTCCAGAAGTTGCTGTGGGGCTACGTGAAGCCGGACGGGGGCAGCGGGGCGGACGAGCTGCGGCTGGACGAGTCCACGGCGGCGGACCTGCTCACGCGGCTGTCGTGCGAGGTAGTGGAGCGGGAGATGGAGGCGTTTCGGCAGCGCAGGCACCTGGGGCAGCAGAAGGCTATCGAGGCGGTCAAAGTGGAGGGCAAGCTGCGGCAGATGGTCGTCAAGTACGTGGTCAGGGCCAGCAAGGGCCAGCTTTGACCCCGTGGCGGTCCTGCGTGCTAGCTGCGCGGGGTGTGACACCACTGCGTGGCGCTCGCACGGCGCCGGCCGGACGCGGACGCGGCGCAGGTGGCGCGGTATTGCTTGTAGGTGCTACTGGGAGCGTAGCTGCGGGGCTTTCGCCGGCCGTTTCGGACCCGGGGTGTTGGCTGCGTTCAAGTGTCGTACCGTAACTGGCAACGGGCACGTCGTATGGGTGCTGCGGCGCGCGTGTTCTGCAGATTTCAGGCGCTGAGGCGGCGGCTAGCGATCTGCGGTCCGACGCAAGGCAACAGCGGGCCTCGGGAGGCGCAGGCGAGCGCGTTTCCGCGCCGCAGGAGTGATGGCCACTGGCGGAAAATGAGCGGCTGGCAAACGAGGCTGCCGTGGGGCGGCGGTGATCCGGCGAAGAAGCCGGACGTCGTCACGGAAAGCGAGCAGCAGCGCAAGCTGGACGAATGCGGCCTGCTTAGCTCGCCCGAGGACGACTATCAGGTGCAGGCTCAACGAGCTCAGCGGGCGGGAGGCCCACTGAAGCGCCATCATCTAGTAAATACGACGGTTCCGTAGAGTTTCGGGATGCTCAGCTCCGGTGTTTCGAACTTATACTAAGCGCAGGGGCTGGAAGACCGGGCACGCGCAGGTTTCGGCGCCATAGTCGACCCAGCACCGGGCCTTCCCGCTGGAGGCTGGCCCGCGCCGTTCGGGGACCCGCATGGCGATGGAGGCCCCAAGGTCTCGAGACAGATGCAGCCGGCGATGAGCGGGGCCCACGACACGTATGCAGCGCCGCCGTGGCGGCAGGCGGAAAGCTTCGGCGTCGTACCAAGCGCACCGTGGGGCGGCGCCGCGCGCTCGCGCAATCCTTTCGCGCACCCAGAGCCCGCTTCTAGCTCATTCGCGCCTTGTGCGAGCGCGGACTACTCGAACGCGCGCCCGGAGACAGCACCGTCGCCTTGTGCACATACGCCGGGTTACGTCGCCGTGGCCAGCCGGCACCTCGCGCCGGCACGCGCGGCGCAGCAGCCCGCGACCACGCCGAGCACGGTGGTGATGCGCCCTGACGCGACGAACGGCGCTGCCGACCTGACAGGAGACGTCAGTCCCCCCCTGCGTCACGGCAACGCCTGCGCCGGCACCAGGACGCTCGACGGCCTGTGGAGCCGCCCCAGCGACGCAGCTGAGCCGCACGCGGCCGTCAAGCGCCCCCGGACGCAGACGCCGCCGCGTGCCGAGCAGCGGTCCTCGTCGCGCCATGCCGCTTTTGCCGCGAAGCTCTGCGGCGCTGCCGACGCCGCGGACGCTCCGGAGGGGCAGCGCTGGGAGTGGCTGGGAAGCGAGCGGCGGGACGCGGCGGGCCGGCGCCCGGACGAGCCAGGTGCGTCAAAGAACGCACGAAAAATCATTTCATTTAGACATAGAGATATAAAGATAGATATTTCATTTAGACATAGAGATAGATATGCATAAAGGGATAGAGACACGCAGTGGCACCGCCGGCCATCATTTCTGCCGCTGCGCTCGGCCGCGGTGTCCAGGCCAGTTGCAGTCATCGTGCCTCTCCGTCGCGTCCATGCGCGCAGGGTTCGACCCGACAACGCTGACGGTGCCGCGCGAGGCGCTGGCGCGCATGACGAAGTTCGCGCGGCAGTACTGGCGGCTCAAGTCCAAGATGATGCACGTCGTCCTCCTCGTGCGCGTCGGGGCCTTCTACGAGCTCTACGACACTGACGCGGACCTCGGCCTCGAGGTGCGCGACGACCCCCGCGCCGCAGCGAGCCACTCGCGCACTCTCACGCGCGGCGGGGCCGCCTCTCACCTCAGCCGCTCTGATGCGGGAGTTTCCGCGGCCGCAGATCGGGTTGACTATGTGCGGGAAGGAGACGGCGAACATGTACAAGGTGGGGTTCCACGAGGGACAGCTCGACGTGTACGTCGCGCGGCTGCTCTCGCGCGGCCGCATCGTCGGGCGGGTCGAGGAGATGCCGGGCACCAAGAACCAGGAGGGCCTGGTGTCGAGAAAACTGGTGCAAGTTTATACTCCTGCGTCAACGCAGCCGCAGAGCGACCCGTTCAGCCCGGCGCGGCGCGCGAGTGCGAGCGCGGACACGTGTGTGGATGCTGCGTCGTCGGAGTGCGTGCTCGCGCTGGTGGAGGCGCGTCCGGGGCTGCTGGGGGTGTGTGTGGTAGACACCTCCCTGTGCGTCGCGGAGGTCGGGCGGTTCGTGGACGGGTTCCTCCGCGTGCATCTCGACGCGCTGCTCGCGCAGTACAGCCCGCGCGAGATCGTGACGGTGCGCGGGAACCTGTCCGGTGAGACCGCGCGCTGCGTGCAGAGCCACTGCCGGCGGGCCGCGGCGAACGGCGGCGCGCCGGGCGCCGCGGCGTGCGGCGTGACGCGCACGGAGCTGCGGCCGTCCGCGGAGCACGGCGCGGTGATGACGTCCAAAGCGCAGCTCGACGCCTTCCGCGCGTGGCTCGCGGCCACGTCAGGGGGGGGACTCTCGAGGGGAGTCCAAGCCGCGATCAGCTCGCACCCCGCCGCGGCGTCCGCGACGGAGGCCGCCGTCCGCCACCTGCACGCTGCGGGCCTTGCGGCGCGGCTTCTCGCTCTGGGAACCTTCCGGCCGCTGCAGATGCAGTCTGCCGCTGGCCCGCGCCGGAGCAGCACAGGCGGGACGGCGGGGTCCCAGAAGACCGCCAGCGCGCACATGCTTCTCGGCGGGACCGTTCCGTCGGTCCTCGGGCTCGTGCCGGCGCCTGGAGACCCCCCGGGGGGGGGTCACGGGTCGCTGCTGTCCCTCGTGAGCCGCGGGGCGTCGCCCGCGGCCCGGCGGCTGGTCCGGCGGTGGATGCTGCGGCCCTCCGCGGACGTGGGAGAGATCGAGTCGCGGCTGCGGTGCGTCGACGCGATGCTGGCGAACGCGGACGCGGTGTCGGCATTCCAGGGCGCGCTGCGGGAGCTGCCGGACGTGCAGCCGCTGCTGGTGCGGGTGGTCGCGGCGCTGCGGTTCGCGGCGGAGCTGGGCGGCGGAGGGCAGGGGGACGCGGGGGGGAGTCCGGGGCGGTTCGCCGATTTGCTAGGGTTGGTCGAATCGGATGCTGAGGCAGGGGAGCTGGCTAGCGACGTGGACCCGCGCGCCGCTGCGTCAGGTGCGTTGCCGTGCGTCCAGGCGACGCGTCCGCAGTTGCCACGACATTCGAGAATCGTCGAACGCCACTCGACGCCGCGCATGACTGCTGTGGTGCTCCGCAGCGCCCCGAACGCTCTCCCGAAGCCCGCCCGCGCTCGCAGGTGCTGCGATGACAGACGCGAAGCTCCGTGAGGTCGTGAACCTCATTTCCTCGATGCTCGCCCTCGCGGACGCCACAGGCCGCTTCGCCTACATCCTCGCCGCCCCAGCCGGCTCCCAGGCGTCCACGCCCCCGGCAGGCACCCCGGCACAGATCGCCGCGGCGCTCCAGAACGCCCGCGCCGCCGTCGGGCCGCTGAAGGACCTCGGCGCACGTCTGTCGATCGAGTCGTTCACGGATGGCACGGAGGCGGTGCGGCCGCGGGAAGGCCTGAGCGCTGCGTTCGACGCGGCGCTGGCGGAGCAGGAGGCGTGCGAGGTGGCGGTGCTGGAGGCGCAGCGGGGCGTGAAGGCGGCGATCGCCGCGCGCACCGACCCGCAGGCGCACGCGCGTCTCCTGCGCGGGGTCGTGGGGCGGTCGCACGACTGGACGGTGGAGTGCAGCCGGAAGCTCGCGCCGTTCGTGCCCCCGGAGCTGACCGTCGTGAGGGAGGCGCACGCGAAGGTGAGACCCCCGGGAACTATATATTATATTCATCGGTCAGACCCCCCCGCTTGGCGAGCTGCGACCGCCAATCGATTCGCTCTCCCTCCGCGGGGAACGTCGCGATCGGTCTCGTACTAGTGGACGATAGGTTCGCTCGTGCCGGCGCGCGGCGCGCCCTGCACGCCCGAATTGCCACCGCACGTCGTCCGACGGACGTCCGCCGGAAACGAATGACGCGGGAATCCTTCCCGCACACGTGCAGATATGGGTCACGAGCGCCGCGCTCCGCTCCGCCGGCGCCCGCGTCGACGAGGCGCGCGACCGTTCCGACGCGGCCCTCGCGTCCGTCGTCACGGACCTCGCCGACGTCTTCCTCAGCAAGTGGACTCTCTGGCAGACCCTCCTCGACGACTGCGCGACCCTCGACGCCCTAGCTGGCTTCGCCGACGTCGCGGCGCGCCCCCCGCGCGGCCTCCCGTTCTGCCGCCCGACCGTCCTGCCGTCAGGAGACACCCCCCTCTTCGAGGCGCGGGGGCTCTGGAACCCGGTTCTGACGCTCGCGCGCCCCCACGCGGCCGCGCAGCGCGACGGCGCTGCCTCGCGGGCTCTCGGCGGCGGCATCGTGGCGAACGACGTCGCGCTGGGCGGCGAGTGCGCGGCGATGATGCTGTTGACGGGCGCGAACTCCGGCGGCAAGACGACGCTCATGCGCGCGACGTGCGTGGCGTGCGTGCTCGCGCAGATCGGCTGCTGGGCGCCCGCGACCGCCCTGCGCCTCACGTGCGTCGACCAGGTGTTCGTGCGTATCGGCGCGGAGGACCGCATCGTCGACGGCCACTCGACGTTCTACGTCGAGGCGCTGGAGGCCGCGGCGTGCCTGAACAACGCCACGCGGAACTCCCTCGTCGCGCTCGACGAGCTCGGCCGCGGCACGTCCACGCACGACGGCTACGCCGTCGCCTTTGCGGCTCTGCACTACCTCGCGACCCGGACAGGCTGCCGGGGACTGTTCGCGACGCACTACCATGCGCTCGCGGCGGAGGCGGCGCTGGCGGGGCGCGTGCAGGTCGCGCACATGGCGAGCGACGCCGACGAGGAGGGGGTGTTTCGGCCGCTGTTCAAGCTGAGTCAGGGACCGGCGCCGGCTGGGAGCTGCGGGATCCGCGTGGCGGAGATGCTGGGGCTGCCGCGGAGCGTGGCGGCGCGTGCGGCGGAGGTGTCGCGTGGGCTGGAGGAGGGGTGCGTGACGGGGCTGCGTGCTGGTCCGACGGCGCGGGGGGTGTCGGCGGGGGAGTGTGGGGTGGCGGGGCAGGTGGTGCGGGCGCTGGTGGGGCTGCTGGAGGCGGAGCGGACGGTGGGGCTGTCGCGCGTCGGGGACGTGTGGGAGGTGGAGCAGATGACGGAGGCGGAGCGCGAGGCGGTGTGGCGGTCGACTGCGGAGGTCGCGGCAGCGTGGCAGGCGGCGCAGGCAACGGGGGCGGCATGAAGCGGGCGGGGACGGAAGCGGCTGAGAACCGTGGTGCACCGGCGGAGAAGCTGTCGGTCAGGGGGGTGCGCATATTCGCGCGACGAGTCGGGACATGAAAAGAGGATACATCAACACATTATATATGTCTGTGTGAAAGATGAGACTATGAGCGAGCGTGCGGCGTCAGTGCTCGCCTCGCGTGTTCGTCGCTGAGCGAGCGCGCGCGGTGCCGCTGGCCGCTGGCCGCGTCGCGCCCGGCACCCGCCCGCAGGCCTCTTCGACTCACAGGTGTTTGAAGATTCCTATCTCGTAGAAGAACACATTGATGACCCAGAAGATCACCGGGTTGAACACGACGAGGTACCGCACCATGTCCAGCAGCTGCGACCAGTACACGCTGCCCCGGTCCCACGGCTTGCTATTGAGGCTTCGCAGCCCGCGCAAGTCGACTTTTTCCAAACACGTCGGACACGTGTCCTTCTTCCCCACCAGCAGCCAGCCCTTGACGCACATCTCGTGGAACCGGTGCCGGCACGGCAGCGTCACCGTCGGGTCCGACCGCTCCTCCAGCTCGTCTCCGGGCCGCAGCGCGCCGCCCGCCAGGACGCGGCTGCACACGCCGCACCGGTTGACCGACGTGGCGAGGCGGCGGCCGCCGGAGCCCATCGTGGACGCCATGATCTCGCCCGCGAGCTCCGCGCAGTCCCGCGTCACCACCCCGAAATAGCACCCGTACCATTCGAGAAGTATAATTGTATTGGGAGACACAACTAGGAACTCGAGGGGGCCGAATCCGATGAAGGCGCCGAACATGAGCGCGATGCCGAAGGAGCCGACCAGCACCGAGGCGTTGTACGTGCCGATGAACCACGTGTACGCCAGGCGGGGGGTGTTTTGCGCCAGCGGTTTGCGCGTCGAGAGGTACAACACGAAGCCCGTCGCGGCCGAGTACGCCAGCCAGACGAGGATGAAGCGGACGAAGCCGAGCCGGATCGCGATGCCGAACGGCACGAACCACAGCCCGATCAGGCTCACGACGTCGTACGAGCGCTTGTGTCGTTTCCGCCACTGCACGCACGGGCCACGCAATGGGGCCGATTCCGCAAACCCACCGGATACACGCCCGCCGCATGCATCGCGTGTGCAGCACGGGTTCGTGGGAGCGTCGGGCCGCACCTGGACGAGCGCCAGCTGCGCTAGGACGATGAAGATGATGGTGGTATAAAAGACGAAGACTGTCTGGCCGGGAGTGAGCTGCTCCTGCTCGCCCCAGACGTACTTGTGCGACGCCGTGCCGTTGTTGAGCATGAGCGACTCGCGCACGAGGACCAGCCCTGCGAGCGTGGGCGCGAGCCTGTGAGCTTCAGCTGCCGAGCGCGGAGCGCTTCAGGCGGGGCGCACGGCGGTGCGCGCGACACGTGCCGTCGGGCTTGAGGGCGGGGGTGGCATTTTGGGGCCGCGGGAGCGGAGGTTGCGCGGGCCGGGGAGGTGACGCTAGTGGTGAGGAAGGGTCGCGGTTCAACGCCTATGTAGAGGATCATGAGCCCGACGGACACGGTTGACGGATTCAATAGCCCAATATCTACGTTTGAGGAGGGAGAACGTGGCCAAAGAGCACGCTCGCTGTCCCCAAGCGCCCGTGATCATTCATGCAGCTTTGCGACGGGCCCACGGGCTCCTCGAAGCGCGAGAGCCGCGCTCCGAGCGCGTGAGGGCAGGACGGACCTGTGTGGTTCTTCGCCGGATCCGCATACATCGCCAGGACCTCCTCCTTCTCGGCTTCGCTCAACGACTTGAACGGCACAGCATCGCCCCACTCTGAGATGACCTGGATCGGGTCGCCCGCGGCCGCCGTGGGCGCCCCTGGCCGCGCCTCCATGTCTAGTTCGCCCATTCTGGACCGGCCTCGTGACTATACCACCGCCCAGCGCCCGGCGTCAGGGGCGCGGCGCTCCTCTGCGCAGCGAAGGGCGCGACAGCGCGTGAACCCGTTCGCAACCAGATGGTTGGTGGCCGGACGTCGAGTCTTGAATGCTCAGAGATTCGTTTCGTCGGCTTTGCGGGCAAGAATCATCAACAGGGCTGACAGGGAAACAAAAGGAGGGAGAGAGGCCAACAACAGTGTGCGTTGAACGCTTCCAGTCGCGGCTGCCTCACGCTGAAGGATCGGAACCGAGACTGTCTGGCGTGCGGAGGCCGCCCGAGGCAATGGCAGCGCGCCGGCTCCGCTCGGAGGCTCGTGCCGACTGACAACTTTAAACAGTCCCCCGGAGTGGTGTTGACTCTGTTTTTCCACCGTCAACTGTCTCGTCGCGCCCCCGGACCGCGCACAGCCGCCTCCGCGTGATCCGCTGTTCCTCGCGAACCCCGCATCGCCTCTGGCAGGCGTTGGCAATGCCACTCACACCCCCTTCACAGCTCACTGTGCTGCCGTCGCGTACGCCTCCGCCCGCGGCTTCACCACCCGCCAGAACGCCTCCACGTCCACGCCCTCCACCTCCAGCACGCTCTTCTGTTTCCTACTCTTCCGCGGCTTCTTCTGCCCCCCCTGTTGTTTCTTCCACGGCATTGGCATGTCCACCAATGTCGAGGGTGCCCTCCGCATCAGCCGCACCGCCGCCTCCCGTACCGCCGCCTCCTCCTCCCTCACCTCCGACACCGCCCCCGCCTCCCACTCCTCCGCCAGGTCCACAATCACCAGCAGCACCGCAATGCGCTTCACGTCTGACATCAACACGATCCCGAGGCTCCCCGCCGGCCCGCTGTCCAGCCAGCCCCCCCATCCCTCGTTGCGCTCGCACGCGCGCACCAGCACCCTCCACTTCAGCTCCACCACCTCAATGTCGCACCGAGACACCAAGTGAGGGCACGACATGATGGTGCCCGCCACGCACGCCCGCCCCACCCTCCCCGCCATCAGATCCATCAGCTCGCCTAAGCGCCCCTCCACCGTCTCCTCGCGACCCGTGAGCAGCGCTGGCGCGGTCCCGATCATCTTCGTTGCCACACCCTCCACACTCGCACCCGCCTTCGCCCAGTGCGCCCGGCTCCCGCCGCGCTGCTTCCGCCCCGCGCCCTCCCCCGCCCCCGCCGCGCCCTCGCCCCCTCCCGACACCCCCGCACGCTCCCGCACATCCCCAAGCAGCCCGCCCACAATGTCCTCCAAGGCATGCCGCTTCGCCTGCAGATTTTCGGTCGAGAGGTGCAGCACTTCCGGCCTTGCGCGTATCGTTTTCGCGACGGCCACGTCCCCCTCCGCGCCCTCGCCAGCGCGCAGCACCTCCCGCAGCCCCTCCACCTGCACCCACCACATGTGTACACAGCCGCACCGCGTAACGGGCCCCGCGCCCGCCGCGCACACCCCCCCCCACACATGCACATGCCCGCCCCACTACAGCAGCGAGCCACGCATCACGCTACCACACCTCTCTCGCACGCGCTCACCTTTCGTCTCACGTGGTCCGGGGTCTGGAACAGCACGGCCGGCGCATTCGTCACCACCACCGTCCACTGCCCCTCCGTCATCGCCGTCGCCGGCAAGCTCCCCCTCAGCGCATCCATCGTCGCACCCAGACTCCCTGGTGTGTGCGTGATCATCATTGGCTCCCCTCGCAGCATGTCGCGACACACACCCTCCGTCATCCACTCCAGCTCCCGCATCATCTCCTGCACACACGCGCCCGCCGCACACCACCGCCGTCACACCCCCCCTGCCAACACACCCCGCAAAACGACCCTTCGCACACAGCTGCGGGAGGACGTGGCGTCGCGCACGACGGTCCCCCCGCGACAGCCTGCCATGCATGCACCACATGTGTGCCCGCACCTCCTTCCGCGCGTGCAGCCGCTCTCCGTGCCTCCATATTTGATTGGTCCGCCCAGCAAACCTCTTCTGCACCTTCTTCATCTCCAGCCCCGCCTCCCGCCGCCAGAAGCCCTCCGCCCGCGCATCCCATCCCCTCCCTCCCTCCTTCTCCCTCCCTCCCGGACCGCCCCCGCCCCCCGGACTCCCCCCCGCGCCCTCCCACGCCCCTCCAACACCCACCGCCAACACCCGCCGCGCCGCCCCCACCGCCACGCGCGGCCCGACCCCGCCCCCGCCCCTCCCCGACGACACGTCCCGCCGCCCCCGCACCGCCCCGCGCCCCGCCGCACCCTCCCCGCCCGCACGCCCCTCCCTGCCCCCCACCACTGCACGCGACGCCGCCAGCATCCCGCCCTCGCGCTCTCACCCCCGCCTGCTCGCGCCCTGTATGCTTGCGGCTCACCCGCACCGCCCGCGCACCCACGCACCCCGCACCACCCCGCACCACCGCCTCACGATGCCACCCGCCCTCACACACACACCACACGGTGGCGGTACGCCCGAGAGAGGTCGACGTATAAAGCACCACTGCCCCGCACGCGCCGTGTGCGCTCGCGCGTATGCAGCGCGCCCCCAGCCTCGCTCCGCAACCACGCACCTGAGCCCACGCTGCTGCACACCCCCATTCCCCCCCTCAAAAGTATAAGAGAGCGCGAGTGCCTCTCCACGACGCACACCGCCACGCGCCGCCGCCCGGCAGGCTGCCCCGTCACGCGCCGCGACGCTTCCCCGTCATGCCGCGGGTGCGCACCCTGGTACGCACCGCACATAGCTGGGGGTTGTGATCCGCTCGCTGCGCCGTCACGTGTGCGCGGTCAGTCAGGCACGTAGCACCCTGCGTGCCAGCCGTCTCGCTGTCCCGCGGCACCGCCGCCACCTCCCGCGCGTCGATGGTGTGCAGTGTCTGTTGTTGCACACAGCGGCATGGACCGGACGTAGTGCCGTGACGTGATGGGCGGTGACGCGGCGAGCGGGTGCCGGCGGCGCGCGGGTTGTGATGAGGCACAGGGCGCCGCGGAGCACCCGCATCTGATCGCCACCCTCCCGCTGCTCCGACAGCACGTGAGCGACCATGCCGGGCCGCTGCCACAGTGTCGCGTGACAAGCTCTCTTGCAGACACTCACATACAGCGGCGCCGCCTCCGCGGGCATGCGCCTCGCTCGCCTCCGCCGCGTCCTGCACACGTCGCCACTCACAACCCCCCCCAGCTCACTGCGCTGCTTTCGCGTACTTCCTCGCCCGCGGCTTCACCACCCGCCAGAACGCCTCCACGTCCACGCCCTCCACCTCCAGCACGCTCTTCTGTTTCCTACTCTTCCGCGGCCTGTTCTTCTTCTTCTGCCCCTCCTCTTCTGGTGCCCCCAGCCTCGACTTGTTCACCAGGTCCGTAGGTGCCCTCCGCATCAGCCGCGCCGCCGCCTCCCGTACCGCCGCCTCCTCCTCGCTCACGTCCGACGCCAGCCCCGCCTCCCACTCCTCCGCCAGGTCCACAATCACCAGCAGCACCGCAATGCTCTTCAGGTCTGACATCAACACGATCCCGAGGCTCCCCGCCGGCGCGCTGCCCAGCCAGTCCCGCCATCTCTCGGTGCGCTCGCACGCCCACACCAGCATCCTCCACTTCAGCCCCACCGTTTCTATACCGCACCGCGATATCAAATCCGGGCACGACATGATGGCGCCCGCCACGCACGCCCGCCCCACCCTCCCCGCCATCAGCTCCATCAGCTTGCCCACGCGCCCCGCCACCGTCTCCTCGCCACCCGTGAGCAGCCCTGGCGCCTTCCCGATCATCTTCGTTGCCACACCCTCCACACTCGCACCCGCCTTCGCCCAGTGCGCCCGGCTCCCCCCGCGCTGCTTCCGCCCCTCGCTCTGCCCAGCCTCCGCCGCCCCCGCGCCCCCTCCCGACACCCCCGCACCCTCCCGCACCTCCCCCAGCAGCCCGTCCACAATGTCCTCCAAGGCACGCCGCTTCGCCCGCAGATTCTCGGTCGAGAGGTTCAGCACTTCCGGCATTCTGCGTATCGCTTTCGCGACGGCCGCGTCCCCCTCCGCGCCCTCGCCAGCGCGCAGCACCTCCCGCAGCCCCTCCACCTGCACCCACCACACACACACACACAGCCGCACCGCGTCACGGGCCCCGCGCCCGCCGCGCACACCCGCCCCCACACCTGCACATGCTCCGCCGGTCCCCCCACCACAGCAGCGAGCCACGCATCACGCTACCACACACCTCTCGCACTCACCCACCTGCTGTCTCACGTTGTCAGGGCTTCGGGTCAGTACGCTCGGCGCCTTCGTCACCACCACCGTCCACTGCCTCTCCGGCATCGCCGTCGCCGCCAAGCTCCCCCTCAGCGCCTCCATCGTCGCACCCAGACTCCCTGGCGTTTGCGTGATCATTCGTGGCCACCCCCGCAGCATCTCGCGACACACACCCTCCGTCATCCACTCCAGCTCCCGCATCATCTCCTGCACACACGCGCCCGCCGCACATCACCGCCGTCAAACGCCCCCTGCCAACACATCCCGCAAAACGACCCTTCGCACGCAGCTGCGGGAGGACGTGGCGTCGCGCACGACGGTCCCCCCGCGACAGCCTGCCATGCATGCACCACATGTGTGCCCGCACCTCCTTCCGCGCGTACAGCCGCTCTCCGTCCCTCCATATTTGACTGTTCTGCCCCGTGAACTTCTCCTCCACATCTTCGATCTCCAGCCCCGCCTCCCGCCGCCAGAAGCCCTCCGCCCGCGCATCCCATCCCCTCCCTCCCTCCTTGTCCCTCCCCGCACCGCCCCCGCCCGCCCCTCCCGCCCCCGCGCCCTCCCACGCCCCTCCAACACCCACCGCCAACACCCGCCGCGCCGCCCCCACCGCCACGCCCCGCGCCGCCCCGCCCCCCGCCCCTCCCCGACGACGTCCCGCGCGCCCCGCACCGCCCCGCGCCCCGCCGCACCCCTCCCCGCCCGCACGCCCCTCCCTGCCCCCACCACTGCACGCGACGCCGCCAGCATCCCGCCCTCGCGCTCTCACCCCCCGCCCTGCTCGCGCCCTGTATGCTTGCGGCTCACCCGCACCGCCCGCGCACCCACGCACCCCGCACCACCCCGCACCACCGCCCCACGATGCGACCCACCCTCACACACACACACCACAGGGTTGCGGTACGCCCGAGAGAGATCGCCACAAAGCGCCTGTGCCCCGCACGCGCCGTGAGCGCTCGCGCGTATGCAGCGCGCCCCCCGCCTCGCTCCGCAACCACGCACCTGAGCCCACGCTGCAGCACACCCCCACTCCCCCCCCCTTCGAAGTATAAGAGAGCGCGAGTGCCTCTCCACGACGCACACCGCCACGCGCCGCCGCGCCGCAGGCTGCCCCGTCATGCCCTGCGGCGCTCCGGCCGCCACGCCGCGGGCGCGCACCCTGGTACGCACCGCACATAGCTGGGGGTTGTGATCCGCTCGCTGCACCGTCACGTGCGCGCGACTGCCCGGACATGCAGCGCCCTGTGCGGCCGCCGTCTTGCTGTCCCGCGGCACCGCCGCCACCTCCCGCGCGTCGATGGTGTCTGTTGTTGCAGACAGCGACATGGACCGGACGTAGTGCCGTGACGTGATGGGCGGTGACGCGGCGAGCGGGTGCCGGCGGCGTGCGGGTCGTGATGAGGCACGGGGCGCTGAGAAGCACCCGCATCTGCTCGCCACCCTCCCGCTGCTCCGACAGCACGTGAGCGATCATACCGGGCCGCTGCCGCAGTGTCGCGTGACAAGCTCTCTGCAGACACTGACATACAGCGCCGCCGCCGCCTCCGCGGGCATGCGCCCCGCTCGCCCCCGCCGCGTCCCGCACACGTCGCCACTCACACCCCCTTCACAGCTCACTGCGCTGCCTCTGCGTACTCCTCCGCCCGCGGCTCCACCACCCGCCAGAACGCCTCCACGTCCACGCCCTCCACATCCAGCACGCTCTTCCTCCCGCTCCCCTTCTGCGGCCTCTTCTTCTTCTGCCCCTCCTCTTCTGGTGCCCCTAGCTTTGATTTGTTCACCAGGTCCCCAGGTGCCCTCCGCATCAGCCGCGCCGCCGCCTCCCGTACCGCCGCCTCCTCCTCGCTCACCTCCGGCACCGCCCCCGCCTCCCACTCCTCCGCCAGGTCCACAATCACCAGCAGCACCGCAACGCTCTCCAGACCCATCTTCAATATCGTCCCGAGGCTCCCCGCCTGTCCGCTGTCCAGCCAGCCCCCCCATCTCTCGTTGCGCTCGCACGCGCGCACCAGCACCCTCCACTTCAGCCCCACAGTTTCTATGTCGTATCCCGCTATCAAGGTAGGGTACGACATGATGGCGCCCGCCACGCACGCCCGCCCCACCCTCCCCGCCATCAGATCCATCAGCTCGCCGACGCGCCCCACCACCCTCTCCTCGCCAGCCTCGAGCAGCCCTGGCGCGGTCCCGATCATCTTCGTTGCCACACCCTCCACACTCGCACCCGCCTTCGCCCAGTGCGCCCGGCCCCCGCTGCGCTGCTTCCGCCCCGCGCCCTCCCGCGCCCCCGCCGTCTCCCCGCGCCCTCCCGACACCCCCGCAGCCCCACGCACCTCCCCCAGCAGCCCGCCCACAATGTCCTCCAAGGCACGCCGCTTCGCCCGCACCGCCTCGGTCGAGAAGGCCAGCACATGCGGCTTTCTGCGTATCGCTTTCGCGACGGCCACGTCCCCCTCCGCCCCCTCGCCAGCGCGCAGCACCTCCCGCAGCCCCTCCACCTGCACCCACAACACACAGCCGCACCGCGTCACCGGCCCCGCGCCCGCCGCGCACATCCGCCCCCACACCTGCACATGCTCCGCCGGTCCCCCCACCACAACAGCGAGCCCCGCATCACGCTACCACACCTCTCTCGCACTCACTCACCTGCTGTCTCACGTTGTCAGGGCTTCGGGTCAGTACGCTCGGCGCCTTCGTCACCGCCACCGTCCACTGCTCCTCCGTCATCGCCGTCGCCGCCAAGCTCCCCCTCAGCGCCTCCATCGTCGCACCCAGACTCCCTGGTGTTCGCGTGATCATTAGTGGCCACCCCCGCAGCATGTCGCGACACACACCCTCCGTCATCCACTCCAGCTCCCGCACCATCTCCTGCACACACGCGCCCGCAGCACACCACCGCCGTCACACCCCCCCCCGCCAACACACCCCGCAAAACGACCCTTCGCACACAGCTGCGGGAGGACGTGGCGCCGCGCACGAGGGTCCCCCCGCGACAGGCTGCCATGCATGCACCGCATGTGTGCTCGCACCTCCTTCCGCGCGTACAGCTTGTCTCCATGCCTCCACATTTGATCAGTGTGCCAGAAAAACTTGTACTCCACATCTTCCATCTCCAGCCCCGCCTCCCGCCGCCAGAAGCCCTCCGCCCGCGCATCCCACTCCCTCTCTTCCGCCATACCCCTCCCCGCACCGCCCCCGCCCCCCGGACTCCCCCCCGCGCCCTCCCACGCCCCACCAACACCCACCGCCAACAACACCCGCCGCGCCGCCCCCACCGCCACCCGCACGGCGCCCGCCCCCGCCCTCCCCGACGATACGTCCCCCCGCCCCCGCACCGCCCCGCGCCCCGCCGCAACCCTCCCCGCCCGCACGCCCCTTCCCTGCCCCCCACCACTACACGCGACGCCGCCAGCATCCCGCCCTCGCGCTCTCACCCCCCGCCCTGCTCGCGCCCTGTATGCTTGCGGCTCACCCGCACCGCCCGCGCACCCACACACCCCGCACCACCCCGCGCCACCGCCCCACGATGCGACCCGCCCTCACACACACACCACAGGGTTGCGGTACGCCTGCGCGGAGCACGAACGCACCACAAGCCTGCTGCGCTTCCACAACTGCACCGCAATCTCTGCTCCGCCCCGCAATCACCCGCAAGTCTCACGCGGCCCCACCAGTCGCACCGAGCGCTATAGAACCCCCGTCAGGTATTAGTACGGTACAACAGCAACACACCCCCACCGGCACACAATGCCGTCTCACCAGCACAGCCGCCTGTCCACCGCCGCAGCCACCGCGCTCTGCCCGCCCCGCACGTGCTCCAACCGGCACTACCGACGCGCTACCAGCCAACATGGGCTCCGTCATTGCTCGCGGGCAACGCAACAGAACGTAGAACGAACTGTGCGTCCGCCATCCACGCAGACACGCTCCACGGCCTTCCCAGATCGCCCGCGCCCGAGCCGCGGCCGCGCACGTGTACGTATGTTTACGCCACAGTGCCCGGTACCGTCGCCGCCCGCCCGCGACACCGCACGGTCCTTTGTCACGTCATCACACCCGCGAGTCAGTCCGCCGGCACGTCGTCGTCCTTGTGCACCGCGGCGTCCCACTTGTCGAGCTCAGCGACCTTCATTTGGTCGTCCTGCTTCTCGTCGAGCACCTTTCTCTCGTAGTGCCGCCGCCGCCGCTCGTGGCACGAGATTTCGGGCGGCGGCGCCAGCGTCGACATGAAGCGCGTGAACGTCGGCGGGTCCACCTCCTTGCGGAAGGTGCCCTGAGCCAGCTCGACGGGAATCGGGGCGCCGAGCGTGCCCGTTTTGTCGCCTGCGGGGCAAAAAATCCACAATGGCCGGTGGCGGTGAGTTTCCGGCTTGCGCGCGACGGAACGCGACGCAGGGAGCTGCGCAGTCGAACCAAAGGACGAGCAGCCGGCGCTGGCTGCAGGCGCGGGTGTGGAGGCGCGCGCACCTGCGTAGCCCTTGCCGTAGAAGTCCTTGAGGTCGATGCGGTGCCGGTGAAACATCTCGTCGCCCAAGCTCCGTTCCATCTCGGGCCCGCTCTCCTTGGTGATGCCCTGGCCCGGGACCTTGGCTCTCCGCGGCGGCAGCGGGATGGAGTCGCGCGTGGACGTCTCCGGCTCCGGCACATCGACTTTCTGCGAACGGTCAGGCACGGCGCGCCGCACCGCGTCAGCTCGCAGCAACACGTACACGTACGCCTTCCATGCGTCAGTACGGCTGGCGGTGCGCCGCGTCGTCAACCGCAGAGGAAATAAAAAAAGAATCACGCTCCTCGTGTCGCGTGAGCCGCAACGGAAACCATCACGGCGAGACAGAGCACAGCACGCGTACACCACGCTGTTGTTGTCGCACGCCCCAGGCACGCAACGGAGCGGAACGCACCCTGATGCCGCGCAGCGGCTGCGGCTTGGGCTCCGGCGGCACGACGACCCTCCGCCCCGCCGGCCGCGGCGGCGGGGGCACGTAATTGATCGCCCGGAGGTGCCGCCGGTACTCGGGGGGGTCCAGGGGGGGGTTCCCGACGATCTGCGCCTCCGTGCGGCGGTACAGGTACGGGTCCAGCTTGCGCTGCAGGATCAGCGCCGGCTCCTGCAGCGACCCAGACTTCTCCTGCGCGGGACGCACAAACCAACGCGCAGCGTCGCGCAGCTGCACCGCACTGCACCGCGGTCCGCCCGGCGTGCGCGCCCGGCGCGGAGCCAGGCTGGAGCGCGCGCGGCCTGCGGGGTCCGAAGCCGGGCGCGTCGCGCACCTGCGCTGCTTTGGCGACATTCTTCCCGCCGCGATACGCGGCTGCCTCGCCCTGCGCGTCGCCGAACCACGCCGGCAAGCCGACGTTCGCGAGCTCGGAGTGCGGGCGGTCGACGTGCGCGCGGCCCTTGCTGCCCAGGCCCCAGCCCGGCGCGGACCCCGCTACGCCGGCCACCCCGCCGACGCCCGACCCGACCGCAGCCGAGGACCGCTCCCAGCGGTTCGTGATCGGCCCGGTGGCGCCCCCTGCGCGTCGTGCCGGAGAAATCAGCGTCGGAACGGTGCCTTTCCGGCCAAACCGGCACGGCAGGACGCGCGAGCGCGACTGGCGCGGGACACTTGCACAGCGAGCAGGTGGGCGGCTTCTCAGGGCCATGTCCCTGCGGCGACCGCGCGTTCAGCGCCGGAACCGGGATGGTCGTCAACGTACCTTGCCAGGCGAGCACGGCTCCGACCTGGGAGCCCGCCATGCTCGCGCGGGAGGCCACGGAGTGTGCCATGGAGGGCTGCCTGGAGGGCTGCGAGGGCGCGTGCGAGGGCGCCCGCGACGCCTCCGACGCAGGCTGCGACGCCGGCGCCGACGGAGCCGCCGACGGCTGACTCGCGACCTCAGACATGGACGTCACGATAGCACCACCTTGTCCTGGGGATTCCCAGCCCTGCCGGCCCGGCTACTGCCCGGAGCGCCGCGTTCTGCCTCCCGCTGACTACTCTGACGGAGTATGCGTCCTGCTGAGCGCACGGAGCTGCGCGGCGTTGCCTGGAGCGAGAGCGCGGTGCCTGCATGTAGCACGGAGCGCCGTCCGGGTTCGGGATCGCTGACTCAGCGCAGCGGCGCCGACGCAAGGCAGCCGGCGGCCCAGGAGCCCCGCTGGACCTGTGCGCGGGGCTGAGCGCGCGGGAACGGCCCAGTCGGCGCAACAGGCGCCGTAGCGGCACGTCCCGTCGAGAAAGCCAGCATGTGGGGGCTCGCTGCGCGCTACGGGCCGTGCACGCGCTGAAGTCCGCTTTCGACGCGATCAGACGATCACCTGGTGTAATGAGAGTCCGCGCTCGGAAGATGTCTCGCGCGGACCCGCTGACGAGTGCGTGGCGCTGCAAGGAGTGCTTGCCGAGGTACGGTGCGCTGGTCCCCACCACGGTGTGTCGCCGCACGGAGCCCAGCTGGCCGCGAATGGCGCCGCGGCGTCTCCGGGGCCGCCCTGGAGCCCCGCGCGGGGCCCCGGCGACGCCCCGGGGGACATAGGCGGCGGAGCGTGCGGCCAGAGAGCCTCGGCGGAGTCTTTTTCGCGCGCCCGACAGTCGAGTTGCGGAGCTGGCGGCCCGGCGGGGCCAGCAGGGCTCCGGGGGGCGTGCCGGGAGCACTTTCGCGACGGCTTCGGCCGGAAAGCGACCCTGAGCGCGCCGGGACGGGGCCATTGAGTCGTGAAGCTGCTCGGGGTGGCCACGAGTGCGACCACCGGCGCTGCGGCCGCGCGGCCGGCCTGCGTCAGCGCCCGTCCTCTAGTGCTACCATCGAGGATCTTCTTGGGGGCAGTTTTCGGCTTCGTTTCCGGACAGACGCCGCGGAAGTTGGAAGAAACGGGGGTGAGCAGCCACCCTCGGCTCGCCGTCCCTCTGGACGCGTCTCTCCGCATTGCACCGCGGCGGATTCGCGGCCAGGCGACGTTCCGCCCGTGTCTCCTCGAACCGTCGCGAAGACACGCGCTGTCCCGCCCGCGCGGCCTCAGCGCGCGGCTGGGAAACGCTCGGTTGCTCAGGGCGCACGATGCTGCGCCCCGCGCGCGCGCCGCGCCCCGGCCGGCGCAGCGAGCTGCGCGGTGCAAGCGCTGCAAGTGGAGAAGCGCCTCGCGCCCCCGGACCCGCCGCGCGTGCCCCGCTGCGGCTCCTGCGCGTTGCTTCCCGGGGAGATCGCGGGCGCTGTGCGCGGCCGCAGCCGCGCGGGCGGCGCGCGAAAATGCGCGCGCTGCGACCTCTGCGTGCTGTTCCATCCCCGGACGCCGATGCGACTGCGTTTCGTGGGCGCCTGCGTGCAGGATGGCCACGCGCGCGCAGAGCGCACCCCGCGCGGGCCCCGGGCCGTGCTGTTTCTTCGCGAAAATGGACGTCAGCGGGCAATCCTGCAACGAACCGGTCCTGTGCTGCGTCAGCGGCGACTGGTTCTGCCGCGCACATGGCAGGCAGTACATCGTGTCTCGCTGCCGCCGCCCCGCGCCCTCGCACTCAGGTCCGCCGCCCACGCCCTCGCGCCACCGGCCCACGCACCCAAACCCACAGCCCGCACCCGCCATTCGTACATTTCGTTGCGCGCCACGGTGCCACGTCAACTACGCACGCCCACCGCCGCACGCCGCTCGCTTCCGCGGTCCGCCGCCCCACGACCCCGCTCCCGACTTCCCCTCCCTCGCAGGCGCCGCGAGCGTGCCCGCGAGCAACGACTCCGCGCGGGAGGACACCCGCAACGCCGCCGCGCCCGTCGCGCCCCGCACCACCACCGGGGCCGCCCCGCGCAGCGGAGCGGCGCCGGAGTGGACCCGGCACGCCCCGCGCGGCGGCTGGGCCGGCACCGTCCTCGCCGCGGCCCTCTGCGGCGCGGAGCCACCCACCGACGCCCCGCACACCCCCACCTGCCTCATTATACCAAAGGCGCTGAAACCGGCGCTCGCCGCGCTCGGGTTCCAACCCGGCGAGGGCTCGGCGTCGCGGACGGACGCGGGGTGGTCGTGGCAGGTCGCGGCTGCGTCCGGGGGGTCGGAACATCCCGAGAGCGCCACGTTGTTGCTGTCGCGGCAGGGCACGTACAAGCTGCGCAGCGGCGCCGTGGAACAGGCGTCGCTGCTGATGCCGTCGCGGCCGGCGCGGCCGCAGATCGGCCTGGAAGTCGCGCTGGCCGGTGCGCCGGCGAACAAGTCGGTGGATGAGCTCCACCGGTGCATGGTGTTTACCGTCGTGCCCGTGCACACGTCCGACCAGTACCGGCTGGCGGCGGAGATGGCGGCGGACTCGAGGCAGGAGGACGAGGTGCGTGGCAATTCGCACGGCGCGCCGGGGGCCGCCGAGGCGGCCCTGACGCTCTCAGGTTTCGCCGAACATGCCTGCATGTGTCTCTGCGAACGGCAATAGCATCGCCAAGCCGTGCGGCGACGCAGCTTGCCCCCCGAGAGATACGTGACGCACGTGGGGCGTGCGCGCGTTGAAGGAGTTGACTCAGGGTGCGGTATGATGTCTGTGCGCGGCATCCCTGACCACAGCGCCGCGTTGGTCGTTCTGTGCCGTTGCAGGGGTCTATGACGCGGCGCTCGACGCGGCGGAACGCCGGGGACTCGCGCCTCCCGACCCTCCCCGCCGCGGCACTCCCCGGGGTCCTGACCGCGGTACAACAACAGTACGACGCCGCGACCGCGGACCAGGCGAAGCGCCTCGGCGCGATCTCCGCCTCGCTCGCCCGGAAGAACAAGCACGCCGCGCCGGCCCCCGCGGGCGCGGGCGCGTCCCCCCGCGGCGCCCAGCACCCCTCTGCCGCCAAGCGCGGCGCCGCCCGCCCGGCGCCGCCGCGGGCGCGCGCGCGAAGAAGGCGCCGCCCGCCGACGCGTCGCCCGCGGCAGGCTCGCCCGCGCACGCGCCCTACCACGGCCCGCGCTACGAGAACGGCGCCAACATCCTCGGTTGCTCAAAGATGGAATACACGCACCGACTGCGGCGCGCGAAGTGGCGGCTCGCGACGATGCTCGACGGGCATCTCGTGGAGTACCGTCCGAGCGGGCTCGTGCCGATCGAGGACCGCATCTGCGGCCGCCTGACGATGCCGCGGCCGGGAGAGCACAACTTCATGCTCAAGTGCTTGTGCCGGGAGTGCGCGGGGCGGATGCCGCCGGTGTCGGCGAACCAGTTCGAGACGCACTGCGGGGGCGGCAACAAGAAGAACGGCATGAAGAATCTCCTGCTCGTCAGGGTCGGCATGACGCTGCACCAGCTGCTGGAGTGGCGGCTGCTGGGACAGCCCCCGGGGGACTACAAGCCGAAGCGGTTCGTGCGGGGGAGTTTCATGACGGACAGCCACAAGGACAAGTGCTCGTCGTGCGGGTTCAACTGCAACGACGACCGCCTTTTGATGTGCGAGGGTGTCGGGTGTACGGAGGTTCTGCACACGTACTGCTGCGACCCTCCGCTGCTGGTGCCTCCGGAGGGGACGTGGCTGTGTCCGCTGTGCGTGGCGAAGGAGCGGCGGGAGAAGCGCGGGCGCGGGGGGCGGAAGGGGGCGGACGCGGACGCCGAGGGGGGGGTCGCGGGAGAGATCCCCCTGCCGGGGTGGGAGCGGATCGGGCTCCCGACGCGCGAGCAGCTGCTCGCGGAGGATGACCCGCACGACTACCACTGCCTGAAGTGCCAGGACATGCACGACACGGAGCAGGTGCGCGGCAATCGCAAAACCACGACTCCAAAACCACACTTGCCCCACCCGCCGCCCACCGCCCGCCGCGCCCCAACCGCCGCCCCACCCTGCCCCTACCTGTCCTCTGCCCGCAGAACCCTCTGCTGTGCTGCGACGGCTACCACCAGCCGCAGGGCTGCACGAAAGTGATGCACCTCTTGTGCTACGACCCTGAGGCCACCGCGGTGCCGGAGGGCGAGTGGTTCTGCCCTGCGTGCGAGGGCGGCGCCGCGCGCCAGCGCCAGCGCTCCGCGAGCCCGTCCTGCTCCGAGGAGATCGGCGGAGTGCGTCTTGCGATGGGCGGCGCGTCGCCGGAGGACGAGGCGGCCGAACAGCCCGCGCCGGCGTCGCGCAAGCGCTCGCGGTCGCGCGCGAACGCCGACGCAGAGGCAGAGGCGGAGGCCGCGGACCCGGAGGAGTCGGCGCGGCCGCAGCGGCGGCCGCGGCGCGGGGGGGCGGAGGTTGTACCCGACTCCGCCCCCGCGTGCGTCCCGGCGTCGGACGGCGACGAGGATATGTCGGAGGACGCCTTCGAGCCCGCCGACGCCGAAGCCGCGGCGGAGCAGCCGCCTGCAGACAGCGCAGATGCCCACAAAGAGGGCCACGTGGAGCCGAATGAGCCCGAACCCGAGCGCGCGCCCGCGCCCGAACCCGAGGTACCCGCCGCCGACCACGCGGAGGACGCGCCCGGCGAAGCGCGAGACGCCCCCGGCGCCGCGCCACCCGCGCAAGAGGAGGAGTACGCAGATACGCCCGCCGCGGACTGCGCGATGTCCCCGACGCTCGCGCCCGCGGCCGTCCTGCCGGAGCCAGCGGCGCCCGCGCCGGACGCCGTTCCGGCGGCGAACGGCCCCGTCTCGGGGGCTGAGGATATGAGCGCCGGCACGCGCAACGACGGCGACGGCGCGCCGGCGCAGCACGTGGTGCACTGCGTGCCGGACTCGGAGACGCCGTCTCCTGCGGCGACGGCGGTTGACGGCGTCGCCGAGGGCGGCGGGCCGGCCCGGCCAATGAGCGCGGTGCGTGACGTCGACGCAGGCCCTGCGGAAGTGGCGCCTCCCGCGAAGCCCGCGATGCGCGTGGAGGCCACGCCGTCGCCGTCGCCGTCGCGGCCGACCGCGCAGGCGCAGGCGGGCGACGACGCGGGCGTCGTGGACGGCGCGGCGCCGCCCGCGGCACTCACGGTGGAGTCGGCCGACGTGGCAGCTGTGCTGGAGAGCGCGCGGCCGGAGGGGGTCGCGGGGGAGTGAGGCGAGATGGGCAAGGAGTTGCTGCGCCTGGTGCTACGCGCGGGGGCGCAAGGGAGGGGGGGGTTATTGCTCTGTATGCAGTTGAGACCTTGAAGCCACGAATGAAAGAATATTTGCGCGAATTGTGTCGATCTGAGATGTCACGGCGCGGCTGCAGGACGCGCGGCTGCCCGCGTGCGGGCGTGGCTTCGCACGTGCGCGCGCAGTGGGCTCTGCGGAGCTGGCTGTACGGGACCGGCGGCGACTGGATGGTTTGGGCAGGGGTGGCTCGTCGTGCGTCACAGCGATGCTGGGCTCAGGCGGCCGCGATCATGGCCTCGAGCTTGCCCGCGCGGGCCAGCGCCGCGGTCTCGTCCCCGCCACCCACGAACTTGCCCCCGATGAACACACGCGGCACGGTGCGGCCACCCGTCATGCTCAGGAGCTCGTCCTGCAAGCACGCCGCCCCGACACCACCATCTTGACGCATATCGTGCACTATAAAACCAACTCCAGTCCCCACAGAGAGCAAGAGCGCGGTCATGGCACCACGAACGCTCCAGGCCGCAATTGCGACGCCCTGCTCGCGGTTCGCGGTTCCGCTCCAGACAGAACGGTACTCCTTGTGAAGGATCACGCGCTGGTTGCCGTGTTTGCGGCGCGCACCTGGAGATCGTCGCACTCGGGGAGCCCGTCCATCTCGAGGACCTTCATCTTCTCCGGCCCGCCCTTGGTGCCGGTGATGGCGCGCTTGGCGCGCGAGCACGCGGGACAGTAGCTCTTGCTGAAGACCTGCAGCGACGGCGCGGGACAGGCGGGGAAACAGTGAAGCCGAGGCATGGCGAGGGGGGGCAGCGCAATGCCACGTAGCGGGCCGCGGCGCGTAACGCGGGCGCGTTCGAGGCGCTTTATACCGTTACGGTGCACGTATGATGTGTGAGAGCACGGACAGGGCGACGCTTCAGCCGCAGGGGCGCCGCAGCGACCGTGCCGCGCGTACGTGATGCGTGAGTGCAGCTTCGCTGCGACTGTTCGCGGTGGCATGTGGCGATGTCCTGGGTGTAAACAGGCACGCACGGATCACGCATGATGCTATGTGTCTTGATTCGCCGACTGCGCTGCATATCACCGCATCTCCGACGCAGAATCGCGGCCCTGCCTACTGCAACCGTTTCGTGGCTCCTGCGGTGCGGAACGGTCGGGGCGCGGGGTCGCACCATCACCGGGTTCTCCTTGATGAGCTTGTTGATGTAGTCGGCGACCTCGGGCTTGGGCATTTTCCTCTGCGACGACGAATTCCCCATCCAAGAGTCAAGGGTTACTATTGCTCTGTCCCAATCGACAGCAAGCGCGATTCCCGGATGAAAGGTCCCCGGCTGAGCCAGCACTGTGCGCGCAACGCGCTCGCGCGCTGCCAACGGAGCCAGCGCGGGCCTGGGACGCAGCGGCCTGACGCGCAGCAGGAGCTGGTGTCCGACTGGCGCGGGCCGCGACACGCCGCGCGGTGCGCAGCTGGGACGACGGCGCTGCTACTCTCGCGACCCCGTGCGTTCGGTCGCCGCTGCTCGGGGGACGAGCGACGCGACAGGGGACGGGAGATGCCTCGGCGCTCGCGTCCTGCGCGCGCGTGACACGCGAAACGGCTCGCGCCCGCGCAGGGTTGTTCAGGTGGTTCGTCTCACAGCGCTGCGTCGCGTGAGCCCGGGCAGCGCCCCGCGCGCCACGCGGCGCGAAGCCAGCTGTCGTTTCGCGCGCAGCACGCGCGGCACGCCGCACCGCGTCTGGCCCGCCGCATTCTCGTGCGCGTTCGCGGTGTATGTATGTATATCTCGCGACGGGGACGAGTCACCGGCGTGCTTCGGACGACTCACTGGCCCGTCCGCGGGGGCTGGCGCGAGTTGAAGTGCGAAGCAATGGACCGCAGCGCTTGCGCTGCCGTGTGCGGGTTCGACTCCCTGGCTGCGAGCTTCGCGAGCGCCTCTACGACCTCGTCGCTGAGGCTGAGCCCTGGAAGGACTTGGCAACGGAGCGCGCAAGGTCAGTTGGAGTTGCATATCTCTCGGGCGCAGCTTCCCGTGTGGTTGTGCGCCCCAGCGCCGGGGCGCTCGCGTATGCGGTGAGTCGATCAGCGTGAGACGCACCTGCCAGGCGCGCCAGCTCCTTGAGTTCAGGCAGCAGCTCAGGGTCGGCCACCGTTCCCTGCCCGCTCATGATGACGTCGCTCCCGAGCAGCAGCGCCCGGCTCCGGCCCGTGAAACGACACCACGTGATGAAAACGAGCAGAACGCGCGGTTCAGCGGAGCCGGAGCTCTCAAAGTACGCCCGGTGCGGACACAATCGAGCACGTCAACCTCTTGGCACAACTTTCCACGAACGACGCGTCACCTCGATCCGAACTACAGCCGCGCCGCTCTGACTGCGCAGGCAGGGCGCGGAGGAGCTCGCCGCCGCCGCGGCTCGCAGCGCCAACGTCCCCGCTCTCGGTGCGGGGCGTGAGATCGACGGAGGGCGGGAGGTGTTCCCTGACGCAGTGCTCCGCGTGCACTGGCCGAGATGATCCCTCGACGCCCCGGGGCCGTGCACACACCTCCAACCAGGCCGCTCGCACGTCGCCGGCGATCTGCGACCCCCTGCGGCCGCCAAAATGGCGGACGCCTTCGGTGCCGCCTTGGAGAGCGGCAGTCTGTCGGGGCTGGTCAAGGTGCGCGGCCTGCGCGTCCGATTGAGACGCACAGCGGCAGAAGTACCTCGCCAGACGCCGGATTTCGCTCCGCGGACGCCGCTGAGCAGCTCGCGCGACGACAACGCTCCGGAGATGGCCACCGGGCGCGTGTCCGGATCGCCCGGCCGCCTCGCGCACACCTCGATTCGTCTGGGCCCGCTATCCGAACTCCAGCGTCGCACTCCGATCCTCCAGACCGCCCAGCGGCGCCACAACCCTCGCTGGTGGGGCAGGGCTGCTGTCTGCAGCAGCCGCGCGGGTGCCGCGTCGGGGCGCCCTGCCCGCCGCCTTCATGCGTTCTTGCATCGATCGCACCGCACCTATCGACCTCGCGGAGAGGCGGCATCCGGCGCGTCCCGCGGCGCTCACACTGGCCCAAATCGCGCGCCTTCCCAACCAGCAACTTCTGTCGGCCCGCCCGGCGCGGTCGCGGCATCAACCGCCACAACCGACACCTATCCGCAGACCTCGCAACGATCCGGTGCCCGCGGTCGCTCTCCTTGGCCGCGTGCCGTCGAGCGTAGAGCAGCACTCCGCGCCGACGCACTACGTACACCTGCTTTCGCTCACTGGCCCGGCGCTCCGGCCGCTGCGCAGGCGCTCGATGCGGCAATCGCAGCGTGCGGGGCGGACCCGGCTTCGGCGCCCAAGCGCGCGGCGCTCGCCTGCAACAAAGCGTGGTGTTTGTTGCGATTACACTTGTGGAATAAGGCGCTCGCTGAGGCCACCGCAGGTGCGCTGCTGGCCCCCTCTCTTGCGCCCGCGCTCGCCGCTGCCGGGAGCCACACCGCGAGACCGCCGCCGGTCGTCTCGCCGCGGATCTCGCCGCCGTTCGTCGCTGTTCACAGTTTCATCTTCGCCACGCGAGCCCTGCAGCGACGACGCTCGACTCCGGCCTGGTGCGCGCGCACGTCTGTCGAGCTGGCGCTCTCCGAGCGCTGAAGCGCGCCGATGAGGCGGCAGCGGCGCTCAGCGCCGCGAGAGACGCCGCGACCCCGATGACGGACGTCGAGACCGCGATGCTCGTCCAGGCGATGGTCAAGGACCCGACGCTGCTCCCGATCCAGCGGAAGGAGCACGCGACGACGCAGGACCTCCCCGCGCGGCCCCAGCCCGCCCCGGCCCCCGCACACCCCCCTCCCGCCCAGCACACACGCGCCGCGAAGAGCCGCTCTCCGCGGCACCGCGACGTGTCGCCCCCCGCGGCGCGCATCCGCGACGAAGGCGTCTGCGTCGCGTCCAGCGGCGCCGAGGACACGTCGGGCTTCCGCGGCCGCACACACCCGGGGGAGTCCTCCAACGCCCCCCACCGACACACCAACGGCGCGCGCGCGTCCCCCAGCGCCGCGACGCTCTCTCCGGCCAGCCCGTCGACGCGCAAGGGCGCGACCTCGCCCGGACACGGCAGCGACGCGCCGCACGGCGCCGCAGCCAAGGCCGCCGCCGCGATGGGGGACCTGGCGCCGAAGCGCCTCGCCATGCAACTGGACGAGGCCACGGCGCGCGAGATCGTCGACCAGGCCGTGGTGTTCATCAACCAGGGCGACTCGCCGTCGCTGGAGCGCGCGCGGGCGCTCCTGCGGCCCGTGACGGAGTCGACGGCGCCCGCGTTGCAGCGCATGAGCGCTCACGTCGCGCTCGGCACCGCGCGGGCGCTCACGGGCGACCTCTCCGGCGCAGTAGAGGACTTCACAGCCGCGGTCAACCTCGAGCCGCGGTACTACGACACCTACAAGCGCCGGGCGCAGGCCCGCGCCGCGCTCGGCAAGCCCAAAGCCGCCATTGAGGACCTGGAAGAGGCCCTGTCGTTGCTGGCGCGGGGGCTCGGGGGCGCGACGTCCGGCGCGCAGGTCCGGAAGGAGACGGCGGACGTGCAGCTCGAGCTGGCGCGGATCTGCTACGCCACGCGCGACTACCGGCGCGCAGTAGCGTACGCGAAGCCGGCGTCGCTGCTGGACCCGTCGAGCGTGCCGCCGCTGCACGTGCTCGGCATGGCGCAGGTGTCGCGCGGGGACCTGTACGAGGGCATCGCGACGCTGCAGGCGTGCACCGAGCGCGACGCGGGGCTGCGCGAGGCGTGGCAGATGCTGGGGTACGCGCAGAAGGAGCTGGGGCGCGTGCGGGACGCCGAGGTGTCGCTGCTGAAGGCCATCTCGCTGGACAAGTGCGTGGCGGCCCCTGCGATGCGTGAGAGTCCGAATTTATTTATTTGCGCGAAGACAATCTTGCTGAGACGTTGTTCTTGCTCCCGCCTGCTCGTTTCAAGTGCGAGCGGAACGCGGAACCCGTGGACCAACACGTATCGTGATCGCTGCCCTTCTTGGCCGTGCAGGACCGGCAAGCAGGTCGTCCAGACCCTCCGGCAGCTGGCGCACATGCGGCAGTGCCAGGGCAACCACCGCGGCGCCCTCCCGCTGCTCGACAAGGCCGTCACGCGCGCCAAGGAGCTCATCCGCTCCGGCCACGCCCCGCACTCGCCTTCCAGCTCCGGCCCCGGCCCGTCCGCGACCACCGTGCGCGAAGCCCTCCTCGACGCCCTCCTCCTGCGCGCGGCGTGCCACCACGCGCTCGGGCAGTTCCGCGCCGCCGTGGAGGACTACGAGGCCGCGCAGCGCGCCGACTGCGGCCCCGAGGGGCGTCCGACGCAGTTCCTTGCGCACGCGCAGTGCGAGGTATGTTTATACCACTTCGCGAAGCTGGACGCGCACGTGGACACGTACAACCTCGACCGGGACCTCCCGCCGCTGCTCAAGGAGAACTGGTGCAAGAAGGGCCCGCCGACGCCGGCGCTCGCGGCGCTCGAGCAGCCCAGGAAGGGCCTGCGGGACCTGCGCGTCAAGGACGGGGACACCTGCCCCGGACTGTCGTCGAAAGTGAACGCGGAGGAGGGGCTGCGGCTGGTACGTCGCGCACGCCGCCCTGCACGCCTGCGGCCTCCCTCGTCGCAGCGAGTCCCCTCCAACAATGCAAGAACGCAGTCTGTGGTGTTGATGCATGGAGACGGAGCGTCGTTGCGTTTTCGCGCCCTGTGCAGGTGAAGATCGCCGATCTCCTGGGCTCGCTCGTCCACAACACGCACTCGGGGTTCCTCGACAACGCCCGGCAGCAGCGCATGGCGGGGCTCGGCGGGCTGCAGCTCGCGCAGCTGCTCGTCGCCGCGGCGGCCGAGCGCGGCGCCGGGCGCGCGCTGAAGGTCCCCGAGGCCGGCGCGAGCAGCGCGCCCGTGGGCCCGCGGCGCGCGGACACGAAGCGGCGGCTGCGGTGGCGCGACGCCGTCGACGTGCTGGTGAAGTGGCGGCAGATCGCCGAGCCGAACGACCCCGTCGTTTGGGTCGATCTGCTGACGCCGGAGGAGTTCGCTGCGGGGTTCGGGTCGCACACCCCCATGTTTACTGGTCAGACCAAGTGCGTCAGGTATTACATGAACCACGACAGGTCCCTGGAGGTGTTTAAGAGCGTGATGAGGGAGCAGGGGTACGTCACCGACGCGCAGAACCAGGAGGTCGCGATCGCGGGGACGCCCGAGGCCGAGGCGCGTGGCGCGGCGGCGATGGCGGCGGCGGACTGCGTTGCGCTGCGCAAGGCGCTAGGGACCGACTGCTGGGTGTGCGTGCCGATCGAGAGCGTGCTCGAGCCTGGGGAGAAGCTCGAGGGCACGCGGCTGACCGTCGTCGCCCTGAAGGACTCCCCCGGGGGGGGTGTGGAGTTCTCGATCCGCACCCCGGTGACTCCCCCCCGCTGGAAGAAGTTCGACGCCGAGCTCGACGCCCGCTTCGAGCGCATCCTCGACGCGCTCGTCCCGGTCGTCGCCGCCGCGAGAGCCGACCCGCCGGCGCCGCCGACGCGCGAGCAAGCCACCGCCGTCGCGGAGGCCGCACTCTTGTTCGCGTACTACTGGTACAACCTCATGCCGCTGTCGCGGGGCGGGGCGGTCATCGGGTACACGTCCGTCCTGGCCGCCATGCTGGCGGCGGGCGTGCCTGTCGAGAGCCGGATCCCGCCGGACACGCAGGTGGACTGGGAGGCTATTTTGGGGACGCAGCCTGCAGGGTTCGTCGCGGCGGTTCGCCCCTGGCTGTACCCGGACGCGATCGTGCCTGACGAGGTGCGTTCGCCGCGCGCGCGGGCGCTCGCGGCGTCACGACCCGTCCTCGTCCGTGGTCTGTTTGTTCTACTGCCTGTATTTACTTCTCGATCATTATCATTATCTTTCTCTGCCCATGTTGTGCGCGTGTCGTGCATCGAGCGCGCAAGGTCTGCAACGCACTCACGTCCTGGTGCCGCCCTTCCGTGGTGCAGGAGAGGCATCCTGACCGGGCAGAGCTGCACGTGGGGGCCGCGGCGCAGGTCCTGCGCGGGCTTGACGTGTCGAGCCTCCCCGCGGTCGTGGACGCCTTCCCGACGTACCGCTCCCGCATCCAGTGCCTGAGCTGCTCCCACGACAGGAAGCTCTGAGTTGGAATTGCACACGTGATTCAGAAGGTCTGAAGAGAGAGAGCGGCCGTCGACGGGGCGCAAGGGCGCCGGTCGTGGCTGCGAGCGCGATCCGCAGGTGCTCGCGCCGGCCCGGTCCGGGCGCGATTGAGACACATGTGATGCGCATGCGATGGCGAGCGCCCAGCAAGCGGGTATGAGCTCACAATCGGAAGTGCACATGGCGATACAGCTTGTCTCGGCATGCGCACTTCTGTCAGGTTCCGCAGCCTCGTGCCCGACGACGCAACACACCTAGCCTCGCTCCAGCGGTGCGCTCGTGCTGCGAGCACCTCCCGCGCCTGGCCCCGATCACGCGAGCGGAACATTCGACATTCCAAGACTGTTTTTCAGTCCCCGACTTCCTTACTCCTTCTTCGACTTACTCCTTCTTCCGCCGCGTGTTTCGCCGCGGCGACACCGCGCGCGCCGGCGACACGGGCCGCTCCGCTCCCGCCGCCGCCCGCGCCCGCCGCCCGGGGCTCTTCACGCCCCCCCGCGCAGGGCTCTTCACGCCCCCCCGCGCAGGGCTCTTCACACCCCCCCGCACCGCCGCCTTTTTCTTCGCACTCGCCGGCTTCGCGGGGGACTCCGCGGGGCTCGCGGCGACGGGCGTAGCGAAGCCCTCGTCGTCGCTGGTGGGCGCCCCAGACCCCGTCGTCCTGCGCGGCACCGTCTTCGTCCTCACCGCCGGTCTGGCCGGCTGGGCGCGCGTGGTCGTTTCCGGCCGCGAAGTCGCGCCGACGGCGCCGACCAGGGTGAGCACGACGATGACCAAGGGCGTGAGGAGCACCGCGACGGCGAGCTGCCGCAGCTGCATCGGCGGCAGATACCTCTGGAGCCTGCAACGCAAACAAATAGAAAACAAATCATTACCACGAATGCTTCATTGATTCATTGGTTTCGGGGTAATCGCGTGCCCCCGACGCGATCATCCGCGACCCCAGCACATACCCCGCGCGTGGCAGCCACCACTCAGCCGCAGCGCGCTTCCCCAGAGTGCGCTATCTTTTTCGTCAAACGTCGCGTTTGGGCGGCACGCACCCGATCGCGTCCACGAGGAGGCGCTCCACCTTGAGCACGCCGGCGGCCAGGACATCGCGGGCCCTCCCCAGCGCGCCGGCCCCGGGCGCCTGCGCGGGCATCTGGCGGCGCGCGACCTCCCTGGCCTTGCTGAACACCGCGGAGTAGGCCGTGCGCGCGGCGTCGAGGCGCGCGGCCGCGGCGTCGCGCTTCTTGAAGACCTTGTACAGCTTCTGCTGCACCTCCTCGCTCGCGCCCTCCGCGCCCTGCTGCTCCAGCTGCGCCACCTCGCCGTCGCACGTCTGCGCACATGACGCCACGCGGGAGGGGCCGGGGTGTTGCGCCTCGCACGCCGATCTCCGGCGCAGAGCGTGAGCGCACGATCCTCGCGGCGCCTCGCGCGCCGCGGCGCGCCCACAGACAACGCATGAGAGAGAGAAAGGAACAGGAAGAAAAAAACAACAAATGATAAAGCTCAAGCAACTGTTCCGCACCATGTAAGACTTGGCCGCTGCCTCCTCCTTGTCCTTCTTCAAGCCAGTCTGCACCTGCAGGTTCGTCTCGTCCTTCAGCGCGGCCGCCTTCGCCTCAGCGAGCGTCTCTTTCAGCTGCGCCATCCTGGTCTTGGCCTCTTCCGATACCTGCCCCGTCAGGAGCCGGTGGTGCGACTCCATGTTGAGGATCTCCCGGACGTCGGCGTGCACGGCCTCGAGCTCCTGCAGCTCCGCCTCGACCTGCCGCGCCTCAGTCTCCAACGACGCGGTCAGTGCACTAGCGTCGCGCCCGCGCTTGCGTGCGGCGGCGACTTCGCTGCGCACCGCGCCCAGGAGGGTCGTCTTCGACTTCATGCGCCCGCGCTCGACGCCGATCTTGCGCTCCAGCTCGTCGTTCGCGGCTGCGGGAACCACCGTCAAGCGGCGGCCCGTCAGTCTCTGTTTCCCAACTGCCAGCAGCTTCCTAAGCCGCGGTGGGCCGGCGCGCGCGGCCTGGCAAGCGAGCACTCGAGGCCGTGCGCACGGCACGGGAGGCTCCGCCCGGCCGCCAACACGTGCAGAGACCAGAATTGGTAGCACGCGAGCAAGCGCTGCGTGCACGTGATCTACAGCGCGAACGCTCCGCGGTGAACCGGCGGTGGTACGGAGGCGGGAGCGCGTGGCGGGTCCGTCCCGTGGTGCTTTGAGTGCAAAGGTTGCACAGCGCAAGTGCGCAAACAGCGACGTGTGGTCGCGGGGCGAAGACGGGCCTCACCCTTGTACGCCGCGATGTTCGCCTCGATCGTGGCGAGCTCGTCGAGCACCTCGGCGAGCCGGGCGTCCAGGGCGGCCTCGTCGCACGGGGCCTCCGTTGCAGGTGGTGGCTTCGCAGCAGGGGGGGTCTGCTCCGCCGCGCTGGGCTGAGGGGGGGCCTTTTGGGGTGCGGGAATGTCTGCGGGGGGCGTCTGCGATTTGAAGCGCTGCGGGGCCGCGCGGGCGCGCGGCGGCGGCGCGTGGGCCTGGGCGAGGGCCCCCGCAGGCAAAAGGAGCGCCGTTATCGCGGCTGCCGCGACGATGCGCGTGGTGGTCTTGCGCGGCGGCATGCTTGCGATCTAGAGGGCTCGTTCCTGCAGATGGGCGGGGTGCGGCGCCGGGCTCGTCGCGGGGCGCGGGTGCGAAGTTCAGGGTGCATGCTGGCGCGTACGGGCGGGGCAGGTCGCGCAGGCTTCAAGCCGCGCGAAGGGAGAACTCGCATGGTTCGTGCGCCTGGGGCACGGCACGCTGCGTGACGGTCTCGCGGAAGCGGGGGAGCGACCAAGCGGGCTAGCAGTGGGCTCCCTAGGAGGGAAAGGGCGAAGTTGCGCACTTGGGAGTGTATTTGAGGTGCTGTGTGCGACACACCTGGCAAGGACAAGCCACCTCTGAGCGCGGGACTCCTAGCTAGGGGCGGGAATCGACAGTCTTGCCGCGCAACCTCGCAACAGTCACGCCGCGCTCTCACGGCCGACAGCTGCGCCCGGTAGCCCGTGTGCCGTGCGATTGACAGCGCACCCGACTGCGCACAAGCTGTGCGCTCGATACCGGCGCACACCCCCCATGAGCCGCGCCCGCCGGGCGCTCCCCCTACTGCCCCTCTGCGTGCACCCTAGACCCCCCCCTGGGGCCCCACGCGTCGACGACGCCCACTTGACGGCCTCGCGGGCTCATCAGAACACAATACACAAAACCCTGAGGTGGTCGCAGTCCGTGATCATCCGCTTCACAGGCAGGATGCACCTGTGCTCCACAGCTCGGCTTGCGCGCGCCGCGACGCCCGCGCCGGCCCGTCGCGCGGCCGCCCGAGCGGCTCCCCGCGCTGTTCTACGGCGCAGCCGGCGCTGCGTTGCCGCCGCGGCGGAGCCGGCTGACGCGTCTGCGCAAGAGGACAGCGATCCTGTCCCTCCAGGCTGCTCTCGATACGAGATCACGGTGCGACCGCTGGCATCGACCTCGTGCTGCTTGACCTCGTACGCGCATGTCAGTGACGGAGCGTGTGGTTGGTGTTGAAGTCGCTGGTGATGCCAGATTGCAGGTGCTCTGAGGAGAATGAGCCGGGAGACTAGTATGCGAGTTGCGACCTGGCCGAAAGGTACTACGCGGGGCAGCTTGCCAGGTCGCAACTCGCATACTGGCCCCGCGTAGTATCCGTCGGCCAGGTCGCAACTCGCAAACCAGTCTCCCGGCTCACTCATTCTCCTCAGAGCACCTACACACTGGCAAATGGCAACTGCCAGCACGCGCAGAGAACGTGCCACCCAGTGGCGCCGTCCCGTTGTGCAGCTCAGCAAGCCGCTGGGGCTCGTGCTCGAGGAGGACAAGAAGACGAAGAGCATTCGCGTCGCTGAGATCGTGCCGGGAAGCAGTGCAGCGCGTACGGGCCTGGTGACGGTCGGGGACACGCTCGTGGCCACCAGCGGCTACGTCTACACGCGGGAGAGCACCTACCAGGACACGTGCGCACAGGCCGCTCAATCATCACTCTCGCCCAATCCAATCAACCCTAAAGTCTATCTCAATCAAGGAACTTTGATTGGTTGACTCGCGCTCACTCGCCAAGGTTCCCCGGGACCGCGTCCAGTGCGTCCGGGACCGTGCTGGCCCCGCGCTCCGCGCACACCGTCCGTCCGCGCCCCTCCGCGTCGCAGCGTGGTGAAGAGCGGGCAGCAGCTGGTGCGGCTGGCGGTGCGCGGGGAGAGGTTCGAGACGGTGATGGCGGCCATCGGCTCGCACCCCGGCCACGTCCCAGTCACGCTCGAGCTGCAGAAGTGCAAGTAGACTCGTTCGCAGCGTCATTGAGGTGATGTAATGAACTTGATTCATGGCGCATGGTCGCCATCACCGACGCCACTGCCGCCCTCTCTCCGCCTCCGCGAGACGCGCCGCACTGTCAGCAACGGCGCGACGACTCCACGAGCGCGCCGACGAGGTTCCCGGCACTCGGCCCGCCTGCAAGCACCTCCCATCCCCTTGACTGACGCACCGAGCAGGCCGCGCCCCCGCCTCCCAGCGTCTCACACGCGCCCACATCACTGCCGCGCCGGCGCGCTGGCGAGCGGCTGCGGCAGCTGCGCGGCCATCGCCTCGTCAATGAGCCCCGCCGCGTTGCGCAGGTTTTTGCCCCACTCCGTCAAGCTCTGCGCGATGAGCTCCCAGTCCGAGTGCGCGAACACGCGCTTCGTCCACCGCCCCACCACCACCGTCCCCGCCACCTGGTCCAGCTTCGCGTCCACGACCCCCTTGCCCACCGCCGCAACAACAAACGCCTCCACCTCCCCCTCCGGCACCCCCGCCGCGGCCGCGACCTCGCTGTACTTCACGGCCTTGCCCCGCGCGCGCTCCGCCACGTCCAGCAGCGCCATCAGCCGCGTCTTCGCCACCAGCGCCTCAGCGCCCCCGCACTCCGCCGCCACGGGCCCGGCCGCCGCCTTCGTGACCGCCGCGACGTCCCCGCGCAGCACCGCGTCGAGCAGGTCGAGCACGGCGTTCCCGCGCGCCGCGGCCTCGACCCCCGGAATCGCGAGCAAGTCGCACTTGAAGTGGCTTGGGTCCGACAGAAAGGCCTTGGCGACCGACACGATGCGCTCGACGTCGCGCGCCGTGGGCTGCCGCGGCGGGGTGGCCGCGGCGGAGGCCTCGAGGCCGCGGCACACGGCCTGCAGCCGGCGCTCAGTGGAGGCGCGGCTGGTGGCCTCGTACAGGTCGGCGACGGCGAAGTGGAGCGTCGCGGCGTCCGCGGGCGCGAGGGACCACTCCTTGACCCACTTGTCGGCCCTGCGGGCGGCGGGGGCAGGGGTTGGGGTCAGGGGGGGGGAGTTGCGGCGGTTGGTGGGGGTGTGTGCGGGGGGGGGGAGGGCGGGCTGGGGACGCACTTGTCCTCGACCATGACGCGGACGGTGTCCGCGAGGTTTGGGTACGTCTTGGCCATGTCGGAGAGCGCCATGGTGCACTTGAACCGCAGCCGATGGTCGGGAACCATATTGAACACCTTCGCGATGCCTTGGAGGCGGACGTCCGGCCGGTCCGTGGGCGTGAACGGGTGCGTGAAGACGTTCAGGAGCGCCTCGGCGATCGCGGGGCCCTCCTGCGGCGGCGGCGCGGTGCGGCGGCGCTGCGTGAGCGTTGTTGTCGCGCGGGCGGCCCGTGGCGGCGCCGGGGGCGCGAGGCGGGGGAGGGCGCGGACCTCAGGGGCTGCCTTCGTGGCGATGGAGCACAGGACGGCGAGCACGGCGGTCGCGTCGCCGTTGTGGCTCGCCAGGAGGGTGTGCTGGGCAAGGTGCGTGGCGAGCTCCGGGAGCCTGCCGGAGACGAGGCGCTGCTCGATCTCCGCGGTGAATGTGGCACCTGCTCCCTCGCATTGCTGCTCGAGGAGCGAGGAGATGTAGCTGCGGGGACGGAGGGAAAGGGTCTCGTTGGCACGCGAGTGATCTGAGGGCCGGGGACAGCAGCAACGAAGCGGCTTCGCGGTCCAGGGGTATGGTGTGGGAGCTGCGCTTCCGGGCCGGTGCGAGCCGGGCCGCGGCGGCGCGAGGCACGTGCAGGAAGCTGCCCACTAGCGGCGGAGGGAACCCGCCGCGTGCGTGCGAGCAGGCGCGACGCGAGCGCACGGCGAGGGCGCGTGACGTGCGTGTACGATGTGGGGAGCCGGCGACGGGACGCTTCGGGGCAGCGGGCCTCGGGACGCCCCGGTTGGCCGCGCAGCCGGCGCAGGAAAGGCACCGGGGAGCTCGGGCAGCGCTCCAGGCTGGACACGCGCGTCTGTGCGCATTCGCTGGGGACGCTCTGGCGCGAGGGGGTCGGTGCGGAGGCACTGGCGCTGCACGTGCGCGCCTCGGGCCGCTGGGAGGGAGGGCGACGCCCAGCCTGAGGCAGATGCTGGCGTTCGCGGCGCACGCACCTCGCGAGAACCGCCCACGAATCCTCTTCGGAATTTTCAACGAAGAGGTTGCACGACATGCTGGCCATGCCCGAGAACGGCCTCACTACGGGACGCCCGACGGGCCGGGTGCAGCCGAGGCCGGAGCTGGGCTTGCGGGGCTCTCGCACGCACGCACTCGGGTGTGAACGCGACAAGCGATCGCTAGGCAGCACACTGGACGTGCGGAGGCGCACCAGCGGGCCTTATAGCGGCACCCCGCGACGCCCTCGGCCCACCCCGCCAGCTCAGGGCGATACAACCCAAGTCCGCCTCTCCAGCGCGGTCCACAGGGGTTCCGCGGCACGCGGCGGTCCCGCAGAACCGCGGCCCGCTCTGGCTCTCCGTTGAAGTGATCGCAGGGCGTTCGTAGCGCGCGCTCGGGCGACAGCGGCGTCCTTGCTCTCTGTGCGTCAGGAAAGGCCGACTTGCGCGCTCGTGGAGCGCCCGCCGGGCCTGACCACCGCGGGAGGCGGTAGGCCACTAGCGAGATGAGCGCGGCGTCGCACGACGAGCGGGCCCGGCAGCTCGTGGCCAAGGCGGACAAGAAGCTCAAATCCTGGGGCCTCCTTGGCAACAAATACGAGGTGCGCTCGCCGCCTCGTCTTCCCCACGGGCTCCTGGACGCAAGACCCATCTGTTGCGGACCTGCTCCCTGCGATTTGTTTCCTCGCGAGGACCGATCGGCTCGCAATCACTGCCCGCGCACCACTGCGACCGAGGCGCCCCGTTTGTCCCGCCGAACAAGTTCAGGGGCGCGCTATCCGGCTCCCGTGCGAGCGCAACGTTGTCCCGCGCCGCTCAGATGCACAGCGCCCTGGATCGGCGCCTGCACGCCGCGTGCGAGCCGGTCGCCCTTGGGGCACCCCACGGCGTCCCGCGGGCCCGTTTCCGGCACGACCGCGCGGCTCCCCGGCCGCGACACCACGCAGGATGCAGCAGAGTACCTGGAGCAGGCGACCAGCGCATTCAAGCTAGCCAAGGCGTGGGGCGAGGCCGCGGAGACCTTTCTCAAGCTCTCGGACGTGCACCTCAAGCTCTCGTCTCAGTACGAGGCGGCCACCACGATCGCCGAGGCCGGCAACTGCTACAAGAAGGTCTCCCCCCCGGACGCCCTGCACTGCTTCGAGCGCGCCGCGGACCTCTACATGCAAGCGGGGCGCCTCCAGATGGCGGCGCGACAACTCAAGGAGGTCGGGAAGGCCTGCGAACAGGCCGGCGACAAGGCGCGCGCCATCCAGGTGTACTCCCAGGCCGCGGACCTCTTCCTCGGCGAAGAGCAGCCCCAGGAGGGCTACAAGTGTCTCCTAGAGGTGGCGCAGTTCCAGGCGGAGACGCAGCAGTACGTGGCGGCGGTGGGGACGTTCGAGCAGGTCGCGGGGTTCTACCTCGACAACCACCTGCTGAAGTTCTCCGCGCGGGGCGTGCTGTTCTCCGCGGGCTGCTGCCTGCTCGCGGCGGGCGACCTCTCCGCCGCGCGCGCCGCGCTGGACCGTTACCGCGAAATGGACGTGAAGTTCGAGTCGTCGCGCGAAGAGGAGCTGCTCGAGGCGCTCGTGGCGGCGATGGAGGTGCGCGCCCGCCCGGACACCGGGCACGCTCGCGTGCCGCCCGGTTTATTGCGCAACTTGCGAACAGAGACGTGTTGTGTGGCGTGTCCTGCCGTGTGGCGCTCGCGGGCCCGGCGCGCTGCGCGGCAGTGCGGCCGGCCCGTCGGCGCGCTCCGAGAAGCCCATCGCCGCCCGCGCGGCTCCGTCCCGGCACTAGTTGCGCTCTGGCATGACTCACAGCCCCTGCGTGCCGCGGCGCCGCGGCGCGCGCTGCAGGCGAACGACGACGCGGGGTTCACGGACGCGGTGGCGCAGTACGACAGCATGACGCGCCTGGACCCGTGGAAGACAACGATTCTCCTGCAAGCCAAGCGGCGCATCCAGGCGGGCACCGCGGCGGCGCTGGACGAGGACGACCTCACGTGACGCGTTCGGGCGGGCCCTGGGTCGGCGACGAGGCCGCGCCGGTGCCGCGCGGCGGCGCAGTGTGAGCGCTGGCGGCCTTGTGCCCACAGTGCAGGTCGCACACACACCGCATGCGCGCTCCCGTCGCGGCGGCCGCGTGCTGCGTCGCCCGCGGCGGCTCGGCGGATAGGCTTGGTGCCGGTGAGGCGCGAGGCCGTCGAGCGGGCGGCTGCCGCCGCCATGCGTCGCCCAAAGCTGCGTTGGTGCACCTTTACTTGACAACTTGTCATGTGCGCGCCGCCGCAGACGAGCACGCGCGAGACGACGCAAACGCGCCGCCCGGCCACTGCACAGCTGTTGCGGAGAGGCGTCGTCTGCGCCGCCGGAACCGCGCAGATTCCACCCGCCCGCTGCGTACGCGCCGGCGGATCGCCGACGAATCGTGGCGTGTGGCTTTGGTGAACTGACGTAATGACTCACTGCGTCGCTGCCTTCCCGGGGGTCCTCAAGGGCGCGGCGCGGCGCAGCGGCGCCAGCAGTGATCAAAGGGTTCGTGCGGCTCGCTGAGCGAAGCGCTGCTGTGCGACGGAACAGGAGCATCGCGCAGTGTTGCGCTGAGGCACACAGCCGCCTCTTTCGCGCCGTTTCGGGACTTTTCCCGGATAACATGCGACCCTGAGCTCTTCGTGTCGACAACGACCTCGTTCGTGCACGGTGTGGGAGGGAGGGGCCTTCGTCGAGGCGTCCTCGCTCGAGTGACCCTCCACTTAGGGCAGCGGCCACGAGGCAGCTGAGGGCACCACCGCCTATGCGTCGCACAGAGACGGCGTAACATAGTCTACTGGTTCGAAAGGCGTCCCTTGTTGAGCGTTGTGCGCCCTGGGACCGCGGCGCTAGGAGGATGCCACTGCTAGAGCAACCGCACCCGCCCCGCGAACACAGCCGCTGCGACGCGAATCAAGCGCGTCGCGGCTGCGCGAATCAGCCTCGGGACGCGGAGAATGCGCCGCGCGCCGCGAACGCGCCCCGCCGCGCAGGGCATCGCCGGGCGCAGAGCACGCAGCTTCTCCGTCCCAGGTGCGGGCAGGCCCGGGACGACGATCGCCGCGCCGCCGCCTCCGCTCGCACGGACATGTCTTGCACGCGGGCGTGCGGGAGTAGCGCCGATATACCCGGGGCCTACGACGCTCCCAGCGACTGTTCAGTGCGCCTCCCATCGTCGCCGCCAGGGGGCCCTCCCGGCCGCAATATGCACGAATTTCCACGCGTAGAGCTCGACCATACTCGTGCTGAGCCACGAACGCGCCACAGAGCCTCATCGCGCCCCCCAGACGTGCGACGCGGTGAGCCCGGTCATGGGCACCCCGCACCGCCACGGTCTCCCGCGCCCGCGATACAAACTTTCCGCCATCCCGCGGCGCTCCAAACCGTCGAACATGCACCGAAGCGGCTTTTTACGCCCCTTGCTTCGTGCAGATTCCCCGTGGAGGCGCCCCCCGAAGCAAGCCCTAGCCTCTCTGCTAGACCACCGTCGCGGCGCGGGCGCAGCGCCGTTGCGGCGGGCTGCGACTTCGGAAGCGCCGTCGCGCAGCCTGGCGCGAAGGACGCGTCGGCGCACACGGCGTCGACCGCCCGGGGGGACACACACACTCGACGCACGACACGCAATGGCGCCTTGCAGCGCACGTCCCCCCCGCCGGCGAGCTCGCAGCTGGTCCGGCGCGTGTCCTCCGCGCAGATCTTCGATGTCCTCGACACGGAGTCGGGCGCGGGGCGGCGGAAACGCACCCCGCGTCTCACTGACAGCGCACCCGGCTGGGAGATGCCACAGCCGTTCGGCGCTGCGACGTCGCCGGCCTCCCCCGGGGCATCGTCGAGGCCTGAGGCCGACGCGGGCGGGTCGATTCCGTGCTTCTCGGGCAACGCAGGCGACCTGACGGTCGCGGCGTTTCAACCAGTCCACACGGGCGTGGACAGCGCGGCGTCCATGGTCTCGCGAGCGCTCGGGTCGCGGATGTCCCATTCGGTGCAGGGCTTCAGCGAGGTGAGCGCGGTCCGCGAGCCGTGGATGGACCCGCTCGCAGCGCGGGTCGAGGGCAGCGCCGCTGCTACGGGCCACAGTCGCGCCCCGAGGTGGACGTCCGAGACAGCCGACGTCGAGCAGGTGAGACGGGCACACAGAGAGCGAGACTGCGCCCCCGTGAATCGCGTCGCGACGCCCGTTCCCGCCACACCAGGCGCTCTGATCACAAGCAAGCGCAACCTTTCACCATGTGCGCGGCACGCGTGGCTCAGCATGTCGCTGCGCACTTGCCCTGCAGCGTGCGCGGAACATCGGCGCTGTCCGGCGGAGCTGCACGGTCGGGCAGATCTCTCTCGACGTCCTGACGGAACAAGGTCCCTTTGTTGGGCACGGCGCAACGACCTCTGTCTTGATGGACGCCGGCGTTTCGGACCGCCAGCCGTCGGTGCACGTCAGGAACCTCCGCGCGCGGGCCATGCAGCGCAGGCAGTCGTGGCTGGCCTCTTCTCGCAGCAGTGGAGCTGCGGCGGTGCCTGCGTCAACGATGCTCGAGGCTCGTGCGCGGTCGAGTAGCATTTCGCAGCAGCGCAAGAGCGACGAGGAGCGCGCTGTCGCTGTGGAGGCGCAGCAGGCGGACGCCGAACGCGGCAGGTGGCTGCAGCGCTCGGTTAGTGTGGTAACAACTGCGGTGCGCAAGCTCACGCCCGGGAGTGGACGCGGCAACGCGGCGCGTGCGAGCTCCCGTGCCTCGGTGCATCCTTTCGAGCCGCCGCACGCCGCCGCGCCTGGAGAGGACACGCGGGAGACGGCCAAGCAGGAGACGACGGGCGCAGAGGTGGGGGCCGCAGTGCCGGTTGAGAGCCAGAGCGCGTCTGAGAAGCGCACCACCGAGCAGCAGGACGCAGAGGGTCCCGATGCTGAGTCCGCCGGGCGGTTTCTGGCAAGTCGGGCGTCCTGGGAGGCTGAAGTTGTCAGGGGGGGGGGGTCTGACGAGGCGGTGGACCCCGGAAGCAGCGCGCACTCGCGCACGGCGTGCATCATGGAGCCCGACTGCGCAGTCGCGTCGCCGTCCGCGCTCCGCGAGGGCCCTGAGCTGCTGAAGCTTCCATCGTCGCTGCGCGCGCGCCGACCCTCGCGCAACGCGCCTGTCGCGTCGCCAGGAGCGCGGGCCAACCTGTTCGGCGGCAACCTCAGGAACACGCTCGAGGAGAACGCCCTGAGCACGTACGAGGAGGTGGCTCGCTTCCTCGGGCCCACGACGACGCTGACCCGCGACAGGTCCTCCAGGTCCTCGGCGTACGTGCTCAGCCGCGCGGGATCGTCGCTGGCCGGCTCCATCGGAGGTACGACTTCCGCACTGAATGCCTTTGGATGATCGCGACGTTGCATTGTTGTCACGCTTCAATCCGCGCAACGCAGAGCAGTCCCTCCGACGGGCGCCAGCCTCGCACGATCGACTGCCACTCGACGCGTGCTGTGCAGGCGCCGCGAGCTTCAACGGCGAGCGACCGCGGCTGCGGCGCAGCTCGACGCGCAGCGGCGCGTCTCTGCTCCCATTCTTCGGTCGCAAGGACAGCGCCGTCTCGGCCGCGATGATTCACACGGATTCGGGTGGGCTCGAGGCCGACGCGAGGCCCGGCACGTCCGGGCTGCGCACGACGAGCCGGCTCAATGTGGGGACGCTCGACGGCAAGACCGCGGGCTTCTTCAACCACTACCAGGTCATCAAAACGATAGGTGCGCCCGCGAACGTTCGAGATACACAGCTGCACCGAGGCTCGCGTTCTGCGGGCGCGTTCGCAGCACCCCTCGAACCCGCGCCGTTCCGCTGCCGTGCGTGCAGGGTCGGGGGCTAGCGGCGACGTGAAGCTGTGCATGAACTTGTACGATCAGACCCTGGCGGCGGTGAAACTCGTCGCCAAGACCTCGCGCCGCGGATCGCTGGGCTCGCGCCCGCCGGACAAGGCCGCGACGCTCAAGCGCGAGGCCGAGGTCCTGACGCAGCTCTGCCACCCCAACATCGTCAACGTGCACGAGATCATCGACGACGACTCCGCGCCGCACCTGCTGTGCGTGATGGACTACGTCGAGGGTGGCCCCGTCCAGCTCACCCACCAGGAGTACACGCCGTCCGCCGACGGCGTGTTTGCCGAGCAACTGTCCGAACACACCGCGTGGGGGTACTTCGTGCAACTGATCGACGCGCTGGACTACCTGCACTCTGCGGGCGTGGTCCACGGCGACATCAAGCCGGACAACCTCCTGCTCGGCGCCGATGGCATGGTGCGGCTCGCAGACTTTGGCTCCGCTATGGTCCTGCGGAAAGACGGCGCGGACACGCTCACGGCGATCCACGGCCGCACGCCGGCGTTTCTGCCTCCCGAGGCGTGCGACGGCGAGGAGTTCTCGGCGCGATCCGCGGACGTGTGGGCCGCGGGCGTGACGCTGTACCTGATGCTGTTCGGGCGGCTTCCGTTCGGGCACCCGAAGCTCGCGCCGTTCGCGATGTACGCTGCGGTGTCGGAGGGCGCGCTCTCGTTCCCCGCGGAGCCCAGGGTCAGCGACGCGTGCAAGGACCTGCTGATGGCGGTGCTGGCAAAGGACGCGGCGCGGCGCGCGACGATTGAGGACGTCGTCTCGCACCCGTGGATGACGGAGATCCTCAGCGACATCAGCAGCCGCCGCGCCGTGTCGTGCGAGGCGGTGGGCGCGCGTGCGATCGAGCACTGGCAGAGCGGACTGACAACGAGTTACTCCGGGGAGTCGTCGGCACGGACGGAGCATGCGAGCTTGTCGCGACAGTCTTCTTCGCGGCTGAGAAGGAGCGCGAGCGGGCTGTGCGCGATCCACGAGATGCAGGTGGTGCGGGAGCCCTCGCGCGCGATCCTCAGGCAGCCCTCGTCACCAGTGACGTCGTCGCCGCGGGCGCAAGCGGTGAAGGTCGTGGACGAGAACGCCGGTACGTTGCTGCAGCGCACGCTGCTCGCTGCTGCGCGGGCCCTGCGTGCGGTGCGACGTAGACAACGATGTCAACTTTGTCCATAACACTGGCAATCCAACGCCCCCCTTGTTGTTTTTTCGCAGGCTCCGGTCCGTACTCCCTAACTGCGTCACAGAGCGTTCACGCAAGGATGGGCCCCGGCTCGCCGCTGTCGACGCGATCCCCGCAGGCCATGGGGGAGTTCAAACACATTGTGCAAGTCCTGGAGCTGGAGTTTCCTGACGTGGTCCCCAAGCTCGTCCTAGAGGAGGGAGACTTCCTCGTTGGGGAGGGGGACGCCAGCGACAAGATGTACTTCATCGTCCACGGCGAAGCAGAGGTCATCAAGCAGATTGCGTCGCAGTCGGAGGGCGCAGAGGGCGGCGGCTTGGGCGACAGTCACGGCTCCGGCTGCTCCGCGCGCGTCGACGACGAGAACGACGGCACCGAGGCTGCGCGGGGCAGCGACAAGTCCAGCGACGACTTCGCGCCCATGAGCGGCAGGGGTAGAGTCGCCGCAGTGTCGCCGACCAGGAACGGGTTCCTCCCGCGGCAGCCCTACGGGAAGGCCAGGGGGCTCGGACGGTACGTCTCCGGCAAGATCGACAGGCACGTCCTGGAAGAGGACCTCGTGCGCGGATCCGATCAGTCGTACGACTCTGAGAATCCGTCGACGACGCACGGCAGCGGCCTCGAGGCCGAGCGCGCGTCCTGGACGTCGCGGACGTCGCAGAGCCGCGCGTCGTTCCTGAGGCGAGCGCTCGGCGGCGCGTCGCGCCGCCAGGACGACAGCTTCGTCGCCACGCAGCCTGGGCTCGTCCGACGCTCCCGGAGCAGTATTGATCTCAAGACCGACGCCAGCAGACCCGAGGGAGCCCGCCCCGACATGACATCGCTCGACCGGCGCCGGCTGAGCCACTGGGGCGCCGCGGCGGGCGGGGCGAGAGGCCTGCAGTCGGCCACCAGCTCGTCGCTTTACAATGGACGTGGAGTCTCGTTCCACGGGGCGCCGTCGCGTCCAGCGCCGTCGCGGTTCAGCCGCGAGACCGACCTTGGCCGCAGCGAGTCGCAGGCGGGCCCGGCGCTCGGGGGCCGCGCGGGGCAGCCGGGGGGGGAGTCGAAAGGGTCCGTGCGCGGCAGTTGGGTTTTCAGGTCTCGGAAGGCGCACGAGGACCTCGAGCACCTCGTCCGCACGGCCGCGGAGAGCTGCGACGCGCTCGGGAGGGCCATGCGCCACGAGGGCGGGTTCCGCGTCCTCGCGCGGATCTCGGCGGGCGACGTCGTCGGGGAGATCGGATTGCTCGGCAACTCGGTCCGCACGGCGTCGGTGCGCGCTCTGACGCGGCTCGAGGTCCTCGAGGTGAGCCGCAGCGCGCTCGCGACGATCGCGGCGTCCGCGCCGCTGCTGCAGCACGACCTGAAGCGCGTCGTTGCGCAACGGACGGCAACGAGGCGGATGATGGAGGCGTTCGAGCAGCTGGCGGGGCTGCACCAGCGGTTCTCGTCGGAGCAGGGCGGCCGGGCGGCGGAGAGGCCGAAGCTCCAGGCGGTGCCGTCGCTGCGGGCGCTGTCGCGCGTGTTGTCGCGTCGCGCCGTGCTGGACGAGGGCGCGGCGGACGCGGAGGAGATCGCGGGCGACGGCAGCAGGACCGTGGCGCCGGCCGTGTCGATGAGCCAGATGGCGGTGATTCCCGAGTCGCGGGAGGAGCTGCAAGCCAGAGCGGCCTGACAGGCCCTGACACGTGTTTGCCGTCCAGCAACCCCCTTCTCTCACGAACAACGCAGAGCAGGAGACGCTGTACGGGCTCCAGGAGGGTCGCCGGCAGCCCCGAAGCACGGCGGCGCCACGCACGCCGTCCTTGTCGCTCCGACGCGGCCACGTGCATCCCCTGCACATAGCTCCTTGATGCACGTGCGCTGGTGACGCCGCGTGTTGTGCGGGCAGTCGACCGCGCTTGCCGTACCGCCGATCAAGGGTGGATCGCTCGCGCGCGACGCCCAGTCGCCGAGGACATCCATCCTCTTTTTGCACCTGTTGGCTGAAGACTACTTGTTTGGAACTCTTGACTGAAAACTACTTTTTGGAACTACTGCTCCTTGGTTCGGTGCGCTCAACCCTTCCTGTTGCAGCGACAGAGCTGCAACGCCGCACACGGACCCAAACGATCGAACCATCTGCCCCTGTCCAGGCGCAACATCACGGCCCAACCAGTTGCGGCCTCCCGTGCCGCCCCTGTCCTCGAAGCCAAACGAGCCCCCCTCCCCTCCCCCCTCCCGCCCCCGACCCAGCCCGCGCCTGAACCCAGACAATCGAACTTACAGCCCCTGCCCGGGCGCAACGGCACGGCCCAACTAGTTTCGGCCGCCCCCGCACCCGACCCAGCCCGCACATGCACCCAGACCAAAGAACTGAGTGCACATTCCCCTGCCCAGGCGACACGTCACGGCCGAACCAGTTTCGGCCCCGCCTGCCATCCCTGTCTTCGAAGCCAATACCCCCGACCCCCCGACCCCCGACCCCTCCCAGCCCGCACCCGCACCCAAACGATCGGATGAAACGCCCCTGTCCAGGCGCGACGTCCCGGCCGAACCAGTTTCGGCCCCGCCTGCCATCCTGTGAGAGTATCCCTTTGACACCCCGGGCTGACTTGACGGGGGGTGGGGTGGGGGTCTGCGCGACCCACCCCCACCCCGTCGCCCTAGTAGGGGTGGGCCGTGGGGGCGGCGGAGCCACCTACCCACCCCGGCCCGCTCAAGGTAGCCCCCACGGGTGGTGGCAGCAGTTCAGTGCGTGTTGCGCCGCACTGGCTGGATATTCCCGCTCGTACGGCACCGCGCCGCGATGACCGCGACGCCTGGCGCCGCCGGAAGTGGCGAAGCCGTGGATTCGGACGCGTGGGTGAACAAGCGCGTCGAGGCCCTCATGCTACCAACTGGTGGATGGTAGCAGCCCGAGGCACGACATGCTGGGAGTGTGCGACGGACCGGAACGTCACCAGGGTGCGAAGGAATGACGGACTGCAGGGCGTGCAGGTGCAAGGATTGACGGCGGCCCGGCGCTGGGTCACTAGGGCCTGTAGTCGCCGGTGCAACAGAGCAGATGGAGCGCCGAGTGTGAGCGCAAATGGCGTTGTCAGGGATCCCTCGACAGGTGTGGCGAGATCGCGGATCCAAACTCGCGGCAGGGCGGATTCACTGTCGTATTCCCCAGCTTGGCGCCGGACCCCCACCCCCCACAGCTTCGCGCCACCTGCTGGCTGCAAGTTGCGGTGGGGGGTGGGCAGCCGCCCTCAGAACCCACCACCCCACCCCGCGCCGGACCCCCTGGGCGCCGGACCCCCTACCCCACCCCCCGTCAAGTCAGGCGGAGTGTCAAAGGGATACTCTCCTGTCCTCTAAGCCAACCCCCCCCCTGACTCAGCCCCCGCACAGCACATTCCTCGCCCCCGGCAGTTCGACCGCCCCCGGGCGCTCGGCACGGCCGCGGCAAGCCGCCCACGCGTTCTGTGAACGCCTCCGCACGTTCTGTCCAGGATTCACAGCGCGTCACCGTCGCAAGCCCGCTCAACCCAGCGCCGCATTACGCCGACATGGCGGCGTCGTAGCGCGCGGCGACGGCGTCCCAGTTGATCAGCTTGTCCACGAACGTGTCCATGTACGCCGGGCGCTTGTTCTGCTGGTCCAAGTAGTAGGCGTGCTCCCAGACGTCCATCGTCAGGATGGGCGTCAGGCCCGAGCACACGGGGTTCTCCGCGTTCGGCGTCTTGACGACCTCGAGCTTCTTGTCCTTGTTCACGACCAGCCAGGCCCAGCCGGAGCCGAACTGCGTCGCGCCCGCAGCCTTGAACTGCGTCACGAACTCGTCGAACGAGCCGAACGACGCGTCGATGGCCGACGCGAGCGCGCCCGAGGGCTTCCCGCCGCCGTTGGGCTTCATCGACTCCCAGAAGAACTGCAGGGAGCGAGCGCGGCGGACGGAGCGTGGGCGGGAGGGAGCAGGCGCGCAAACAGACCTAGTATACGCGCCGCACGCCGCCGCGCCGCCCGCGGACGCAGAGGCGCGCGACGGGGCGGCCGCGCGCAGGGCGACGCGACGACACCCCCCCTGTCCGCGCAACGCGCAACGATCGTGATGTTGTTCGTAGGCGGCCCGACACCGCCTGTCGATGACACCGGTGACGGGCGACATATTGCGGTGCGCGGACGACGTCACCGCAGCACGCGAGGTGTCGACGCCCGTTGGTGTCGCGTCGCTCGGCCGGGGCCTCGCGATTTGTGTGTCTTGCCTCGGACGAAGTCATGAACATATAATTGTAATATGAGATATAAATTCGTGGTGTGGACGTACCGTGTGGTTCCAGACCTGGGCGGCGTTGTTGAACACGGGCGTGGGCGACCCGTTGTTCCACGACGCGAGCACGATCTCCTCGAGCGACTTGTTCTCGAGGTCCGTCCCGGCGATCTGCTTGTTCCCGTTGTCGACGTAGGCGCGGTGGTGCTTGCCCCAGTGGAACTCGAGTGTGTCCTTCGACATGTGCGGCTCCAGCGCGTCCAGCGCGTACGGCGGCTCCTTCAGGACCATCGCCGCCATCGGGCGCACCTGGCAGCGCGCCACGCGCTGCGACACGCGCTGCGGAGAGCGGGGACCCGAGGAGAGGTGGTTTGTTGGTGGGTCGGAAACGGGGGGGGTATTGGGGATGGGGGGGAGATAGAGGGCGGGGGAGGGGCGTGCGGGGGTGGGGGGGGGGGCGGGCGGGGCGGGCGGTGCGGGGGTGTGCAGGGGCGGGCGGGGGAGAACAGGGCGTGGTGGCGGAGTGGGTGAGGTGGGTGGCTCGCGCGGGTCGTGGGGCGGGGATCGCGACCGCGGGGGGCGCGCGATGCCGTGGTGATATACAGTTGATTGGTTGCGGGGGCGTGCGGGGGCGACGACGTGCGCGGGGACGCCGGGCGGGCGGGCCGAGCGATGGGCTTTCCCGAAGAGGGCGCGTGCCGGGCGCGTGGCTGGGCGCAAAGGGTTACGCACGCGCGCACCGGCGTGCATGCAATTCAGGCGCGCCGCCGGCGGGGCGATTCCGAGACCTGGGCGCGTCACGCGCGTGCCTGCCGCCACCGATTTGGGTGGTTGCAATGCGAGACTTCGGACGCACCTGCGAGGCCACGCGGCTGACGATGAAGCGGGTGGAAGCCAGAGCAGACATCTTGACCTTGCTATCCCTGAACGAAATGCACCCAGCTGCGCGCCAGGAACGCCCAATGCAGCCCGCTGGGGACCTCCAGCCCTGGCGCTGGCCGCCCGGAGGACTCCACCGCAGCTGCCCCGCCACCGACGCACCGAGCGATGCAGCTCCGCCCGGTACCGATACAGCGTGCCGAGGGGAACATGCAGGACGCGCAGGACGCAGCGGTCTGGTCCTGTGACGCGCGCAGGGGCCCCTGATGGCCTCAACCAACTTCCGCTGTACAGTGCGCCAGCGACATGAACGAACGAACCCGTGGTGCTCAACCGGCTCTCGACGTACATCCGTTGCCCTCGAGCGTATCTTACCCACCAGCGATCCCTGCAGCAGGTCGCACAGCCCACCTAATGGCAGTGCCGCCCCACTATAGCGCGAACGCAACGCAACGCGCCCGTCCGCCGGCGCTCCGCTCCAGCCGCACGCAGCACAGCTCAGCGCGCCCAGGGCGAGGAATCTGCGGGGACCGACGCCCGGCGCCCCGCTCGCGCGCCCCGCCACGCGTCGCGAGCGCGTGCGCCACTTCCGTGCCCGCTCTCACACCGCCTCGGCCCAGCGCCGCGGTCAGCGGAAGTACGCCAGATGCTTGTTCGGCAGCATCGGCGGCGCGCGGCCCGAGTCCTCTGCGTCGTCGTGCGACGGCACATCTTTCAAACGCTCCTTCTCCTCCGCAAGCCACGCCTCGACGACCCGCAGCAGCTTCTTGCCCCCCGCCAGGCTCGACCCGAGCACCTCGCCAGCCGTCCCGCCCTTGACCAGCTCGCCGCCTGCGCCACCGCCCCAGCAACGCGCCAACAGTGAAGAAAAAAACAGGGGGGGGTTAGGGGGGGGTGTCGCGTCGGATCGCAGCTCGCGACGCGCCACGGCCTCGCGCACGGTAGTGGCAAGCGCGGGAGCGCACCGGACACGAAGGCGACGTGCGTGATCCATGGTTCGAGTCCATCGAAGATATGCGTAGCATATATGATGGTGGCTCCGCGCTCCTCGGTCTCCTCGCGGAAGAACTCGAGGAGCTCAAGGCGGCCGACGACGTCCATGTCGACCGTGATTTCGTCCAGCAGGAGCACCTGGTACGGCTTCAGCAGTCCCAGGCAGATCTGCACGCGCCGCCGCTGTCCGTCCGACACACGGTTCATGTTCCAGCGGGGGTCGATGTCGAGGAGGTGCATCAGCTTGGACCGCCGCGCCGGGTCCACGCCGTCCACGCCGTAGATCATCGTTCCCGCCGCGATATCGCCCTGCACGATCACGCGCGAAACGTTGTGGCAGCGTTGTGCGTCCGAGGCGGGGGCGTTCGCGGCGGGCGCGGTGCGGACGAGGCGGCGCGTGGTGTGGGCCGGGCGCGCGCCTGCAAAGCGACGTCGCTGCCGGCCGTGGCGATGTCGCGGCGCCACTGGGAGCCTAGGTACGACAGGTCTCCGTCGCATGTGAGCGCGAGGTCGTGGAACGGCGGCCGCCCGATGACGCGAATGACGTCCTCGCCGACCATGTACTTGCCCGCGAGGATCTGCGCAGCACGACACGCGGCGCGGGCGGCGTGGGCGGGGCCGTGCAAGCTGCTGCGCGGCCCCGCGGTGCCGCGTCGCGTTGTCGTGCGCGGAGAGGGGCAGGTCCGGGTGGTGGGGATCTTCATGGATACGTGCGAGGGGTCTGCGGGGCGCGCTGTTCGCGGAGCGACGCGGCGTTTGCGCCGCGGGCGTGCGTGGTAGCAGTGCTCCGCACGGCCGGGGCGGCTGCCAGACGAATACGCGGGCCCGCACCTGGAGCAGCGTGGTCTTGCCGGCTCCGTTGGCGCCAAGGAGCAGGCAGCGGGATCCGCGTGGCAGGTCGAGGTTGAAATTGGAGATGAACGGCTTGCAGTTTGGGTACGCAAAGTTGAGGCCGCGAACCACGACGCCCGGGGCGTCCGGGGCGGCCTCCGGCGTGATAGGAGACATAGCTCCTGTGCGGAGGGTCCGGGGGCGCTACTCTCGGTACGTGCGACCTTTCGAGGACTCCGGTGAGGGTTGAAAAGAGCTGGCAACAGGACTGGGGACAGGTGCTGGTTGCTTGTGGACGCGCTGCGCGAACACTCGTTCGGTGCTACACCAGGTGCAATGCGGACCGCGAACGCTGCGCGGCGTCCCGCCCCGGGCCCTCATGCTCGGCAGCACCCAATGAAAAGTCAGTCAGAGCAAACACACCCCCCGGGGGACGTTTCCCTGCACGTCACGGCGCCACGCGCACACATTTCGCGATCCGCACAGACAGGATGCGGCACCGACCGGCGCATGCGCCGACGCGCGCACTTGCCGCCACCAGACCCCCCCCTGGGCACTACGGGTGGTGAGGCACTACGGACGCGGCCGCCTCCCCGGGGCGGGCATCACAGCGCGCCAGCGAGCTTCGTGACCGCTGCGACCGCGTCGGCGTCGCTGCGTCCATCCACGGCCTTGACCGCGGCGACCACCAGGGCGGCGGCCGCGGGCGTTGCCGCGCTGACCCATACGCGCCCGTTCATCCCCACGGCCACCTCGTACTGCACGAACTTCCCGAGCGTGGTCAGCACGGGGCTCGGCGGCCGCACGAGCAGCCGCCGCGCGGTCCCAGTCGGACATGTGGTCAACACGCCCCCCTTGAGGGGCCCGAACCCGGCCGCGCGCCCGACGGCGTCCACGCACGACAGCTCCGCGTCCATGTCCGGCGTCGCCTGCGCGACGCGCGCGTACACGAGGTCCCCGGGCTGCAGGTTCGGCCTGTTGCGCTTCGTCGCGCCCTCAAACGCCAGAGCGGGGAGCTGCGCCGGAGACGGCGCGCGGATGTCCACCACGAAGCTCTCCGCGAGCCTGCTCCTCACGACCCCGATCACCAGGTCGTCCGTCTGCGCGGTCGCGCGGCGCCACGATGCGGCTGGTTGATCATGATGGCACGCGAGCTGGCGCGGTGGAACAACGTGGGATGGTGGGCCGGGGCGGGGAGGGCGGGGAGCGGGGGGCGCGCCTGTGGGATGTAGCGCTTCTGGTTGCCCTCGACCCACAGCCGGCCCTGCTTGGTCAGACGCAACACGCCCGCTTTGGTGCACTCCAGATGCCCCCCTTCGCTCCGGAGCCCTGTACCGATTCTGCGGCAGCGAAAAAAGGCTGGCTGCTATGTTTGTATCGAGGGTGTCTCCGTGGCGGGGTTGTTTCGCCAGGGATTGCGATGCTGAGCCGGCGAGCGGAGCTGTATCATGCCGGCGTGCTTACCGGACGGTCCCACGCTCCGGGAGCTTGGCCACGGGCTCTCCGGGGCCCACCACTGTGTCCACGAAGTCCGACCGCAGCTGCGCCATCCGCGCCGGGTCACGAATCGGGCGGCAGCTGCCGTGCGCGCGATTTCACTGCCACGGCGCGCAGCAGACGTGCTCTCACGCAGGCGGCTGGGAGGAATGAGAAGGCTGCGACGGTCGCGGTCGGACAGATTCGGGCGCTGGCGGTGACTGCAACGTTGCGGCGGCGAAGCAACCTGAACACGCGCTCTGGGGGGCCGAAAAGAGAGGAAAGACACAGAAACACCCCCGTGGGGTGTCTGAGACGGTCATCTCGCTTCTTCGATGCGCCGTGCAGTAGCCTGTGCGCGGCACATGCGTTGAAGGCGTGCAACACACCAGCGTGACGTGCTCCTGACCCAGCACTCCGCCATCATTCTTCTCTACTTTCCTGCCCGTTACACAAGGCTCGCCCGCTCCCCTCCTCCGTTCTGCCGCTGATACGTTCCACACAGTCACGGTGAACGAGCCGCGAGAGAACAGCCAGACATTGGCCGCACAAGGCGCGGATAGTCGAGCAATCTCGTCTGCAGCGCAATGCAGCGAGCAGCCGCATTCCGCGCCCCCTCCGGCGCCCGCGTCCTCGTCCGGCGGCGCCAAGCACGCAACCAGGAGCCACAAGCTGGCGCTCGCAAAGCTCTGCTTCCTCTGCGCAGCCCCCCCCACCGCAGTTGCCCTCCGCGAGGATCTGTGACGCCGCGCGCTCCGCTCCGCCGGCCCCTGCGCCGCCCGCCTGCGCCCAGCGCCAGCTCCGGCGACTCAGCACCGAGTGAGCCGATCCAGGAATCACCAATCGCCAGGGCGTGTGCGACATTCTCGAACCTCTTCCCCCTATGGGTCGCAATCGGCGCCGTGGCGGGCGTCGCGAGCCCGCAGTCCTTCGAATGGTTCAAGGTACCGCGCCCGCCCGCCTGCACGTCCACCGCTCTCTCTTGCCGGCGTGTTCGCCAGCCAACGTCACGTCCCGCGCTGCGCGCGCAGGGCCCGCTCGTCGTGTGGGGACTCGCGTTCACGATGCTCGGCATGGGCCTGACGCTGACGCTCGAGGACTTCGCGCGCGTCGCGCGGGACCGCGTGCGCGTCGCCGCCGGCGCGGCGCTGCAGTTCACCATCATGCCCGCCGCGGGGCTGGCCTTTGCGAGACTGTTCGGGCTTGACCCGTGGATCGCGGCCGGCATGGTCCTCGTGGCGTGCTGCCCCGGCGGAACCGCGAGCAACGTCGTGACGTTCATCGCCGGCGCCGACGTGCCACTGTCGGTGGCGATGACGTCGTGCTCCACGGTCAGCGCGACCGTCATGACGCCGCTCCTCACGAAGCTCCTCGCCGGTGCGACCCGCGCAAGCACGACGGCCCCCACGACCCCCGAACCCGCTCAAGCAACACACCCCCCGCAACAAGCAGACTTGCATTTTATTTTTTTCTTCCGCCCGCCCACGTCAGGCTGCGCCGAACAGCCCGAACCGCACAACATCGTCACCGCTACCTCCGCGACGCCCACGCCTCCGAGCGAACTCTCACACCCCCGCACTCCCCCCTTTTACCCCCCCCGCAGGCACGATTGTCCCCGTCGACGCGGTGGCGTTGTTTCGAGATATCGTCGGGATCGTCATCCTCCCCGTCCTCGCCGGCGCCGCGCTCAACACGCTCGCGCCGCGCGCCGTGCAGCGCGTGCAGGCCTTCGCGCCCGCCGTCGCCGTCCTGACCGTCGCGCTGATCACCACCTCCACGATTGCCCGCTCGGCTCCCGGCGCCCTCGCCGCGGGGCCCGCGCTGCTCGCGGCCCTCTTCTGTCTGCACGCCAGCGGGTTCGCTCTGGGGTATTTCCTGAGCCGGAAGGCGTTCAGGTTCGGCGAGGAGGCGTCGCGGACGATCTCGATTGAGGTGGGGATGCAGAACAGCACGCTCGGGGCCGTGCTGGCGGCCGTGCACCTGCACCCGCTCGCGGCGGTGCCGTGCGCGCTCAGCGCGTGCATGCACAGCATGATGGGCTCCGCGCTCGCGGGGCTGTGGCGCTGGTCGGACGGAAGGAAAAAGGGACGAGGGGGCGGGGGGGGTGTTGTGGCCGCGTAGCCGCGGCATGTGACGGTCCGACGCCGCGCTGTCCCTGAGGATGAGGACACGAGCGGCCGACGCTGTGTCTGTAACGGTGTCTCCAGGATTCGCGTTGGACACAACGTGAATTTCATAACGAAACAGGGCATGGGTCGTGACACGATCGAACGGGAGTGTGGGCGTGCGGGTCGGGCGCCCGCAGCGCCATGTTCGAAGTGTTGCTGTTGCCGCTCGGCCCCGTCGTTTCACTCGTCGGTTTGACCTAGTGCACGCGCCCCACATGCTGCCATACGTCCAGCTCACAGCATGATCTTTTCAGGTCCCAAAGCCTTATGGCTGACGACGCGAAGAATGTGACACCTCACCTCAGCGAGTGCGTTCCGCGGTCGCTCGGCCGCTCTCCGACGCAGCGCTCGCACTCAGGCCTTCTTCCGCGCAGTCACGCACGCCCAGCCGCCCTGCACCTCCACCTCGAACCCCTCGAACCCCTCCGCCGCGTACCGTCGCATCACGTCCCGCGCCTGCTCCTCGAGGATCCCGCTCAGCACCAGCCGCGCCCCCGGCGCCGCGTACCACCCGAGCCGCCCCGCTAGCGCCTCCAGCGGCCCCTGCAGGATGTTCGCCGCCACCAGCGTAAACGCCCCCCCGCCGTCCCCGAGCCCCGCGGCTGCCATCGGCTCCGGGTCCTCCGGCCCCGCCCCGCACACGATGCTCCGCACGCTCGCAGCGACGCCGTTCCACTCCGCGTTGATCGCGGCCGCGCGCACCGCGAACGGGTCGACGTCGACGCACACGGCGCGCTTAGCCCCGAGCAGCACGCACGCGATCGCCAGGACCCCCGAGCCCGCGCCGTAGTCCATGACCACGTCCCCGGGGCGCGTGGCGCGGCGGAGGTAGCCCAGGCAGAGGCGCGTCGTCGGGTGCTCGCCCGTGCCAAACGCCATTCCGGGCTCGAGCGTTATCGTCATGTCCGCGCCGGCCGCCGCGCCGGCGTCGCCGCCCGCCGGGACAATCCACATGCCCGGCGACACCTCCACGGGCTTGTATTCCTGCTTCACGGCGTCGATCCACTCCTCGGTGTAAACCGCTTCGACAGCGATGTCCGGCGCGGGTTTGTCGGGCCCGAGGACGGTCGCCGCGGCGCCCCACGCGGCCGCGACGTCGGTCCCGAGGGGGAACGTCGCGACGACCTGGCAGGCGTCCCACAGCCCCGCGCCGGCGCCGTAGATCTTCTGGCGCTCGATGCCGTCGGGACGGTACTCCTCGACGCTGACGCTGACGGCGCCCATGCACAGCAGCTCGTCGCCAATCAGCTCGGCCTCGGACGCCGACAGCGGGCCCGCGCTCGCGCGCAGGCTGCGGAGCACCACGGGAGAGCGCCGCGCGAGCGTGTGACATCCGCGATCGATCGACAACGACGCGAATTACGCGACGCCTCACCTCATCTAGATCGTCCACGGGGCGGTGCGGCGATGCGGAGCATGCGAGCAGGCGCGGGGCGACCGAGCGCGCGCGTGTGAGGTCAATCAGGCATGTGAAATGGCATGGACAAGCAAAACGCGGCCTTGCCTGCACGGCTCGCGGCCGTCCGAGCCCGACGCATCCGCCTGCGGTCGGGGGTGGGGCGGGGGAGCCGGCGGCTGATCGAGCGTGCCGATGGTGGTGGTGGCAGCGCGCTGGATGGTGGCACTGGGCTCTCGTATGCAGCTTGGTCCGCGCGGCGCGGGGTGTTTCTCACCCCAGAGTGTTTGTCGCCAGTTGAGTAGTCCATGGCGCGCCTCTTGATCCCGCTGCGTGGCGCGTGACGTGCCGCATGGCGCGACAATCGGCCAGGAGGCGCTGGGTCCGTTGGCGCGAGCGCGCTGCGTCGCCGAAGGAGGTTCGAGCACGCGCGCATCCTGCCAAGCGAGAGCCTCCTCATGGCGACGCCCCGGAGACACATTTGCTCGCTCCGGACGCACCGAGCCCAGAAGGTATCTCACAAGCTACAAGCCCGTCGCGTCGCGCGTGGTGTTATGCTCGCATCGGAACCTAGCCTCCAAGATCCGCTTCGTCACGCTGCTTCGGCGCAAGTCGCTGCGGGGCGCAGCGGCCGCGACCAAAAGACCCCCACCCTCGAAGACAAGCAAGACAGGACTCTGGGGGGGCCACTGCCGTCAGGGGCGTACGGCGCCGGAGATGGCTGCGCGCGGCCCCGAGCGACGGCTCCAGTTCAGTGGCCGTCTGCTTGGCATCGAGGACGCGGTTCTGGACCCGGGAGCTGCGCGTGAGACGCGACATTGAGCGCTGCGAGCCGCCGGACTGGGAGTTCCGCAGTGTCCCGCGCGCCCGAGCGGACGCCGTCGCTGCGCCCTGCGGAGCCTGCGAGGTCTGGGCCGGAGCAGCCCGGGACGGCAGCATGCCGGAGGTGACGCAGGACGGGGAGGGCGCTCCTCAGAAGAAGAAGACCGGTGCGCGTGGCTTGCTGGGAGAGGCTGGCGCGCCTCGCGCCGTGCCCCGCGGATGCCGTGACTGGCAGTGCTGCGCGCCTGCGCCGGCCGGTCCTGGCGCGCCCGCGCGGCTCGATGCGCGGGGCCGTAAGCGGCGATACGACAGCGTTCGATGCGTGATGCCGCGCATGAGCCCGTCCTGCGCCGCTGCCAACGCTCTGCGGGTACCTCTGCTGCGTGCGCGATTCTGGGGAGGACGCGCGCGCCGGAACAGTCCCTCGTGAGCGGAAACGAAGGCAGGAGCACCAGGTTGTGCTCTGCGCGGGGCGCGATCTCACGGCAGCGCCGCCCCGGAGCTGTTTGCAGTGAAGAAGGTGCGCGTCCCGACGCAGGAGTTCACCATGGAGGCTCCGAAGGACGGCGTCCAGGGGATTCTGGGCCAGCTTGGTCAGCGGGAGATAGACCCTCAGACGGGTGCGCCCGAAACCCCCCCCTTCCCTCGCAGCGCACCCGACGCGACCCTCCCTCGCGGACGCCCCCTCGCCCGCCTCCTCCACGCAGCGCTCGCGCCGACACGCGGCCGCTGCTCGGAACCACAATCACACAATCTCTCGTTTCCAATTGTTTCTTCTCAACAATTGACTCCCCTGGCCACCGCCCCGCGCGCCGCGAGCCCGGCCACGCGCGCCCCCGACCAGGCCCGTCCCGCGGCCGCGCCCCGACCGCAGGCAAGCTCGTGGGCCCCGTGCCAGGAACAACCATGGATCCTGATCTGGCTATTCCGTGTTTCGTCAAGGGCTTCGGCGCGGGGTTCGCGTCGTTCGTCCTCGGCTGGATCTTCGGCTTCGGGAAGACCGTCTTCACGCACCGCGGCGGGGGCCGCCTGAACGCGTGCTGGAGGGAGGGGGTGTCTTCCGGGAAAGGGTTTGCGCTGGTGGGGGGGTTGTACTCCGCGTTCGGGTGCTACTCGCAGCGGCTGCGGCAGAAGGACGACGCGGTGAACTCGGCGGTCGCAGGGTGCGCCACGGGCCTCGCGCTCGGGTACGCTGGCGGGCCGATCATGGCTGGACAGTCGTGTTTGGGCTTCGCGGCGTTTTCGTACTTCTTCGATCGATGGAGCGCGAATAACGACAAGGCCGTGGCCGCGGAGATGGGGTGCGGCGGTGCGGAGGCGGCGGGGCGGCGGGCGGCCGCGGGGACGGTGCGGGGGCTCGGGAGGGCGATGGCGGGCGCTGCGGTGCGCGCCAGGGCGGCGCACGAGGCGCTGAGCGCGCCCGTGGTCGACGTGGACCTGCTGCTCAAGTCCGCGTTCCACATGCTGCAGCCGTGCCGCGGGCAGGGCTGCTTCGTGTCGGTCGGGCCGCGGGACGTGCCGCGACTTGACTAGCCCGAAGCGGGGTGGCTGTAAAACACAAGCAAGGCTGGGGTCAGCGTGTCAGACGGCACCGGTTCGGAAGCCGCGCGGGTGCACCTCGGCGTGCGCAGGTGAGGTGAGGTGCCACATTCTTCGCGTCGTCGGCCATAGGGCTTCAGGACCTGAAAAGATCATTCGACAAGGTGTGATGCGCTCCTGCTCTCCTCCGTCGTCGAAACATCACAGAAGCACGTCTGCTCTTTCATCCTGTTGCCTGTGCCACGTCTCCGTCGCGCCCGCGCACCAAGAATGTAACACCTCACCTCACCTCACTACTCCACAAGCACCGCGTCCCTGTCCGCCACCTTCGCCTCCTCCAGCTCCATCCCCGGCAGCGCCGTCTCGCCCAGGCTCACCTTGCCCTGCAAGTCGTCCAGCACGATGCGCACCGCCAGCGCGACGGGCTCGTTGCGCCCGACCATTTGTGAGAACCCCGCCACGCCTCGGAGGAAGCCCGTGATCAGATCCTGCACCGCACGACAGCCCAGGCGCGCCACAATCACCCCAGGTGCATCTGCGACGAGGAAGCTCGACCGGCGCGAACGCTGCCTGCGCGCGCACCTTGTCCGCAGCCTTGTGCGGCCGCGAGATAAGCTGCACTTGCGTCTCCGTGAGCACGTAGAGCAGGTCGAGCAGGCTGTGCAGCTTCCACGCGTCCATCCCTCCCTCGCGGTCCGCGGCGCGGCGCGCCAGCTCGCGGCCGTCGCCCAGGAGCGTCAGCGCGACGTGCACGGGGTCGGCGCGGGCCTTGGTCTGCGGGAGCGGGGCCCCGAGGATGCCGGCGATGCCGCAGAGGGCCATGCGGCGGCGGAGGACCCGCGTCTGGTTGCACGCGGCCCAGGGGGCGTCAGGGTCGTCGCCGTTGCGGACGCGGGGCTTGAGCGGGAGCGCGCGGACGCACGCGACCACGCACGCGTGCGACGGGCCCTGGCAGACCTCTGCGGGCAGCCGAGGGACAGAGAATGGTGGTGAGCGGCTCGGGATGGTGCGGGCGGCCGACGGGGACGCGTCGCCGGCCGCACATCGGAGCTCGAAGATCGTCGTGCCGTCGCCGGGCACCTACGACTGGGAAGGCTTCCGGCGGGTGCAGAGCTTGCACAGCCGTCGGCGCCGTCGTAAAAGTCAGATACGACATGACGAGGACGAGCCATGAAATCATGGAACCTTTATTCTGCTGCTTTTCGTATTGTTTTTTGTTATTTGTTGCATACCTGCGCACACGCGGTCCGCGACCTCCTGCAGCTCCTTCTCCGTCGCCAGGTGCCCCGCCGCGACCCCGCCGCCGGACCCGCGCCGCTCGTACGCCCGCGGGTCGAACAGCGTGTCTAGCAGCGCGTTCAGCGCCGAGTTGCGCTCCTGGCTAAAGTGCTCGTGATGCGGCGCGCACCGCAGCCGGATCGTCGCGGCGAGCAGCGCGGCCGCGTCGTCCACGGACGGGAACTCGATCCTGTGCGCGGCGGCCGCGACGAAGCGCAGCACGCGCGCCACGTTGTTCAAAGTGCACGTCGGGCCGTCATCGCCACCGGCCTGGGAGCCGAGGATCGTGTCCTCGATGGCGGGCTGGTCCTGCGGGTCGCCGCCGTACGCGTAGCCGAGCGCCTGGAGGATGCGGACGATGCGCCCGGCCGTGGGGGCGGCGTTCGGCGCCGCTGCGCGGCCCTTGTGCGACGTAAGAATCTGCGTGATGGTCTGCAGCGCGCAATCGAAGATAGGAAATGGATATTTGAGGAAGCGGAGGCGGAATCAATCGCAGCACGGCGCGGCGGACGGCAAGGACGGTCAGCGTGCTTGAGTCGCGCGGAGCGAGAGACTGGCACAAGCGTGCCATGGAAACCACGAAACCAGGTCTGCCATGACACGCATTGCGCGCTTGAGCACGCGCGCGCGCACCTTGACGGCGTGCTCGGCGAGCGGCTGCGTGTGCGGCAGCGCGAACGCCGCGGCGTCGAGCAGGACGTCCATCACGGCGCGCGAGCACTTGTTGGCCGTGTGGTAGTGCCGCGCGAGGAATCCCGTCGCGATGGCCTCCTCCGTGAGCGCCGCGTCGCTCACGTCCGCGCAGCCCTCGGGGAGGTGCTTCCGCAGGTCCGCCAGAAGCGCCACGTCAGGCAGAACAGTGGCAATGTCTTTGAGGGCGTTCGACGGCTTCGGGGCGAGCATCGCGGGGTCCACGGGGCTCGGCCGGACGAGGCTGACGTCGCCGACGGTGCTGCGGTACACTGCGGCGGCGCGCTTCTTGCGCTGCGCGATACGCTCCCGGTTCTGCCTCTTGAGCTTGCGCTTGAGCGCCTTCCACTCCCGGTCGGTCTTCTGCGCGCACAATCGAGGATGCGGGGTCACGGGGGCCGGGGCGAGGCGCGGGCGCGAGGTCGGCGTCACCCGCGGCGGAACGGAGGCATCGATTTGTGTGAAACGTGGCGAGTATAACAGGTGCGTTGTGGGCGTGTGTGGCGCGGAGGGCGTCTCTGTGAGGTGCTGCGATGCGCGCGCGAGACGCCCGTGCGTGCAGGCCAGCGCTGCCCGGCCGGGCCAGCCGTGCAGCTGCAAAAGGGAGTTGGCATGAGGCGCACAGACCTTCTTCTCCTTCTCTTCCTGCTGGATTTCCTTCTCGATCGCCTTCGCGGTCTTCTGGCGCTGCTTGTCCTTCTTCTCCATCCTCGCCAGGTAGGTCTCGTACCGCTTGGCCTCCCTGGCCTCCCTGCGCGCCGGAACGACCGCAAACGTGCTGCAGCTCTGAACGCACACTGCGAGCAGTCAGAGCCGCCCGGGCCCCGGCCGGAGCGGCGCAACTCACTTGCTGGGCGTCCCGAGCGGCGTCCCCGCGTCCGTTCCCTGGCTGCACCCGATCAAGTCGTCGAATTCCTTGTCGAAGTCGTCAAGGTCTGGGATGTGCGTTGGCGATGCTGGCGCCGCGGCGGGGGCCTTGCTGGCCTGCTTCTTCCGCGGCGGCTCCTCCTTGACATGACGCCTGCTCGCGGCCCGCGCCCCGGCGGTGCGACGCGGCGCAGGCGCGTGCCGGGAGCCCTGAGCAATCAAGTCATCGAGTGGCTCCGTCATGAGGGTCCCCGGAGGCATCTCGCGCGTATCCTCGATCCGCGCCGCACAGAGTGGTCTGCGTTCGTTCGTTCGGGGCGCGACGCGGCGTGGAGAGGGTCCCGGCGCGTCAAGGCGCGCGACTTTGAGCACAGAGATGAGAGGGGGCCTCGTCGCCGCGCGTGGAGGCCGTCACTGCCGGCGTGCGACGTTCCGGAAGGATGGATGCGTGGGGTATGATGCCGGGACCGCCAAACAGCGTCTGTCGGGCCTCGCGGGCCGGCAGCGGGGAGGAGCGCGCCAAGCATGAAGGCTGGAGCGCGGGCGGGCGATAGCGGACCTGCGGGCGGGGCGTCGATGCTGCGCGCGGCCCTGGCTGCCGAGAAACGCTGTGAGAGGACGTGTCCGCCCGAGAAACTGCGCGTGCGCCCTCGGGCCGCGCGGCAACGTGGCCCAAGAGAGGCTCACGCACACTCGCTACCAAGAATCGAAACTCAGGCTTCTCCGCTACACCTAGCGCACTTCCGGCGATCGCTGTCGAATCTGCGCGCGACGTGTCGCCTGCGGGGGACTTCAGACCAAGGTAGGACCCAGAGAATCTTCCGCAACGCCAGCTTATACTTCACCAGCAGTGAGTCCGGGTCCTACCAACGAGCCTCTTCGGCGCGCGCGGCACGCGACAACGTGGCTGCCGGACCGGCGCGAGGCCTTGCGACCCGAGCTGCTGCATGTTGGCTCTGGTGTCTAGACAGGACTTGGACACATCCACAGTTGGCAATTCTCAACTGTCGTGGCACGCGTGGTCCTGACGTCGCGGCGCCGTGACCGCCGCCGCCCACTGCATCAAGTACCGCCATTCACATACCACGCCCAGCCCCGCCGTCGCCACACCCAAGCGACCCCCACACCCCCCCCCGCCACACCACGCAGCACAGCGCCCCCAGCCCCGGACCCTCACCGCTGCCGGTGCACCGAGTCCCCCGCGGTCCCCGACATCCCCAGGCCCGCCATGTCGTTCGACACCTCGTCCAGGATCTTGTCCAGCGAGCTCGGCGTCCACGTCGACGCCGGCAGCGGCTTCCCCCCCTCCGCCGCCGCCCCCGCCGGCCCCGCCGCAAGCGCCGCCTCCGCCAACCGCCGCTTCACCGACTCGTCCTTCAGCAGCGACGGCTCCCCCGACAGCAGCCGCTTGATCTGCGCCACGTCCCCGTCCTCAACCTTCTTCCCCGGCGACGAGATGATTTGGTACAGCTGGCGCTTGTTCTGCTGCAGGAACGCCTCGGACTCGCCGCCCCCGCGGCCCTGCGGCGACAGGCTCTTCGAGCGGTCCTCGAGCGGCCCGCGGCCCGCGCTGATCGCCTCCTCGCCGCGCGACTCGTGCACCCACTCCTCGAGGAGCTGCCCGCGCGAGTCCTGCGGGAGCAGCGCGGACCCGCTCGAGCCGGGCGTGCCGGTGTGGAGGCGCATCGCGGCGGCGACGTGCCCGGACATGGGGGTGTCGGGCTCCTGGTCCGACTCGCCGTACTTGCGCGACTGCTCGCGCGAGGGCTGCGTGCTCGTGCCCGTGCGCGCGCTCGGCGCCGCGGGGACCACGCCCGGCGACACGGGCGACTGGTGCACCGTCCCGCCGCCGCTGATGCTGCTATTCTGCGCCGTCGCCGCGCCGTCGCCCACCTGCTGCGGCGTGACGAGCATCGCGCCGGGGAGGAACGCCGGCGACACGCCGCGCTCCAGCAGCGCGCGCTCGTAGTCCCGCCGCACGTCGGCCAGCCACGGGTGCTGCAGCGCCTGCGCCGCCGACATGCGCCGGTCCGGCAAAAACGCCAGCATGGGCTCGAGGAAGCCCGCCATCGCGACGGCCTCCTGCTCCTTCATCGAGTACTTCTCCGTGAGCACCTTGTCGAGCGGCCAGGGCCGCAGCCGCTTGATGTGCCGGAACTCCCCCTTGCTGTTGAAAAACTCGCTACTGTACTTGCCGCCGGTGCGCAGGCGGCGCGGCATCTGGCCGAGGAGCTCGACCATGAGCGCGAGGTGGTCCTCGTCGCGGCTGTACTCGGAGCCCGTGCGCGGGTCGAAGAGGAGGTCCCCCGTCGCCAGCTCGAAGACCGTGCACGCCAGCGACCACATGTCGCTCGGGGTGGAGTACTTCGTGCCGAGGATGACCTCGGGGCAGCGGTACTGCCGCGTCTGGATGTCCTGCGAGGGAGCGAGGGGCGTGGGGGGGGGTGTCTCAGTGTGTGCGTCAGGGGGGCGAGTGAAAGAATCAGAGCGGCGAGGCGGCCGCGCGAAGGCGACGTGGATGGCATGAGTCGCGGGCTGCACGGTGGCTGCGGAGCGGCCCGGGTGCGTCGCGGCCGCGTGCGGGCCGTGTGGCACAGCGGAGGGGCGCGACGAAGTGGACCGGTGCTGCGGGGCGTCGCGGCGCGCACCTGCGTGAACTGCTTGAAGGTCCAGCACGCGTTCCCGAAGTCCACGACCGTGCACTGCCAGTCCGCCACGTCCCACGTCTTATACTCCTCCAGCATGTCCCAAATGTCCTCCCCCCACTCCCCCCCCTCCTCCTCCTCCCCCTCCGCCCCCTCCGCCTCCCCCGACGCCCGCGGCGTCCCCATCGGCGACTGGCTCTGCAGCGACTGCTGACTCCCCCCCCCCGCGAGCCGCTTCTTGCTGCTGATCCGACGCTTCAACTTCTTCCGCTGATTCTTCGTCAACTCCCCCCCCGCCAGCTTCTCCTGCATGCCCGACAGCGCCGCCTCGAGGTTGCCGCCCGCCGCCGCGGCCGCGGGCTTCATGCGCGCGAGCGCCTTCCGCGGCTCGAGCGGTCGAACGATGAGAACATTCTCCGGCTTGAAGTCCGTGTGGATGATCTGGCGCTCGCGGTGGAGGTAGTCGAGCGCGACGAGCATCTGGAACGTGAGCTGCTTGACGAGCTTGAGCGGAATGCCCTTGTAGTTGTACTTCTTGATCAGCGACAGCAGGTTGTCGCCCAGCACGTGGAAGACCATGCACACGTGCGTGCCGTTCGGACCCGCGTGCTCGAAGTAGTCGCACAGCCGCGCGCAGTGCCGCCGGTTGTCCGGGTCCCCCACCGCGATCTCCGCCAGCAGCTTGATCTCGTCCCACGCCGCCTCCGTGTAGTGCGAAGCGCTGCAGGGGGTGTTGGAGGGGGGTGTTGGTGTTGGGGGGGTTACGTGTCGTGGGCGGGGGGGGCGGCGCTTGGCGCGCGTGAGTGGGGGCCGCGGCGGGGAGGCCTCGGGGCGCGGCGGTGCGGAGCGGCGCGGCACCGACGACGCGGCGGCGTCGTGCGGTGCTGGTGCGGCGGCGGTGCGCGGGCGGGGCGGGGCGCGGGGCGCGGACCTCTTCTGGATCTTGAGGGCGCACTTGTGGTGCGTGTCGTGGTCGAGGACGAGCCACACAGTGGAAAAGTGCCCCCAGCCCAGTTTCCCTAGGACCTCGTACCGGCCGTTCTTGAACCTGTCGCCAATGGTGACGGGGTGGTACCCGCCCTTCTTGTAGCCCTCCTTGCCCTCGTTCTCGTCGTCGCTGTAGTCATCGTCGCTGTGCGGGTCCTTGGGCGGTGGCTTCTGCAAAGCACCAGCGCAGGAGCGGTTGCGTTCGTCGTGGTCCGGAGCGGCGGGCCCGGCGCAGGCGCGGCGCAGCGGCCGCGCGCGCGGCTTCCGTGGGAGCGGTGGCCGCGCTTCAGGGGCCGGCGGGCGCGTGAGGGTCGCCTCGCAGCGCGGCGCGCCGCCTGGGGTGCGTTGGCGCGGAGGGCGGGCCAGCGCGCGACGACGCGCGGCCCCGGCGCCGGGAGGGCCGGCATTGCGTGTGGGGGGCAGGAACTGGAGATCGTGGCCGGGGTGGGCCGTGTTGCAGGGGCGCAATGTAGCGCGTCGCGGCGGGGGCGCGCGGAACGGTGGTGGGCTAGAGAGACTGATGATGGGGTGTGGCGGCGCGTTGGTGCGAAGGTGCCGCGCGCCGGGCCGTGGGCGGGATGTCAAGCTCGAGGGCTGCGCGGCGACGGCGCGCGCGCGGCATTTGAAGCCCGGAGTGCGCGGAGAGCGCCTAGGCCTAGTGCATCGGAAAGCGCGCGCCGGGGGCTTGATCGGGGACGCGCGGCCTCGGCGCTCGCTGGGGTCGCGGGAACAAACCTGCTGCGCCTTCTTGACTTCCTGCTTGGACCGCTTCTTGACTACCTTGGCGCCCTTGGGCAGGCCCTTCCTCGGGGCTGCTGCGGGGTTCCCTGGCAGCGGCATCCCGATCCTGACGATGATGCGCGGCCGCGAACCCGTCCGTTTACCTCGCTTCCCAGTGGAATATGAAGCACGGACGGACTCCCTGGGCCTCGGCCCTGCAGGAAGCGCGAGTCGGGACGCTCGGTGAGCGACACAGCCGCGCGCGCGGCCGCTGCGGCACCCCTGACCCAACGCACGCGGAGACCCAAAACCAGAGACCGCCGTCGGATAGCTCCCGCGGCACTCGCGGCGGTCCCCGGGCGCCGCTGCGGCGCCCAAGACCCTGCTCCTCCACCACCACGTCGCATCGTCCCCAGCCGCCCGCGCGGCCCACATTCCCGCGCACCAATCTGGGGCCCCTCCCACGATCCCGCCTATCCCGTCGCAGCGCCGCGAGAACCCCCGCACGGGCCCCTCCCCGCCTCGTAGCTGCACGCACCGCGCTGCCCGAACCTCCCTCCCCCGCAGCGCCCGCGCGCCGCGCACCGCGCGCAATCGCCGCCCCCTGCGCGTTCTACATGGTGCGCGAGCCCGCGGGGCGCGCGCGGGCGCCGCTGCGGCGCGGCAGCGGGTCGCGGGGGCACTGGGCGCACCTGGAGTTACCCAGGAGCCTTGGACGGCAAGCGTGGTGGTTCCCGCGCGGCCGCTTTCGCGACACGACCCGCCCGTAGATGCCAGCCAGCCCTGGCTCCTCCGCGCCGCCGGGGCCGCGGTGCCGCGCGCGTGACGTGACCCGCGCGGTGGGCAAGCGAGCGCTGCGTCTCCCGCGTCTGGCGCGACGGTGTCCGCGCGCCCGAGCGTGCGCAGCGATCCCGGCTGCCGGAAATTAATCGTGGCCGCTCGCGGCGCTCGCGCGCCTCGAAGGCCGCCCGCGACGCTGCACGACGGGCACGTGGCGAGACACCCCACTCCACCACCCCCTGCGCGCCCGCGCGTGGCCGCGCGACCGCGCGCGCCGCCCGCAGTACGCCGAGGGCGAGCGCCTCGAGTTCTCCCGCGAGTCGTTCCGACCGCCCTGCGCCCCGCGACGTGACGCAACAACTTGCGCAACACAGCACGTGCGTGACGAGGCCGCGGGCGAGGCTGCTGCGAGGACCGCGCGCCAGGATCGCTCGCTGTACTCGCCAGGTGCGGGCGGCCCCGGGGCCGCGTCGGCCCGCCGCACGGCGCCACCGCGCCCCCCTCTGAAGTGATCAGAGTCACACACTTTGCGGAAGCACGGCGCATCGCGGCGCAGCATGCGCCGCTCGTGGCGCTCGCCGGGGAGAATCACTCGTTCTCCGTGCGAGACGGCTATTTTCATTGCTGTGGGGGCCGCAATGCCGCACCAGGCCCCTCCTTTCTGAACCTTGCCCTACCCGGCTCGCTTCGACACTCCCCCCCCGGTGTTCCGCCGCGACGCGCCGCAACCCCGCACGATTGATCCGCAGGGGCGCCCTCGCTGGCGTAATCGAGCGGCGTCGCACCCGAGCCGCGCCGGGACGGGGCGTCCTTTCACGCCTGAACACCTTGCGCGTTCCGCCGCGCGGAGCGCGTGACACCGGCGCGCCGCGACCGAGCGACCGAGGTCTCCGCGAGACTAAGCCATCTGCTGCTGCGGACGAGGCAATCCGCGCGCCGCCAGGGCGCCGTGACCGTCGCGAGGTCCACCCTGCTCCCGGCACGTCGAGGGGCCGCCAGTCCCCCCGCAGGCGGACGCGCGGTGCGTCCCGCGCCCCCCGCACGCATGGCGACTCGTCTCGCGCCGTCCCGCCGCCGCAGACCTGCACACCCCCCGCCCTGTCAGGAAAGCGGCCTAGAGTGGCTCCTAAGTGGCCCTCGGCACGCCAACGGGCCGCGCCGCGAACTCGCTGCGGCTCCGGATCCCCGCAGCGGCATCGGCGCACGGTCTCGGCCGCTGCAGCGCACGCGCGTGCCGCACGTGGCCCGCACCCCGCGCAGCAGCGCATTCGCGGTCTCATCATCTCCAGTTTCTAGGCCCCCGCGCGCCGCGCCTGCGCGCTCCCGGAGCCCGTCCGCTCCGCGCACGATCCGTCTCGTTCCCGCCGAGCCCGCAGGTGACGACGACTCCCACCAAGTCCTTGGGTGGGACGGTGCGGAGGCCCCAGGTGGTGGTCAGGCCCAGCGCTCACGCCATGGCGAGGCCGAAGCGGCACTCCGTCCCGCCGAACGCCGAAGGCGAGACATCCGGCGTCATGGTCCGTTGCCCCGCCCGCCGCCGCACGCCACGCCCTCCCCGCCCGCCACCGTCTCTCTGCGCTCCACACCATCCCGACCCCCGCTCACGCACGCGAGCGCCCCGGCACCCGACGCAGGGCTTCTCGTACCTTCCCGTCGCCACCCCGGTGCCGTTCGGGACCTCGCACCACTCCGGAACGCTCCGCACGGCCGCCTCGGCCATGCCCGGCCCCGCCAAGCTGCGCACCGCTCAGCCGCCGGCCGGCGCCCGGCACGGCATCTCCGGCCGCTCGCTCCCGACCAACAAGGCCGCGCCGGTCCCGGCGGCCGCGACCGGCCTCCGCGGGCCTAAGCCCCCGAACGCCGAACCGAAGAAAAACTCTGAGCCTGTGGAAACGATCGCCGGTTTCAATTACCACGAGGCCGGGGACTCGGGGCACTCGGAGGGCAAGCCGGCTGCGGCGCGCCCGCGGCTGGACCGCAAGTCCGGCGGGCTCGCGAAGCTGATGGGCAAGCCGGACTCGTCACACGGCCCCGGGGGGGTGTTGGCGGAGGACGCGGCGTCGAGCGCGACGGACGCGACGACCACGAACGGGTCCGCGAAGGCCCCGAAGCCCGCGCGCGCGCCGAAGGACGCCCCGGCGTCGAGCACGACGACGACGCCGGTCCAGCCACTGGGGGCGGACTCCACGGCAGTCCCCCCGGGGCGTGTCTCGGGCCTCGTGCCGCACGACCCGGCGTACGAGGGCCACGAGGAGCTCCTCCCGTTCGCGGAGGCGGACCCGGACCGCCCGCGCATGCACGTGCAGTCCGTTTCGGGCTGGATCAACGACCCAAACGGCCCGATCTTTTTCGACGGACGGTATCACGTGTTCTACCAGCTCGTGCTCGGCCAGACGAAGTGGGACTTCGGGATCGTGTGGGGCCACGCCGTGTCCGACGACCTCGTCCGTTGGAAGCACCTGGAGCCCGGAATCGCGCCCGGCACGCCGTTCGACCGCAGCGGGTGCTTCTCCGGGTGCTGCGCGGTGGAGGACGGCCGGCCGCTCATGATGTACACGGGCGTGCGGCTGAAGAACGGCATGTCGCCCGCGGGCCCGCCCGTCGCCACCGTGATCGACCCGCGTGTGTACGACGATCATGGGGACTACGAGGACCACGGGCTGCCGGGGCAGCCGTTCATCGAGGCGCAGTGCATCGCCTGGGGCGACGAGAGCGACCCGGACCTCCGGTGCGGCCCGCCCGAGCACCGCGCGGCCTCCCCCGCGCCGCTTTCGCCGCGTCGTCGCCGGCGCTGTCGTTCGCGCTTCGCGCGCACGCAGTGCCCTTGCGAGCTCGCGCCGAGCAGCCTGCGCGAAGCACGCGCCGCCGCGGCACCGCGTTCTTGCCGCGGGCCCGCAACGGCCTTCCGCGCTCACGTGTTTGTTTCGCAGAAAGTGGGTAAAGGTCGAGGAGCCCATCATTCGCGCGCCGCCGGCGGATCTCAAGCTCGTGGGGTGGCGGGACCCCTACATCGTGCAGCCGCCCAGCTCGGGCACGCCCGCGGCGCGCCTGATGCACCGCGCCGAGCCGAAGCGCCGTCACATGATGCTGATCGGCGCTGGCATCGCCGGGGAGGGCGGCACGGTGCTCGTGTACCGCTCGAACCACATGTCGCGCGGGTGGGAGTACGAGGGCGAGCTGTGCCGCGGCACGCTCGAGCACGGTGCGATGTGGGAGTGTCCCCTGCTGGTGCCGCTGCCGCCACGCAAGCCCGCGCACGGGCGGCCGTTCGGGATGGCGAGCGCGATGAACCGGAGGACGAGCTCGTTCGTGTCGCTGCGCGGCAACCCGCCGGGGATCGGCGGCGGCGCGGGTGCGTTCCCTCGAGCCATCCGCCACGCCGCACCGCGTGGCTGCATCGAACGAAATGCTGTGTTCTGAGGAGGCGCAGAGTATCCTATGACTGTCCCGCGCTGCTGCCGGCTCCGGCATTTCGCCGGCCTGGTATCCAACCCCCCCCGCAGCTCTCAGGGACTGGCTCGTTCCTTGCGCGACCTGCAGTGACCGAGACCGAGGACGAGGACGCCCCCGGCGGCTTCGCGTACGGCACGTCTATCCAGAGCTCCTACCGCGAGAGCAGCTACATCGCCGACGGCATCCCCCTGCCCAGCGACTCGAACCCCGCGGGCCGCGACGCCGACGCCGGCAACACCGACCACGAGGGCTTCGCGTACGGCACCTCCGTCGCCTCCACCGCCGCGGGCGGCGCGAGCCTCATGGCCTCGTCGCACCTCGCCGGGCGGCCCGCGGAACTCCCCCCGGGGGCTCAGGCGCAGACGTGGCTCCTTTGCATCTCGCCGGACGCTCCGACGAACCCCGTGCTGTACTGGACGGGCCACTGCGTGGAGGGCAAGTTCCTCCTCGAGGACGCGCAGGGCCCCTACCGGCTCGACAACGGCGACATCCTGTACGCGCCCAACCACTTCGTAGACAAGCACGGCCGCCACCTGCTGTGGGGGTGGCTCCAGGAGCGCCGCAACGCCGACGGCACGGGCTACGCCGGCTGCCTGACTGTCCCGCGGCTCCTGACGGCTACGCCGGACGGGAGGCTCTTCCAGGAGCCCGTGCCGGAGGTGGCGCGGCTGCGTACGGGGCGGCCGTGGCGGATCAACCTGACGACGCTGGCGCCGACGGACCCGATCAAGATCACCGACGTCAAGGGCCGCATGATCGACCTCGAGCTCTTCTTGCGGCGCGGCGAGTCGGAGGCGATCGGCGTCGTTCTGCACCCCGCGTCCCCCGAGGCCGGGGACGACGCGTGCGACGCGGTGCTGCTGTACCACTGGGAGCGCCAGACGCTCGAGGTCGTGTGGGCGAAGCCGCAGGCGTGGGGCAACCGCGGCGCCGGGCTCGAGGGCGCGCCGGAGCACCGCGTGGGGGGGCGTATTGAGGTCGGAGACACCCCCGACGACCTCACGCTGCGCGTGCTGATCGACCACTCCTGCGTCGAGGTCTTCACGTCCACGGGCGAGGTCCTCTCCACCCGCGTGTACCGCGGGAAGCCCCCCGCGGACGCTCCCGCCAAGACGCTGCCCTGCGGCATCGAGCTGGTGTCGTACGGGGGCGCCGCGACGATCGAGCGCGCGGTGGCGTTCGAGATGAGCTCGATCTGGGAGCCCGGCGCGTCCGGCGCGGAGCCGCCGCGGTGGAGCCAGGACGTGCCGCCCACGCCGACGTCCACGCCGCTGGACAAGGGCATGTTCTCGCGCCAGTCGCGGACCCGCGCGGACAGCGCCGGCGCGGATGAAGTGCTCGGCGATATGGATATGTGAGCGGCGGGGCTGGGGGAGGAGGGCCCGCTGGGAGCGCCTGCGCGCCCTCTGCAGAGCGCACGCGACGCGGGGGCACCGACGCGGCTGCGGGACGTGCAAGTCGATACTCGAGACGCGTGAGAACGATGATAACTCGACTGTGTGACGCGGATTCTTTGCGCAGCGCGCGGGTGGTCAATTACTTTACATGATCGGATTACTTGACCCTTAGAACTCGTGCCGGGGGGGGGATGAGGCATCGTCGTTTTAGAACCGTCGCCCGCCCCGGCCGGCCAGTCGCCGCGCACGCTCCACGCGTGCATCTCACCGGGCCGGCGCCCACCAATCGCTTCGCTGGCTGGAAGGTCGCGTGGGTGGTGTGCCGCCGCAGAGCGATGATGTCCTGCGAATCAAGTCTCCCGCGAACACTGCTGGTTGCGGTCTCAGAGGTCTCGTGCTTCGGTGGCAATGACTGCCACGTGCCCCGCTCTCTCAAGAGGGGGGGGTCCCGCTGGCTCGGCAGGCGCTACACGTTGCGGCTCCCTTGCATGCTTGCAAGCACTGTCGCCCAGGAAACCCACGCCAGACCCCAAAAGCCACTCTCTCGGGGGTGCATCTTGCGTGGAGGATACCGCCACTTGGCGTTTGGGGCCGTGCGTGGGTCCGCTGGGCGACAGTGTTGGCAACACGTGTGCGTTGCTGTGCGCTTTCAGGCCCACGTTGACATCGGGGGGGCTGGTTTGATGAGGACACCCTAGTGCGATCCGCACTGCTGCCTGCGGTCCAGGTGCTGGGTTAAGTGTGCACGGCCCCGCCTCGCAGGACGTGAGTGCAGGTCACTTCGGTCAATTCCACGTGGCATCAACAGTTCGGTGCCTATGTTGATGCCACATGGACTGGACTGAAGTGAACTGCGCTCAGAACCCGCGAGGCGGGACCGTGCGCACCGGGATCAGCACCTGGACGGCACCCACCAGAGTGGACACATGGGCATGCACAGGCCGGCGCCGGACACTTCCGATGTTCCGCAGCTCGACAGGAGCCGCGCCAAGTTGTCGACGCACGCGCGGAGCGTCGCGTCGCCGGTCGAGCCCTCGAGTCGAGCGCCTGCGGATACCTCCATCAACTCAATCCATGACAACGTGCGCCCTCCCGCCTCGGTGGAACTGCAGGTACAGCCGAGGGGCTCCCGTGGACGTACGCAGCGGCGCGCGCCCGCGCTGCGCCCGTTCCCGGGCCCCAGGTTCGATGAGCGGGCCTTCAACACCAACCAACCTCGACACTTCCAGACTCAGTTTCCCGATGTACGATCCCAATCGACCGTCGAGCACGTTCCTCGTCATGTGAGACGCGCGCCCGGCGCGCCACGTCCGGCGATGACGCCCGCACCGCGCCCCTAGCGACCCGAGGGCCTGACAGCTGCACGGACCCTAGGGCGGACCGAACGCACCCCACCGCGGCGCTTGCCTCGCTCTTCGGCGCGCGATGCCATCGTGGCGACTCACACATCCTGTGCGCGGACACGTGGACGTCACGTTGCGTCTGTGCGCGTTATCGCGGGAAACCTTCCATCCTAGCACAGCCTCGAGGTCTACGAATTAGGCAACAGAGTGGCCGTCGCGCTGCGGGGCCATGGCGCTGAGCTGAGCGCTGGACGTCGACTCTCACTTCTAGGCCCAGGAAAGCAGCGCTCGGACTCTTTGCGCGGCGCGCGCGCAGCATGAAGAGCGGCACGGCGCCTGGGGGCCGCAGGGCGGCCACTCCGCCGCTGTACCCCGACCGCCCGGACAGCACGACGCCCGCGCTGTCCGACGAGCTCGCGATGGCGAACAGCGCGTCGTCGCACCCGGTCATGTCGCGCGACGACAGCGGAGTGCTCGGCAACGGCGGCAGTGACGCGGCCCCCGCGAGCATGCACCGCGTGGGCAGCGTGGCGAGCCAGGGCGGCCACAGCAGGAACAACTCGCGGGCGTTCCGGTCCTCGAAGGGCGGGCACGCGCGGTCCTTCTCGACGGAGCTCCTGCTGCGCGGGAAGCAGGCGGGGACGCTGGGCGTGCCCCGGCAGTCCGGGGACGTGCACGAGCGGGTCCGCGCGCACTTCCTGGGCGTCGGGGCGACGAAGCCGATCCACAGCGTGCTCATCGCGAACAACGGGAACGCCGCTGTCAAGTTCACGCGCTCGCTGCGCAGCTGGGCACAGGTGTGCGCTGAGAACCACCCTGGCCCGATCGCCGCGTGCACGCTGCGTCCCTCGACGTCCCGCGGCGCTCCGGCGACAGAGTGTGCACTCCTCTGCGCGTTCGGATGACGAACCGAATCACGCAGCCGGGCGCGGTGCTCGCAACGCGCCATGGGCGCGTTGTAGTCCCCTCTGCGCGATCTTGCGCCCTGGATGCTGCCGGTTTCGATGTTTCTCGGAGCCGTGCGGGTCCTCGGTGAACTCACACGCCCTCCCCGGTGCGCCGCGTCGCAGAGCGTGCTCGGTGACGAGCGGGCGATCACGGTGGTGGCCATGGCGTCTCCCGAAGACATCCGCATTGGCGCGGAACACATCCGGATGGCGGACCAGATCGTCGAGGTGCCCGGAGGCACGAACAACAACAACTACGCCAACGTGCCGCTCATCATGCGCATCGCCGAACAGACCCAGGTGCAGAGGCCCTCCGCGCAACACTCCCTGTTCGCGCACACCGACGCGACGCACCGCAACCAATGCCCGAAATCTCCGCATCTGCGCCCTCGGCGAACATCAGCGCCGTGCCCTGCGGCCCCGCCGATCAACCACACCCGATCAGCCCCACGGGAACCACGAAACCCTAATTGTCGACGCCTGGTCCGCGCTATCGCAGGTCGACGCCGTCTGGCCCGGCTGGGGCCACGCCTCCGAGGTCCCCGACCTCCCCGCGGGCATCGCGGAGCTCGACGGCGACGTCCGCTTCCTCGGCCCCCCCGCGGGCCCCATGGCGGCCCTCGGCGACAAGGTCGGCTCCACGATCCTCGCCCAGGCGGCCGGGGTGCCGACGATCCCCTGGTCCGGCACGGGCGTCGTGGTGGACTTCGAGGCGTGCGGCGGCAGCATCCCCGCGGACGTCTACCGCACCGCGTGCGTGGCGTCCCTCGAGGAAGCCCTCGCGTCGTGCAACAGAATCGGATACCCCGTGATGCTGAAGGCGTCGTGGGGCGGGGGCGGGAAGGGCATCCGGAAGGTCGCGTCGGACGAGGAGACGAAGAGCGTGTTCAAGCAGGTCCAGGGCGAGGTCCCGGGGTCGCCGATCTTCACGATGAAGCTAGCGCCGCAGAGTCGGCACCTCGAGGTGCAGCTGCTGTGCGACAAGTACGGCAACGTGGTGTCGCTGTACTCGCGCGACTGCTCCGTGCAGCGCCGGCACCAGAAGATCGTCGAGGAGGGGCCCGTCGTCGCGGCGCCCGCGCACGTGCTGCGTCACATGGAGCGCTCGGCGCGGGCCCTGGCGCGCACGGTCGGGTACGTGGGGGCGGCGACCGTGGAGTACCTCTACTCGCTCGACACGGGCGAGTACTACTTCCTCGAACTCAACCCGCGGCTCCAGGTCGAGCATCCGGTGTCGGAGATGATCACCGGCGTCAACCTGCCGGTGGCGCAGCTGATGATTGCCGCGGGGGTGCCGCTGCACCGCATCCCGGACATCCGGCGGCTGTTCCTCGCCGACCCTGCGGGCAAGGTGCGCTCTCTCGCACCGCCCGCTCGCCACCGCTCCCCGTGCACCACCCTCACAGGAGGAGGAGGACTCTTGCGACACCCTCACCAGATCCCCGCGTGGGCCGTTCCGCCGCGCAGGACGCCATCGACTTCGAGACGTCGCCGCAGCGGCCGCCCCAGGGCCACGTCGTCGCCGTGCGCGTCACGTGCGAGGACGCGGAGGACGGCTTCAAGCCCACATGCGGCGCCATCAACGAGTTGCAGTTCCGGAGCACCCCGGACGTGTGGGGGTACTTCTGCGTCAAGGCCGGCGGCGGCGTGCACGAGTTCTCCGACAGCCAGTTCGGGCACCTGTTTGCGCGCGGCGCCACGCGCGGAGACGCGATCAAGTCGATGGTGTATGCACTGCGCGAGATTGACATTCGCGGGGAGATCCGGACGATCGTGAGCTACGTACGGGACATGATCCAGACGGAGGACTTCATCGCGAACAACATCCACACGGTGCGCGCGCGAACGAGAGCTCCCCGCGCATGGAACCACGCTGCCTCGCATCCCGGGGGTGTTTTGATGTCGGACCGCCGTGATCCCGCGTGATTTTTGGTGGAAGACGGAGCGCTGCGGATGCGCGTCCGTCGCGTGTTGACGCATGGTTGTCCGACCGGTTCCTGCTCTTGCTGCGCGTTGCGATCATCGACTCCGAGGCGCGCTGCACCAGTGGCGGCGTGCATCCTCTTCCCGCACCACCAGGAGCTGGAACTCCGTCTCGTCAACTTCCATGGGCTCGACCAGCTCGTCCGGCAGCACACCGCGCCCTGGATGAGCTGGTCGAGCCGCGGGAGGCTGATGAGACGGGTGCCAGCTACTGGAGGTGTGGGCATCAGGAGGCTCGCCGCCACTGGTGCAGCGCGCTCGGGGGTAGCACGCGCGGTTCAAGGGCCGCCACGGGCCCTGGCCCGCCCAGCCGGCCAGCTACGCGGCCCCCCAGGGTCTCCACCACCCCTTGCGGCCCGCCACTGACAGCAGCGTTCGTCTCCGACGCGACTGCTCACGGCGCAGCACCCTGTGCCACCGTGCAGGGCTGGCTCGACGCGCGCATCGCGGCCCAGGTCAAGGACGCGCGCGTCCCGTGGCACATTGCGGTGGTGTGCGGCGCCGTGCAGCGCGCCCTCGCGCGCATCGCCTCGGTGTCCGGCGACTTCTACAGCGCGCTGGAGCGCGGGCGGCAGGTGTCGCTGCCGTCGTCGCTCACGGAGTTCCACGAGGAGTTCGTCATCGACGGCGTCAAGTACACGCCGACCATCACGCGGCGCGGCCCGGCGTACTTCCGCGTGCACCTCGGGCCGAACTCGTACGCCGACGCCGTCGCGCGGCGCCTCGGTGACGGCGGGTACCTCGTGCAGGTCGACGGCGGGTCGCACGTCGTGCAGCACGAGGGAGAGACTCCCACGGGGTCGCGCTACCGGATCAACGGCGTCGGGTGTCTGCTGGAGCAGGACGCGGACCCGTCGCGGATCATCGCGCTGTCGCCCGGGAAGCTCATGCGGCTGCTCGTCGAGGACGGCGCGCACGTCGACGCCGACCAGCCCTTCGCCGAGGTACGACGCAGCAACAACAACACACCCCCTCCTGCCTGCGAGCGCCTGTCTCGTCGACCACACGCAATGCAAGAGACCGATGATCGCCAGTTTTCTGCCGCGACACACTTGTTTCCGACGCTGACGGCGCCCTGGGAGCGCGTTTCGACAGAACATTGCATTGCTACTATCGAGCACGCATATCCTCTCCGTCGCAACGTGTTCTTGAGACTCGAATAGCTGATCTGGACCCTCTTCCGGGCTACGTGCAGGTCGAGGTGATGAAGATGCTCATGACGCTGCACGCGCCACTGGCGGGCACCATCCGCGTGCGCATGCCGGAGGGCTCCGTGCTCTCCGCGGGCGACCTCATCGCGTCGCTCGACCTCGACGACCCCTCCGCGGTCCAGAAGGCGCAGGCCTTCGCCGGGTCCTTCCCCGAGCTCGGACCCCCCACCGTCTGGGAGTATAACATCTGTCAGGTCTTCCAACGCGCGCTAGAGGACGCCCGAATGATCCTCGCGGGGTACGACGCGTCGTCCGACGAGACCCTCCAGGTCCTCGAAGAGTGCCTCGAGGACCCCTACCTCCCCCTCGAGCAGTTCGCGGCCGCGCTCAGCACCGTCGAGGGCCGCCTCCCCGGTGACCTCGTCATCGCGCTGCGCGCCGCGCTCGACCTCCACGCAGCCGAGCTCGACCGCGCCGCGCAGGCCGCCGACGCCGCGGCCGCCCGCCCGCTCCCCGTGGCGCTCCCGCACTTCCCAAGCCACCACGTCGAGTCGCTGCTGCTGGGGGCGCTGCAAGAGTGCGATCTGGGCGAGCGGCGCGCGCTGCGGGGGCACCTCGAGGAGCTCCTGTCGCTGTGCGAGGCGTACCGCGGCGGGGTCGCGGGGTACCGCCGCGGGATCATGGCGCAGCTGCTGGAGGAGTTCTTGAGGGTGGAGGAGATGTTCCAACCCCCACCGGGGTCTCAGAGCCGCAGCGTCGCGGTCCACGACGTCGTCGACGAGCTCCGCGTCCACTTCGCCGGGAACCTCGAGGCCGTCCTGCAGGTCTGCCTCTCGCACCGGTCCCTCGAGAACAAGTGCAGGCTCATCCTCCGGCTGCTGTCTGCCGCGGTCGTGCACGAGTCGGCGCACTTCCGGCCCGTCCTGCGCCGCCTCGCGCGCCTCCAGGGCGCCCAGGACGTCAGTCAGCGCGCCGAGCAGATCCTCGAACACTCCCTCATGTCTGAATTGCGCGCGTTTGTCTATCGGCACCTCGTGGCGTCCGCCGCGGCGTCCGCGACGCCCACGGGCACGCGCGGGTCGCTTGCGGAGGTCGGGAGTCCGCGCGAGTCGCTTACGGGCGCCGCCGGGCTCAGTCTCTCGCCGAAAGCGGCCCGCAAGAGCGGAGCAGGTGTTCTCGGGACCACCCCCGACGGTCGGCCGTCGCCCATCCTGCGCAAGGTGACGCTGGGCGAGGGGCTCACTGCGGGGCTGCCGGGGCCGCGCACGAGCTCGATGCCCCCGCGGGGCGCCACGCGGAGCGCGTTCGAGTCGGACACGGATGCCGACGAGTCGGGCTGGGGACTGACCGAGCTGGTGTCCGCGCAGGCGGCCGTGGAGGACGCACTGGCGTCGTTCTTCGACGACGCGCGGCTGCAGGAGGTCGCGGTCGCGACGTACATCCGGCGCGTGTACCACACGTTCCTGACGTCGGGTCCCGAGGTGGTTTCGATGCGGGGCATGACGACGAGCATCTGGACGCACACCTCCGTCGCGTCGCAGTCCACGCGGCTCGAGCGCGAGCACATCGGCGTCATGGTGCTCATGCCGCGTCTGCGCGACCTCGCCACCGCGCTCGAGAACGTCCGTGACGCGGTGACGGCCGCGGGGCTCCAGCGGCCGGCCGCGCAGGCAAACCCGCTGACGGTGCACTTCGTGCTGCTGAGCCACGACGACGACGCGCTCGCGCTCGACGAGAAGACCTCCGCGCTCGCCGAGCCCGTGCCGAAGGTCAACGGCTCCGCGCGCGGTATCGGGGAGTCCTTCGACCGTGCCATGTATGGTACCGACCCGCTGCTGGTGCGCCGCGCGGTGGCTGCGGCGGTCGCGGGCGCCTCGAAGAGCCTGTATGAGGTGAACGCGGGGCTCGTGGGGTTCCTGGCGATGTGCGCGCGTGGCACCCCGCTGCGGTGCACGTTTGTGCGCAACGGCGACGGGCAGGGGGCGTACACGCGGGACCGCGCGCTGTCGCCGCTGTCCCCGCCGATCGCGATCGCCCTCGAGGTCGAGAAGCTCCGGTCCTTCCCAGGTACGCGCCCCCGCATCTCCCGAAACGCGAACGACCTTTCCACATATTTTCACAACAACCCCGGAAACCCCGCGCCCCGCACACCGCCCTCGCTGCCCCTCGGCCACCGACCAGCCATGCTTGTTCCTCTTCTTTCTGCCGCAGGGGGGGTGTCGTACCGCGCGTCGCGCAACCTGCAGATCCACCTGTACAGTTGTGCGGAGCGCGCCGACGCCCGCTCGAACCCGCTGTGCCGCGTTTTCGCGCGCGCCCCCGTCCGCGCGCTCCCGCAAGACGCGCTGCACGGCTCTGGCGCCCACGCCGCGGCCGCGACGGTCATGGCGTTGGAAGATACGTTCCGCATGTGCTTGGACGAGCTCGCCTCGGGACGTTTCGTGGCCGGGGACCGGACGGCGCGGCCGGACTGGTCGCACATCTTCCTCTCGGTGCTGCCGCCGCTGTCGTTCAGCGGCGACGCGCGCAGGGACGACCCTGTGGTGTGCAGAAACCTGCAGGCTGCGGCGGCAGTCCTGGTCAGCAAGAACGGGCCTGCGCTGCGGGCCGCGGCGCTCGCGACGCTCGAAGTGCGGTTCCGCATGCACGGAAAAGGAGGGTCGTGGCGGGTGGTGATCCAGCTGCCAACGGTGCGTCCCCCCTGCGCAACATCGATCCTAACACTCCACACGCGTTCGCCACACGCCGCTCCCCTCTTCCACGAACTATCGAGCAGCTCTACCCTGATATGTGCAACAACCACCCAGCCAGACTTCCGACCACCCATTAACACCCCCGAATAACCCCCCCCCCCTCTGATGCAGGGCCACGAGAGCGGCGAGGAGCACGTCGACGTGTACCGCGAGGCCGTCGACGAGGCCACGGGCGGGCTCGTGTACCGCTCGGTGTCCCCGGGCGACCCGGGCCCCCTGCACAACCGCCCCGTGCTCGAGCCGTACGACAAACTCGACCGGATGACGTACAAGCGGATGGCGGCGCGCCGATTCGCTACGACGTACGTCTACGACTTCCCCGCGGTGCTCTCCGGCGCGCTGCGCGAGGCGTGGGCGCGGTCGTCCTCCGGCGGTGCGCCCGCGGGGCGCCTGCTGACGGCCAAGGAGCTGACGCTCGCGCCGGGGGTGTCGAGCTACCGCGGGGAGGTGCCGATGGAGGAGGTGGACCGCCCGGGCGGGGAGAACACCGTGGGGATGGTCGCGTGGATGATGGAGCTCAAGACGCCAGGTGCGACACCCGCGACGCCGACGAATATGACCGAAAGTTGCACCATGTGTCTGGTTTCCTCGATTCCGCTGCACTGCATCGGTCGCTGTTCCCTCGCTCTCCTCCGCCCGCGTCGAGCCGCGTCGCTTGATCCCATCGCTCCTGACTTCCGAGCGCTGCAGAGTACCCGTCGGGGCGCAACCTGGTTGTCATCGCGAACGACATCACCTACCAGTCCGGCGCGTTCGGCCCCGCGGAGGACGCCGTCTTCAAGGGCGCGGTCAACCACGCCCTCGCGCACGGCGTGCCCGTCCTCTACGTCGCCGCCAACGCCGGCGCCCGCGTCGGCCTCGCCGCGGAGGTGCGGGAGAAGCTCTGCGTGCAGTGGGTGAACGACGACGACCCGACGCGGGGGTTCCAGTACCTCTACCTGTCCGACGAGGACTACCGCGCGCTCGAGAAGGACGGAGAGTCGTCTGTGCGGGCCGTGCGCGTCGACGCGCCCGACGGCGGTCCGCCGCGGTGGCGCATCGATTCGGTCATCGGGCGCGAGGACGGGCTCGGGGTGGAGTGCCTGAGCGGGTCCGGCGCGATCGCGGGGACGTTCTCCGGGGCGTGGGAGAACGGGGTGACGTTCACGCTGGTGTCGGGGCGCACGGTCGGCATTGGCGCGTACCTGGCGCGCCTGGGGCGGCGGTGCATCCAGCGCGCGGACCAGCCCGTGATCCTGACGGGGCACGCGGCGCTGAACAAGCTGCTCCAGCGGGAGGTCTACGCGAGCAACCTCCAGCTTGGCGGGCCGAAGGTTCGTCCCCTCGGACAGCACCCTGTCCGCGCACCAACTCGCAACGAAGGGCCAGCTGCGGCCCGATGCTTCCACGCGTACGAAGCACCACAGACGCTTGTGCTTCCGCAGCGAGCCTCCCTTGAGCAGCGCTCTCACGAGGTGCCTTGCTTTGCAATCTAACAGTTTTCGCCTCGCCAACGCGGTTGGATTGCGCCCTCGACCGCCTCCTCGCACCAACGCGGACCCGCACCTGCCTGCCTCCCGTCCCTCGCAGGTCATGGGCGCGAACGGTGTGTCGAACCTAGTCGTGGCCGACGATTTCCACGGATGTCTTTCTTTCTTGACTTGGCTTTCCTTCGTCCCAGCAGTCAAGGGCGGCCCGCTCCCGATCACCTCCGGCCCCAACGCGGACCCCATTTCACGCCCCGTCGCGTACCGCCCCGACAGCTCCCGCGGCGAGAAGCCCGACCCGCGCGCGTGCATCGCCGGCGCTCCCGTTATCAGCGCGCTCTCCGCCGAGCCCGACGCCGACGCCGACGACTGGAAGGGCGGCATCTTCGACCGCGGATCGTGGGTCGAGTACCACGCCGGCTGGGCCGGCACCGTCGTCACGGGGCGCGCCCGCCTCGGCGGCGTTCCCGTCGGCGTCATTGCCGTCGAGACCACGTCCGTTGAGCGGCGAGTGCCGGCGGACCCGGGCGTCCCGGAGAGCGCTGAGGTCGTGGCGCAGCAGGCCGGGCAGGTCTGGTACCCGGACAGCGCGGAGAAGACGGCCCACGCGCTGCAGGAGTTCAAGGGAGAGGGTCTTCCGGTTTTCGTGCTGGCCAACTGGCGGGGCTTCTCCGGGGGGCAGTCCGACTTGTTCGCCGGCGTCCTGCAGGCGGGCTCCCTCATCGTCGAGCAGGTGCGGCCCGCGCAGCCCCACCACGAGCGCAGCTCGGCGGCAACACTCTGCAGTTTTGATGCTCTGACGTCGGCCGTTGTCCAGCTGCTCACGTGCGCAACCGCGCTCCCCGTCCCTGCCGCGCAGCTCCGCTCGTACCCGCACCCCGCGTTCGTCTACCTGCCGCCCCTCGGGGAGCTCCGCGGCGGCGCGTGGGTCGTCATCGACTCCCAGATCAACCCAGACATGTGTGAGATGTACGCCGCCCCCGAGGCCCGCGGCGGCGTACTGGAGCCCGACGGCATCGTGGAGATCAAGTACCGCGACCACGACCAGCGCCGGACCATGCACCGGCTGGACCCCGTCCTGCGGCGCCTGCGCGCCGCAGGGGGTGTCGACGCTGAGTCAGCGATGCACGAGCGCGAGCAGAAGCTGCGGCCGGTGTACCACCAGGTCGCGCTGGCGTTCGCGGAGATGCACGACACGCCCGCGCGGATGGTGGCCAAGGGCGTGCTCCGCGGCGTCGTTCCCTGGGAGGGCGCGCGCACGTTCTTTGCGACGCGGCTGCGGCGCCGGGTCGCGGAGGAGACGCTCGTCGGCAAGCTGATGGACGCAGCACCTGGTGAGTGCTCCGTGTGCTGCGTGTGGCCGCGCCCGGTCGTCGGCGAGGGCGCGTGGCCCGGGCATGACGACTCATGCACCTTGTTTGTTGTTGTCGTCGTTGTTTCGTCCGTGACGTGTCCTGATCGCCTATTTCTACGTGAATCAATCAGTATCTTTGCTATTACTGGGCACGGCGATCATCGGCGCGTAGATCCGACGCAGCAACCGCCCCCGTTGAACGAAACAAACCCTGTCCTTCCGTCACAGCGCACCTCACCGTATCGCTCGATCCGCCGCACATGCGCGCAGGCCTGGCGCACAGCGTGGCTCTGCGCGAGGTCCACGCGGCGTATCTGTCGTCCTCGGCGCCCCCCGCCCCCCCATCGACCGTCCGGGACGACGGGCTCATCATCGACCATCGCACCGCGGACGGGACGGAGCTCGACCCGCGGGTGGCCGACGACGCTGCGGTGCTCGCGTGGGCCGAGAGCGCCGGCGCGGCGGCGGTCGAGAAGCTCGCGGCGGCTCGTCGTGGGGGTTGGCTGCTACGGGAGCTCTCTCAGTTGAAGGGGGGGGGTGTTTCGGACGACCTGACGTCCGTTCTGAAGGACGTCGACGGAGAGACCATCCGGAAGCTTCGGGAGGCGCTCCAGCGGGCGTAGCGTGCGCTCGGTCAACGTCTTCTACCTGCATGTGTGTTGTTCAGTTGTTGTTTGTTGAAGGACGCTTTTGTGCGTGGCTGCGCCCCAGCGGCCCGCCCGGTCCGCGTGCCCGCACCTAGAATGGTTTGTGAGAAGCTGCTGACGAAATCGAACCGCTATCTGTCGGCACGGAGTCGAGTCGGTCTCAGGGTTGTGTACGGCTGACTCAGAGCCCGTGACCGGTTCCGCGGGCGCTTCTTTTGGCGGGGCCGCCGCGAGCAACACACCGGCTGCCGTGGCCGCTGCATGTGGGCCGGGACCCGTGTCTTGGGTGCTCGGGAGCCACGTCAAGGACCAGCCCGGTTTGCATCGCGTCCAGGACGGTCCGTTGCCGCTGCAGGGGAGTGGGCGGTGTCGCGGAGGAAACGCTGAGTTCAAGTTGCGGCTCAGGAGGGGCTGGAATGGCGATGCGGAGCGCATGGGCGGCGTTCGCGGCGGTTCTCGCAGCGTTGGTTGCGCTAGGTGGCGGGGCGAGGCTGGAGCCCGGGGCGCAGGGCGAGTATGGAGTGTGGGGCGACGACAGCACGTTTCCGAGTAGGTTCGACGAGGCGATGGCGTTCTTGAGGGTGAGTGGCGCCGCCCCTGGCCTGTGCGCCAGGACGCAACACGCAGCAACGTTGACGCGAATTTCGCCGCGAGGCTGACCGCATCTCGGAAGCCCTGGGTCGCATTGCACGCTCACTAGCTACGAAGTACCGCACGTCAACTCCAAGTGCCTCGTTCGCGCAGGGGTCGATGCCGGTGGCGGACCGCAGCAACGACAAGGTGCTGGCAGGCCTCGAGCAGCACGTCCGCCTCAGTCTCGACGCACGCCACGCCACGCGCTGGGCCAGCGAAGTTCCGTGGGACAAGTTCCTCGAGTTCGTCCTCCCCTATGCCTCCCTGGACGAGTGCAGGTGCGCAGAGCCGCAACGCGCCGCCGCGCGCTCCGCCCGCGGTCGCGACCCACACCGCTGTGTCGCGGATCGGAAGCCGCACCAGACGGCTCCCTCGGCGCGGCGCACGCGACCAGCGCGAAGCACTCGCGCCGCAAAGTAGCTAAGTTGTGTTGTCGTCTGTCTGCACCCGTAGGGACATGATGCGCGCGGAGTTCCGCGCCCGCATGGCGCCGCTGGTTGCTCGGTCCCGCGGCCCGTGGTCGGCGGCGCGGCTGATCAACGAGGAGCTCTGGGGCGCGTTCAGCGACAGCGGCGACGACATCGTCTTCGTTCCCGACCAGACGCCCGCGATCATGTGCCCGAGCCAGGTGCTCGCGGCCCGGTATGCGTCGTGCACAGGTGCGTGCCGCCCTGCGCTCGCCGGCGACGCTCCTGAGTGTAGCACGAGTCCTAGAAGGTGTTTTCTCGATTCGTTGTCACGGGCAAGTGCATGGTCCTTGCAGGACTGTCGATCTTCCTCGTCGAGGCCCTGCGGTCCGTGGGCATCCCCGCGCGCGTCGTCGGCACGCAGGCGTGGGACAACGGACAGATACCAGGTCAGCCTGGGAACCCCGCCAACCACGACTGGGTCGAAGTCTGGGCCGAGGGCGAGGTGCGCACCGCAAGCGTCCAGTCCCGCGGCATCAGCCCGCGCGAGAAGCGGAGCCCTCGGCCGAGCTCGTCGTCGCTCGCGGCCGCTGCATGCATTGCTCCTTTGTAGACTTGATGTGCGCGCCCGATGCCTCGCGACTGCGACACGCCGCGCCCGTCGAGCCGCCGAACGCGGGCGTGTCCGTCTTCGTGCAGTGGCTGTTCACGGGGGCGCACGAGGCGGCTGCCGCAAATCGCGGTTGGTTCTACCCACAGCCTGTGGTCTGTCAGACTCCTGGGAGCCCCGAACACGGCATCTGGGCCTCGCTGTGGGGCAGGAGGGGCGCGAAGGAGCCGTACTTCCCGATGGAGTGGGCCCCGGACGACAAGTCCATCGCGGCGGAGGACCGCACTGCAGCATACCTGGCCGATGTCGCGTATGACTATCCTGGAGAGACGTGCGAGCGACACGAGGGGGCGAGGCGGGTGTGAAGGTGGCTGCGCGTGTGCGTCGCGCGTGGAAGGACACTCTCGCGCGTCGTGGAGTCTTGCCTGGCTGTTGTTTGCTCGGAATTATGAAAAGCATCATCTTTTGGTGGCCGAGGGCATCGCAACTGCGGGCGCGCTCCTCGAAGGCTGCGAACGACCAGCAGGCGGCCGAGCCGGAGCTATGTCCGCCACACCACCTGACGTCAAGTCAGCACGCCTGTCTGTCCGTCTGTCTCCCTTTAGGGGGTGTCCGACACTCCTCCTCTCGCGCGGCTTTCGGGCGGCGGCGCGCGGCGCGGCGGCACTGACTGCAGCGCGCACGCTCCGCTGCACCGGCGGCCGTCTGGCGCCGCTTCTCCTCTCCGTCCGCCACCGTCGGCCCACCGCATCCACACGCCCACTCGCGTCCAGTGGTAGGTGCCGCCCGCGGAGGATGCGGGAGCGCGTCTCCGGGGCGGGCGCGCGCGGCCACGGGGAGGCATCATCGGGGGCCAGCGCAGGGCCGAAGTGCGCGCACTGCGGCTGGGAGGCGTCGCGGGCGCGCCTCCGAAAGCACGAGGGGCGGTGCCCGGGCCAGCTCCGATGCCTGCTGCCCAAATGCGCGCACCACGGGTCGCTCGAGGAGATCGTGCGGCACCTCTTCGAGGACCACTTGCCGTCTATCCCAGCAGACGAGCGCTCGAGTTTCGCCACGGTGCTCACGGCCTCGCTGCTCGAGGCTGCTGCTGCAGCCAAGACCGGCCTCGAAGCAGCGGGCCTCGGGCCTGTTACCGGCGCCGACGTGCTCGCGACGGACGCACCGTCGACGGTGGTGCCCCGTCCGGGACCGAAAGCCGCTGCTCGGACCACTGGAGCCGCGAACGGAGGCGATCATGACACTGCACCCTCCATGACCGCCGGCGGGCCGGCGCTGGCCGTCCTGTCGCCGGAGCCCGCAGTGCGGATGGCTGCACTGAGCACAGCGGTCACGTCCCCGGGCACACCAGGCGTTGCGGCGTCTGTGGGCGGCGCCCCGAAGCCGTTGGGGGCTGAGCTCGGCGTCTCTAGCAACGTCGCCTCCCCGGCGCGCGGGGCCCCGCGCGACCCGACCGAGGCGATCGCCATGTGCCTGGATGGTCTCCGAATCGAGGCTCCCACTTCCGCCGAACCCGGACACCGCAGGGACGTCGCGGGGGCGCCCACTGAGTCCACACCCGGCGTTGCCTCACCATCCACGCCCAGCAAGACGGAATTCGAGGCCTTCCTCGACAGCGTCCTCAACCCCGCAGCCAACCACCCCGGGCCCAGCGCTCCCGGCGGCGGGCCGATCCCGGAGTGTTTTGGCGACCTGAACAGCCTAGAGGTGTCGACGTGGCTTCCCGGTGGACCTGCAGAAGCAGCAGCCGTCGCAGACAGCGGCTCCAACGGCGCGCTCGGGCGCCCACCGATGCCCCCAGGTGCGCCGCGCGCCACCTGCACCTCGGCGCTGCACCCACACGTGCTCGCGGGCCCCAGAGTGCAGCGCATGTTGTTCATGAGCTGACACCAGCCCTGTGTGTCACCCGCGTGTCTTTCCCCGCGCAGGGCCGCGTCCGAAGAGGTCCTCGAAGGCGGGGAAGTCCCTCGGCGCGCTGGAGACGTACCGCGCGATGCTGCACGCGCAGGGGTTGTCGGCCGACTCAGCGGAGGACATTGAGCTCGCCGTGGGGTCGCTCTCGGGCGACGCGGGGCTCCCGGCGCTCCGTCTGCCGTCCATCGCGTCGCCCTCGAGCTCGAGCAGCGCGTCCGACGGCGGGGGCAGCCCGGCGTGTGCGCCAATCTTCCGACCGCACCACCTCACCGTGGCCGACGACAGACTGACGCAGGTGCGCCTGCGCGCCCGTACGATCGCGCTCAGAGCCCCGTTCCCGCGCGGTCACGCACGATCATCGAAGCCATGTGGCTACTCAGGCGCTGAGGAACGAAAAAGCAAATAGACGTTCCAAAGCCTTTCCGCGCGCGAGGCGAACCTCGTTTGCCTCCTGCGACCGCCAGGTGTGCATGAAAGGCTCCTTCGCGTTGCGCTGCTGTCGCAGGAGCAGCTCCCGGGTGCGAGCAGCGCCACCCCAGCCAGCCAGCAGGCCACTCCTATGGCGCAGCGTGCAGAGCCACGCACGCCGGGTTCCGCGGGCAAGGCTTCCGTGGGGCCTTCCGACGCGACGCAGGCAGCGAGCACGGCCTCGCGCGGCGCCGCAGCCGCCGACCACGCGCTGGCAACTCCCCCGGAGGCGCGGGACACAACACACCCCCGCGCCCGGTCCCCCGACGCGCACACGCCCGACGACTCCGAGCTGGACGCCATCGACGGCAGCCGCAAGCGGCCGCGTGGGTCCTCGGACGCGAAACAGAGCCCGGAGTCCCCCCCTGACGAGACGGACCACAACAAATTGATCCCCCCTGACGTCAAGGAGCACCTGGGCATGCTCTGCCGCGCGCTGCTCAAGGCCGACAACGGATACGGCGTCCCGCCGACCGTCGACCTCTCCGGCGAACAGTTCGGCCTGGCGTCCGCGCTCGCCGCATTCCGGCGGTCCGCGTCCTACATGGACGACGAGGACCGCTTCCCAATGGTGGCCACGTCCATGGTCGTGCGGGCGTTCCAGGAGCACATCATGCAGGTCGTTGCGCAGCCGGAGCCCGCGGACGCAGCTCGCCGGGCGTTCCAGGTAGGGCCTGGCAATTGATGAATGACCCGCGAGGCGACGCGCGCGGGCTTGCAAGCGACCTGACACAGCGCACCAGTGGAGAGCGCCCGCGTTTCGTGCACGTTGTTGTCTCGCAGCTCGACACCACGTGGCTGCTAGCGCACATGGACTGGAACACGTGCAACGGGGGCTCCGCCGAACAACCCGCTCCGGTCCGCACGACGCCGCCAGCGTCCGGGAAGCTGGAGCCCATGACGCTGATGTCGGGCACCGACGGGCCCATCGCGTTCCTCGTGCGGACGATTCGGAGGCAGCTCGACAGCGGCGCAGTGCAGGTGCGCCCGGCCGGGTCCCGTCCTGATCGAGCGCACGTCCGGCTGTCCGCGCGTGTATACGTGCGTTGCAAGACCCCGCTCTACGACCGTGCGCCGTTCCGCCGGGCCTGACTCGGCCGCCAGAACGACAACCCACTCACCCCCCCCCCCCGCCCTGCAGGCCGGGAGGCCGCTCCCTTGCCCAGAGGAGGCGCTCGTCGCCACACAGGCCCTGTGGTGCACCCTGGCGAAGCAGCGCAACGAGTACTCCGTCGCGGCCGTCGTGGAGCTGTGGCGCCTCGATGGTGCGCTCGACGCCCTCCTGGACCTCGCGGACGCTCGCCGCGTGGCCCGCGTGGCGCACGAGAAGCTCACGGACGACGCGCGCGTCACCCGCACCGCGCTCTTCTGCCTCGCCGGCGCCGTCGGGCACGGCGTCCCCAGCAGCACCACCGCCGCCGAGAAAGCGCGGCGCCTCGAGATCGCGAACGCGGTGCTCGCGCCCGCGCTGTTCAAGAGCACGGCCGAGGGCGACGCCGCTGCGGCGTACGTCATCGTGCGCGCGATCGCGGGCCTGGGGCGCGAGACGCAGTACCGCGAGCTGGTGATGACTCAGTTCATGAGCCAGCAGCTCGAGCGGCTGCGCGCCGCTTACAAGGGCGACGAGAAGACGCCCGCGCAGCGCATCGTGCTCAGCGAGGCCGTCGGGATCGTGGACATGATGTGCTGGCACGGCGTGCCGCAGGCCGTGGACGCCGCGTTCTGGTATTGCCAGAGCTTGTGGATTTTGTATGATGGCTTTCTGTCGTCCGCGGCGGGCGCGCCCGACGAGCCGGAGTACGTCCGGAAGGTGCACGTGCGCGCCGGGAACGCGACGAAGAAGATCGCGGAGATCGCGAAGATCCGCAGCTTGGACCGCGACGTGGCGTGCGAGGCGCTGTTGGGCGCCAAGCTCCCGCTCGGGCTGGTAAACGCGCTGCGGCGGATGGTTCGCGGGTTCGAGGGCACGGGCGCGTGCCGGAGCAACGTCGCGCTCGAGGTCGAGCTCGACAAGTTCAAGGACACGCTCGAAGTGCTGCCGAAGCTGGCGACGCTGCGACCCAGGTGAGGCGCCGTCGCTGTTGCAGCGCGCAACCTGTGCGAGCGCTGGCGACGGCGACCGCTTGGCGTGCGCGTCTTGTGCGCGGGCGCCGGCAGCTGCGTTGGCCGCGCGGGGCAGAGCGATGCCGCTGCGGGTACTTGCTCTGTATTTATTAATTGCTGATGTGGCTTTTTTTTTTTTCCCATGCCAGATGTTGTGTACTGAACAAGAGGCCTTGTGCGGACGACTTGCAGGGTGACGCGGCACCTCGCGCAGAGCGGCGCGGTGCGTCTCCTCGGCGAGGTGCTCAGCCTCGCGCGTTCCCCCGAGAGCGAGTTGCACGGCATGCTCCCCCTGCCCACCGTGGCCACGATGATCGACTCCGCGGACGACTACGTCAAGCCGCTGGTCCTCGAGGACCTCGTCGACGCCGGGATCGTCGCCTTCGTCCACGAACTGGCCCTGCTGGCCGTCAGCGCCAATTATGCTGGCCGCGACCGCAAGGTCTACAACGACGGCAGCGTGCAGCGCGCGGCGCTGCTCGCCTCGTCCATGGTGACCGCGCCGCTCTCTGCGCGCGTCCCCGCCGCGGAGCGCCGCGACGTCCCCGCGAAGCTCATCGAACTGGGGTTTGTTCCCGTGTTGGTCTCCTTGCTCGACGTGTGCTACTCGGAAGACGAGATCCTCGAAACGGCAGCGGAGGCCATGCTGCTGCTGATGGCGAACTTGGCGTGGGCGGCGTCGCCGCTGCGCGACCTCGAGCTCTCCGCCGAGAACGTGTGTTTCCACGGCCGCAGGTTTGCGCAGGCCACGGCCGCGAACCTGCGCGAGTGCTTCGGCGGGGACCTCGTCAAGTACTCGTGCAGGTTCCAGCTGATGTCCTCTAGGGGGACCATGGCCAACGCGACAGAGGCGTTGGAGCGCGCCGGTTTGATGTTGTACGACCTTTGTACCATGCCGGAGCTTAACTCGGACGCGCCCAAGGAGCTGCGCTGGGTGCGTGGGAAGGCGGCGCCGCCTAACCGGCTGTGCGCGATCATCGTGCACCTGGTGTACTACACGCACCGGGGGACTTTGGAGGACAAACCCCCCCCCAACGCAGAAACGTTCCTTCTACCCAAGTACAAGGGGGGGCGTGTTCGGGACCTGGCGGCAGCGCTCAGCAAGGCGCACTGAGCGCGCAGCGGCCAGGGGCGCTCGCGGCGTCGCGGTGCGGCACCCCCCGGCCTCTTGTGATGCGGCTGCTCATGCGGTCACATGCTCTGCTCGGTCGGTGCTTCGACCCGCGCAGCAGCGTCCGTCTCCATCACTTGCACACCTCCTCGATCGCCTCAGCCAGGATCGCCGCGCCGCGCGACGCCTCGGCCTCGCTCAAGATGAGCGGCGGCACCAGCCGCACGACGTCACCCGCGCCGGCGGTGATCGCCAGCAGGCCCTTCTCGCGCGCCCGGAGCACGACGGGCCCGGCGGCCTGGTCGAGCTGCACGCCGATGAGCAACCCGGACCCGCGGACCTCCTTGACGTGCGCGTTGCCGGCCGTGAGGTTGCGCAGCTCGCCCATGAGCTGCTGGCCGCGCTCGCCGACGGTGGCGAGGAACGCCGGCTGCGACACCTCGTCGAACACCTCCGCCGCGACGTGCGACACGAAGGGCGACCCCGCGAACGTCGTGCCGTGGTCCCCCGGGGACATGCAGTCCGCCACGGCCTGCGTCATCAACACAGCCCCCACCGGGAGCCCGCCGGCGAGCGGCTTCGCCACCGACATGATGTGCGGCGTCACGCCGAAGTTCTGCGCACGGCGCGGCACACGAATCGCACGCGGGTCAGCCGCGCACTGGAGGTTAGTCCGCACAACATCGTCAGACCGGCCAACGCTCCGTTCCGAGCTCCCGCACGGCCCACGCAATCGCACCGCGTCGCCGCGGGACCGTGGCGCGCACCTCGTGGCCCCACAGCTTGCCCGTGCGCCCCACGCCGCACTGCACCTCATCAAACACAAGGCACGCGCCAATCTCGTCCGCAAGGTCGCGGAGGCCCTGGAGGAACTCCGCGGTCGCCGGGTGCACGCCGCCCTCGCCCTGGACCGGCTCGACGAAGATCGCGCACGTCTCGCCCGGCCGCACCGCCTGCCGGGCCGACTCGAGGTCGAGATACTTGGCGAAAGACACCGGCCCCACCACGGGCTCAAACGGGGTCCTGCGCGCGCAAACGGCCACGGAAGCTCCCGCGCTTGGTTCGCGCTCGCTGCGGCCGCGGCCTCGGCGGCTCAGAGCCAGGACCTGTGCGCGGGCTGCCAGGCGGAGTGACAGCGGCGTCGTGCGGCGTGTGTGCGTGCTTCGCGACGTTACCTGTACTGGACCTTGGAGGTGAGGCTGAGGGCGCCGAGCGTGCGGCCGTGGAAGGAGTTCGTGAAGGCGACCATGTGGCTCGGGCCGTTCCGGGAGGCCTCGGCGTCGTAGGCGTCGATCCCGCGCGTGACGCGGGCGTACTTGCGCGCAAACTTGATCGCGGCCTCGTTCGCCTCGGTGCCCGAGTTGCAGAAGAACACGCGGTCCGCGAAGGACTTCTCGACCATGGCCTTCGCGAGCACCGTCTGCGGCTCCGTGTGGAAGAGGTTGGAGACGTGGCAGCAGAGGTCCGCCTGCTCCTTCACGGCCTTCACCCAGCGCGGGTGCGAGTGCCCGAGGGCGTTCACCGCGATTCCCGAGTAGAAGTCGAGGTATTCCTTGCCGTCGACGTCCCACAGCGTGCAGCCCTTGCCGTGAGACACCACGATGTCCGTTGGCCGGCCGTAGGTCTGCGAGGGCGGGGGCGGCGCGCGCGGCGGCGTTGGCGGGGAGATCCGGGCCCGGAAGCGCGGCGAGGGCGCAGGGGGGGAGCTGGGCGCTCGGCGGGTGGCGCGGCAGGGTGTGTGCGGCCGCGGAAACTCGGCCGCAACGGAACCTGGCAGACCATATGTTGACGGGTGTCTGACGGCTGGGCGGGGGTGTGGGCGGCGGCTCGGCGGCGGCCGCGCTCGGTGGGTGGTGGAGGGGCGCGGGGCGCGCGCTGGGCCCCGCGTGCAGCCCCGGGAGCGCGAGCGCGGGCCGGTGGAGTAGGGCAAGGAGCGGTTCGGCGCGGCCTCGCGTCGTGGGCTGCGTGCGGGCGTACCTGGAGAATGTACTTGTTTTCGTCAGCAATAATCCTCTGCTTCTGCTCGGACGCGCTCAGCGTGGCGGCGTTCACGTTGCCGGGCCCGCGGGCAGCCTGGGCCCGGGTGCAACGGCCACGGCCCCTCGCGGCGGGCACGGCGCTGGGCCGGGCCGAGAGTGCGACGTTCATGATCCTCGCTGCCTGCTCCGCTCGAGGCGATGCGTAGACCGGGCCTAGTCGGCGGTCAAACGCCGCGCGGGCTCGAAGAAAGCCACAGGGGTGTACACCGTCCGAACGGCCGCGTTATACCGCGTTATCGACCAGGCTGCGGCGCGAGCGCGAGGCGGAATTCAGAGACGCCGGCGGGGCGGCGCGGCTGGCGCCATGACCCCGGGCAACGCACCGCGTGGGAGACGGGTCTTTCCTGAGGTGGTCGTCACGTTCGACCGGCCCGTGGCGCCGCCAGCGACATCGGCCCCGCCGCGCGCGCCGCCGTGACGTTTCCTGGAATCGTCCAGAGGCACAGCCACCTCTTCGCGGAAAGTCGCCCTCAGCAGGTGCGTTGCGCCGCCATCGTGACAGAGCGAGCTCGTGCACGCTCCAGAGCTCCGTCACGCCCACCGCCGATCGCTTGCTCGCCGCTGCTACGCACACAACCCATCCACCCGCCGCCCGAGCGCGCCCGCTCCGCGCCATCAGCGCCGTCGACCCTCCGCGACGCACCCAAACGTGACGCCTCACGACTCGCCCACAGCGGCCCGCACCGGGCCCGCACCCGCATCGGCCCCCCGCCGCTCGCACCTCAGCCTCACCGCCATACCGCTCCGACCCGCGCGGCCACAATCTTCCGCCGTTCCAGGCCCTCGCGCCCCATGGAAGACACACCACACCTCGCCGCCACTGCGCCGCGATGGCGCGTTCGCGCCCGGGCGCGCACCGCGCCGCCCACGTCCACCGCGCCCCGCGCCCGCGCGCGCCGGGGATTCTGCGCAAGGCGGCCCAGGTATCTCAGACAGGAGCACCCGTGCTTGTGCCGCAGGTCACGATGGGAGCGTGCGGGTCCAAGGACGTCGTGGTGGTGGCCGGCACGCCGGGCGCCATGCCTGACGCCCCGGTCAAGGAGAATGCCGCCAAGGCCGAGAAGCCTGCGGCGCCGGTCGAGGTGCCGTCCGGTCCCCAGGTGGCAAAGGACGCATCTCATGCGGATGCGAGCGCGGACACCCCCAAGGTGAATCCGGGCAAGCCCGCATCGGCGCACAGCGACCAGGAGCAGTCCCAGGAGAACGACAAGCCGACGTCTGAGCAGCCTGCCCCCTACGCTCAGGCGCAGGAGGTCCAGCAAGCTCCTGCTGCGGCCGCGGAGCCCGCTCCCGCGCCCGAGGCCGGTGCGGCCGAGCCCGAGGCCGAGCCTGCGCAGGAGGAGCCGGCGGAGGCTGCGCAGGCTGCGGAGGAGCCGGAGAAGCCTGTCGAGGGCGCGCAGGAGCCGCAGGGCGAGGAGCCTGCCGCCGCGGACCCCGCGCCTGAGGCCGCCGCGGGCGAGCCCGAGACGGCTGACGCTGCGCAGGACGGCGCCGCGGAGGACGCGGAGCCCGCCGCGGAGCCCGAGGCGGCCGGCGCGGACGTCCAGGCGTCTGTCGCGGAGACAACGGGCGCCGAGCCCGTGCTGGGCGAGGCCGGCGACGCGGCCCCGGAGGACGAGCCCGTCACGCGGATCTCTGCCAGTACGTGCCCGCGCCTTTGCTTTTATACGCGCAGAGACCCGCCACGGCACCCTGCAGGTGCCCTGGACGACCTGCCCCCGCCCACCGCCACGCGCCCCTCGTCCGCCGCCTCCGCTACGGAACCGATTCGCGTCATCTCTCGCCCCCTCCGCCGCGCGCGCACGACCTGCGCTGCCCTACGGCCCACATTCCGCGCCCAGGCGTCACGTTCCGTCCCATCCCGCGGACCCCCGCCTGCCACGCCCCCGCCGCTCACGGGACGCCCACGCCCTCGCGGCCCGCAGGCCTGGACCCCTCGGGCGACCCGAAGATCGACGCCATCGTGGCCAAGTTCGTCAACGACCTTGCCGCGGTCGTCGTGGACCGCTACGCGCGCCTCCGCGTGCGCGCCGCGTTCCAGCGCGTCGCCGTCGACGGCCTGCTCCAGCCCTCGCACGTCCCGGACTTCCTCAGCCTCCTGTTCGGCGAGACCTACAAGCACGCCGGCAAGGCCTTCCAGCTCCGCGCCCAGGAGAGCATGCGCAAGCTCGAGGTCACGCACGCCGAGGAGGACGGCATCACGTTCGAGGACCTCGTCGCGCGGTTCATGCGCGACATGGACGAGAACTTCGTCGAGCGCGTCAACCGGGAGTTTGAGAAGCTGGACACGGACATGGACGGGTACGTGTCGCCGCAGGAGCTCAAGGACGCCGTGAAGCGGCACACGGGGATGGCGCTCAACGACGAGCAGACCAGGCAGCTCATCAAGGTCTTCGATCTCGACAAGTACGCTCCTGAACGACTTGCGTGCATGCTCCGAGGTTTTGGCTCGTTCGTGCGTGCGCCGCGCTCGCACGTGCCGGCCCGCGTGTCCGCGGCCCGCGACGGCGCGGGTGGCAGCGCGGGCTAGTGCGCCTTGCTCGCTCTGGGGCGCCGAAGGAAGGTCTCACGTTGGTGGTGTTGTGGCTCTCGTGCAGCGACGGCAAGGTCAGCAAGGGCGAGTTCACGCAGCTCCTGGCGACGACGCGGCTCGGCGGCGCCACGACGGCCGTCATCGAGGGCGCGCTGCTCACGCCCGCGCAGGGTGCGGCGTTGCGGGACCTGTACCGGGAGCTGGCGGAGTCGTTCGAGATGTTCTGCGAGCGCGTCGAGGTGGACGGCGAGAAGAAGCAGGTCCTCGGCGTGGAGCAGATCGTGACGATCCTCGAGCAGCGCGACGTGGACATTGACGCCGACAAGGCGCAGGCAATGCTGGAGCGTGTGGCGGCGAAGACGCCGGGCAAGGTGGACGTCGGCGAGTGGGCGCACCTGGCCGTGATCGCGCTGACGCAGCACGCGAAGGGCGAGGAGGACCGCGCGATCAAGGAGGCGCGCCGGGCGTTTGCGACCTTTGACCAGAACCACAACGGGTTCATCAGCACGGAGGAGCTCCACGACGTGCTGTGCCGCGAGTTCAGCGACGGCGAGGCGTCGCAGAAGGCCGCGGCGGGGCTCGTGGAGAAGATGGACATTCGAAAGGACCACCAGATCGACCTGGAGGAGTTCTTGGTGTACTGCATGCGCCTGGAGGCCGACGCGAGCTTCGCGGCGGTGTAGGGGGCGCGGGCGGCGCGTGATCGGTGCGGCTGGCGTCGGGCGGCGGTGCGGTGCGTGGCGGGGGACGGCCGACAGGGATGCATGCGTGGTACGAATTCGACGGTTTTGGGATTTGAGAGATCCGGGAGCGTGTGTGAACACGTGCGGAGCCGACGGACGCGGACAGCAGCTGCGAGGACGCGCGCCGCGGAGTCTCGCGCCCCCCTCCTGTGCTGGGGGTGTCGCCGACGCGTGACGTAGTAATTGACGCGTCCAGTACTTTTGCGTGCTGCGAGCGACGCCCGAACGCGCGCGCTCGACGCACGGCCTCGCTCGCCCTTCACGACAGCGCGTCTCGAGCCGTTCCGCGGCAGCGGACTCCCCACGCGCCACCACTGCTGTCCAGCGCCCGGAACACCCCAGCCCCGGCAGCGACGCACGTCCACATGCTCGGGATCACAACGACAACGCGGGCGTAGAGGTCTGCGCGCCGGGACCGCCCTCGCCGGCCACTGCGCCGCCTACAGCTGCACGCCGCGCACGTCGGCAGCCGCGCGGTTCGTGATGTGCTTCAGGTCGGACGTGCCGATGTCGACGTTCGTCGGGCCGCCGTTCTTGTGCACGCCCGTGTACAGCGACTTGTCGTCGTGGAACCGCACCGCCTCCGGCACCGTCCCCACATACGACGGACCCTTCATGCTCGCCTTCAGGATGGCCTTCCTGCGGACATAGGAGCGCGCAGAAGGACGGGGCTCGCGGGAGGGTGCGCACAGGCGGCGCCGGGGCGGGCTGCGGGCCCCGGTGGGCCGGGGGTGGAGCGCTGCATGGTGCAGTAGTGGCGGGTGTTACCTGAGGTCGTCTACCGTGCCGAGGGCGCCCTTCGAGCGGTCAATGAGCTGCCGGAGGCCCTCCATGAACTCGTTGAAGGAGATTGTCTTCGCGGAGGGGCCGGACTTGACCTGCGGCGCGGAGCGGGCGGGGGTTACGTTGCAGGCAGTGGCGCGCTGCGCCGGCGCGCGTGTGCGTTGGCGGCGGCGCGAGCGGTCGCTCTGCGTCGGCCGGTGCAGCAAGTTTGAAAGTGGCGGGCGCGGGGCCGCGGGCGGGTGCGTTGCGGGGCGCGCGGACCTTGGCAAAGATGAGGTCCAGGTCAGTGGTGGTGATGGACTTGCCGACGGCGCCAGCGTCCTTGCAGACCTTCACCCAGGTCCTGCATGGGTGGAGAAGGGGGGCGGGCGCGCGTTTGGTCGGGGGCGGCGCTTGCGCGGGGTGTTGAGCTGGAAGCGGTTGCATGCGAGGGGCGCGCAGGGGCGGCCGGCCCCGCGCGGCGACCTTGCGAGCGAAGACGCGGCGTGGAGAGGGGTAGGAGGGAGATCGCGCCGGGGCTCGCGGTCCGTGGCGGTGGTGTGCGCCGAGGAAGCGACCGAAATGGAGGGCCACGAGACGACAAGCCGGCCGCGCTAGGTCGTGCGAGAGCGGCCGACGCGGCTCAACCGCGGTCGCTGGCGCCCCGATACCTTTATGCCAAGCATCAGCGCGCCGTGGCGCCAGGCTCGCGGCCGTGCCCCGCGTGCGCGAGGGTGTTGAGGAGCAGGGGCACAGGTGGCCCACATGGCCTCTGCTGGCCCTGCACTTGCCTGCCATCCATCTGCGTGGGGTCCTTGGACCTCCCAGACCCGTTGGTGTAGGTCGTGAACACGTCAAACAAGGGCTGGTTCTCTGGCGACAGCTTCGAGCGGGTGCTCTGCTTGGTAGGGAGCGGGGCGGCCATAGTGTCGCTGTGAGTCACTCTCGAGCGCAAAACACCTTCCCTGTACCGTGTGCCACCGAGCGCGACCGCTGCGGGGCCAAGAAACCGCCTGTCGATCAACCCTGCGTGCCCCCCCCCCCGTTGACAACGGGGGCCCGTGCTGCGTCGGAGGCGGCGTCGTGGGAGACGAGGGTGCGATTGCCGCGTCCAGACGGGCGCCCGGGCCAGACGGATCACGTGTTCATCCGCGTTCCATCCTCGCAGCGGACGTGCGCGCCGGGACAGCAGACTGCAACAGAACTGGCACGTAGCTTGCGCACCGCAGTGTGTCCTGGCCGGAAACCGGCGAAGCAGGGTCTAGAAGCCCACACAGGGAGCAGGATGGCGCCCAAGAAGGGCATGAGCCTCGAGGACAAGCGGCAGACCGTGCTGAGGATCTTTCATGACACCAAGGACGTGTACGTCCTCAAGGCAAGCAGCGCTGAAGCCGCCACGGGCGCTCGCTCCTCCAGCATCGCTCCCGCGTGCCTCGTGTTCGCTCCGTTCCGCCACGCGGGGCCCCTCAGCTGCACCGCGCGCGTTCATCCTGCGCCTCCCGCCAACCCCGCGCCGCGAGGACCCGCCGCGTGCTTCGCTCCGCAGGACATCGAAAAGCTAGCGTCATCCAGAGGAGTCGTCGCTCAGTCGGTCAAGGACGTCGTCAAGGTGCGCAATTCGCTTCACGCGGCCCGTGCGCGCCGCACCGGCTCCCCGCACCGTCCCGGAGCCGCATCCGCGGTCCACGCGCCACGCGCTTGCCCCCACGTCGACGCACCGCTCCGCACAGGCTGTCCCGCGGGCAGGCGGGGATCGACTCGCGACGCGAGCGCTGTCGTGCTGGGCTGTGCGCTTTGCAGAGTCTCGTGGACGACGACCTGGTGCACCAGGAGAAGATCGGCGCCTCGAACTACCTCTGGAGCTTCCCCTCCGAGGCCACGCTCAAGGTCGTCACCGAGCGCGACCGCCTGACCAAGCAAATCAAAGCGCTGCGGCGACAAGCGCAGGACGCCGCCGCGCAGGCCAACGCGCTCCAGGAGGTGCGCAGCTCCGCGCCCCCCCGCCCAGAAACTCCGCGCAGGGTCCGGAACCGCCCTAGCTGCGCCCGCGCCGGGCGTTCCTGCGCAACGATCCCAGCTGCGCTGCGTGTCGACGTGCGACATCGCCCGCGCGCTCGGCCCGCGGTGCAGGGGGACGCGGACGCGGCGGAGCGCGCGGAGCTCGAGGCCGAGCTGGCCGCGCTGCAGGCGGCGAACGCGCAGCACGCGGCGGAGCTGCGCGAGCACGCGGACAACGACCCGGAGGTGTTTGCGGCGCTGAAGGCGGCGGCGAAGGCGAGCGTGGAGGGCGCGAACCGGTGGGGGGACAACCTGGAGTGTCTCAAGGACTGGATGAACGGGAAGTTCGAGGGGCGGAAGGAGGACGTGGAGGCGTTCTTCAAAGCGGAGGGCGCGACGGACCTCGAGCCGCTGTAGGGCGCGGGCGGCGCGGTGGCGAGGACGCGCGCGGGAGGCAGGTCGTGACTGTGCGGCCCAGCTGCCAGGCGGGGGCAGGGGGGGGGAAGTCAGAAGGGTGGAACGGGGGTGTAAGACTGCACGCAACGTTGCGTTATGTTTCTACCGGCAGAGGCGGCGCGAGGGCGGCGGAGGACACGAGTCGCGCTGCGGCGCGTGCGCGCGATTCCTCGCAGCTGATTGGCGGCGCCCGCGAGCCCGAGGACGATTTCGACGCGGTGTGGTGTTGAAACGGGCGCGTGCGGCACTGCGGCCGCTTTCAGTGGCGCGCGGTCGCGGTCGTCGTGCATCACACTTCGACCGAAGTTGCCGTTGGCTCGGCAGGCCACGATCCTAGGCGGGGAACGCCGCGGGCGGCAGGACTTCTATCACACATCAGTTCCGGCGCGCTTTCTTCTTCTTCATGATGGCATCAGCCGCGTCCGAGAAGGTGAATGCCTCTCCCAGCAGTGGGTCCTGCAACTTTGGGGACATGTACATCGCCATGCTCTCGCCGAGCCTGTCGGTCGAACCCGACCAAGCATCCGTACGGTTCGCCAGGGGCACCTGCGAGTGCACCCACGGGCGTGGTGTCGCTTTGCGCATGTTGGCATACGTATACGGCAACGCATACCTTGACTCGTGCAGTTCAGACAGGGAGGGATGCGCCGGCTCGACCAGCCCGCACAGAGTCAATCACCTGAGATCTGCCCTCGCGTTCGCGCGGAGGCTGACGCGTGAATCGTAGCGAGTAGCGCGGTGTGCTTGGGTGACTCCGGACCGCGCGGTCATGTCCTTCGCGAACCTGCAGCGCGGTATCTGACGCTCGCGCCTTGCGCGAACGCACAGTGGAAGGCTCTCCGTCTCCAGAAGACCTGCCGGTCTCGAGGCAGGCCCCGTCATAACGCTGGGTCGACCGCGACGAGCGCCGAGATCTTGTCTCGCGTGGCAGCGCGGGCTCCGGGGTGTTGATTCCCGGCGAAGCACCCGGCTGTCCTCGCGCACCGCTGGCGTTCCTGCGCGAGGGGGTGCGCGGACTGCGCTGTTCAACGTGAGATTGCATGATCACCGAGGCCTGAATCGTGGTGAGCCTGCTGAGGTGCCCTCGCAGCCGTTCGTCCCACTTCTTGATCTTGTCGCAGCGCTTTTTTCTCTTCTGAATTCGCAGCTTCTGCGTTCAAGGGAACCATCTGGTTTCGTGAGCCTTGATCGTGCCTGGTCGAGTGTGCGAGGCCGTGACGCAGGGTCGTCCCGGTCTCCGGGCTGTAATCCAGTCGACGCATGTTGCACACTGGACACGTGCGCGGTCAACAGAGCGCATCGATCCCAAGCATCGCACCCCGAGAGGCTTCTTCCGCCAGACTTCCAGCTGGTCGTAAATTTCGCGGACGTTTCTTTCCATCACCTCGAGGACCGGCTGGTTCTTCTTGAGGAGTGCTTCAGCACGTCGGTTCGCCATGTCTTTCACGCCGCTCGTGAGTTCCTCCCCGCAGGTCTGCAACGATTGATACACGTACGCGCTTCCTTGCGAAGCCCCGCGACAGGCGAGGCCGACTCCGCTCGGGGCCGCAGGAGTCAAAGCAGCTGACCCATCTCATGACAGCGTGGCCGGGTACGCGCACCTTGATCAAGTTGACATCAGCAGCGACCTCCTCGAGCTCCTTCTCCAGCCCCCGGCACTCTTTGACGCGACGCGCGATCAGACCACAGGCTCTGACGACCCCCACGACCAGACCCACTGCTCCAAACGGGTCAACCATCTCGAACTGACAGGTTCCGGTACGCCTGGCTGAGGTCTCCGTCAGGAACACCGCGAAGATCGCGTGGGCGCGCGAAGTAAGGCCTGCATCCCTCGCAACGCGAGGACCGGGGCATCTCGAGCCGGCGAGTCAAGGTGTCGCTCTCCGCGACCGCACGACGGCCACCAAGCGCGACGAGGCCGGCATGCGGTACGTCAGTGCGCGAGTCTTGCAGGCGTGGCGACTAGACGTACCTGCAAGTGCCCGAGGCAACAGTTGCAACAAGCAGCCTCAGGAGGATCTCGCCGAGGTCGCGTGATACGTGGTGAGTGACGCTGTCCTCGAACGACCCAGTTCAGACATGTAAAGGGAAGCGCGCTTCACAATATCTCCTGCGCTGGGCGCCTGGGGACAGGACGATAACTAGTCAGGCTGTCTGGGACGGGCGCGGTCAGCAGCTTCACGCTCCCGTGCGGCCGGCCTCCGGGGAAGAGACGGGGTATGGCGGCTGCAGGTCGCGAGAAAACTCAACCAGGTGTGGTTCAGGGGCACAAATTACATGGGTAGCGGGTATGGAGTCGGGTGAGCGCACGCAACGTTGCGTTATGTTTCTTGCGGCAGAGACGGCGCGAGGGCGGCGGAGGACACGAATCGCACTGCACAGCGTGCGCATGGTGTGGCCGCGACCGGGGCCTGAAGCCGCCACGCGGCTATCACTGTGGCCGTCAGAGGCGCCTAGATAAAGCAGGCCCTTGGAATCTCGCGGAGGTCGCGACCTCCGCGCAGCGAGGCACGCGCTTCTTGCACTGTGCCGATCTCGAGTATGATGCGACGCGTCGAGCGATGTTTCGTGGCGCGGGGTCGTCCCGCGACGGTGGTGAGGGGACTGTGCACGTGCCGGCGCACCCAGCTCAGTCTCACGCTCGGAGCGGCTCCTGTGGACAACGCCGAGGAGACGAGGGGTCGCGATGGACATTGCGTGTGACAAACAAATCGCTGGCACCTCAGAGAGCACAGTTTCCCGCGATTGGTTGCTCCGCAGCCGGGTGAGGCCCGGCGGATGGGTCTACCACACTGATGGGGAGCGCGGAGGCCAGATGAGGCTTGAGAGAGGCAACACGCGCCCGGGACGATCAGTTCTGTGGGCCTCTGCCGCAGCGATAGTTCTCGCGCTGTGCGTCCTGCGTCGCTTCCAGGTGCGTGACCCACCTGTCCGCTCTTCTTCTGTGGGCCGCGGCCCAGGTTGATTTGGTCGATTCACGGAAGTTTGCCGCTCCGAGCTGGTTCCGCTGATATAGTGGTCACGATTCTGCGAGATAACGGACTGGTTTGTGCGGTCGCCGCTGGCGTCGCGAGCGAGCTGGCCACTCTAGGTTTGCGCGCGCGGCGCCGTCCATCAGCGGATCAGTGTCTCGTTCCGATTTCGCACGTGCTGTACGCAGTTATGCTGGGACTGTCGCCAGCGAGGCATCGACTCCGAGCCGGCCGTCGAGCCTGGCAGGGCGGGGCTGCCCGAGCAAGCACTCTCCTCGCGAAGGGGCGCCACTGAACATTCAAACCAGTCGCTTCAGGATTTGGGTCTGGGGAGACGTTTGAGGGATCATGATTCAGGACAAGAACTGGTGTATTCGGCGAGCAGTCTCCCTCGGTCGCTCCCAGACAGGATAGGTGAGACTCCGTCGTGGGAAGATGGAGAGGTTCTCCAGTCGCTGTCGCACCGCACGCTTCCCCATGGCTGCAGCAATGGTATATCCGGGCGTAACACGTCGAACACGCCCACACGCGTCGCGCTCGCTGAATTGCCCCCTCCTGCTCAGCGACACCCGACGCCGCTCCGTGCCCCCTGCAGTGCTTGATGTCGACGTCGACGTGGCGCGCAGCACGCTCCCGTCGCGCTACGGCGGCTCCTGCACCGTGCGATCCGTGGGCGTGCAGCTTGCGCTGACGCACACGTACTTGGCCGACCTGGAGATCTCGTTGAGGTCGCCGGGGGGTCCGACGTCCCAGCTCCTGATGGATCAAGTGTCTGGGAGCTCTGTGTCGCCGTCCGGGTCCGGCGCGAACATCGACATTCTGCTCACGGACAGCGCAACCACGTCGGTGTCGAGCCTGAACAGCAACACGGGGTCCTTCGCGCCGAGCCCGGGGTCGCTGTCGGCGTTTGCGGGTGTGTCGGCGGTGGGGACGTGGGAGGTCGTCATCTCAGATGTGCTAGGGGGGGACTCGGGGGAGCTGCTTGGGCTGGATCTGATCTTGACATGCGAGGAGGAAGACGGGACGCCCGCTGCGACGACGCCCCCGTCGACGTGCGCCGCCGCCTCCTGCGCCAGCCCCGCCGACTCCGCCGCCGTCTTCGACGTCCTCTCAGGCTTGACCGGCACCACCAGCACCGACCTCGCCCGCATCCGCTCCGCGTGCCTGACGGTGCTGGCGGTGCCGGTGACGGGCGCGGTGGCTGAGGGGCTGTCGCGGGCGTCGTCGGCGTCGAGCGTGGGCGAGGGCGAGTACAGCTGCGATGCGCTGTCGGCCAACCACTGCGGGGTGTACTACGGTGTGTTCTTTTTGAACAACCAGCTGCAGTTCGTGGTGGAGTGGACGCTGAGCGGGCACCGGAACATGACGAGCTTCTTCAGCGCGTACCGCACGGGCGCCGCGTACTCGTACCGGGTGTACGACCCCGCGGCGGGGTCGGTGGTGACGTCAGGGTCGGGGGGGCGTATGTCGCTGTCGGACAACATGGGGTACACGGGGGGCTGTCCGGCGGCGCTGTCGGGCGACGACGGGGTGTGGATGGCGAGCGACGCGGCGGGGCTGCTGCACGGCGACACGAGCGTGTCGGACTTCTGCACGTCGTCAAATCGGTGCTACGGCTTTGGCAACTTCGACAGCCTTGATAGCAGCGCGGACGATCTGTACGAGGGCAGGACGAGCTCGAGCGGGACGGTGAAGGCGTACATAGTGCTGAAGGTGAGTCGGGCACGCGTGCCAGGCCTGCCGCGGGCGCACATGGCGGAGGAGTGCGCGGGCGCTGGGTGCAGTGACTGGCTCCTCCGCCACGCGCGTGCAAGAATCGTCCCGCTGTCACCGTCCGCTTCGCTACGCTTCGCTCATGGCAGCGCGGACGGTGACTGATTCAGGGCGCGTGCTCAATTTGAGCACGCTCTGCTTGCATTCGGCGGGCCGGCGAAAGACCGTGTGCGGCGCACCGGAGACGCCTGGGAGGCATCTCGCAGCGACGAGGTGCTCAGCGCTTCCGAGCAGCATCTGATGTGCCGGTGCTTGCAGGAACACTTGGCTGATAGCGCGCCGACGACGGCTGCAGCCCAGACGACGCGAGCGGCACCTGCGACATCGTTCCCAGTCACCTCAACGCCACACCACACGTCAAGGCCGCTTGGGCTGGCAGGCTCGAATACGACTGTTCTGCCACCCACGACAACTACAACGACCTTTGCGACAGCGCCTCCGTCGGGTACCAACTCAAGTGCAACAAATTCATCACTCAATCAGACTGCACGGTCTACGACGGCACCAATCGCGACGGCATCGCCGGCCCCCACGACGCTGCCGATGCAAACTACCACTCCTGCGCTGACGAACGCATCTGCCACGACGACGACGCCGCCCGCCGCGACGACGCCCCCGTCGACGTGCGCCGCCGCCTCCTGCACCAGCCCCGCCGACTCCGCCGCCGTCTTCGACGTCCTCTCCGGCTTGACCGGCACCACCAGCACCGACCTCGCGCGCATCCGCTCCGCGTGCCTGACGGTGCTGGCGGTGCCGGTGACGGGCGCGGTGGCTGAGGGGCTGTCGCGGGCGTCGTCGGCGTCGAGCGTGGGCGAGGGCGAGTACAGCTGCGATGCGCTGTCGGCCAACCACTGCGGGGTGTACTACGGTGTGTTCTTTTTGAACAACCAGCTGCAGTTCGTGGTGGAGTGGACGCTGAGCGGGCACCGGAACATGACGAGCTTCTTCAGCGCGTACCGCACGGGCGCCGCGTACTCGTACCGGGTGTACGACCCCGCGGCGGGGTCGGTGGTGACGTCAGGGTCGGGGGGGCGTATGTCGCTGTCTGACAACATGGGGTACGCGGGGGGGTGTCCGGCGGCGCTGTCGGGCGACGACGGGGCGTGGATGGCGAGCGATGCGGCGGGGCTGCTGCACGGCGACACGAGCGTGTCGGACTTCTGCACGTCGTCGAACCGGTGCTACGGCTTTGGCAACTTCGACAGCCTTGATAGCAGCGCGGACGATCTGTACGAGGGCAGGACGAGTACGAGCGGGACGGTGAAGGCGTACATAGTGCTGAAGGTGAGCCGGGCACGCGGCGCGCGCACACGAAGGAGTGCGCGAGCGCCGGGTGATGTGTATGAGCATGCTCTGCTTGCGGCCGGCCGGCTGATGCGGGCATGAGGTGCGCGTCAGCGCGCACATAGGACGGGCAGCTCGCTGCGACGCGGTGCTGGCCAACGTCTGAATCGCCGTGTGGTGCGCTGCTGCTTGCAGGAACACGGGGAGGCTACCGTGGCGACGACGGCCGCAGCTCAGACGACGCAATCGGCTCGTGCGACGACACCGACGGCGCTGGTCACGACGGCACCCCCCACGCCGACGCCGTCCCCCACGGTGCCGCCAACGCAGAGGCCCACACTCCCCCCTGTGTTTACAAGCGCGCCCCCGACGACGACGACGCCGCCCGCCGCGACGACGCCCCCGTCGACGTGCGCCGCCGCCTCCTGCGCCAGCCCCGCCGACTCCGCCGCCGTCTTCGACGTCCTCTCCGGCTTGACCGGCACCACCAGCACCGACCTCGCGCGCATCCGCTCCGCGTGCCTGACGGTGCTGGCGGTGCCGGTGACGGGCGCGGTGGCGGAGGGGCTGTCGCGGGCGTCGTCGGCGTCGAGCGTGGGCGAGGGCGAGTACAGCTGCGATGCGCTGTCGGCCAACCACTGCGGGGTGTACTACGGTGTGTTCTTTTTGAACAACCAGCTGCAGTTCGTGGTGGAGTGGACGCTGAGCGGGCACCGGAACATGACGAGCTTCTTCAGCGCGTACCGCACGGGCGCCGCGTACTCGTACAGGGTGTACGATGCCGCGGCGGGGTCGGTGGTGACGTCAGGGTCGGGGGGGCGTATGTCGCTGTCTGACAACATGGGGTACGCGGGGGGGTGTCCGGCGGCGCTGTCGGGGGACGACGGGGCGTGGATGGCGAGCGATGCGGCGGGGCTGCTGCACGGCGACACGAGCGTGTCGGACTTCTGCACGTCGTCGAACCGGTGCTACGGCTTTGGTAATTTCAACGACGGCGACAGCAGCGCGGACGATCTATACGAGGGCAGGACGAGTACGAGCGGGACGGTGAAGGCGTACATAGTACTGAAGGTGTGCCAATCACGCGTGCCAGGCCTGCCGCGGGCGCACATTGTGCTAAGCACTCTCCTCCGTGACACGGAGGAGTGCGCGTGTCCAAGTGCGGAGTGCGGTGCTCTACTTGCAGTAGGTCAGCTTGCATGGGCAGTTGTGCTCTGTCGCTGCGCACACGAGAGGCGTCTTGCGCTGGCGCAGACCACGATCGCTTGCTGGGCGCATCTCATGCGGCGCTTTGTGTGCTGGTGCTTGCAGGAGCACGGGGCAGCTAGCACGGCAACGACGGCTGCTGAGATGACGCGAGCGGCATCCGCAACGACGCCGGTTGCGCCGACTGCGACGCCTTCGGTGCCCACAGAGACGCCGGCCCCCCCTGCTACGCTATCCGCAACGTCGACCCCCTCGCCAACGCCCACGAGCGCGTCCACGACGACCCCGCCGGCGCCGACGTCTTCCGCGACAGCAGCGTCGGTCGAGCCGGTCAGGTCGACCTTCGCCGTCACGCCGCCCGTAACGACACCGAGCTCGAGCACAAACCAGCCTCTTTCATATTCGGCGAGCGGTCTTCCCCGGTTGCTGCCAGACAGAGCAGGTGACAAACCGCCGGTGACTTTCCGCGCTCCTCGGCTCCGTCGCATCCGCGCGCACGTCGCGACCGCTTGCAGTTTCTCGCAGTGTCATTTAATTTTCCCTCTCAGCCACACCCGACGCTTCTTGCCCTCGCAGTGCGTGTACCCAGTATCGTCGTGGCGCGCAGCACGCTACCGTCGAGCTACGGCGGCTCCTGCACCGTGCGATCCGTGAGCGTGCAGCTTGCGCTGACACATATGTTCCTGAACGACCTGGAGATCTCGTTGAGGTCGCCGGGGGCGTCGACGTCCCAGCTCCTGATGGATCGAGTGTCTGGGAGCAATGTGTCGCCGTCCGGGTCCGGCGCGAACATCGACATTCTGCTCACGGACAGTGCAACCACGTCGGTGTCGAACCTCAACAGCAACACGGGGCCCTTCGCGCCGAGCCCGGGGTCGCTGTCGGCGTTCGAGGGGACGTCAGCGGTGGGGACGTGGGAGGTCGTGATCGCGGATGAAGCGCAGGGAGACTCGGGGGAGCTGCTTGGGCTGGATCTTATCTTGACATGCGAGGAAGGAGGAGCCGCGACGATTTTTTCCACGACTTCTCGGGTCGAGATCTCGTTCGAAGAGCCCGTGGACTCGAGGGATCTCGACATCATCAAGGCCGAGATTGCGGACATGATGGGGCTGCAGTGGCCATCTCCGAACCTCGACATTGTGTTCTCTTTGAGAGCGACTCGTGCGATGAGGAAGCTCCTGCAACGGTCCACGTACATCGTGACCGTCGTCCATCGGTCCCAGGACCAGGCTCTCGTCGCCGCGGCCTCCCAGGTCTTCGCGAGTGCCGTGCGCGATGGCACGATGATCTCCAGACTGCGAGCGAGTTCGCCGATCCCCGTCCTCGCGGTCGTGTCCGCGCCTGAGGTTACACAGTCTCCACAGACGGGGGACCGCGCACCGGCGCAGACGGAGGACTCGTATTATTATACGAGTCCTGGAAATTATGATGACGACGATTCCCCTGCTGGCGACATCGGTGCGGCAGTTGGTGGAACATTCGGAGGGATTGTGTGTTGCGTGGCTGCTGTGGTTTTGGCGATTATGCTCAAAAAGAGAGGGTCTGGCACGGCGTCAAATGGCAGAGTGTCTGCCTATGTCGCATCCGAACCGTCTGAGCGATCGCAGCACGGGTGGGTTCCCTCCGCCCCACCCGCTCCGCCGTCTGAGCGATCGCAGCAAGACTGGCTCCCCTCCGCCCCGCCCATTCCACCGCCGAGTCCTTCAAGGGTGAGCAGCGAGATTCTCCTCAGCGGTGTGCATTGGACGACACCACGTGAAAATGCGAGCGAAACGGGTGCGAGGACGACAGGAGAGCGTCCTCTACGCGACTCCGTGGCACGGGCTGAGGGCTCCGGCGTCAGGATATGCTCGATCTGTTTGGAGTGCCCGGACGAGCGGGTGATGTTCCTGCCATGCCAGCACCACATCTGCACAGGATGCTCGGAGGAGTTCTTCGCGAGCACAAATGCGCCGCGCTGCCCCGAGTGTCGCCAAGAAATAAGAGAGCGCATCACCACCGCGGTGAGGTGACTGATTGATGTTGACATCTCACTTTTCGCAATATGTGACGTCACGAACAGATGCTCGCTCGGTCTCCTCGTTCACCCGCGGCTGACCAGTCAGCCCGTGCGCGCACAGCAGCGCGCCGCACTACGTCACGCCGCCAGCCTCGCCGAACAACGCCCCGCGCATCCTCACCTCGGTGGATGCCCCGTGTCAGCACAGCGACCGCCACGGCGCGCCGCCGCCCGCCTACATCTTCTTCCCCGCATGGCTCGACCGCCGCCCCGCCACGACCAGCCGCTCGGGCTCCCACGCGAAGTCGCACGCCACCAGCAGCGCCGCGACGCTCGCCGTCACCGTCACCACCGCCAGGTTCTCCGCGGGGCACTGCCGCGGCCCCAGCCCGTACGGCATGTACCGCCGCGGCCGCCCGGGCGCCAGCATCTCCTGCGTCGTGCCCTGCACCTTCAAGCCGGACCGCTCGTCGACCGGCGTCTCCTGCCACGTCCGCCACGCGCCCTCCTTCAGCGGCCGCGCCGCGCGCGCAGTGTCCCTCACGAGCGCCGCGTCGGGCTCGTCCCACCGCGCCGGGTCGAACGCGCCCACGTCGTCCCAGAAGTACCCGTCGTTGTGGATCGCCGCGGCGGGCACCAACACCGTGGAGTGCTGCGGGAAGAACCAGCGCCCGACCTCGACGCCCTTGCCGGCGACCTCGCGCACGAGCGGCTCGTCCCAGACCGGGCTCGTGCGCAGGGCCTCCGCGATCACTGTCGTCAGCAGCGTGAGCTGCCGCAGGCCCTCCCATCCGCCGCCGACCACGCGCGCGCGGCCCGCGGCGTCCAGCTCCGCGCTCACGCGCTCCAGCAGCTTCTTGTCCCGCACGATCGCGCGCAGCGCCGCCAGGCTGGCCCGGGCGCACGCCCGCGCCCCCACGCTGACCAGCGCGCCCACCACGAACGCCGCGTCCGCCTCCGACAGCGCCGGATCGAACCCGTCGCGCCCGCGCACCATCGCAGCGAGCTGCGCGCGGAACGGATGCTTCGTCCCGCCCTGCCGCGGCGCCAGCGCCGCCGCCGCCAGCCCCTTGCGCGCCGCCGCCGCCCGCGCAAACACATCCGCCTCCGCCCGCTCCGCCTCCGCCATCGCCGCCGCGCGCTCGCCCGGCGGCAGCGCCGCCGCGTGCATCCCCGCACGCAGCACCACGTCCAGCGCCCGCACGTCCTCCGACGGCGCCGTCCTCGCCCCCGAGTCATGATCCAGCAACGCAATCGACATCGCGTCGAACGAGAGCCGCAGGACGTGATCCTCGAGGTCGACGTCCCGCCCGCTCGCGTGCTGCGCGCCGAGCCGCTCGGCCGCGTCGCGGACGCAGTCCAGGACCGCGGGCGCGGCAGCAACGACCGCGGAGGGCTCCATTGCCGCCGACAAGCCCGCGCGCGTGTGCGCGGCGATGGGGTCGTCGCGCGCGGCGCCGAGCGGGCCGAGGTGGCGGAAGGGACACCGGGGGCGGTCGAGCTCGTGCGTGCCGTACGGGAGGAGCTGGCAGGCGACCTTGGGATCGGCGACAATCGTGTAGGGGTGCCCGCCGGCTTTGAGGGACGTGGTGTGGCCGTAGGCGCGCACGAAGCCGACGAGGGTGGCGAGGCGGTCGCCGGGGGCGCCGAGGGCGGCTCTCGAGGACAGGCTGCGGAGCCACGGCCGGGGCCCCGGCGGGCGCTTTGTGTCCTGGGGGGAGCGTCAGGGGGGGGGGTGTTGGATGAGAGGGCGGGAGCGGCCAGGGCGGGTGCGTTCGTGATTGACGGGAGAGATCTGGGCGCCGGGTGAGGAGCGTGACGGTGGGGACGGGTGCGTGCGGTGGAGTGGTGCGATAGTCCCGGCGGGAGGTATGTGGGCGGCGCGAGGTCGAGTTGGGCAGGTGGCGGGTTCTCGGGGAAGCGTACATGCATGCGGGCGATGGAGCCGACCGCGAAGGCGATTCCCGAGACCATGGTGGCGATACCAGACCAGAGGAACCAATTGCCGTCCTGTGTGGAGAATAGCTCGGCCCAGGGGCGCGACGTCGCGAGGATGGAAGGGAGGAGGAGTGACGCGACCAGCACCGAGATGATGACGCTCTGCGCGGGACGTGAGGGGTCGTGCCAGTGAGCACCAGGGTGCGTGCCCTCGAGCGCAGCGCTGCGGGGCCCGCGACGGGCTGGAGTGCAACGGACGCACCATCATCAGCGGCGTGTTCATCAATAGTGCGTCCACGGACATCTTGCCCCGCTCCTGCGCCGCGCCCACGCCGCCTCGCTCTGTTTGGCACCACGATGCCGCCTCCTCGTCGCAGCCTGGTCAGGCACCGGGCCTTTCAGTCCTGAAAGAAGCACACAGACACCATGGGCGTCGATCACGGGGAGGTCGGATCCGAAGATCACTTCGAAGCGCTAATTACGCAGCAACAAACCCCAATTCAGGACTACAAGTCACTCTTGCGTCGGTAGCGGCACTCAACGCGAGGACGATGCGCAGGACGGATGCCTCAGAGACTGACGACCTAGCCAGACATGCGTGTAAGCTCAAGTCAAGAGCGCTGCAGCGTGTACGCGGAAGCCAACTCGCACACTTCTCGCCCTATGCACGACCCCCCCGCGCGGCCTGCGTACCTCGCACCGTGCTTCGTGGACCCTTGGACAGCGATATGTGTGGCAGGGGCAGCCTCAGACGGCACCTTTTCGCCCCGGGGCGCAGCCGCCGTGCCCCCGCGGGCAACACAACCCCGGGGCGCACCCGGCACCCCTGTCAGGCGCAGCCCGGCTCCGAATGCGCGGGGCGCACGATGGCAACGGCAGGCGCGGTCCAGCGAGCATGCAGCAGCGACGACGAGCCGGGGTTCGTGCGTGCGTCACAGAGGACCTAGACGGCGCGAGCGCGCGTCGTCCCTGCACCGCGCGCTGCAGCGATGCCGCGCGGGGCCTCAGAACTCCTCGTCGACCACGTCCTCGAGCGCCTCCGCCAGCTCCTCCTCCGTGGGGATCTGCACGACGCGCCAGCGATCGCGCAGCTCGTTTGCATGAGACGTTACGGCGCAACCACGCATGCAACATCGCAAGCAGCGTTCCACGCGCGCGGGCGCCGCGCACCTTGCTCCGCTTCCCGGCAGCGCTTTTGTCCGAGAACCGCATCGCGCGCACCGCCTCGTTGTGCAGGTCGAGGCAGAACGCAATGCGCGCGTCAAACGCCTTCTGCGGCTCGTACGTCCCGTACACGTCGACGACCTCGCGCGACAGCAGCACGCCCTCGCTCGCGTCGATCGTGCCGTCCACCGCGCCGTCGCGGATCGCCTTGGCGACGATGTGCTCGACGTCGCCGTCGTCGCCCGCGTCGAGCCCGAGGCGCGCCGCGACGTCCGCGAGCGAGATCCGCGAGTAAGCGAGCGAGATCCGGCGCAGCCCCGCGCGGATCACGTTGTTGCGCAGCCGCACGATGAGCCGCAGCACCCCGTCGGCCTGGAACGCCTCGGCGTGCGTCTCCGTCACCTGCGCAAAGTGCCGCAGGTCGCCGCGGCGCACCGCCTGCGCCAGCGCCGCGTACGGCGCCAGCGGGACGCGCACGGTCGGGTGGAAGAGCTCCGCGCGCTCCGGCAGCTCCCCGAGCAAGAGCCGCACGATCGTCAGCCACTTCGTCGCCTCGATGCGGAAGCCGAGGGCGACGGAGGGCGCCTTCCGCGTGGCCTGGAGGAGGCTGTCCTTGGCGTCGGAGTACTCGAGCTGCACCGCGCGGATCCGCCCGAGGTAGTACAGGTATCGGCAGAGCTGCTGGTTGGACCGGGAGGTCTCGGGGCGCTGCGCCTTGGCGCGGAACTTCTCGGCCTGGTCGTACAGCGAGTCCAGGATGTAGCTGCGGAGCACGAGGTTCATCAGCGTCTCCTGCGGGGGGCGGGGGAACAGAGCTGGTGGTGGTGGTGTTGCGGACGAGCGCGGTGCGCGTGGGAGGGGGCGTCTGCGCGGTGCGCGCTGAGTGGCGAGCGACTAGGATGGGGCGGCTCAGGGGGCTGGCTTGGCTTGGCGGGGGTTGCACGGCTTCCGAGAGCTGCGCCGTAGGTGGGTCGTTGCGGGCGGCGTGCGTCCCGTGCGGCGCGGGGGAGTGTGGCAGGGGGCGCGCACCTGGCCGATCTCGTCGTGGCGGAGGGTCGCGGTTTGGTGGAGCCGCAGGAGGCGCGCTCGGATGCTGCGGAGCTGTCCGCAGCGCTCGTGGGCATACGCGTAGTAGAAGTACACGCGCGCGGCGAGGTGGTCCATGGTACGCCTGCGCGGGGCACGCAGAATGCGGTGGGTGTGCCGGCGAGCGGGGCCGGGGCCGCGGCCGTGCGCGGCGGGATGGGCAATCAGAGGGACGTTGGAGGGCGTGAGGGCCGCGCGGCGGCGAGCGACGGCGAGGGACCAGCGCGAATGACAGAAGGGAGCGGGTGGGTCGTGCTTGCGGTGCGGCTGGCGCACCTGTCGAACTCGCAGATGAAGTCCACCGCTCGGCTGGTGAGAGCCAGAGCCTCAGGGAGCTTGTCGTGGTCCAGCAGCCGCATGATCGTCACCAGCAGCAAAAACACCTCGACCTGCGGGCAGACCGCATCGTGGGAGGCGGAACGGAGTGAAGCGGCGCCTTGGGAGGCCGTGCGGGGCGAGCAACCTTTTTGCGTGCAGCGCGTGCCCACCGCGAGCCCAGATCCTGCGCCTGGGCGCGACGATGCGCGCAGCTCGCGGCCGCGGGAGATAGTCGCGGATCTCCACGGCTTCCTCGCGGGGCCGGCCAGCTCGATGCGGGCCTGGAGCGCACCTCCGGGACGCTGGTGAGCTTGGCGTCCTTGAAGGGGGGGGCCGCGCCGGCCTTGTCCGCGTCGCCGTCGTCCGTCTCCATGCTCCCCGCCTCGATGCTCTTGAGTGCATCTGCGACGACCTGCCGGGCGGAGCTCTCCGCGGGCAGCACCGCGGTGGCGCACTCGGTAAGCAGCGCTGCATCCAGGGCCTTGCGCACGCCCGCTGTCTGACGCAGGACCCGTCCGATCAAGAACCGCGTGTCCTTGTGCCGCACCGCCTGCTCTATCAACCCAACGCTGCTCAGGAGGACCTGCGCCGGCGTCAGCACCTCCTTTTTCTCCTCCACTTTGCTCTCCTCGCCCGCCTTCCCGTCCTCGGGCTTGCCCGCGACCTCCTTCTCCTTCCCCTCCTTCGCCTTATCCTCCTTCTTTCCGCCCATGCCGCCGAACCCCGTGCCGCCAACCGCGTGCAGGCTCTAGGTGCCCGCCTGGTGTGCACAGAGCAGCACTGCGCGGCAAGGGACGCGGTTCGCAGAGGGGACGTAGATCCGCAGTCGCACGGATCAGCTCGCCCGCGGACCTGTAGTGCGGAGAGACGCGGACCTCTCCTCCCAAGACACCGGAGCGACCCTGCCAGGTCAGACCTGGTCTCGACTGTCCCCCCCGTGACTCAAGTCGGTGGTGTTTGCGGGCGAGGCGGTCACGGACAGGCGATGGACCCGCGGGGCGCGGAGGCCGCATACGTGCGCCTGTGCGACCGCGCCGCGCCAGGCGGCTGCCGGCGACGTCGCAGGCAGAGCGACGCTGTTGAGCGTTGGCAGGCGTCATGGTGGCGCGCGATGGGACAGCGCTGCGGTGCATGCACAGCGCGAGAGCCGGACCGGATGACAGGGCAGCGACGTGCCGTGCGTGGCTCACACGTGTGCGCGAAAGTGTGGTTGATTGAAAAGTATATACGAGTTCGTATTTGGACGTCTAGGTCCGTTTCATCGCTCTCCGCGTAGCTGCTGCTCGGCCTCGACCACGACGAGCAGCGTCTCCATGCTGCCGTCCGCCAGCCCCACCACACTCCCCCCCCCTGCCTTGACTGTGCTCAGGGTGAACAACACTCCCTCCGTCAACACCTCCCCTGGCGCCACCAGCGGCACGCCCGGCGGGTACGGGCTCAGCAGCTCCGCGGATACCCGGCCTGCCGCCTCAGCGAACGGCACCGCCTCCGTCGCAGCGAAAAACGCATCTCGAGGGGTCAGCGCGATGACCGGCGCCTCTGCCATCTCGCCTGGCGGTAATTCCGGAGCGGACCGAGAGTCGCTGGCGCGGCCAGCGCCCGGCTGCGCGCGCCTGTCGTCGTCGAGGAGCTCCGTGTACGCCGCTACGAGGCGCTGCACGTCGCGCTGCCTCGTGGCGGCCCCGGCGCAAAACACCACCACTTTCGGGGTGGACATTTCCGCGACGATGGAGCGCGGAGGCCGCTCGAGCCACGCGGCCACTGCGAAGCCGTCCCGGCCGCCCGCGAGGGCGGGGTCCACCGCCACCGTCAGCCGCAGCGGATCCTGAGACACGAATCCTCGATTGGTGTTCCTCTCCTCCTCCGACGGCGCGTCGAGAACGTGGACGCCCATGCGCCGCAGCTCGCGCCTCGCCCACCTGTAGGGCATGCAACCGGCGTCCCGTCCGCGCAGTCAGAGCTCGTCTGAGGCGGCTGACAGCAACGGACAGCTGACAGCGGCTGTGCAAGGAGGGGAGTGTAAAAGCGGGTGTGAGGTTCGGACCTGCAGCACTGCGCGGCCTCGCAGAAGAGGTCTCGCTCGTCCCGACATCGCGCGACGGCCGCGTCGAGGCTCGCCATGAGCAGGTACGACGGCGAGGACGTCTGCAGCGTCCGTAGACACTTTGCAATCCTAGCAGCGTCGGTCCGGCCCGCGCCCAGGCTCTCCTGACTGCGCAAACAACACACCGAGGCGCGTCCGTCTGCACGCCGGCACCCACCGCGCGACGCCCCGCGAGCCGCACATCCACGAATATGCATCGCGCACGCGCGCAGCGGCAGTTGAGCCCCCCGCGGCGGTCACGGCGCTCGAGGAGGGAGGCGGCGTTCCGCGGTGCCGCGTCTGTCGGTTCCCTCACCTTGCGTGCAGCAGCGCAGTCTGCGTCAGCGAGCCGAGCGTTTTGTGCGTCGACTGCACCACGAGATCGGCTCCGCTCTGCAGCGCGGCCTTCGGGGGCCGCTCGCCGCGCGCGTGCTCCGCGCAGGACGCCAGGAGGCTGAGGTGCGACCCGTGCGCCTCGTCGACGATGAGCGGCACGCCGTGCGCGTGGCACAAGTCAGACAGCGCTGCCACGTCAGCGCACGCCCCGAAGTACGTCGGCGAGACGACCAGGACGGCGCCCACGGACCCGCGCGGGTGCTGCGCGAGCGCTGCGGAGAGCGCCGAGGGATCCACGCCGTGCGCGATGCCCAGGGCAGGGTCGGTCGTTGGGTGAATGTAGTGGGGGACGACGCCTGCGAGAGAGCACGCGGCGAACGCGCTCTGGTGGCAGTTCCTGGCCATGATGATGGTCCCCCCAGGCCGGCAAGTGGCTAGAATCGCGGCGTGGACGCCCGCAGTGGCCCCGTTGACCAGCCACCAGGAGCGGCCGGCGCCCATCAGCGATGCCGCGGCCGCCTGCGACGTCGCGATGGCGCCAGACGGCGCCGCGAGGTTGTCGAGGCCGTCGAGTTCCGTCAGATCCATTCTGAACACCGCGGACCCCGCGAACTGCTTCAACTTGGCGTGAATTGCAGCGCCACGCTGATGGCCTGCGCGGTGCCGGGAAAAGCCCGAAAACAGGGTCAATACCACGCGGGGATGTGATACGTGAACTGGACATGTCTTGAGTGTATCGAACGAGCGGCCGCGTGCGTCGTGGCGGCGTTCGCGTCCACCTGGAACATGCAAGGCGACCTCCTCCTCCCTCATCGCGCGCTCGATGACCGCGTCCAGCACCGGCTTTTCGGCGCCCGCGTCCGCCCCCGCACGCGAGCTCTCGTGCACATCGTCGCCCAACAAACACCTGGCTCGCCGACGGCGCACCGGCGCGGGCGCCCATCTCACGCCGCTGCCGCGCCTCTGCACGGCGCACGGACCGCTGAATCCCACGCCCCTCATGTTGTGCCAGGCATGCACAGAGCAGATTGTCCACGGCGGGCCGTTCCTGGGCGTTCAGCTCCCTGCAAGGGGACGGTCACACATCCCGCGCACCCATCGCTCTCCTGCGGTGCGCAGAGCGCCGCTCCCACCGATCGCAGTTCTCGCTGGCCCGCCCCGCCTGGAAGTCGCATGCCCTCGCCTGCAAGCGCAGCTTTCCCACGCCCCGGCCTCTCGCCAGGGCTGACGCACGTGGCCACGTCTGCCACCAGTGTGTGTGTCCGCCCGGCGGCGCCGCCTCAGGCCCGGCCCTGCGTCGATGCCGCCGCCCAAGCCGTCCACAGGCTAGTCCGCTCGCGCCTCTGTACGGACGCACAGCCTGCACGCCGGCACCGCGCTACCCGAGCCGTCAAGCCGACCGTGTGCAGACGTTGTGCGACGTCGACGGCGCCGCGGGCTTCGCTTCGACGTCACTCCGTCCGGCCACGCGTACCAGGATACCTGGAGCCCGCCGCTTGGGGGTCCTGTTGCGCGACGCGCGAAAGTCCTCGCAGCGGGGAAGTTGAGCGCCTGATTGGGCTGCAAGAGCAGCAGCACAGCGGTCGTTTTCTGCGATGTCCGCGCCGCCACGAGCCGCGCATGGCAAGGGCAGCTCTGAGCGGGGCGCGAAGGGCCCGCCTGGCCTGCTAGGGATCTTCTGTGGGTGCTTCGGGGCGCAGCCGGCATCGGGGCACAAGGAGGCCCCGAGCAGCGCGAAATCCGCGTCGAAGGCCCGCCAGGAGCAGGTGGGATCCGCTGACACTGGAACGGCGGTTCCGTACGCGTTGCTTCACCGCGTCTCGCGCGCGGCGGCGCCGATGCGGGACGTCCCCGACAAGAGATGCACCCCCGTCCGTGCGCTCCCGTTGCGGCTTGCGAGGCCGCCTCCTCCTCGTGCGGCGGCGATCATCCCCAGATGCATCACAGGGAGCCCGCCCTCGCGTCCTGAAAACGCACACGCGCGGCGCATGTGCACCGCGGCTCCACAACCACAACAGGCACGGGGCCCACCCGCGCCGCCACCGGCTGTCCCCGGCGCGTAAACGCACGCCTGCGCCCGCTCATGCCCGCTGCAGCTCGACAGCCACCGCGGGAGGTCGCGGCGGGCCCTCACCGCGGAGTTCGAACCAGCTGGCTCAACGCTGCACACTGGTCCGCGCAGCCGCGAATCGTCCACGGGGCGCTACCCGGAGAGCGTCCGCGCGTCCTCCGTGCGCCGCGAGAGGCCGCAGGGCTCGCAGCGCGTGCTGACGAGCACCTCGCGCGGCAGGGCGGAGTTCGCCGACCGGCCCGCAGGCGCCCGCTCCCACGTCGACGCGGCGCACAGCATGCACGACCGTCGCCGCAGGCGCAGCTCCGCGGAGCGATATCCCTCCGCTCATGCGAGCCGCGACGCCCAGTACGGCAGGTCGGGGGCTCCGTCCCGCGCGAGTCGCGCCAGGTGAGCGGCGTCGCGACAGCAGTTGCGCGTGTTGCGGCGCAGGGCACGCGCTGTCTCCTCCGTTCCGCACCGCCGGACCCCGCGTCCGCGGTCGGCGCCGTCGTACTCCGCCTGCTGAGCACGCCCGCGCCGTTGTTGTTGTTGCTGCTTGCTTGCAGGCCGAGTAAGGGGCGATCGGCGATCGAGCTCGCGTCCGACGCGCAGCTGCGCACGTACACGCTGCGGCAGTCGAGGTCGTCGCGGCGCTCCGAGGCGTTCGACGCGCGGCTCGAGGGGCTGGGCGGGCTCTCGCTGCGCGACCTCGCAGCGCGCCGCTCCGCCTCCCGTCCTCGCGCGAGCGTCACCAGGAACGCTCTGACGCCGCAACGCAGCCAGCGAGGCTCGGTGAATGCGAGCAGCCCCGCGCGCAGCCGGCGCTCCCTGGTTTCGCGCCAGGGTGAGACGTCATCCCGCCGGAGCCTGCTGAGCCGCCAGGACCTCGCCGCGGACTACGGGCCGATGGCGCACAGCGAGCGCCGGGCGCCCGCGGTGCGGCCGGGTCGGGCGAACACGGCGCCTGCGCGCGACCTGCGCCGGTACGTTGACGAGGCGGACGAGAGCGCCCGTGCGCGCTCGAACCGTCGCGGCGCCAGCGAGCGCTCGCTCCGGGCCTTCCACGGGCTCGTGGACCGCGGGATGGACGACGTTCCGCGCGCGGCGTTGCCCAAGCGCACGCCGTCGAATCAGCGCGCGCGCCAGCTGTCATCCTACCAGCTGCGGGACGAGCCGCAGGTGACGCCGGAGCAGCCGTCGCGCGCCGCGCACCCGCAGGCGTCGGACTCGGCCCTCACGCTACAGATGGTGGACTGGGAGGGCGAGTTCCGGGACTCCCTCGAGGACCAGCGCGAGTCTGCCACGCGGAACAACACCCCCGCGTCCCTCGAGCACGTGCTGCGCGCGTCCCCGTCGGGGGAGCTCGCCAACAGCCCCGCCGGGGCGGCGCTGCCCCCGAAGGCCAGGCGCGCGCACAGCAACGTGCAGCGGGCCTCCTCCGCGGGCCTCGCGCTTAGCCTGCTCAACCCGATGTCCGCGATCTCTGAGGGCATCGAGTTGTCCCCTTCGGCTCAGTGAGCCACGGCGTAGAGCCTGGCTTGCGAGGTCCGGGCCCTGCATCCGTTGGACAAAATTACCGATTTCATGCGCTGTTGCGCGATCGATTTAGATCGAGAGCGTTTGCGAAGCCGCCTCGTTGCCGCCCAGTCGATGCCGACCGCGCTTTCGCCGCAGCACGCTTGCAGCCCGAGACAGCTCGGGCTGCCCGACAAGACTCCCCCTTTCTTCCATCTTCCCCCCTGCCTTTCAACGTTGCACGCCTTCTCCCGCGTTGCCATTTCGACGTCCGATCCCAAGATCACCATGCCGAGGTCCAGCGCTTGCGCTGCCCGAAACGCCTGCCACTCCGCCTCGGAGGGCGATGTGTGAACTGCCGGGCACAATCGCCGCATGATGAGCACCGCCCGCACCGGGAACCTTGCGACGCGGTCGGCGCTGCGGCACGCACCCCGATCAGCGTGTGTGAGACTCCACGACCCACGTGGCACAAGTCGCCCCGCTCTCTTTTGTGTTGTGTTCTTCGGGGTGTTCCCTTTTCGCATGACAGGCCACGCGCGGGGGACGGCGATGACGAGGAGAGCTGAGTAGCCGTCGGCGCGTCGCCACACAACGCGGACAATGCCGCAGACTCAGTCACCGCTGTCACCCAGCCGGCTGCCGACACCCCCTGGTACAAGCAGCCTAGGACGTGGACCAGCACTTCGGCGCGTCGGCTGGCGGGCGTCGTCCAGTACTCGCGCGGCTCGCCGCGTTGTTGCTGACGACGCCCGCCACTCACTCTAACTGATTGCAGGTCAGAGCCTTCCCTTGGCACATGATGGCACGCTCACATGGCATTTCGCGCGAGTACTCCTAGCACGCTGCCGCCTTGATCAGGACGATAGCACACCCGCATTTCGTTTCGTGCGCGGGTGGTCAATTACTACTCTGTGTGTCGTGTTGTGCTGCGCCGGGCCTCGAACATGGGCTTTGGCGCAGTGCCAGCTGAGAGCTACCTCCCTACTCCGGCCTTCAACCGTCGGCGTAGACGAGCCTGCCTCCGGCTAACTGACTCCGCCGTCTCACGTCCGTGGCTCACCGCCCGGCGTGCTAGGAACGCGCAACTTAGGTAGAGCTCTCCCCGTCATCGTCGCCCTCCCGTCGTGGCTTGATTACTGCATCCTCGGTCTAGTTCCGCACACCACCCTCTTTTCACCCCCAAAACCTCTCACCATGCGCACTCCAATCGGTCGCCGACGGAGGAAACGGCTCCAAGCAGCGTTGCGTCTCAGCGACCAGGCCGGCACCGCCGAGGCGCGCACGCTGCGTGGCCACCTTTCGAATGGCACCCTGTTCCACCATGTCGCAAATCTAAATGACCACGACCCGAACTTTCGACCCAGCATCACGCACGCACGCCGCATCGCGGCCGCTATTGCTCCGCAGGCATCTCCCCGTGCCTGGCCCCCTCCTAGCCCCCACCACACACCCTCCCACCCCGCCTCCGCACTAGCCCCTCGACCCTACTGGGACTACGTGCCCCGCGACGAACGGGCGCCCGCATACCCGCACCCGTGCCCCCCACCGAGCGCTCCTTTCCCACCGCCCCCGCCGGCGCTCTCGGACCTCGCCGCGCTACCATCGGTCACGGCAAACCCCCCGCTTGCGGCGCGCGGGGTTGTCTATGTCCTCTTGTGCCGGAAATACCCCTTCTTTTACTATGTCGGGGAGACATACCGCACAGCGATCGAACGACTGCAGGAGCACTTTGATGCAGCATTCACGCACCATCCGAACGCCGTGCACACCCCGCTTTACGAGTTTATGCGACGAGTGTGGGCGCAGTCGCCGAACGGCCATGTCCCGTGGCGCGACTTCACCATCGTGCCCCTCTTTCGCATCAATTTCGCACGCCAGGTGCCCATCCCGCCGGCGACTAGCCCGGACGCTTTGAAGGCCTGGTTCCACAAGTTCCGCACCTACTCCCTGGCCTGGGAGCAGACCATGATACGCTGTCTGGGCTCCACATACCCCGGCGGCCTCAATTACTGCAAGGGCATGTGGAATTTCGGCTACGGAGCTGGCCACTCTGATGCTGCCCCATGGCCTCTATCCCCCCTGGCGTTCCAAATCGCCGCTGACCCCCACCCCGTAGCGATCCCCCACAACGACTTCCCCGTCCCGCCCGGCCCGAGTGGGCTCCCAGCGCTGGCGACCCTCTTCCAGCCAACGTTTGCCATCTCCTCCACGCATCAACGTACCATCCACCTCGACGCTGACAACTGCCTCACAACTACGGCACCAGCGTTGTCCCTGCCCCCCGCTATCGCAGGCATGTCTCCGCGCCTCGGTACACGCGAGTATATCTACCAGACTCGCCTCCTTCTTGACGTTGTTTTGTTCCGCCGCGCCGGCGACACAGAGCACGATCATTGGAGACGCGCGGTGAACCATTGCACGGCAGCGAACATCGGAAAATACCTCTTCTCCCTCCATCACTGCGTGTCGCACATGCATCCCGATGCGCTTAACCTGGGTCTCGACGAGCCCTTTTACACACAGCAGATGTTGGACAGTGCCCGCACCGTTTTGCAGGCCGCCATCAACCACCACTACCCTCCCGTCGCAGACATCGACCTCGGGAGCCGTACCCTCATGATCCACGACTTCCCTACCCCCCTGGCTAGCCTCGCCCCCCTCGAAACCCTCGTCAATAATGATGACTTTCTCAACCTCTTACCTGAGCGTATCCGCGAAGGTATGGATGGCTTGTTTCTGGTGGCCCCGCGCTATTCGGTCAGGTTTCCACCGCTGTCGCGCTCGGTGTGCACGCACAGCGGAGTTGCCAAGTTTGCACGCAGTCGCCTGTACGACATCATGGCGACGCAGTGCGACTGTGCGCAACACCAAGGACCGGACCTACGACGCCACTTCACGCTCGAGGACCCCTACTGGCAGATCGACGGCGAGCCTGTGCGGCACCTCTGCACGCTGGACCCTGCTGCGGCGGGCATCCAGAGCACCGCGTACCGCCGTTTGTTCGCCGTCGGCGGTGCCAAGCACCGACACGTCCCGGAGCTGCACCAAGCCACGAGCGCGACCGTAGCTAGCATCGTTGAAGCCTACCAGAAGCCGCTGCTCGGGTGGACGAAACGCGTCAGCAAGGCCGCCGACATGGACGCGGCAGCGTGCATGCCGTACATTGATGCTATACTTGCTGCTACGCAAACGGCACTCCAACCCGCTCTTCAACCCGGGTTCCGCCTTCCATGGCCCCCGCCGCTGGCGGACATTCAGCCCGACGATCGCGTGGCTCTGCGGCGAGACGCGACACGCCTCACCATCACGACCATGGACAAGAACGCCGGGAATTTGGTTTTCGTGTGTCGGCGCGCCTACATCGAGGTCCTCCTGCACGACCTGCACAGCAACGACGCTTTCGCTGTCAACGAGCCGGCAAATGCCAACATCACGCATGCCAGGCACGTGGTGAACGTCGCTAACACGACGGAGGCTATGTTGGACAACCTGCAGCTACCAGGAATACGCACCGAACGCGAGTGCGGTGGTCTACCGCACTACTACGGGACGATGAAGCTTCACAAGGCCAAGGTGGACGTGCGGTACATCTCGGACTGCTCGAGCGACATCACGCGCCCCGCAGCGCAGCTGCTGACGAAGGCCCTCGGCGCGCTCATGTGCCACGCCACCCTCGTGGAGGTCTGGAGCTCCATCTTCGACGGCGTCCCGGAGGACCTCTGCAGCAGCTTCGCGCCCTTCTTGGTGGACTCCAGCCGCGGCATGCGTGACATGGTGACCGCGTATCTACATGACAACCCACCACGCTCAGCGATACATGCTCAACAACCACCTCTGCTGCTGGGCGCCGACATCAAGCGGCTCTACACGCACATCCGGCACGAGACGAGCGCGGACCACGGGACCGGCCTCATCGACTGCGTCATCGAACACATCGACGCTGTTTTTGCACTGCATCCAGGGCAACACCTCCTGATCGACTTGCAACCCGCGTTTGACGCGAGGAGACGTGGTGGTGGGTGGCGCAGCTGCCGGACGCGGACGGCATGGTTGGGAAATGGGCACCGAGCATCGAGCAACTTCATGGTCTCGTGCACATCCTCGTCAAACGCGCCTACGTGGTGTTCGGGGGCGTCGTATATCACCAGACCTGCGGTGTGCCCATGGGGCTCTCGGCCTCCCCCCACCTCGCGAACTGCTACATGTTCCGGCATGAGCTCGCGTTCCTCTGCCAGTTTCGCGACCGCTGGTTGAGCACTGGCGACGTCGCTTGGCTGAAGGTCTTGGGGTCTTTCCGTTATTCCAGGCGCTACATCGACGACAATTTCTCTCTCGCGAACGCACTGTACCGCTACTTCAACACCCACCCCCGCCCCCCCACCCCGCCCCCCGAAACCCCGTCGTCGATCGTAGATCTCATCTCTGGTATACATAACATGTACCCCCCCTGTCTTGAGGTCGAATTTGACGCCCCAGCGAACCCGCTCGACGGTGTCTCCTTCCTAGACCTCCGCGTGCGTCCGCATCCCGAATATCAGGGCTTCCTCCTGATCTCGCACTATGACAAACGCGGTCTGTTTCCTGAGAACATTCACCTCATACAGTACCCCCACGCTTCGTGTGCGCTGCTGCGACGACACCTTTACAACATCGTCCGCACCGAACACATCCGCGTGTCCAGCGAGGTGACTGACCGCGACAGCTACGTAGCCAAGATGTCGGCCATGATGCGCTACATGCGTACGCATCGAGGTTACTGCATGCGACAGGTCCTGGCGATCCACCGCGCCGCCTGCCGGACGCACCCGAGCCCGCATTTTGGCCCTGCCACGCCGGCGGGCCTGGCTGACCTCGTGCGTCGCCACGTGCAGTTTGCAGACCATACTGGCCAACCTGCTGACAGGGCGTGCCCGGCGCCCTGCAACTCGTCACCCTCATACATGATCCCGGCGCTGCGAAGCTGGCTCGGAACTATCCAGCCATGCCCGCACACATGACGCACTCTGTTACCCCCCCGATGTTGACATGTTGGCCATGCGCGTATTCCGTGGCCGCTAGACCGAGGTATGATCCCTTTTCGCATGACAGGCCACGCGCGGGGGACGGCGATGACGAGGAGAGCTGAGTAGCCGTCGGCGCGTCGCCACACAACGCGGACAATGCCGCAGACTCAGTCACCGCTGTCACCCAGCCGGCTGCCGACACCCCCTGGTACAAGCAGCCTAGGACGTGGACCAGCACTTCGGCGCGTCGGCTGGCGGGCGTCGTCCAGTACTCGCGCGGCTCGCCGCGTTGTTGCTGACGACGCCCGCCACTCACTCTAACTGATTGCAGGTCAGAGCCTTCCCTTGGCACATGATGGCACGCTCACATGGCATTTCGCGCGAGTACTCCTAGCACGCTGCCGCCTTGATCAGGACGATAGCACACCCGCATTTCGTTTCGTGCGCGGGTGGTCAATTACTACTCTGTGTTGTGTCGAGGTGGATGTGCGGGGCGCGCGTGCGCCCGTCGCAGCCGCACCAGCGGCAAGGTCGACACGCACCTCCGCGAGCGGGGGGGAGGTTGGGGGCATCGCACGCCCGCCGCTGGGCCACCTTGAACGTCAGCCTCCCTTTCTGAGGAGGCATGCGGTGCTCTCGTTCAGGCGCAGGTCGCGTGTCGTACCCGGCAGCAGCGAGCTCGGAACGTCCGAGCGCGGAATGCTTGCTACGCGACGAACGTTCTGGCCGCGGAGGTGACTTTCCCGCCCATGCTGCCGCGACGTCAGACCTGCGTCTGTCTGCCCGAGACCTGCCCGAGACCGACCAGTCCCCGGGACCGGAACAGCGCCCTGCGGCCTCATTGGCCGACACGCATGCTGTAGGTCCCGGGAAGCGCGAGCGGGGCGATGGCGCCGTTCGTCGCGCACGCGAACAGAGCTTGCCTAACCTGAGAGTGCCACCAGGCGAAAAAAGGGTTCCGGTCGCGCCACGACGCAATCATCCCGCGGAGGACGCGTTCCGCTGGGTAATTTGGTCAAATTGACCGATTGACCGGCGGCGCGCACCCTAGCAGGGAGGATGGCAGGCGCCGGAGCGAGCAGCCGCGGGCGCGCTCCGCGGGGTCATGACCCTTGGGCGCCGAAGCCGAAAGAAGGCGGCATATTCACGAAGTTGCTCAGGTGCTTCATGCCGCAGCTGACGGAGTCCGGCGGGACTTCCTCGTCGACGCGTTACGACCGCCACCGCGCTCTGTCGAAGATGCCGTCACAGAAGGTGCGTCCGACACGAGGATTCTTCATCCGCGCTTCCACCCACGCGCTTCGGAGAGCGGCCGCGCACCACACATGCGGCGTGCGGGGCCATACCTATACGCACCTAGAGCGACGTCGCGCGTACTTGCCCACATAGATACGCTCCACCCGCCGCACGCAGGGTGCCCCCCCGCGCGCCCTCTACCGCTCCAGGACCCTCGGCGCGACGCCGATGTCTCGCGCGGACTCCCGGCGGCACAACCAGGGCCACTCGCATCACCGGGTGTTCGACCAACTACCGTCAGCGCGGAGCCGCAACGGCAGACCGGAGCTGACCGCGTCGGCCTCCATGCGCTCGAGCAGCCGCGCGCTAGACGCGAACCGCGGCTCGTCGCGACCCCGGTCGCGGCAACCGCGTTCGGCGGTGGGGGAGCTCCTGCAGCGGTTCGGCCGGGAGCCGCCCGGCAGGTTCGGCCGCACGCTGGACGCCTGGGCGGGCAGCGGAGCGCGCACGGAGCACAGGCGCCGCGAGCCGTCTCCCGAGAGTCGCTTCAGACGGAGCGCATCAGCCAGGTGCGGCGCCATGCGTGCCATCGGCTCCCAGAGCACTCGCACTGCCATCACGCATGCTACGCAGCGAAGCACGCCCCACGAGCACGCCATGGTGCCGAACTCGTCAGCGTGGTCGGCCGGCGCATCGTCGCGGCCAACCAACGCAACCTCTGTGTTGTGGTTGGTGCGTGCAGGAGCCGCAGGGGCTTCGCGACGATAGAGGCGCCCTCCGCCCGCGAGATACGCGAGCGGCGGTCGTCCCGGCACCGCCTCGGCGCGACCTCGTTCCGCCATCTGACCGCCACTGCTGTCGAGGATGAAATCGCGCGGAGGACGTCGGAGATCGAGTACGAGAGGTTCACGGACGACGAGGAGGCGGAGCGGCCCGCGGTCAGCCTGGCCGCGCGGTCTCTGCGCAAGATCCGGTCGGAGAACTACAGGTGAGACCGAAAAAGAGAGTAGTGCGCACACAAGCGTCTTCTTGATGCCGTGCGGTGCCTCTGAACCGCCAGCCCTGTCTCGCACAACCTCAGGGGCGGTCGCGAAACATACGACGAAGCGACGAGCCACCGGCTGCGGTCCGGGCGGTCGAGGCGCAACGACCGCAGCCACCTGGAGCGGCGGACGTCCAGCAGGATGTCGAGGTGCGACACGCGCGCCGCGCCCCGGCCTCGATGCTGACAGCCACGCGCGATGCCACGTCATGCTCTGCGTGCTGCTCAGCAGGGCGTCTCAGGCTCACTCGCTCGTCCCATGAGTCGCAGGCGTAGCTCCGCGTACGATGTCGACGCCGCGGCTGGCCACGGGCTCGACGACTCGCCCGCGCGGGGGGCTCCGGTGCGGTCGTCGTCGCGGCCTCGGTCTAGCCGCGCGTGGCGCCAGCGCTCCCGCCGCGACGAGGGGGCCGACGCCGACGTCGCCAGCAGCCGCAGCGCCCCGCGGCAGCGCCCCGCGATCCCCGCGAAGGAGCGGTCGCGCCTCCTGCGGTCTACGCGGGACTCTGAGCGCTCGAGCTCGCCCGTGCTGCGCGAGTCTGACCGAAGTGGATCCACGGCAGCCCGGCGCGGACACTCGCGAGCCCCGTCCACGCCCAGCCTCGTCGACGACCAGGAGCAATCCCGGAGGACATCGCAGCCGCTCGCCGCGGCCACGCCTGGGTCCGCGCGGTCGCGGCTGTCTCGCGAGGCGAGCGCAAGCAGCGGCAGCGTCGCGCGCCCGACGGTCTTCCGCTCCGCGACGGTGCCGTCGACGATCCTCGGCATGATCGCGGAACGCGACGAGGCGAGCGAGCCCGCCGACGACGAGGCCCGCCGCCGCGCCAGCACCAAGTTCCTGGGCGACGGCGCCGACATGGAGGACGCCGCCAGCACCCTGCACAACTCGTCGCGGCGCGCATCCAGGCGGGGCGAGTCCAGGCAGTGCGACGAGGACGAGACGGGCTCTCACCTGAGCCTCGACCGCCTGGTGAAGCGCGTCCATGTCGTGCCAGGAGGTATACCAGCCATGTCAGCAATCAACGAAGAGCAGCTGTCCCGCGCGTCGTCGGGGGTATGACGCAACCGAGCTGACACGGTCCGGTGCGCGCCACGGTCCTCGCTCATCAGCGCGTGGCGCGCACGGCAGGCCCCGGCGCCGCTTCCTCGGCACAATATAAAATTAATTTTCGATGGAATTCATTCAGGGACTTTGACGTGGAATCCCACACGGTTGGGAATCGCCTTCCCTCTGCGAATTGCGTTGACGAACCACGTCCCTTGAACGCCATGACGAAGAAAAACGAAACGAAATTGAATGGTATGTCTGGCACGGCCTTTGGGAGACCACTGGTGTCCCGCAAAGGTCTTGCCGGACCATATCTTCCCCAGCCCCCACCTCCCCCATTCAAATCCCCTTCTTCCTTCCGTCTTCACCCTGCCACGGGTGCCAGCCCGGAATCTGTAGACATCGCGGTCGGTCCGGACACCCCCGATGACGCGTCGCCCTGATTTCAATTCACTGGTAGTCCCGAAGCCGTTCCAGAGTACCGACCGCCGTATTTAGCGGGGGAACACAGGCGTCGCTGGGCCCCGAGCGCAGCGCTCCGCCCGCGCCATCCCGTACAGGACGCACCGTGTCGCCCCAACACCCAGGGCGGCCCGCGTTGCCGTGCCTCCATGTGAGCTCCCCCACGCGTGCGACTGGTCCACGGCCTCACCTCACGGGCCTCAATTCTGCTGCCCCGCTCGCCAGTCGCGAACACGGGTTGGGCGCGGCCGGGGGGGGGGTTTCACTGACGCAGGGGGCCTCACGTGCCCTGTGGTGCGACATCATTGCGAGCCGCACGGGACGCTCGCGGCAGGTTAAGACGGTGCCGCACACTGCTGCGGTTGCCCGGTTGACTGTCGAAATTGCCGGCGTCGTCGCTGCCGGGGCCTGGCGCGCATCCACGCTTCCCCAGGACATAACTGCGCCGCTCCGGGGGAGGCGTGCGCGGTTCACCCCCAGGACCTACGACATTTACTTGAAGCGTGGGATCCGCGTGGCGAGCGAGCGTTTCTGCACCGGAACGTGAGCGCCGGGGCCAAATTCCCTTGTGTTGGCATCGATCACCGTCGCCCAGGAGCCGCCAATGGATCTCCGGGCAGTCCCGCACGCCCAGGAGGCGCAGACGAAGCCACCATCCGCGCTCAGCGTGCTGATGTGCTGTCTGGCGCCGCGAGAAATGACCCGCAAGCCCTCGGGAGCCCAGCGCCACACACAGCACGTTGCCGCGAAAAGCCAACAGGACGAGCCCATGCAGGTGCGATCGGACTGAGCCCGCTCGCCACCACACTGAAGAAGCGATTCACCCGGCGCGGCTCCATCGCAGGCCCCCTCGCGCCGCACGATGCCACATTCACCCCGCTGCAAATCCCCAGATCCGGGATCTGGGCTCGCGCTGCGTCGCGTGTCCTTTCGCGCCCTCCGCTTGCCCGGATTTCGTGCTCGTTTGGAGTACAGCACGGCTCCGCAAGATTGGCTGTTTTGGAGCCCAGGTGGTCCGCGCTGTAGAGATCCCTGTGGCCAGCTCCACCCCTCGCGCTGCCGCGGCGGGGGGCGCTCGGACGCCCCGTGCAACCCCCTCGGTCATTCTCCACTGCCTTCCCGCTTCTTGCAGGACCATGATCGCACGTCGGAGCTCGACAGCGCCCCCGCCGGCCCGCAAGCACCTCAGCACGTGGAGCCAGCGTGGCGCCCCGAGAAGCACGCAGAGGGCAGCAAGGTCGAGTCCATCCGCGTCGAGGTCGCAGACGGACCCCACGAACGGGCCGCCCACGCCGCCATCCGCCCAGGCCCGCCCGCGCCGAACCCTCTAGCAGGCGCACAGGCTGGGCAGGGCGCCCTGCCCCACGGGTTCTCCGACGCGTCCACGGACGCGCAGGACCGGCCCCTGCGCCGAAGCAGGCCTTCGCGCAACGAGTCCCACGACCGCGGCGCCCGAGGGTCGTCGCGGCGCTCCCTGCTGCAGCCCGCGCTCACTGTCGACGCCGCGGGCTTCGACGCCCAGCCATCACCGGACGACGACGACGTCGACCCCGGGAGTCCGCCCCCGGTGCGCGCGCGGAGGGCCCGCGGCGCCTCGGAGTTCAACGGCAGGAGCGATGCCCACCGCGCTGTCCCGCGGGAGCACCTGCGCGCCAGGACGTCGGTGCGGCGGTACGACGTCGCGTCGGCGCGGGGCGCGCGCACGAGCCGCCCTGAGCACGGAGACGCGCTGGCGCACCGTGCGTCGCGGCGCGCGCGGCTCGCGAGTCAAAGTGACGCCATGCAAAGGCCGGCTGCGGGCCTGATCGCGGGGTCACGGCGCAACCAGATGCTGCAAGACGATACAGGCGCGGAGCGGCGGTCGGCGCGCGAGGAGGTCGGTCAGCGCGTCCGTGCGCCTCAGCGCTCGGTGTCGCGGCCACGGTTCTACTCGACGACCATGGACAATAGGACCCCCGAATCTGCGACCAGCAGGGTCTCGCAGCGGTCTCTGAGGGCCGCGGGGCGCGCGGAGGACGCACGCGACGGCGCGTCGTCGGGCCGCACCTCAGCCCGAGCCTCGGTTCGGTCAAGGTGCGCACTCTTTGCTCCTGACCCCTCGCGCCGGGCTGGTTGAATGCGAAGCGTACGCCGCGTGTCAGCATTGTACTCGCAGCGGTCTCTCACCGCGCCAGCTCGCGCCTCCGCCGTGCGTTGCAGCCGCTCGGTGAAGGACCTGCGCATCTCGCGCGACCCTGGGGCTCTCAGGCGCGCCGAGAGAGCGCGCAAGATTGCGACTCGTGGCTCGGCGGTGCTGGAGGACGACGCTCCGCGGAGCCGCGGGGGCATGCGCCAGGGCGCGCGCGTCCCGCAGTTCGGCGCCCCTGAGCCCGCTCACGGCGATTGGCACTCGAACGCAGGGGACAGCTACGTCGACGCTTACGGCGACAACAGGAAGTTCTTGCACAGCGACTACAGCCACGAGGACGACGAGCTCGAGGTAGAACAGACGCAGGACTCGGTCCTGATGGAGCTCCCCCGCCTGAACACCGACGCTGGCGAGCGGTCCCTGCGGCACAGCGGCAGCGGCGAGAGGCTACGCGGGCCCCCGGGGAGCCGGTCCTCGCGCAGCAGCTCGCGGCTGCTGCCGTTCGTCGCAGACAGCGACGTGCAGCGGGGCAATGCCAGGTCGAAGGTGTCGGACCCCGGACAATCCTTGCGTGCGGCGGGGTCGCGGAGCCGCCTTGCGAGGTCCAGTTCGCGAAACTTCCGGCCTTCTCGGGACGAGGAGGGCGCCCGCGACGGCTGAAGGCGCCAAGCAAAGAACTGACGCGACCCGCAACGAAAACAGCAACGCGCGATGGCGTTGCAATGAGTCCCTCCCCCCACCCTGCTTCCTTTTTCCTTCTTGCTGTCCGCCCCTCCCCTCCTGCCTTCGGTGCAAGATGCGCTGCGCCTCCCCGAATCCCCGCCCGCCCCCCCCTTTGACGCCTCAGGACTCATCTCAGTTCAGAGGTAGTCAATCAAACTGGCAGCCAGATATGTTCGCTCAGACACGTTGTGTTCCTGTTCCTGTTTCCAGGCGTGCAAGTGCACGTCTCAGGACTCAGGCTCCGGGAGGAGCCGCCTCGCGCGCCCCATGTGGGGCGCGCAGGCGGTGACCCTCCTACCCGCGCTGCGCCTCCGATGCCCAGCTCACCACGCTGTCCCTGTTGACGCCAACGGCACGCGTGGGTGCTGCATCGCTAGCCACCGCAATTTCCGCGAGCCGGCACTCGCGCCGACCCCAGCGCCAGCAGCTTCCTCTGGGTGGGTGCACACTCCCGCCCCGAACAACCACAGCCACGTGCTGCTTCGACGTCTTCTTTCCCTGTTTTTCCAACCGCACGGCGGAGATTTTTCATCCGTAGGGGCCACACGACCCCAAGCCAACCTCATCCTCATGCTGCGTCCTGGTCGTGTCAGGGCCGAGGTCTGTCCACTTCCCGCCTCCATCAGCTCCTCCGTGCCCGGCGTCCGACCTGCGCGAGCAGCGGGCGCCGCCTGTGATTCGTCAATCCTAATAGGGGAGGCAGACCGCAGCCTGTGCGCGTCGACGTCGTCGCCACCAGCACGGTCGCGCACTGCGGGGCTGAGCGAGGTGCGTCGCGTCGCTGCGAATGCGGGACGGGGCGCTGCGGGCGAGGGGGGTTTCTGTCCGATCCTGGCTGCGGTCCGGCACGCGCGTGACGCCTGAGCTGGGTGGCGCTGTCGGGTGTGGGGCGTGAGGGAGCACGGGGGCACCTGGGGCTCCAATGGCGGCGTGGGGCGTGGCCAGGCGCAACTTGGGCTCGAGATAGAGGGCGGAAAGCGACAATTGCGTGCGACGAGGGCGCAGTGACCCGCTACGGCAGCGCGACGCTCTCACGTTGCTGGACAGTGCTATCGGTGCAGGACGACCACGACCTGCATTGTCCGGGTCGGAGATCTTTCGTAACATTTCGCGTCATGGACGCAACGTGCTAGCGCAACGTGCTACTGTGCGAGACGTGCGGCGCAGTCACAGCCCAGGTCTGTTGAAGCTCACGTCCGCCGCTCGAGGTGCCCGGGGTGGTCTGAAGTGGAGCGGGACGCGAAATGGCGTGCATCACAAACTTCCTCATCTGCATGTCCCGGTCCAGCCGCCTCCACGAGACGAAGGAAGCGCAGGCTGATGTTCAGACCAACATCGCGGAATTCAGACAGCATGGCCGGCGTCATCCAGAGGTCCGTGCCTGCACCTGACTCCCATCGAGGCTCCCCGCCGTCTGAGGCCGAGAAAGCGGTTTCAGCGCGCCCCATCCGTGCCGCCCGCCGGCACCAGTCAAGGCCCCTTCTCTGGCTGCAGGCTCAAACCATGGCCAAGCAGCGCTCTCGCAACTCGCTGAGAGGCCGCTACAGGCAGGACCAAGACGGGAACCGCAGCAACCGGCGGCTCAACGGCGACGAGCGGCACCCTGACAGCTCGAGCAAGCACCTCGGCGCTAGTGCCGTAGAGCGCGACTCGCAGCTCGAGACACCGCGGCCGGACTCGAGGAAGTCCCGCTCTCGCTCCAAGCTCCAACACGCCGACAGCGTGAACAGCGCGCAGCTCGACGGCTCCGCACGTCACCCTTCCTTCGTTGAGGAGCTGCCCGCGGGCGAGCGCCGGCTCGCGCCGCGGTCGTCCGGGCGGGTGGCCCGCTCCGCCCGGCGCTCCACGTCTCAGTCCGGCAACATGCTCCCCTCCCCGACGAAGTGAGCGCCAGTTCCCCTGCCCTCGCACTGCCCCCCGACACCTACGCCCGCCACGCAGCACCAACCGCCGCGCCCGCGCCCGTGCTGCGCGTGCAGGGACCCGCGCCCCACGCACGTCTCCGGCAAGGACATCATGCGCAACGCGACGACGCGGCACTCGTCCGGCGGCGGGCTCGCCGCGCACCGCTCCCAGCGACACACTGTCGAGCACGCTGGGACCCTGGGGCGGCGCCACCGGTCCATCCGCGACCGCAGCTTGGTCGAGGAGCCCGAGGAGGCCGGCGCGGCGGAGAAGCAGCCGCAGCGGCGCTCTCCCCTGGACCCCACGCCGGGCCTGCTGCGCGAGGAGGCGGAAAACGCGGAGGTGGATGGGAGGACGCGCGCGCGGCAGCCTTTGCGGAGTATGCGGAGCATGGACGCGGGCGGGGTGCGGCGCGCGGGGCCTGCGCGGGCGGGGTCGTCGCGGCGCCGCTGGCCGGGACACCCCCCGGAGGACATGGAGGGGTCTCCGGCGCGGGAGCGGCAGCCGCGGCGGCAGCCGAGCGGGCGCGCGAGCCAGCAGAGCAGCACGCAGCCGGAGGCGGCCACGGTGCGCATGTCGGTGGATTCGCACCGCCTCGGAGAGGCCAGTGGCGGCGTCGACGCGGCGCAAGTGGAGGTCGGGGTCGCCGAGGGGCGGAAGCTCGAGACGGTCCGGAGCGACGTGTCGGAGGCGGACGCGCGCAGGCTCGCGCAGATGGTCGTGGGGGGACTCTCGGGGACCCCCCCGCCCTCGCCTGTCAGCCCGGGGATGTCGTTCCGCAAGCCCCGCGAGATGACGTCGATCAACGAGTAGCGGTCGTCTCGGCGCGCGGGCGCGACGGCTGGCGTGCGCGCCGGACGCTGCGCTCCGGACGCTGCGCGCACGCTGCGCCCCATCAGTGCCTGCGGCGACGGAACGGCCGGGGCGGTCGAGTTGCGGCCGTAGAGTGTGCGGGTGCCACGCGGACAGAGCCGCGAGGCGCCCCCTCGGCCATGTGACGCATGCCTGAGTCAGTGCGAACCGCTGTGTCAGACGGCGTACTTGTTGCACGCCTCCACGGCGTGAGGGGCCGAGGTCGCGCGCTCGCATCGCTGAACCGTAGTTCTCGGGCAGGGGGCGTCGTTCGGGATCCTAGAGAGGGAAGCAGCTGCGGCCCCGAGGCGATCTGCGTGCTAGACAGGTCCTCTGAGACGGCGGGTTGGAGAGTCGATGTCCATCGCGGAGCCGGCGGCGCCGGCCCCCGCCGAGGTCGATGACCACCGCGCAGAGCATGACGACGACGACGTGATGCCGTACCCGTCCCCGGTCGCGCACGTGGTCCTCGGCGCCGCGGCGCTCGCCCCGTCGGTGCTGCCCATCCCCGAGTACGTCTCGATCATCACGGTCGCGTGTCTGACCGTGTACGTCGGCTGCCTGCGATCCGTCAAACAGCAGGGACCGGAAGACGTGATGTCGCACAAGGTAACGCGCGTGCCCGCGGAGCCCGCGGAGCAAACCCTTGGGCCCACCAAACGCCCCAGAACTCGGCGCAATCGGCGTCTCCGGCCGCGACAGGCGGCGAGAAGGGAGACCATGCATACGTGCGCGTCGTCCTCGGCGAAGCCAATTATATCGAATCGCATGCACGTCGCGCGGCCCACAGGGTCTCTCGGCTTGCCCCCCCGCCCGCGCAGGAGGCCGCGCGGTTCCCCCTCGTGGGCAGCGTGGTGCTGTTGTCCCTCTTCATCTGCCTCAAGTACGTTCCCAAGGAGCTCATCAACCTCGTCCTGTCCGTCTACTTCGTCGTCCTAGGCACCATCGCGCTTACAGGTCAGCGCAACGCGCGCCGCCGCCCCGCCGCCGCCGCCCCCGCCCCGCCCTGCCGTCCAGACGCGCCACCACCCTCCGCGCCCACGCCCAGCACCCAGCTCGCCGCCACGTACCCCAACGCCCCCAAAACACCCTCCGCCGCCGCGCAGGCGCGGCGCTGCCGTTCCTGCGGCCCTTCGCGCCGGGCCTGTACCGCCGGAAGCTCGCCGTGCAGATCCCCGCGATCCCGCTCGTGATGTCGGAGCCCGCCGAGCTCGGCGAGTCCCTGCTCGCCGTCGTCACGGCGGCGCCGATGCTCCTCTTTTGCGTGTGGTACTTCCGCGAGCGCCACTGGGTCGCGAACAACGCCATCGGCATCGCGTTCAGCCTCATGGGCATCGAGGAGCTCTCCCTCGGGACCCCCACCGTCGGCGTCGTGCTCCTGGTCGGGCTCTTCTTCTACGACATCTTCTGGGTCTTCTGCACGCCCGTCATGGTCAACGTCGCGAAGGGACTCGACGTGCCCATCAAGCTCCTCTTCCCGCGCCCAGGTGCGCCACCCGCGAGTCCCCCCCGCCTCCGACGAAACACCCCCCTGCTGCACTGCGCAACGCAGCGTGTGCCGGAGCCTCCGTCGCCAGGGCGCGAGTTGCGGGGCGCCGGTTGCGCTCGCGTGGAGAGCGCGCGCGGCCGTGCGCGTGCGGAGTAGTTGGCGTAGTCGCGTCTTCGCGCACATGTGTCGAACGCGTGGTGCGAGTGTGTGTGCGCGTGGTTGCCTGCAGGGGTCGCGGTGGGGGACCCGGCGCGGATGGCGTTGCTGGGCCTGGGCGACATCGTGATCCCGGGCATGTACGTCGCGCTGATGTGCCGGTACGACTACAGCCGCGGGTGGCGCACGCGCTACTTTTGGTCGGCGATGGGCGGGTATTTCGCGGGGCTGGTGGCGACGATCGTGGTGATGATGGTGTTCCGCGCGGCGCAGCCCGCGCTGCTGTACATCGTCCCGGGCGTCCTGGGCGCGACCGTCGGGCACGCGCTGCTGCAGGGGGAGCTGAAGGAGCTTATGAGCTTCAGCGAGGGCGGGGGGCAGGACGCGAAGGGGGACGCGAAGGAGGACGCGGGGGGAGACGGAAAGGAGGCAGAGGCGCCGAAGGAGCCCGTGGAGAAGAAGGAGGACTAGCTGGGGGCCCGGGAACCGCCCTTGATACATCCACGCTGTTAACACTCCCGACTCGGGGCGGCACGAGGTCCTCGCGCGGTGCGCGCGGCGCAAGTCGAACGTTCGCGGTGACGTGGGCGCGTTTTTGGCCAGAAAACCCGCGGCAGGGCCCCCGGGAGGACGTGTTCGCGCGGGATATGTGTTGCCCAGTTTGGCGCGCGACCCTCGCACAGGGCCGCGTCCCGCCTCCGGCGGCTCGAGGGCGCGCGCAAAGCGTGACGCATGTCGGCGGTGTGAGACCGTGGGGTGACGTGTACGGATTACAGCGCGAGCGAGAGCACAGCGCGCTTGCCCTCGCCCCAGTGTTGGGGGCGAGGGCGGTGAGCGGCTACGGCCCGCGGGGGGCGCTCAGGCCCTTCCCGCGGCGCGAGGGGTGACAAAATTGGGACGAGCATGCGGGCTGGCGGCCGTCGCGTCGCCGCGTCGCGCCGCGCGCCCTCGAAACAAGCTCGACTGCACTTAGGCCAGGAAGCCGAGCTTCTCGCCGTTCTTCTTCGCGAGACGGACCAGGCCCTGCTGGGTCTTCGCGGGGGCGCCGACGTTGTTGCAGAAGGCCTTGATGACTGCGGGGCGGGCCGGGGGCGCGGAACGCGTCAGCGCCGGCAGCGCAGGGAGCTCATTGGCTGCTGGGGGGCAGGGTGCGCTGCACGGGCCGCGGGGGCCGCGAGGCGGCGTACTAGGGGCGCGGACGGCGTGTACGGGAAGTCAGGGCTGCGGAGGCGGCGCGGCGCGGCGAACAAGGGCCGCGGCGGGCCGCGGCGCGGCCAGGAGGGGCAGGCCCATCCAAGGGCAGCGGGCGGGGCGCGCGGGGCCGTACCCTGCGAGTGGAGCGAGATGGCCTTGCCGCGGAACTTGTTGAACTCCTTCTCGCCCATCACGGAACGCGTGACGCGCACCAGGGGCGCGAACGGCCCGGTGGTGGCGTGGTTGGCCATGCGGGTGACCTGGCGCGAGCCTGCGTCAATTGGGACGGGAAACGCGCGGCGCGGGGTGAGAACGGGCGCGAGGGCGGTGAGGGTGGCCCGAGCGCGCGGCGCCGAGGGCGGAGCGTGCGCGCGGAGCGCGTGCCGCCTACGTGCCCCATTGTGGGGCTCCTGTGGGAGGCTCACCGTTCGAGGCCTGCGAGATGCCGAACTGGGCCGACACGCGCGCGCGCTGGACCGGGGCGAACGAGCCCTGCACGGGCGACGCGCGGCTGGAGTACATGGCGGCGTTCATCGCTGGAATTCTAAGGGTAAGCTGCGCTGCAACAAAAAGACAGAGACGTGACTTCCGGGCTTATCCGAAGAGTTCGACGGCCGAGATGCGACTTCACGGAGAGAACTTGACGACGAGTGTTCGTAGTGCTAGCCCGCGGCGGCGCGCGGCGCCCTTGGAGGCCGGGAAGCGCGTCGGAGGGGTCCTGACACAGCTAGGCATTTGTGGCTGTGGCGAGCCGCCACGTGGGGGGCGTGCGAGCGGCGCCCGCGGGCCGCCCCGCGGCGTGCGCGGGCCCGATCCGAACGTCCCGCACCGACGGCGCGCGCCGAAACGTCGCAGCAGCGCCGCGCAGCGCTCCTCCAGGGAACTGTGGTAGGAAATCGCTCTGCCGGGCGGTCGACGCAACATTGGTCAGAGATGGGCAGCCGACTGGAGCATCTAGTCGACAGACATCGCCACCGGTGCCGGGAGATCGTCGCCCAATCGAGGGAAATGCGAGGCGGCGGCATCCCTCCCTGCCGCGTGGCGGCCACGGGAGGGCATCCCCGTGGCGCGGCACGGCGTCTGCGGGGCTGAATTGCGCCGAGGGAGTCATCCAGGGGTCGTGGAGACACGCCACATCCGCGCGGACCCGCGCTATACCCGCCGCCGCGATTCCTGCCGGAGGCCTTGGCGCGCTTGGAAGATATGGAATCCCCGTCTGCGGCCGCGCGTGCACTGGCCCGTCTCGGACGCCCCGCGCGCGCACCGGCACGCCACCGCCGCCCGCCCCCCTCCGCGTGCACGTCCGCCTCCTGCAGCGCTGCACGCACCGCCGCTGTTCCTCCGCCGACGCCTCCGCCCAGCTGGCATGTTGCGACGTGTCGCCATGTGTAGGGCCACGCCACGCGCCTCCAGCGCAGCTCAACAACGCCGCCGCGCTCCACCGGCGCAGTGCATTCCCGCAGCCTGCCTCTGCGCCGACCTCACAACCGACCGCGGTTCCCAGCAACGCTCCCCGCGTGCAAGCAAGCGACGCCTTCGCTGCAGGATCTCAATGTTGCGCGAGACGCAGCACGCAGCTCCGCGGCTCCTCGCGCCCCTGCGCGGCGCAGCGCGGGCGCCGGCGTGGCGCGCTGCGGCAGCGGTGCGGGCGTTTGTTGTGCCGATGGTGCTGGGCGTCGCGGCACAGGTGTCCGTCGCCGGCGCGCTTACGGACCCCCGCGACGTGCTCGCGCTCCGGACGATCCGTGCCGAGGTGGAGGGGCGCGACATCTACTGGGCGGGAGCCGTGGCGGAGTGGGAAGGGGACGATCCTTGTGGTGCGGACCCGCATTTCGTTTCGTGCGCGGGTGGTCAATTACTACTCTGTGAGAGTTGCTGCTGGGCGCCACGTCACCGTCGCCCTGCGGTGCGAGGCGTCCGCGTGCCGGCGCTTCGTCGGTGCACGTGACGTAGGATGATGCGTCTCTATTTGTTGGCGCAGGTGACTCGTGGGAGGGCGAGTGGGAGGGCATCTCGTGCCGCGGGCAGCCGACGGGTCCTGGCGTCGTGCGGCGCGTCACGAACTTCCACCTGCCGGACCGCGGTCTCACGGGACCCGTTCCGCGCTCCCTCGCCCTGCTCACTGCGCTGACCGAGATCGACCTGGACAGCAACGCGCTGTCAGGGCCGCTGCCTCCTGAGCTTGGGTGCCTCACCGCGCTGCGCGAGATGGACCTCGCGAACAACCCGGGAATCACGGGCAGGATCCCGCCGGAGTGGGGCCGCCTGCAAGCGCTCGAGGTGCGCCGCGCGTGACCACGTTTCGACGTCGAGTGCATGAGTCAGTCAGACATGCGATTGTGCGCTCGGTTCGGGGGAAATCGCGCGGGTTGAGAGCCTCGCAAGGTCGCCGTTCTTTGCGCGCAGGAGCTCGAGTTCGAGCTGAACAGCGGCATGAGCGGGTGCCTGCCGCGGGGCGTGCCTGCACCCGCGCGCTTCTGCGGTGTCGGCTGCGTCGACTTCAGCCTCGACCCCGTCGTCGGGACGTCCACGCGCGGCTCCGGGATCCGGCCGTGGCCGTGCCGCAGCCGCGCCGACCCTTTTATGCTGCCGCTGCGCTGCCCGGCGCCTCCCGAGGCCCCGCCGCCTGTCGAGGCCATGGACGGCGCGATGCTGGGCTGACGGGCCCAGAGAGCACGGACTGGAGCTGCGCGTGCGTCGACGTACGAGGGGTCACACGTCCGGCGTCGTGCATTGCCCGGCAGCGGTGTTCATGTGCGTTGAAGAACAATAGAGAATTCGTATGTGACTTCTCTCCTCGCGAGGGGACCGGGCTTGCGAGGAGATCCGCGCGTCACCGCCCCTTCTTTGGCGATGCCGTGCGGCGCGGTGACGCACCCCGTGAGCCCGGCGCGCCCCCGCCCCACGTCGCGCGATACCCTGCATCCTCCAGCGCCGCCCGCGCGTCCACGCGCCACCCCTGCGCCGCCATGCGCCGCCACAGCGCCCCTGCGTGTCTGTCCATCCAAGCTGACGCCACCGCCACAGCCGCGACGCGCACGTCCCCGCCCGCTCGCCGCGGCACCGCCGCGACCTCCTGCAGCGTCGGGAAACGCACGCCGCGCCCGCGCCCGGCGCGCGGCTCGCCGCCCGCGCTCGGGTCGCGCAACACAGCGAACACGTGCATCGCCGCCGCCGCGTGTATCCACGCGGACAGCGCGGCCGTCGCGCTGTCCACGTTGTCGGCGCGGAGCACCACGCGGCACGACGCGCCGTCACGCGCCGGGACCACCAGGTAGCCGCGCCCCGCCATCGCACTTGCGTACTGCTCGTCCGCCCACAGCGCCGCGAGGTCGCTGGCGACGTGGCCGACCCTGACGCCAAGCGTGATGGCGTAGGGCGGTGGCGGGGCCCAGGGTCGCAGGAGGCGCGCCACGGGGGGCGGCAGGAGGGGCTCCGCTGCGTTCGCGGCGGCGGGCGACGGCAGGGGCCGCCCGGCGGCGAGGGCCGCGGCGACGATGCGCAGGCGGGGGGTGTTGGGGGTCCGCAGGACCAGCGCACGCACGGCGCGCATGTTGCAGTACACGTGCGCGGCGGTCAGAGATAGGAAAACCCCCCAGGCCAGTAGGGGCCTCTGGTCGGTGACGCGGACGGCGAGGAGCCCGAGGACCATGCCGACGAGCGTCACCGCCGTCTCCTGCGATCCCTCCTTCGCAGACACGTCCGCTGCGTTGCCCTGCACAGCACGCGGACAGGGGGCGCACAAGACCATTCGCCAACCCTCCCGCGACGAAGCAGGCTTCGCTCGCGCCGCACAATCCGTCTACGCCGGGCACGGCGCTCGGTGGGACGCTCGAGCAAGCCTGATGCTAGTCAGACCGGGAAGGGGGGTGGGAGTTAAGTGTTGAGCCGTGCGACGGGTGGAACTGGGAGGGCGAGGTGCCCCGCGGGTCGTTTGGCCCGTGTCTCACATCGGGGAGGACCTGTTGCTAAAGGGATAGAGGGGGGGGGTCTGAGGGGCGGGGAGGTGTTTGAGGATTGAGATTCCTCGATGTCTATGCAACGTGCAACGTGCTCTAGGAGTGTCTGGCGCGCCGAGCGGGTTGCGGGATGCCCGCGGCGCACGCACAGCACATGCAACTTGGGCGCGCCGTCCGCGCGCCGCTCTTTCCAACTCTCACGCCGAGTCTCGCCGTTTGCGACGCACGGTGTCAATGTAAACCCACCGGCGGTCCGCTCCGGGCGTCGCGCGCACAAAAACGCCGGGGACGCGCATGCGCTGCCTGCGCTCACCGCCCCTGCGGGCTCTGCAGCGGCAGCAGCGGCTTCCGGGGCGTGCGGCGCTTGATCGGCGTGTGCAGCGGCGCGCCGCCGGAGCTCGGCCCCGCGCGCGCCGAGCGCCCCGGCGTGCCCCCGTTGGCGTGGCTGCCCCCCTGCCCCGCCAACACCACCCCGGGGGAGTTCCCGTTGCCCATGCTGTGCTCGAGCTCGCCCAGCAGCGGGCCGGGCGACCCGAACGCGCCGCCTAGGCGCGCGCTGAGGTGCGCGGGGAGCGGCGGCGACGTCACGCTCGCCACGTTGAACCCCCCCCCCAGCCCCTTGACCATGTCCCCCTCGAACGACTCCCCCCGGCCCCCGGCGCCCTCCGGCATCAGCGCCGCGGCGCTCCCGGGCGCCTCGCTGCGCACCGGCGACGCGAACGACGGCTGCCGGTGCACCTGCCCCGACCCGAGCGCCACCCGCGACACCCGCGCTGCCTTCCGCGTCGACGTGCGCAGGCCCAGGAGCTGCCGCTCCGCCGCGATCGGGTCGAACAGCGCGGCGTCGCGCGCGCGCGCCTGTCCGGCCGCGCCCCCGAGCGAGTCCCGCCGCCAGTCCGTCACGTCGGGAGTGGCGTCAAGGTTCCCCGGCGAGCGCAGGCTGCCGCAGATGGGCGTGAGGCCCGGGACGTCCATCACGCCGACGCCCATCGAGAGCGGGTGCGGGTCGCCGGCCGCGGTGTCGAGCGCCGCGCGCGTGCCGGGCGAGAAGAGGCCGGGGCTTGGGAGTGCGCCGTTGCGCGGGGTGCGGCCGAGGCGCTTGCCGGCGCTGGGCGGGGGCGCGGGGGTCTCGCGCTTGGCCGCGGTGCGCGGCACGGCGGTCTTCGCCGCGGTGTGCCCGCGCGGCGGCGGCGCCATCGCGCCGTTGGCGGGGGGGGTCTTTGCGTCCGAGGGGCGCCGCGCCGCCGAGGGGCGCCGCGCGGGCTTGCCGTCGCCGCCGCGCTGCGAGAGCGGGAGCAGCGGGGTGTCGTCCGCGCCGCCCGACGGCACGCGCCGCCGCTGCCCCTTGCCGCGGCGCGACCCGGGGAGCGTCGCCACGTTGTCCCCCGGGGGGGAGTCCGCGAACTTCGTCTGAAGCGTCCCCGGCGTCAGCACGACGCCGCTCCCGACCTGCGCCACCTCCGGCGACACCATCTGCACCGCGCGGGACGGCGCGCACGCCAGCCGTCACACGGCTCCGTAGCGGCGACGGCGCAGCAAAGCAACGTCCGCGGCGGCAGGGCGCCGCGCGCGCTCGGCGGGCGGGCGCGCGCACGCAGCGGGGACGCGCGGGCGCGCACCTTGCCGTCGGCGGCGAGGACGACGGGGTCGAGGCTCGACCGCTCGTTGGCATTGCTTGCACGCTGCCGCTTGCGGGGCCGCTGGGCGGCCACGTCGTCGGCCTGGGCGTCCGTGGAGGCGCCGGACTTGCGGTTCTTCTCCTGCGCGAGGCCGGCCGGGGGCGCGGCGCGTCGGGCGGGCGCGGGCGCGGGCGGGGGAGGGCGCCTCTGACGACGAGTGTGGTGGCTCGGCGCAGAGTGGGAGGGTCAGAGACTTGCGGCGCGTGCGACGGCCGGGGACGGCCACGATGCGCCGTTCCGGGCAGACGGGGCGGTCTGCGGGGTCTGCGGCGCGGCGGCGGCGCGCCACGCGGGCGGGCGGACCCGGAGCGCGCGTGCGAGTGCTCCGCTGGGCGAGGGCGGGCGAGCGGGGCGCGCACCTGGCGCGCCTTGATGAGGTGGCGCTCCTCGGCGCTCAGATCCGACGTCCTCTTGCGGTCCCGCGCGTCATCGGTGGACTTGAGCTGGAAGAACCGCGCCCGGCACTGCTGGGCCGTCCTGCCGTCCAACTGCTTGGATATGCGGCTCCACGCCGTCCCCCAGCTGGCGTGCAGGGCCAGGAGCTTCTCGTCTTCTTCGGGTGCCCAGGCGTCTCTGCGGGCGGGGGCGCGGGCGCGGCCGGGCGGGCGTGGGCGCGCGCGCGGCGCCCAGGGGGCGGGCTGCGGCACGGGCGTTCAAAGTGGGTGGGTGCGCGGGCGCGGCGGCCGCGGGGGGCGCCGCGGGCGCGCGCGCGGGGTCGCGAGCGCCGAGGGGGGGCGGGCGGGGGCGCGGGGCGGGGCTGGACGCGCCTGGAAATGGACGGGTCGAGATGTCGTGTCCAGCGGCCCATGCACTGCTGGTCCGTGCGGCCGTCCATGTGCCTGGCGATCTCCGCCCAGCGGTTGCCGAACTTCGTGACGAGCTCCACGAGTTGGCTGTCCTCCTCGGGGGTCCACTTGTCCTTCTTGATGTTCGGGTTGACCTTGTGCCTCCAGCGCTGGGCGCACTGCTGGCCCGTGCGGCCGGGGATGTACAGCGCGACCACCGACCACTTGTTCCCATGCTTCTGCTGGTACTTGTAGAGGAGGTCGTCCTCGTCAGGGCTCCACGCGCCCGTCTTGACGGCCTGGGCCATGCCGGCTCGCCCACAGCGCCCCTGGCTCGAGAAGCCGTGCTAGCGCCCTCGCGCGAAGGATTGCGGGGCCGTTATAGGGGGGGAAAGGTTGCTGACCGTTTGTTCCGGCGAAGCGCTACCTCATCGTGGCGCAAGACGCGCTTGACGGAACGCGCTACGCGCACTACGACGGAGGCCAACTTGAACCGCAGCGTTCCGTCAACAGCGCTCGAGGCTCGGCGCGCAACGTGCCGGCGATATGTTGAGCGGAATGTCCGTGCGTGCGGCGCGCGGGCGGCCCACGTAGCCCTCGGAGCGCGCCGGAACGGGGGGAGGAGGTGTGAGGCCGAAGCGACCCAAGGGCGCGCTCGCGGGCCCGCAGCCACGGCGCCCGCGCCCGCACGACGCGCGAATCGACGCCACCGGATCGGGGGGCGCGCGCACAGCCAAGCTGTCGCCCTACGCGGCGCGCCCTCCGGCGCGTTGCTCGTTGTGAGCCGCGAGACCGGCTCCCAGGCCGGCTCCCGGCCCGCAGCGCGCAGCAACCACGGCGCGGGCGGCGCACCTGTCTCGCGAAATGCGACGTCATCGCCACGCGCGTCGCCCCCGCCGCAACCCCGGTCACGCTGCGCGCCATCGCCCCTGCCGAGGCCAGGAGGAGGAAGCCCGCCCCAGCCCCAGCGCTGGGCGAGAGGAGCTCCATGAACAGCCCCACGTTGTTCATCAGGTCCGCAAACAGCCGCCACTGCTTCGCGTGCTTGTCCAGCGACGCCCCCGCCGCGGAAGCGAAGCAAATTCCGCCCAGCATCCCTGCACGGACCCCGGGCTAGCACGCAGCGCAGCTGGGCAGGGCGCAGGCTGCGCGGCGACGCACAGCGCGCCGCACGGCGGTCCGGCGGGCGCCAGGAGCGGGGCGCGATGCGGAACGCGCGCCTCGAATGGCGGACGCGCCGGCATTCGGCGTTCCTCGATCTCCGGCGCCAGGTGTTAGTTGCGGCGTGGGGCGGGCCCCCGCGGGGCCGGGGCGCGCGTTGTCGCACGCGACGCGCACCGGCCATGTCCTTCAGGATGAACTGGAAGGTCGCCGCCACCGCCGTCGCCGCCGCGGCCCCCACGCCGACGCCGCGCAGCAGCGCGTGGCTCGTCAGCGACCCTCGCACGTAGCTGCACAGGCCCTGCGCGGTGTCCCAGGTCTGCGACGCGCACGCCATGCACGGCCCTCAGACATGCGTAAGCGCCGCCCGAGGGGCCGCGAAGCGGCCGCACACGGCGTGCGGTGCCGCCGTGACAACCCGCAGCGCGCTGTCGCGCGGGGGGGCGCCGCGCGCGTCGTGCGGACCTGGAAGGGCAGGTAGTCGTCCGTCACCGACGTGGGGTACCCCGCAGGGAGGAACGCCGCCGTAAGCGCCCCGGACACGCCTCCCGCGGCCCCACGTGGTTCCCGGGCAGCGTCCTGCCACCCGCCGCGCCACGATCGCGTCAGGTGGCCCGCGGGGTCGTACTCCGACACGACGCCGAGGTCCGCCTGCGCCCCGCGCGCTCGCCGTGGCGACGCCGGCATGCCGCGATTCCGGGGTGAGTCTGCCGCGCTGCGCATGTGCTGGTTGAGTCACCCCGGTGCGCGTCACGGCTCGGAGGGCGCGGTGCGCCCGGCGCACAGTGGTAAACCGCCGCCACGGCTGCGCGCGATCTCGGCGCGCGCGTGCCACGCCGAGAAGGCCGCGAGACTCCCCCCGGGAGGTATGTCCGGCTGCACGCGCCCCGCGCCGGTCGCGCTCCGCCGCGCCGCGGACCTGCGCTCGCGCAACCTCGCACACCGCCGCTGACGACTCCCGCGCGCCGCCCATCGCAGCTCCGCGTCGGCAACCTCTCTAGATAGAAAGATCTTCGTATAACACAACACACCCCCCTAGCGTGTCCGCCACCGAGACCTGGCCCGCCTCTGTCCGCACCAGGTGCCACGCAACGGCGCCGCGCGCACGGCGCACGCACCGAGCTTGCTCTCGTGCTCACAGCGGACGGCGCGAGCCCGCTCACTCGCTGCTCCCGCCGTGGTACTGGTCCGTGATCTCGCGGCTGCCCTCGAGGATGCCCCGCTGGTCGAAGCGCCCCCCCGGCGGCGCCTTGTCTCCCGCGGGCGCTGCCACCGCGTCCCGCCACAGAGATCCGCCAGGGGCGTCGCCGCGCCGCACGTCCTCCGCCTGCTGCGCCCGCGCGAGCCCCGCGACGCGCTGCCTCAGCCTCGACAAGTACGCCGCCTGCATGCACCGCCCGGAGGCAGGCACCTCCTGTGAACACAGCGCCACCAGGACGCCCCGCGCCGCCGTGGGGGGGGGTCCGGCCGCGGGTGCGCGCGGTGCGGGAGCGCGGAGGTGCTGCGAGGCGGGCGGGAGCAGTGCGAGGAGAACGGCCGCGGCGGTGTCGCTTTCGGTGCCGTGAGAGTGTGGAGGGGGGCGTGGGTCTCGTGCGCACCTCCTTGCTGCTCTCGTAGTACAGGTTCCACGACGGGTCGAACACGGGCGCCTCCCTCGCCTGCCAGTGCTTGACCGACGTCCTCCGCGTGATCCTCCACAGTCGCCTACGACAAACACAAGAAGGTTACGAGTGAGCGTCTTTGACACAGCGGCAGGTCGCTGTCGACGGCGCGCCGCGCCCAGGTGGCTACGGAGGCTGGCGCGTGGACGGAGCCGCGCTGGCGAAGGACGCGGGGGGCCGTGGCGCCAAGGCAGCGCCGCTGTTGTGTCATGCAGTGCTGAGTGCGCGCGTGGCGGCGGGACCGCGTCCAGACGCATGTTGATAATCTGCCTCCAGCACAAGTAGGTACATATACGCAGCGTAGGCAAACTTTTGCGCGCAACGCGTGCCTGAACCCGGCGGAGCAGGCCGCGCGAGTGCAGCCAGAGAGGGGTTCGAGGCCGTGCGCCCCGGTGCCGCACGGACGCACGGCGCGGAGCAGTCGGCCGCGCTGGTCTAGCGAGTATCTTCCTCGAGCCCGCGTACCTGTACGCCGTGATGTGGTCCTTCTGCGTCTGCGTCAGGTTGAGGAAGGCCCTGGGAATTTGGTACACCCTGCGCCCCGCCCCCGACATCCTTCCCCTCCAGTCACGCTCAAGCGCTCCCTGCGCAGCTCCCTCGCCGATCGGCCCCCCTGACACGCGCGCCCGTACGCCCCCACGCCAGCTGCTCCCTCCGGGACGCCACGCACCGCTCCGCAGCCGCTGCTGCAGCGACGATATGCGAGTATGAGCTGCGGTCCGATGAGCGGTCGGTCTGTGCATGATCTGCGGGCCGCGGTCGCGCGCGGCCGTCATCAGCCCAGGCCGTGAGCTGGCAGAGGGGACCTGAGTGGGGTGCTCAGCAGTGGGGTCGCCGCGGGCGCTTTGAGGGTCGCTGAGCGCCCGCGGGCGACATAGCCCCGCTCGAGGTCGATAGCGAGGCCACCGTATCTGCCCTCGGCCGCGGGGACGGGCCAGCGTTCGACGAGATTTCCGACGCATCGAGTTCGGGCTATCGCTGCTCGACCCAGCATGCAGAGCGAGATGATGCGATCCCTGGCGGCGCCGCAGACTCCTAGTTTGCCCAGGAGGTCGGGCCGCGCCGCGCGACCCGTCCCGAGGTGCGTCGCTACGCCCGGTCGAACCACCGCTTGGCCAACCAAAGGGAGGCTCTTCCTGATGAGCGGCTTGTGCGTCCGGTCGTGGCGCCGGCCGCGAATCAAGTCGCGGCACTCGCACGTGGCAGCTCTTTCCTGGATCACGGCGTAGCGGCGCCTGACGTGGCAGCACTGGCGCTCGGCCCGCGCCGGGTCGTGCTGCCTCGAGGGCGGCATCCGGTCCCACGGCTCGACGGACGCTGTGCGTCGCGCGCTCGCCCCTCCGCGGGCATCTCCGAGCGGATTCGGGCGCGAGGAGGGCTCCCTTGCGCGGCGCCCTCGCCGCAAACATTGCGAACGCGCCTCGAGACTGCCTTCAACGCACCCACGTCCCGCCACGCCAACGTCGCGGCGCCCACACCCCCCCCTTCCGCAGGCCGGATGTCCCGCGCATGACCAAGGCGTCCGCGGGCACCCAGCTCTTCGGAGTCGACCTCCCGGACCCCAAAGGCTTCTTTGAGAGGCTCTCCGGGACGCTGCGTTTCGGCCCAGGCACGCAGGGCAAGAAGGACCGCAACGCCCAGAGGTGACTGCCCCGCGCCGCCCCTCCAGTCCGCGCGCTTCCGCGACGCCCTGCGTCCCACAGGTCGCGCGTTTCCGCGCCAGCGCACGACGTGACGCAACCGCCGGCGTGCCTTTGCCCGACCCGTGGCCCGTTCCCGTCCGTTCGCGCAGCGCCGCGGGTCCGCTCGTGTTCGTAGCGGGCGGCACGGGCCGCACGGGCGCCCGCGTGGTCCGGGAGCTCCTCACGGCGGGCTACAGGGTGCGCGCGGGCGTGCGCGACCCGGAGGCCGCGAGCGAGCTGTTCGACGCGGCCGCCGAGTACGGCGCGCTGATTCCGTCGCTGCTGAACGGCCTCGAGCTCGCGCCGTTCGACTTCGAGGACCCCGCCGGCATGGTGCGCTCCATCGGGGGCGCGAAGATCGTGGTCTGCGCCGCCGCCACGTCGGAGGACGCTCTGACCGCGGACCTGAAGACGGCGCTCACGGCGCCGTCCAAGTACGACTACAAGGGCACGGCGGACCTCGTCGACGCGGCGGTCGAGGCCGGCGTGGAGCGCTTCATTCTCGTGTCGTCGCTGGGCACGGGCAAGTTTCTGTGGCCGGCCGCGGCGCTGAACCTGTTCGGCGGGATCCTGTTCTTCAAGAAGAAGGCCGAGGACCACCTCCGCGCGTCGGGCCTCGCGTACACGATCGTCCGTCCGGGCGGCCTCGAGCGGCCGAAGGACGATTACAAGAAGACGCAGAACCTAAAACTGTTTCCCGCGAACCAGTGCGGCGGCGGGCAGGTGTCGCGGCTGCAGATCGCGGAGCTTATTAGCGCGATCGTCGCGGAGCCGGAGCTCGGAGAGAACAAGATCGTCGAGGCCGTCGCGAGCTCGGAGTACCCGCGCGTGGCGTACGCGGAGCTGTTGAAGGACGTGGCGGCGATTGGGCCGTCGCGCGAGGAGCAGATGGCGGCGCTGGAGTCGCGCGGGGAGCTGCGGGCGGCGCTGGACGAGATCCGCGGGGAGGTGGAGGGCGCGGAGGCGCGCGTGGAGGAGTTGCGTGGGCGCATCGCTGCGGAGGAGGAGCGCGCGGCGGCGGCGGCGGCGCAGCGGGCGGAGCTGGTGGAGGCGAACGGGGAGCTGCTGGCGGCGGCGGAGGGCGCGGAGGGCGCGGTGGCGGCGGCGCGGGGCCAGCTGGAGGACGCGCTGCGGTCGGAGGTGGCGGCGCGGGCGGTGGTGGAGGCGGCGCGCGCGGCGCACCGCGAGGGGCGCCTGCTGTCACGCCAGGAGCAGGCCGAGGCCGCGGAGCGCGCGCTGCGGCCACCGGAGCCGGAGACAACTGCGGCCAAGCGCGCTGCCGCCGGCGGCCTGTTCGGGCTGGGCGCGAAGCGCGCGGCGGACAAGGCGCAGGCCGAGGAGGAGGCCGAGGAGGAGGCCGAGGAGGAGGCGGCGCCGGCGCCGAAGCGCGCGGGCGGGCTGTTTGGTCTCGGTGCAAAGAAGGCGCCCGCAGTCGCGGAGGAGGCGGCTGAGGAGGAGGAGGAGGAGGAGGAGGAGGTTGTGGTGGCGAAGAAGCGGGGCGGCACGGGTCTGTTCGGGTTCGGCGCGCGGAAGGAGGTTCCTGCGGAGCCCGAGGAGGCGGCAGTCGAGGAGGAGGAGGAGGAGGAGGTCGACGAACCAGTATCTGAGAAGAAGCCGTTCGGGACCGGCCTCTTCGGGTTCGGGAAGAAGCAGGCCGCCCCTGCTGCGCCTGCCGAGGAGGAGCCTGCCGCGGAGGAGGCCCCCGCACCGGTGCCGGTGGCAGAAGAGAAGAAGGAGGCGCCCGCGAAGCAGCCGTTCGGGTCGGGCCTGTTTGCGTTCGGAAAGAAGGCGGCACCGCAGGCGGAGGAGGCGGAGGCTGAGGAGGAGGCTGCTGCGGAAGAGGCGCCCGTGCGGGAGGAGGCCCCTCCACCGGTGCCGGCGGCAGAAGAGAAGAAGGAGGCGCCCGCGAAGCAGCCGTTCGGGTCGGGCCTGTTTGCGTTCGGAAAGAAGGCGGCACCGCAGGCGGAGGAGGCGGAGGCGGAGGCTGAGGAGGAGGCTGCTGCGGAAGAGGTGCAGGCGCCGGAGCCGGTGGCGAAGAAGGAGCCTGTGTCGCGCGACGCGGCGAAGGCGGATGCGGTGGCGAAGCTGCGCGCTGCGGCGAAGAAGAAGGCCGAGCAGGTGAAGGCGGAGCGGGCGGCGACGGGCCAGGACGCGGCGGGCGAGGAGCGGTCACCGCTAGCGGACCTGACGCTGGTGTCGGTGGACGAGGAGCTGGAGGCGGCGCAGCAGCAGGAGCGCGAGAAGGCGGCGGCGGAGCAGCAGGAGCGCGAGAAGGCGGCGGCGGAGCAGCAGGAGCGCGAGAAGGCGGCGGCGGAGCAGCAGGAGCGCGAGAAGGCGGCGGCGGGGCGCGACGCCCTGAAGCGCGTCGCTGCGGAGAAGGCCGCGAAGGCCAAGGCTGTGCGCGACGCTGCCGGGGACGAGGTGAAGAACCCGCTGTCCGACATGACGCTCATCGGGTCGGCGGACCTCGAGGAGGAGGAGGCGCGCGTGGAGGCGGAGGCGCGCAGCAAGGCGCAGGAGGTCCGCGGGCGGGCGCTCTCGGACATGACGCTGGTGGGCAGCGAGGACATCGAGGAGGAGGAGGCGACCGGCGCGGTGGCGACTGCGGTGGCGGAGAAGCGGGCCGCGGCGTCGAACAAGAGCCCGATGCAACTCGCGATGGAGCGGCTGCGCGGCCTGACGGGCGGCGCGGCGCCTGCGGAGGAGGAGGAGGTTGCCCAGGAAGCGGGGCCGGCGGGCGACGCGGCGGGCGACGCGGCGCAGAATGCGGAGGCTGCCAGGGCGTGGATTGCGGCGTGGCGGGCAAGGCAGGGAGGTGCGGCGCAGACGGGCGCTGGCGGGGCTCAGGAGGCGCGTGCGTGGATCGAGGCGTGGCGGGCGAAGCAGTGACGCCTCGACGGATGTGTTGCGGCGGCTACGGCCCCGGGGATCACACGACAGACGAAACAGCCCGCGGCGCGCGCATGCGCGAGGCGGCCGTGCGGGGGTGTGATTGTCGCGGAAGTAGATGTAATGAATTATAGGTTGATGAGACGCAGTCGGCTATCAGCACGGGGGCTGCCAAACATCCTCGCGGTGGGGGGTGCCTGTAGGTCAGCCGAGTATCAGAGCCCAACAGGTGCTCATCCGCACTTATCTGAAGTCAACTCCTACGACCCTCAGCAAGCTCGTTTGCGTTGCCGAAAGCTATTCATCCGTCCAGCGCGCGATTCCAACTGCAACATTCTAGTTCTGTCCTCGGGAACCCAACTCTCAACCATCTAGCTCGAAGAATCGACGATCTTGTGCACTACCGCAAGGATTGCCTCCCGGCACAGCGGGCAGCGCGCCTTGGCGTCCCGGAGCTTCGTCGCGCACTCCCGGCAAACGCACCGGTGCAGCACCCCGTTGTTGTGCACCAGCCCGCTCTCCGCGGGCCCCTCCAGGCACACCGCGCACACCGCGCTTTCGTCCGGTGCCGTGTCCGACGTCGCCGCCCTCCCGTACCCGCCGGCGCCCGGGAACGGGCTCTGCGTTCCCACCAGCTCCTGCCGGCCCGACGGAGGCTCGCTGCCGTCGACGTCGTCGTCAACAACATCAACCAGGTCTCCGAGACCCGGCAGCAGAGGGAGGTCCCAGCGGAGGTCCGCGCCGAGGCCTGACGCGGCGTTCAGGCCTCCGGGGGAGTCTTGCACCGCGGGGAGCACGCCGGAACCGTCGCCGAGGCGCGTCGCGATCGGGAGCTCGCGATCCAGGCTGCCCGTGTAGACACTCCCGCGGAGGGGTAGCCAGGAGTCCTCTGCAGCTGCGCCCATCGTGGGCGAGTAGTCCTCGCCGCCGCTCCAGCCCGCGCGCGATCCCGACGATCCGGACGGCATCAGCAGCCGCACGAGCTCGTTGTGGAGCGACCGCGTCGCCGCCGCCGCCGACGACGACGCCACGCGGCCGACCCCCTCCGTCGACGGCGAAACGCGCTGCGCGCCGCCCGCGCCGTCCTCGTGCGCCGCGCCCGCGCGGCCGCCCTTCTGCTCCTCCGACTCCGCCTCGCACGCCGTCGTCCACGCGTCCGCCAGCGACTGGAAGAGCCACGACCCGCGCTGCTGCAATGCAGGCGCTCCGGGAGTCAGACGGCCTGCGTGCGCGCCCTCGCTCTCCTCCGCGACGTTCTCCGGCACCGGGATCGACACGCTCGGCACGCGAGGCTCGCTCGGCCCGGCCCCGAGCGCTGCCGGGGCCAGCGACGGCGTCTGCGAGGGCGGAGTGTCCTGGGCGCTCACGAGTGGCGACCGGTCGGTCGACGTGCGCCGGAAGCCGTTGCTCGGCGCGCGCTCGAGGGAGCGGCCGGGCCCGACGTCGCCCTGCGGCGTCGCTGGGGCGTTGATGACTGTGAAGAGCTCCTTTTCTAATTGCGTCCATGTGCTGTTGCGCCTGTGATGGCCCTTCTTGACGCCAAGGAGCCTCGACGCCGCCCGCGGCGGCTGCGCGGCCGCCGACGCGCCCGACGCGGACTTGGCTGGAACCGGCGGCGCGCCTGGCGGCGGCGGCGGGGCGGCGGCGGCGGGGCGGTGGCGGCGGCGGCGGCGCCGAACGGAGTTCCCGCGGGCGCGAAGCCGCTGCGGAAGCTCGACGAGCCGGCGGGCGACCCAGGCGTGCCCTCCGAGCGCTGCGCGTCGAGGCTCGGGCGCGGGTGCGCCGCGTTCAGCCGGGAGGCCCCCGCCGCGGAGGCGAACGCCCCCGCGAGCCCGCGGGCTGCCGATGGGGCGCCGTGCGCCGGCGTCGCGCCCGCGCCGTCCGTGCGCCCCGCCGAGGACGGCGTCGACATCGAGCCTGCGGCGCTCCGCGCCTGCGCCGCGCTGCCGGCGGAGCCCTGCGTTCCCGGCACGGGTGGCGGCGGCGTGCCGTCAGAGCGCATCCGGGCGATGTCGATCGCGACGACCGTGCGGTGGTCCTTCCGCGCCCGGCCCAGGCGGCCCCCCGAGGGGCTCGGTGTGCCGTCGAGCAGCGTCCCGGAGCTCCGCCGCACGGGCGAGGCCGCCTCGGCAGCACTGCCAGCTTTGGCTGGGGACAGTTTGACCATGCGAGCGCTGCGTGCGGCGGTGGGGGACTGCAAAGCAGAGTCCGTGGCCTCTTCGGTCGCGCTGGCGCCGCCCGCGCGCACCGCGGCGCCGGCGCGCGCCGGAGAGCCTTCCTGTTTGCTGCCCGTAGCCACCACGTTGCGCCACCCACGCAGCGTCGACGCCGACGAGCTTGGATCGACGACCGCGGGCGCGAGCCCGACCGCATCGACCGACAGGCGCCCGGGCGCCGGCGGCGGCCGGCGCGCCGAGGACCCCGGCGCGCGTGCTGAGTCTGCGGGGGAGTTGACCTCTGACAGCGCCAACGACCCCCCCGTACGCGCTCCGTGCGGCGGCGACGCCTCCACGGCCGCGTGTGTGCTCGAGATCTGCGCGAGCCGCCGCCGCTCGTCGCGCATCTGCTCTTCCTTCAACCGCCGCGTGCGCTCCTGCTTCACTTGCTCCCTCCGCTCCTCGACGCTGCGCGCGTCCTCGATGGCCGCGCGCACGTCCGCGAGGAGCTCGGAGCACACGTCCGACGCACCGTCGTCCGCGGACAGGTCGCTCTCGTCGGCGAGGATGGCCTCGACGCTCTCTAGGGCCGCGATCGTCGGGGTGCGGTCGTCGTCGTCGGAGGCGCTGGCTGCGGCGCGGAGAACGTTGCGCGCGTGCGCGGCGATGCGGTCCGCGAGCTCCGCGCGGGCGTCGGCGAGGACGGCGGCCGGGAGTCCGCCGGTGGCCCCTGCGTCGATCGCGTCGCGCAGTGTGGTGACGCGGAGGGCGGTGACCTGCCGGGCGAGGGCGTCGCGGCCGGCGTCGATCGAGGAGAGGAGCTTGAGGTGCCGGCGCGCGGAGGACACCTTCACGCCCGCCGCGGACGCCTCGGAGATCGCTTCTGCAGAGACAGGGACTCGCAGATGGTTGCGGCATCGAAAACATGTTGCGGGGGCTTGCCGTCGCGCATCGCACGCCTGCGACGACGCGCTCGCTGGCTCCTTCATGCGTGCGGCAGCGAGCCGAGCGCAGAGGGAGACACGGAGCGGGATCAGTGGCAAAGCACAGATCGAACGCATGGTGCTGTGGTCGCACCTTCCAGCTCCTTGCACGAGTCGCTCCGCGCCAGCGCCTCGTCCAGCCGCCGCTGCGCCGCCTGCGACCGCCGCCACCGCGCCAGGTCCCCCGCCGCCCGCGCCGCCTCCGTCCCGAGCAGCTCCCGGCACCGCGCCTGCGTCTCCTCAATCGCGGCCTCTACCGCCTCCTCCGCCGCCGAAGTGTCCTCGCGCACGTCCTTCCGCAGCAGCTCCCGCACCGCCGCGTCCAGCGCGTCCTTCACGTCGCGCGCCTCGGCCAGCCGCGCCACCAGCGCCTCGGCAGCTGACACAGTGTCTGGGTCGAGCTCGGCCGCGCCCCGCGCCGCGCGGACCGCCGCAAGCGCGCTCTCGAGCTTCGCGAGGTCGCCCGTCCCGCGCGACATCGCCGCAAGCCGCCGCAGCGCCTCGATCGCGCGCTCGGCGGCGAGCCGCGTGCTTGCTGCGTGCAACCGCTCGCGGAGGAAGACTGTCTCCTCCGCGCCGATGTGGTCCTGCAGGGACGACTTGAGCGCGGTCTCGGCGCGCGTGAGCGCCTCGCGCAGCGCGGACGGGCCGCGCGGCAGCGCACGGGGCGCCGCGGCCAGCGTCTCGAGGGACGCGAAGAGCTCTCCCGCCGTCGCCCGCGCCTGCAGGTGCCGCAGCACGCGCCGTGCCTCCTCCAGAGGCACGCCCTCGAGGCCCGCGGCCTTCGCCTGCTCGAGCGCGGCCTCCAGCGCAGCGATACACGCGGACGGCCCGCATGACGTTGCACTGCTCGGGGACGCCGGCCCGCGCCCCGCGTGCGCGTCTGGCAGCAGCGGGAGCTCTGCGCACGTGCTCGCGGAGCTCACCGCGGCCTCGAGCGTCTCGACGGCCTCGCGGCGCCGCTCCCACGCCGCGTGCTGCAGCCGCGCGCGCGCTACCAGCTCGTCGAGGCCAGGGAAGCGCTCGGCGTCCTGGATGCAGCTGCGAAGCGCGCCCTCGGCCTCCGCGACGGCCGCTGCGCTGCCGCCGCGGCGCGTGGAGGATGCTTCGGCGTCGGAGGCGTCGCTGCCTGCATCCGCCGCTGATGCGGCCGCCACGCCGCGCGTCGCGAGGAGCTCCTGGAGGCGCTCGCTGACGCGCTTCTGCTCGGCGGCGCTCTCTGCGACCTTGCGCGCGAGGGTCACGACGCGCGACGAGGCTGCGCGGCCGGCGGGGCCGTCGAGAGCCGCAGCGATCCGTGCCAGCCACGCCTCGGTCGGAGGGCGCGCCAGGTGCGGCGCGCCGTCGCCGTCGAACGCGAGCTGCTGCTGAAGAACGTCCCAGACGGGCTTCCGCGGCGGGATCGGCTCCTGAGTCAGCGTCTCGATGATTTGAATGTCGGCGGCATGCACGCGCGCCGCGCGCTCGAGGCCCGCCGCCACGTCAGCACCCCCCAGCCCCGACACCTCCACAATACCCTGCGCGCGCAGCCGCGCCCACGCGGACAGCGCGCCCTGCGCCTCCCGCAGGTCCTGCACCGTCGCCGGAACACCATCCCCGAGCAGCAACAGGTTGACGTGGACGATGCGGCACAGGTTGAGCCCGATGCCGCACCACGCAGACATCTCCGCGTCGCCCGCGCCGCAGCACCGGCCCGCCGTGGGCGTCAGCTCCTGCGGCAGCCCAACAATCAGCTTCGCCGACGCCGCGTCGGTCGCGCCCTCCGCAACGAGCTTGCGCCCGCCGAGCGCGCTGGAGCTCGCAGGGCGGCAGCACGGCCGCAGGGACGACGCGTCCTCGCCTTCCCAGACCGTCACGGCGCGCCGCACCGCCGCCCGCGCGGCGCCCGCCGCCGCCTGCGAGGCGTTCGAGCCCGCGCGACTGTGCGTGGCGCTCCGGGGGCCGTCCGCGTCCCCGAACGGCGCCGACACCACCATCTGGGTCAGGTACCGCTTCGCCGCGGCGCTCCCGGAGGGGTCGTGCCCGCCCAGGATCTCTAGCCCTGGCGGCGACGATCCCAGCGCATCCGACGCGTGCCCATCAAACGAGTACGCCCCGCGGCTCAGCGACCGCGAATGATTGCGCGTGTGCGTGCCGGAGGTCGGCTTCGAGCCCTGCGCCTCGCCGCCGCCGTCGACGCGCATCTGCACGGAGGTCGTGCCGCGGAGACCTAGCGCACTGCTCACCGCGCCCTCCGCGCCGTTGAACGCCCGCGACACCTGGCTCAGCGCCATCTGGATGCTCTGCGTGGCGATCTCGCGGCAGCTGTCGCACGCGCAGCCCCTGTACTTGAGGAACGCGGCCTCCGCCCACAGCCGGTACACCTCTGCTTGTTCGGCAATAGGGACGACGCAACAGTCCCCCCCCCCCGGCGCCGCGCCGCCCGCGCCCGCCCCGCAGGCCCGCGCACCCCCCGCGTGCGCGCCGCCGAACGGCATCAACAGCGCGGGCTCGATGCCGGCTCCAACGTCGCCCGGCCACGGTTGGCACCCCTCGAGGCCGCGCGGCGTCGTGCCGCCGCGGAGGTCGAGGCCCTGCATGGCGTGCACCGCGCGCACGAAGCACGCGAAGGCCTTCTCGGCGTTGACCACGACTTCGCCGTCCTTGGGGGGCGTAATGCCGCACAGGCAGACGCGGCCCGAGCCGCACCCGCACACGGGCTCCCCCGGCGCGTGCGGCTCGCCGTCGCACGCGCAGCGCGAGCAGCCCCCACGCGCGAGGTCCCCGCAGCACAGGCGCTTCGCGGCGTCGTCGGAGAGCAGCCCCAGGTGCGCGAGACCTTTAGTGGCCTCGGCGCGCATCGACGCCAGCAAGTTGACCGAGGCCTGCCGGTGCTCCGCGCGCTTGAGTTTCCGGCGCCGCCGGACGAGCGACGACACTCCGGGCGTCACCAGGCCCTCCGTGCGCATCTGGTACCACCCGAGCGCGGCCACGATGCTCACCCCAAGCATGTAGAGCCACGTGACGATTCCGAGGGAGATGCAGGTGGCGCCGTACTGCATCAGCGCGGAGCGGGCCGCGGAGGACGTGCACGGCGTGGACTGCCGCATGTGCGGCATGAGGCACCGGCAGAGCCTCTCGTCGCCCGCCAGCGCGTCGCCGCTCGCAGCGTGCGACGGCGTGCCTTCGCAGTTCGGCACGCAGTGGATCGGGAGCTCGTTCGCGGTGTTCCTGCGGGCGCAAAGCGTAATGTACGAACGTCAGGGGCCCGGACGGATGCGCCGCCGGCGAGCAAGACAGGTGCACCGGCTGCAGTGCGCCACAGGAACACGGGGGCGTGCGGGGGGGTGTTTACCTCGCGGAGACGTTGCCGCCGTACTGCAGGACGCGGCGCACGAGCGCTGCGCTGCCGCGGATCGCTGCGCAGTGCAGCAGCGTCGCGCCGTCGAGCATGGCGTGCACGGTGGCGTTTTCAATCTTGTCCGACGGCCAGTCGGTCTCGTAGGCCCCGGCCCACTCCGTGAGCTGCATCGACGGCGGGATCATCGCGCGGCGCTCCGGCGCGAAGAGGAACTCGATGATCGGCGTCTCCAGGACGGGGTCCAGCGGCGTGTTGGCCACGGCGCGCGCCCCCGCTCGCACCGCAGTGCTGGGGCCCGTGCGGCCGCCCGCGGAGCCCATCGGCAGGAGCACGCCGCCGCTGTGCTGGGCGGCGACGTCGGCGGACCCGCGGAGCTGCGAGGCGTCGAAGGGCGGTGACGTGCCGCTGTGAGTTGGGATTTCATAATGGAACAAGGATGGCATATATTCGGGCGGTTTGAGCGGACGAGGAGCGGCGAGGAGGCGCACCTGGGACAGTTCGTGCCAAGGCACGGAGAGCAGGAAGTCGAGGAAGCCGACGGGGGCCCCGAGGAGCACCGCAGCACAGGCTGCGCCAGCTGCGACCGCCTGGCAGCGCTCCAGGGGCAGCTCCACGCCCGGCTGGTCGTAGCTCGGCAGCGCGATCTCCATCAGCCGCGGCAGCAGCGTGTAGATGATGCTCTCGGAGATGCCCTTGGCGCGCCGCGAGTCCCCCGTTGCTGCCGACGGCAGCTGCCCGCGCACTGGCGCGCCGCCGTCGCCGACGATGAGGACGGAGGACGTGTCATGGCTCTGCTGGGACACTGCACCGCGCTGGTGCCCGCCCTCGCCCTTGACCTTCCTGCCCCTGCGCACACACAGCTCCAGACCCCTGCGTCATGCGTGCGCCGCCCACGCGACCAATGGTGCATCGCGCTGCGCCGAATCCGCGCCCGGGCTGCGCGCTCGCGTGTCCGTGCCGCTGCGAGGGCGTTGCTCTCCCTGGGGCGGCGCAGACAGGGGGTCGCGAACCTTCTCAGCTTGAGTGTTGCAGGCTTCTCCCGCATGGTTTCCCGGTCACGGAAGCGACGCGCAAGCGCGTCTCGTCGCGGACCAAGTGCCTTGTCCCCCTTGTCGCCAAAGTGGCTCACGATTCAACCGTCATCGTCGACGCACCGCACCTGCAGAGCGCGAAGTCGAGTGCCGCAATCAGGCCAGTGCTCGCACGACACACTCCAGCCCTCCGCTGCGGACGCCGACGCGCGAACGGTGCGTGGCGCTGACAAAGGGCGCGGCCGCGCGAGGTCGACCCCTGCACGGCCTCGCAGCGCCGCGTTCCCGCCGTGAGAAGAGCGCGCAGCTGTCACGCTCCACGGCGTGTCCCGCCCCGCGCGTCAGAGTGCCAATTCGCGCCCTCGCTCGGTCCGCGTGGTCGTCCCTCCGCCACTGGCGCCAAAGGGGACGACTTTGGGACGCGGCGCCGCCCGTGCGCGACAAATACGGGGACGGTTGTCTCAGCTGGTGGTTCGAGGGCAGGGTCGGTACTGGCTGCGGGGGCGCTTGCCGCAGGGCGTGCCCGCGCCGCCGCGCAGGCTCGGAGTGATCCGCGCAGGTGCGCGCGTCGCGGCGCCAGCACGCCTCCGCGGCGCGTGGGCAGGCACGTAGCACGGCAAAGTGGCCCCGTGCCCGTGCCGCGTGGCGGGGGACGCGCGGGGCGCAGACGACGATCGCGCGTGACGGCCATGCACGTCTGCTGCCGCCCACGCACCCCAGCGCGGCGCGCGGGACCCACGCCGCGGCCCTGCCGGGCACCAAGCGACCGTGAACATCGACCGCGAGGCCTGGCATCTGCCGCGGGGGGCACCTTCCAGGACGCACCTGAGCGCCGGCTCGCGCCTGTACGTCTCGCAGTTTCGGCGCAATTCGGCGCGAGACCCCTTCAGCCCGCGGCTGTGCGCCGGAGACCCCACTGTTTGCAGCGCGGCTCTATCGCGCAGGGAAGGCTCGCTCGCCGCTGCTGCGCACCACGGGCCGCGGCTCCGGGTAAGCCCACGTGTTGTGCGCACGCGCGGCCCGCGCTCGCGCCGATTGCCCGCCGCCACGCCCGGCTCTCGGACCCTGATGATCACAGTGTCTCACAGTCTTCCATGGCAGTCTGCTTGACCGACGTCCCAGACAGCCTGCTTCCCCTGCCGATCTCTTGCCCGCGCGGCCCCAGCCGCCGCATGGCAGTGCCGCAGACTACCGTTCTTACTTCGTCCTATTCACTCCACGAAGACATCGACTACAAATCGATCCCTGAGACTCCGAAACCCGAATCCAAGTGCACTCTTCGTGGTCGTTGCCGGTCCCCTCGCTCGCGCGCTCTCCGCACCGTCCCCCAGCCATGATCTCTAGCGCGATCCGTGCCCCCGCCGCGGCCCCCTCGGCCCCGGCCCGCGGCCTGTCGACGCCTTCTCGCGCCGCGCGCGCCTCATCTGTGACCACGCAGGCGGTGCGCAAGGGCAGGGGCGACGCTCAGGTGCGTAGCCCGCCCCACACGGCGATATCCGTCGCGCCATCCTCAAACACGCAACCATCATCAGTGCGCGGCGCGAGAAATCGCAGAAAACCCACGCAATTCGACGCACGGACGTCTCAACCGGCCGAGTGGCTCCCTGCCTCACCGCGCCCTCCGCGCGCCTCCCGCGCCCCGCACGGCCGCTCCGCGCGTGCAGCGCGCCTGTCTCACTCCTCCCGACCTCTCCTGCGCGCCCGCGGCCCCGCACTGCCCCCACACCCGGCGCTCGCGCCCAGTCACTCGTGCCTGCGCCCGCCATTGGTCCTGCCCCTGCTCACCGCCCCCGCGACCGCCCCGCCCCCGCAGGCCGGCGCCGAGGCGCGCCCCGCCGTGCGCCCGCTCCGGGCCGCCGCCGCCGCCCTCGCCGCCGCCGTCATGGTCGCCGCGGGCGGCCCCGCGATGGCTGATCTCAACAAGTATGAATACGAGGCAGGGGGGGAGTTCGGCGTCGGCACCGCCGGCCAGGTCCGCTCCCCGCACGCTCCACCGCCGCCGCAACGCGCCCGCGCCGCCGCATCGCCGAACCCGGACCATCCGGCGCCGCGGCAAGCGGTTGTTGTGCGCTGACGACGCCATCCCGGTGCGCCGCCCGGGCGTCGGTGGCCCGCGCGCGCCGACGTTCGTTCCGTCCCCGTGTCCTTCGTTGCGCAGTACGGCGAGGCGGACCTGACGGGCCGGGACTTCTCCAACCAGGACCTGCGGCGGTCGAACTTCACGGCGGCGGACTGCCGGCGGTGCAACTTCGAGAACACGAAGCTGAACGGCGCGTACTTCATCAAGAGCGTGGTCTTCGCGGCCAACTTCGAGGGCGCGGACCTCTCCGACACGCTCGCGGACCGCGCGGTGTTCAACGAGGCCAACCTGCGCAACACCGTGCTCGTGCGGTCGGTCCTGACGCGGTCGGACCTGGGCGGCGCGGACATCTACGGCGCGGACTTCACGAACGCGCTCGTGGACAAGCTCCAGGTGCAGGCGCTGTGCCGGTACGCCGACGGCGTGAACCCGACCACCAACGTGAGCACGCGCAAGTCTCTGGGCTGCTCCTCGCGGCGCGTGCGGCTGGAGAGCACGCCGAGCAACCCGGACGGGCCCCAGGTGTCGGAGGAGGAGAAGCGGGCGTTCATGTCGAGCGTCCCGTCGTACGGCGCGGGCAACCAGTGAGCGCCGCGTGTGCTGAGGGTTTGTGTTGTGGCTGGTGCGGAGGTGTGAGACTCGATGAGACGTGGTACGCCGAGGGCGGGGTCGTGGGCGTGCGGCGGCGGGGGGCGTGGCCGCTGGTGCGGGCGGGGGCGTGAACCAGCGCAACTGCAGTGTGCAGCGTGTGTGTACTGGATTGCGCCGGTGCTCGGGAGCTGAATGCGACGCTGGGCGCTGCAGGCTGAGGGCTGGAGAGACGCTGGGCGGATGATTGGTTCGCCGTCGAGCGCGTCGGTTGAGGCTAGGGACGAGGTGAAGCTCAGGGGCGCGCTCGGGGCGGCGACTGGGCGCGTGATGGGGTTGCTTCGATGTTACATGGAATCGACGACTCTATGGAATTCGGATACGGATCACGGCAGGAGGCGAGGCGCCCGCACGGCCCCGGGAGGCGCGGCCGTGGTGGCCTCGGAGCCGAGCCTGTCGTGTCCGTCTCGCAATCGATCGATTGATTTCGCCGCGACGCGCGGCTTCCCGACGACGATTTCTGGCCGCGCGTCGCGCCCGCAGCGCCCCTCGCCGCGCGTCCGGGGGGGGTTCGGGAGGAGTTGGACCTTGCTCTGGGGCGGACGCCTCAGCGCCGCTCCCGGCCGCTACAAGGGCCCGCGGCGTCGAGGCGCAGCAGGCTGATCATCGCACGTCCGCTCGTCGCCTCGTAGCTTGTCGATCCCGCTCTTCCTCCACGGAACAATCATGTTCGGCACCCTCCGCATCGCCGCGCCCGCTGGCGTGGCCGTCAAGTCGCAGCGCAACGTCACTGCCCGCGCCGGCAAGTACGATGAGGAGCTGATCGCCACCGCGGTGCGTCCCTGCCGCGAGCGCGGCCCCGCGATCCACCCGGGCGGTCGTCGTCCGGCAGCTGGGACGATGATCGTGCCTCGCCCGCTGCGCCCTGTCCGTTCGGCGACCTCCACCGCGGCCATCGAGATCCAGTTTGCGACGTCGCGACCCTCCGCGCCTCGTCGCCTGGGCTGGACGCACGGAAGCGATGTGGCCGGGCCACCGTCTACATCTGGCCCGATTGCCGCGCCCTCTGGCGGCCTTGCCGTTTTTTGGCCTTTTCTCGCTTGAGTCAGTTCTGATCGAGCCCGAAAGCCCGCGCGCGACCCTCCTCCGGCCGGCCTTCTCACGGAATTCCGCCCCCTGCGTCCCCGGGACTCGCGTCCGTGCAGGCGAAGATCGCGTCGCCCGGCCGCGGCATCCTGGCCATGGACGAGTCGAACGCCACCTGCGGCAAGCGCCTGGACTCGATCGGCGTGGAGAACACGGAGGACAACCGCCGTGCCTACCGCGAGCTGCTGGTGACCGCCCCCGGCCTCGGCCAGTACATCTCGGGCGCCATCCTGTTCGAGGAGACCCTCTACCAGAACACCTCGGACGGCTCGCGCATGGTCGACAAGCTGAACGAGCAGGTAGGCGCCCCGCGCGCGCCCTGGCCCAGGCGGCCCCTCTCGCTCCGCCTCGCGCGCTCCCCCGCGCTCCCGCCCGCGGCCCGACCGCCGCGATCCTCGATCGACCTCGCAACTCACCCGCATCGCCCGTCGCTACCCCGTTTCGCAGGGCATCGTCCCCGGCATCAAGGTCGACAAGGGCCTGGTGCCCATGGCCGGCTCCAACGGCGAGTCGTGGTGCCAGGGCCTCGACGGCCTGGCCCAGCGCTGCGCGGAGTACTACAAGGCCGGCGCGCGCTTCTGCAAGTGGCGCTCGGTCGTCTCCATCCCCTCGGGCCCCTCGATGATCGCCCAGCGCGACTGCGCCTACGGCCTGGCCCGCTACGCCGCGATCGCGCAGGCGAACGGCCTCGTGCCGATCGTCGAGCCGGAGATCCTCCTGGACGGCGACCACGACATCGACCGCACCCTCGAGGTCGCGTCCGCCACGTGGGCCGAGACGTTCAAGTACCTGGCCGACAACAACGTGCTGTTCGAGGGCATCCTCCTCAAGCCGTCGATGGTCACGGCCGGCGCGGACTCCACCACGAAGAACTCCCCGGAGGTCGTGGCCGACTACACGCTCAAGATGCTGCGCCGCCGCGTCCCGCCGGCGGTCCCGGGCATCATGTTCCTCTCGGGCGGCCAGTCGGAGCTCGAGTCGACGCTCAACCTGAACGCCATGAACCAGTCGCCCAACCCGTGGCACGTGTCGTTCTCGTACGCGCGCGCGCTCCAGAACACGTGCCTGAAGACGTGGCAGGGCCGCCCCGAGAACGTCGAGGCCGCCCAGGCCGCGCTCATGAAGCGCGCCCAGGCCAACTCGATGGCGCAGCTCGGCAAGTACGACCCCAAGGTCGAGGGCGACGACTCCAGCGCCGGCGAGGGCATGTTCCAGGCCGGCTACACCTACTAAGCGGATCGCTTCTGTGGAGGCTCTGTGCCCCATGGACTGACGCTGCGCGGCGCGGTGGGGCCGCGGGCGGCCTTGCGGCGACCCGCGCCTGCCGTGCGGTGGGTTGATTGATGCGGCGGATGTGCTGCTGAGGATGTAACGACGAGCGGACGCGTAGCGTCACTGCAAGGTCCGTCGGGACTGCCTGGGCATCGAGTTTCGCCCCCACACCGCTCCGCCAGCGCGGCGTCGATAGAAACCTGCGCCGTACGTCCTTCATGAAGAGCGTTCCGTCCGAGGCTGCTTGCCGCGGCCCCCACCTGTCTGCTACGCTGTCACGGTGTCCCTGAGAGGCGTCCAGCGACGGGTCAGGCGAGGCAGCGCCGCCCACGACGCGTGCGAGCTCACGGTCGACACGCTCCGTCGCCCTGATAGTTCATCGCGTCACATCGTCAGCGCACGTCGCTGTAGAGCCTGTCGTACAGCTCTTGCAGTGCGGCCGGGTCCCGCCGCACGTACCACGACAGCGCCAGCCGGTACTGGATCCACGTGGCCTTCGCGTTGCCCCACTTCGCGAACCTCCGCCCGCTCGAGTCGACGACGCGCGACAGCACGCGGATCTTACCCTGCCGCGCCGCGCGGGCCCCCGGGGGCTGCACCGCGGGGCCGCTCTCGTGCATCCGCATGCACAGATCGGCGTCCTCCATGATGGGCCACCGCTCGTCGAACCCCCTGCGGAGGAGGCCACGAAAACCACGGTGGGTCCGCTGTTTCCTGTCTCAGCTGGGCATGTTTACAACATAGTCGCGATCGCATCGCTGGTCGGGCAACGAACCTGACTTTCCAGAAGTCTCTCTTGCGGCAGAAGATCGCCTGGTCGCCGAAGAGCAGCCGGAGGCCCCCGGAGTACGCGAACGGCCGCAGGACGAGCGGGTATAACCAGGAGCTGACGAGGTTGTGTATGCTCATACCCCACCACGTCTTGCTGGGCTCCGACGTCGTCAGGAGCGGCGTGAAGCCGCCCATGACCACCCCGGGGTCCCGCAGCGCCGTCCGCACGCACCGCACGACGTCCAGCGGCGGCAGCGTGTCGGCGTGCAGGAACAAAAACACATCGCCCCGCGCCTCCTTCGCCCCGGCGTTCATCTGCCGGGACCGCCCGCGGCGCTTCGAGAGCACAACGCGCGCGCCGCGCTGCGCCGCGATGTCGACCGTGCGGTCGTTGCTGCCGCCGTCCGCCACCACGATCTCAAACGGCGCTGGCCGCAACAGCTTGAGGTAGCTGAGCGTGCGCTCGAGCGCCGCCTCCTCCTGGAGCGCGGGAATCACGATGGACACGCGGTAGCGGTCCGCCTCGCGGATCTGCTGCGGCGTCAGCACCGGCGCGTCGAGCTTCTCCCGCAGCATGGTAAAAACTATCACGCCGGAGTAGAACACCGCGGCCACCGACGCACCCCTCCTCGCCCTGCACGGAGCCAGCGCGGCGCACGAGAGGTCGGCGGACGCAGCCCCGAGAGCGTACGCGCGAGAGAGGCAACGCACTGCAAACAAAACATCACCGTCTCAGACTCGCTTGCGGGTCGCGAGAGGGTGCGCGGCTCCCGGGAGACGCGCGTGGCTGCGGCTGTGGTGCCCGCGAGGCCGGAACCCAGCAAGTCGGGCTCTCAAGGCAGCACCGCCCTGAAACACGCACCACGTCAGCAGCGCGATTGCTGCCGCCGCCCACGCCGGCGCCGGCCCCGCCCCGCCGTTGCCCTCGTCGCCGCCTCCGCCCCCTCTGCCGCTCCCGCCCCCTCCAACAGACCCCCCGCCCCCCACGTCACTCACGCTGGAGCTGACGTCTGCGTCAATGTCGTCCACGTCGCCAATGGGCCCCAGACCGTCGTCGTCGTCCTCGCCAACGTCCGCGAGGTCGTCGTCCGGGGCGTCCTCCACGTCCTGGCCGGCGTCGCTCCCGCCGCCGTCGTCGTCGTCGCCACCTGCCGCAACGGAGACTCTCCGGGGACGTTGCGCGCAGCGACCAGGCATGCGAGACAGACGCGACGCCCCAGCGTGCCCGGCCCATCTGGATGTGCCGCGGATGATCTGCTGCGGCGCACGATCGCGGAATGATCCGGCCGGGCGACGTGCTGTCCTGCGGGGCAGCTTGCAGCCCTGCGCCGCGAGTGTGGGGACCGTCTCGATCGACATCGTTGATGTACAACAAACTTTGAAACAGTGAGAATCCTTCGGGATGGAACAGTTGCGCAATCATGCCCCATAGAGGCGCTGGAGCGAGAGCGGAGTGACCCGCCCAGTTTGCGCGCATCCCTAGCCCTGAAGGGCTTCTGTCCGATCATCTGGGACAAGAGCGAGAATGTCATACAGTCGAACTCGACGTTACGGTGGTATTCGGGCACGAAACACCTCTGGCCTGACCGCACACACACGCACACACCCTCGCGCAAGCCCCAGCGCACACCAAGTCCCGTCAAGGCGCACCTCGACACCCCCCCGCGCCCTCGCTGTGCACGTACATCTCACGGAGCCACCGCACGCCATCGTCGTGCCCCCCCTCGCGCCTACAGCGCCCCCCAGGCCCGTCATTTGCCCCCGCCCCCCTCGCTGCCAACAATCTCGTGGAACCGACCGCCCAGCGACCCGTTCCAGGGCACCTGCGCAACCGTCCCGCGCGCCCGCGCCTTGTCGCGGGGCCGTCGGACCTCCGCACGCGCGTCGAGGCCCCCGGAGGAGTCAGCACAGACCAACAGTCCAGCTGCGTCGCACAGCCCCCCCCCCTGCCGTCCCGGGCCGGGCAGGCGGCGATGGCGGACGCAGACCGCATGGCATGGCCAGCCGCGCGGACGTGACGTCCAGAAACGACGCCGCGAACGCCCGCGGCGGCGACGGGCGGGCGACCTTGCCTCTGAGCGGTCGGGCATGGAGAGAGCTCGCGGGCGACCGGCGCGTGGCCGACCGGCGCTGGGCCCGGAAGCTCTCGTCGGTTGTGCCTTGCGGGTGTACTGGCCCGCGGACGACCGCGCCTACCCAGGTGAGCGGACGTCGTTCACCCCTGCCTGCGGAGCCCAACTGCCGCTGAACGCGGGAGGCCGCGTCGATCGACCCGATTCTGTACCGTTTCCCGCCGTGAGTGATCACGGGGGCCTGAAATACCGCCAGACCGCGCGCAGCGTCCCTTGGTCCCTCGTGGCGCGTACTGAACGTTCCTCTGGGTCATCGCGCGATCCCCGCACAGGTGTTGTCGCATCTTACGACCGGCCGACCCGAACGCACGTGGTCGAGTACGAGGACGGCGAGACGGAGCGTCTCGATCTCTCGAAGGAGCAGGTCGAGTGGATCGACGGCCCCAGCTGCGTTGGGCGCCGCGTCCAGGTGCTCGACTCCGCGGCGGACGACGGGTCCGTGCGCGGGTCGAGCGGCACGATCGTGCAGTTCATACCTGCGACCAAGTCTCGCGGGCACACCCATGCTGTTCAGGTACGTCCGGCCCCTGCCAGCAGAGGTCCTGGGCAACTGCCTGGCTGTCGGCAAGGCGCGCGCGCATGAACGCGGGCGGACACGCAGTCGCGACGCTCGCTGGCGTTCTTGTGTCGAGTGGATCTGCAGCTCGATGACGGTCGGTTCCTGTACGCGGCCATCGGCCCGGATTGCGCCCTGGTGCCCGGAGCACCCGTCGTTACGTCGCGGCGCAAGCGCAAGGCGGCCGGGAGGCCCCACGAGCCCGCGAGTCGTGTCGGCGAGCAGCCCGACGCCGATCACGCCGGGACGGCGACGCCGGAGGGCCGCGGCGGGCGGCGGAGGAAGCGAGTTCGTGCACGCAACGAATCTCCTCGTGTGGCGCAGCGCGGCGCAGCGGGGGCGGCTTCGGGCACACCGCAGGCTGCCCCGCTGCAGGTGGAGGCTTCTCCGCGGCAAGACGCGGCGATGACGTGCGGCGCCGGGGACAGGGGTGGGGCTGAAGAGGCAGCGCCACAGCATAACGTTTCGAGGCGCAAACACCTCGGCGCTGGCCGAGTGCGGGAGGGACTCGCGGGCGCGGACGTAGCTGCGGACGAGGACGCGGGCTTCGAGGACGGAGCGTCCTCCGGCGGCGAACCCCCCGCGCTGTCGGACATGAACGACATGTTTGGTTTTACCGATGAGTCAGGGCGGGTGTGGGTGTGGCGGTTCGCGGCAGTGGCGCGCGCTGGGGTTCTCGAGCGAGCGACCAGCGCTGCGGCTGCGTGTCGGCGGCGTCGGGATCCGCATGTCGTCGTCAGACCAGAGGACGAGTCCTCTGCAGACGAGGGCGCGGGCGACGCGGCTGAAGGCCCCGCGACGCCAGACGGGAGGAACCGAGGCGCGGATGCGACGGGCCTGCGCAGGGTGCGCGCGTCGGCGGAGCCGTGGGCGGCCCGAGTCAGGCGGTGGTGTTTTGACGACCATGACTCGTTCTGGGACTGGGTGGACGACCAGGAGGTGGAGTTCACACTGCGCGACGACAGCAGCGACGAGGAGGACACCGTGCAGTACCGTCGCGGGCCTGCCGGGGCGCGGGGCGCTCCGTCGCGCGCTGAGTCAGGCCTGCGGCGTATGACCATGTCAGGGGGGACGTTTTGGGCGTTCCGCGGGCCAGGCGAGGCGCGACGGGCGTTCGTGGGGAGGCGCAACGAGCGGCGACCTGCAGGGGTGGCCTCGCTCGTCCGCATGCGCGCGTGGCTGGCGGGATGCGCCGCGCACAGAGACGCACAGCCACCGTTCGAGTTTGGGCCGCTGCCGCCAAAGTGCACGGTGCGCGCGGTGGCGGAGAGGGCGGTGTGGGGCGACATCTGGATCAGACAGGACGGGACGTTCGTGGATGAGGACGCTTGGGAGCGCGGTGACGTGGTACGAGTCGCTTTTTTTTGTTTCGTCAGTCCATGCCGCGAAGACGCACACGCCGCTGCCTGGATTTGTGCATGGATGGGACTGTATATTTAGAGCCTCGTGCTGCGCAGGACGTGTACTCCGATGCGACGTACGAGAGCGAGGGCGAGGAGGGACGCGGCAAGCCTCGCGCACCACGCCTGCTGCGTCGGAAGCCCACGCCCGCGTCTGACCCACGCATGCTCGCTGCACTCGTCAGGAACTGCTCCAACGGCATCCAGTCCGCTCTGCGGGCGCTGCGCGAGGAGCCCGCCGCGCAGGATGAAACCCCGTCGCGACGCAAATCGAAGGCTCGCACGCGCGCCGCAATGTCGCTTCAGCAGACCTTCCGACGGCTCTCCTGGCATCCAGCCGCCGCCACCGCGGCACGGTGCGCGGGTCGGAGCGACGTCGACGCGCGACGCGAGCGCTCAGAGGTCCTGCAGTCCCACCAGGCACTCACTGCGAGCCTGCAGCGTCTCGACAGACAAACGCAGCTCCCCGAGGACACGCTACTACCGGGGCCGTTCTCGGCAGCGCAGTTGACGGAGCTCGTGGAGCAGATGCGCTGGGTGCAGGACCAGGTCGGAGATGCCGTCACGCCACAGCCGGGAGGGGCCGACGCGGAGGCCGACGAGACCGCGCCGGTCAGCTGGCGCCGGCAGAAGATGCCAGCTGATGAAGGAGGAGTCGCCGGGGTTCGCTCGCAGAAGGCATTCCGGTTCCTGGTTGTAGATGCGGCAGGGACCACAACGCCGGCCCTCGAGGCGCACGCGCGAGCTCCTGCGAACCCCGTGGAAGGGAGTGAAGAGGCGGGCGAGGACGCCGGGGCTTCGGTCGCGGCGAGCCCTGCGTCGTCGCGGTTGGTGTACAGCCGGTGCGCTGAAGGCTCTTCGTTGGACTTCTGGCCGGGGATCGGCGACGCGAAGGAGCTGAACCGCCGTCAGGCAGAGACATGGCTCGACGCTGTCGTCGCTCTCTCGCAGCACGGGCTGCTCGGGCTCATCAAGTCGATTCAATCAGCGGTGGAATCATTCGAGGATTTCCGAACCCAGTTCCGCCCGGCTGATCCCGTCTCCGCCGCCAGAGCCCCGCGCGACGGCGCAGGGAGCCGGCGGCGGGGCGGAGGCCGGAGACCGCGCGTGTGGGAGGACGGACCAATGGCGATTGTCGACTATGGATTGAACGAACCTATGATATGGCAGCGTCGCGTCGCAGCGGCACTTGGGCGCTGCCGCCGCGTCCTGGGCGACCGCCGCGTCGACGAGAGGTGGGGTTCGACGGTGCTCGACGCCATCATCGGCACGCACCTCACGCAGACGGTCAGCGACGTGCTGTCGGCGTCGGCGATCATGAATCTGCGCGCCCGCTTTCCGCACCGCTCGGTCCTGCCAGGGCGAGAAGCACGTCGCGATACAACACAGCGACGGCGCCAGGACGCGCACAGACACCAGGGCTGCGGGGAGTCGGCGATCGATGACTGCACTGACGTCGCTGACGAGGCTGGCGCGGACGGCGCGGGACGGCACGATCGCCACGCTGACAGAGGCTGCGTGCAGGACACTGTGGACTGGCAGGCGGTGCTCGAAGCCCCGGTGGATGAGCTCGCGGAGGCCATCAAGTGCCGCGGGCTGCATCGGATTCTTGCACGTCGCATCCAGAACTTCCTGCGCTCGGTGCTCGACCTCGGCCGCAAGCGCGGGCTCGCGACTCGCGGCGCCGAGCCCGCGGAAGCCGAGGCGGGGCCCGCTCGCGGGGAGCAGGACATGACGTTGTGCCTGGAGCACTTGCACGAGGCTGCTGACGCTGACGTGGCGGACTACCTGATGAACACACCGGGGCTGGGGCACAAGTCGACGTCCTGCATCATGCTGCTCGCGCTGAACCGCGCGAGCTTCCCCGTCGACGTCAACGTGGTCAGGATCTGCGCGCGGCTTGGTTGGGTGCCTCTCAAGAGCGAGCGCGTGCTCGAGGACCTCGAGGACTACGGCGCGCCGGAGATCATGAACGAGTACCTGCAGCAGAAGCTCGTCAAGTACTGCAACGTCGCAACCCTCCAGGAGCTCCATTATGTCTTCATCACTCTCGGGAAGGTCTTCTGCCGCGCGCGCGATCCAGCCTGCGCAGCCTGCCCGCTCGAGGATCTCTGCGAGCACGGAACGGCGCGCAGGGAGGCCCGAAAGGACGCGGCGACGATCACGCCGGAGTACGATGTGTCGCACGTGGAAGCGCGCGGCGCGGGGCCCGCGGCGACGCCGACGGCGCACACGCAGGGCTTGCAGACGCCGTCCCGGCCGTCGGGCCAGAGACGCCGCGGCGCCGCGGCGTCCGCGCGGGACTCCACGTCGACCCCTCCGGGGGCGTCGTCGCCCGAGTCAGGGAACGGGTCCGTCAACGGCCCCGTCGACGCCGGCTCGCCGGCGCCCTCGCACGACGCAGTTGTGGACCTCGTCGTCGAGGTGTGCGAAGGCGCGCCGGCGTCAGCGTGGAACGACGATTGCCAGCTGGGACTAGAAGCCATGACATCGCGCGTCGCGGGCTGTCGCGGTCTCAAACTCGCTCGGATGGCCGCGAAGCTCGTCCCCGGATGCAGGCGCGTCCTGAACTTCTCGCAAGCGCCGACGCGCCGCTCCGGGAGCGAGGAGCACGGCGCAGGTAGCGTGAGCGACGAGGTGAAGTTGGCCCGGCGCGTGCTGCGGCAAGTGTGCGCGCGGCTGCACCCGGACCGAAACCCGAGCCCACGGGCTGCGGACGCGTTCTCGCTGGCCACGGCCGCGGTCGCGGAAATGGACGAGCTGATGGAGGCGCTGAAAGGACTGCGCGGCGATGAGACCTCGGACGACAGCGACGCGGGCGCAGGGGCCCCCGGATCGGACGCCCGCGAGCTGGCTCGCGCATCGCGGAGCCCCCTGTCCAGCGCGATCGGGCGCTCGTGTCATCGGATCCCGGCTATTCGCGTCCCAGCGGGCGCCGTTGGCCGGGTGCAGGAGGCGCACCGCGCGGCCGCTGGAGGGCGTGGGATCCTGCACGGGACAGACGAGGAGGCCGTGGACTACGACGCGCACCCCATGATGGCGTTTGTCTCCAGCTTGTCGCCGCGGGAGGACAGGGGGGTGTTGGATGACTCAGCGGAGGGGACTGCGATCGCGTCGGAGGGTCTGTCGACGCTGGTGGGCGAGTGGATGCAGGAGGAGCTCCGGGATAGCCCGTGTGCCGACGGAGAGAGGTGGGCTGGGTGCCGCGGGCTGTGCAGGGGGATGTGTGCCCAGGGCGTTGCGGCAGTGACGTCACGCCCTGTCGCGGTCCGGCTCCTCGTTCCGGTGTACGTCGCGATGCAGGGGCGCTTTCCCCTTCGCGGCACGTACTTCCAGGTAACTCGCCCGACCCGGTATCGTGCGAGCGAAACGACACGAGTCCCAACTTCGCTTTTGATGTCGTCCTTTCTTACTCACCTCGCCACTTCGCTCTCGGCGCACTGCAGGTGAACGAGGTCCTCCTCGACCACGTCTCGGACACCGCGCCGCTCGTCGTCCCGCTGTCGTCGATCCTTGGCGCTGGCGCCAGCCCCCGTTGCTGCACGCACGCCGCGGCCACGGCCGATGCGGCGCCGCTGCTCGCCGGCATCCGCTGGCAGATGATATACTTCGGGTCCTCGACCGCGCGGATCACGAACGGCATGTCCGGGGCGGAGGTGCGCGCGCTGTTTTCCTCTGGCGCCATCTGTGTGCGCGGGATCGACGTGCGCGACGGAACGCCCACGAGGCTCCCCGAGTGGGTCCACCGCAACCGGTTCCGCACGGGTGGGGCGGGCAACTTCTTGCGAGCTGCAGAGGAAGCGCGCCAGATGGCGCAGGCGCGCCGGCGGGAGGTTGGTGCAGTTGAAGAGCAGGACGCGCCCGCAGGTGGCGTGGGGGGAGATGCGTGAGCCTGCCTCGCAGGGTTTCATGGCGAGGGGGCTTCAGACGTCGATGATGACCATAGGCGGCGCGGTGGGTTGTTCGTGCGGAACGTTTGTTCTTACACGTGGCGAGTGATCCTGCCTGATACGCGACGTCACCCTCAGGGGCTCGTTCCCAGAGCCGGGGTAGAGTCGGGCTATTCTTTCCGAGGCATTCCCTCCGGCAGGACGACCAGCGTCCCCTCGAAATTCCACCGGCGCAGACGTGCTGCGATGCTGTCTTCAAGTGTGCCACGCAGGCTGACGCACCCCTCCACGTCCAGCTCCTCAAGGGCACACATCCCTCCAGGCAGTACCTTGATACCGGAAGACGCTGCTCGCAGGGCCCGCAGGTTCGCTGCACTTGATGCCGGGAGGAAATTTTCGGCGAGAGACGTGCAACACAACACGTCGAGCTCCTGGAGCGCTGCGAGCCCCTCGGGCAGCCTCGAAATGTTCGTGCAGCTGACGTTCAATTTCCTGATCTTGGCAGCGCTCGATGCTGGCAAGAAGTCCAGGCCCAGCTGACAACCCACAACGTCGAGATCCTCCAGCGCGCGCATTCCGTCAGGCACGCGCGTGAGGGGAGAGTGATAGGCCCTCAGCGTTCTGATGCCCGCCCTGACGCTCCACGGCAGCCAGTCTGTTCGTTGCAAGCTCCCTGTCGGATCGCCGTAAAATCCCGATATGTCGATGCACCGCAAGCCCGTCATGTCGGCCGTGATCGCAGACTCGGGCCCTAGGTTCGACCGACTGTAGCAGTCGAGCACAAGGAACGTATTCATTTCCACGACAGACGAAGCGTCTCCAGCATCAGCACCGGCCCTGTGAAAGAGGGCCGGGGCTGGGTCGGCGTCGGACATCAGTCCGATGAGGGAGTTGGTCTGCTCCGGCACCTTCCCGCGCAGCCTCCCAGCCACCATGCGCCCCACGTCAGGGCGGTTGTAGCACCTCCACCTCGCGCCGTCGCAGCTGTCGAGCACGACTGCCATCATGTCCAAGCACGTCGCCGCCAAGGCTACTCGCGACCGTGACGGGAGCAGGCGGATGATGATGTGAAGCGGACCGTTGCGCCCGCACCGAACGCCCCACAGCCCAGGGGGTTCTGTGCGGTCCGTGCCCCTTCCTTTCTTGCCGTCGATCTGTGCGCCCATCGACCGCTTGTCCGGGCTCTTGTGATCGCGCCGGGTCGACAACATCGCAAAGAGACGGGATCGGGCAGGCGCTGTCACTCTCCCGCGCCCGTGCTCCCTGCGCACCCACAAAAACGACCACACAGCAATTCAGTTCGCCCGCAGCTGCGTCGTGTGGTCACTTCAGGGATCCCGAGGGCTTTCGAACGCGGTGACATTTCATCAGCCGTGCCAGCTCATGGCGGTAGCGCTGCATCGCGAGCGTCGTCTGCACGTCTCGGCAACATTGAGTGCCAATGGCTCAGAACCGTATCGCGGCGCCTACACGCAGCGTGGGCACACACAGGGAGCCGAGCCAGCCGCACGGGCGCATGAGCATCGCACCTGTGACCAGGGAAGTCAGTATCGATTCTTCGCGCCGTCCCTGCACCGTTCGTGGCATGCGCTTCGTGGTCTCCGAGAGAGAGAGCACCGGCGCCGGATCGCGCTTTATCGGGCTGACCGAGGTCCCCGTAATATGTAGAGGCTGCGCCGTCAAGCACGCACAGATCGGCAGCGCTCCGTCGAAGGCCACGCAAACAACCCTCCATCAACTCGGTCTGTCTGACAGCAGGGGGAGTATACCGGTATATCGCCGAACTGACACACGACGTCACACGTCCGCGACCCGGAAGCACCTCGGTCGCAGGGTGCAACGTCCGGCGCATGCTCGCTGCAAAAGCAACGGCAACCACTTCAGCATGGTTGCTAGTCCATCAATATTTCCCTATGCGTCCTCCAACGAAGCCCCCACGTGCGGCCGGATCCGCTCCAATATCACCTCGATGTCCCCGCCCGCGAACGCGTACGCCAAATCGAGCCTACCGGCGCTCCGCTCGTTTCCTGCCACGTGCTGGTCGCCCGTCGCGATGCCGGCCCCGACCGTCCCGGGCCGGTCGTGCCGCCCCGGCGCGCTCACGAAGCCCGTGCCGGGCCGCACCGCCTCCTGTTCGCGCGGCAGGCCGCGTGTCGTCGGCGCGCCCTCCACTGCGGGCTCCCCGTACACCTGGAGCACGCGCAGGCGAGGGGAGGTCGGGGACGCCGGCGCCGCGGCTGTGGCCGCCCGCGGAGAGCCGGTGGGGCCCGCGCAGACGTAGCAGTGCGCGCTGCGGTGGGGGCTCGCGGCGCGGCGCTGGGTGGCGAGCGGAGGGCGCTCGACGTGGGTCGCCCACGGCTGCTGCCGCGGCGCCACGCCGGGGCGGGACTCCCACACGTCCGCGCTCTTCCCGCGGAGGACGTCTTTGTCGAGGCCCTGGCGCGCGGTGTGCGCTGTCGCGGGCCGCACGGAGGCGCCGGGACGCGCGATGACCTCTGCAATGCGGTCGCGCTTCTGGTTGCGGCTGCTGTACAGCCTGTGCCCGGCGCCGAACGTAGATGGAGGACGGGTCGGCGAGCGCGCTTCCGTGCGCGGCCGCGGCGCCGCCGCCGTCGTCGGGCGCGCGGGCGGGACCCGGCCGGTCGCCGGCGTCGTCGCTGGCGCCGGCGCCGTCGTTGGCCGCGCACGGGTCGGGCTCGCCGTCGTTGGCCGCGCGTGGGGGCTCCGCGGCGCCGGAACCCTCCCCCGTCCCGCGTCGACCGCCGACTTGTCTTCGGGGACCGACCCAAGCGCAGGCACAGCAACAGCCCCCGGACTCGACGTGGCGGGGGTGTCCCGGACCTTCGGGCTGGTGACCGCCTGCACCTCCGGCGTGAGTGCGCCCCGCCGCGGGTGCATCGAGCTGTTCGGCCGCGTCACGCCGCCACGCTCGTGCGGAGCGGGGCTGGCCCCCGCCGGAGTGTGCAGCGCAGGGACGGCGGCAGCGATCTCGTCGAGCACCTGGGACGTCGCGGACCCGTACCGCGATATCGCCGCGCTGGCGCCCTGGTGTTTCATGCGCTCGACGCGCCACGTCGAGGCAGACTTCTCGATTCGCCATTGAACAAAGTCCTTGAGGAGGTCGAGGGCGCGCTGGTTGCGGATGATCTTGGACTGCTCGCGGACCTTGCTGGTCGTGTCGGGCATCTCCTCGAGCGTGAGGCACATCCCGCGGCAGGCCATCATTTCGAACTTGAAGGGGCCGATCAGGGACTTGATGGCGTTGCGCTCCTCGTCGTCCTCCGCCAGCATGTTCTCGAGCTCGCCCACGCGGTGCGAGAGCTCCTCGACCATCCTGCGCAGGAGCACGCGCGTCGCGAAGCGTGGGAGACGGAAACGGCTTGCTGCGCAGGGTCGCAAGCACGGCGCGGACAGGGCCCCGGCCGCCACACGCGCGCTCGGGCAAGCGCAAGGGTGGACAGCGCAGTACGATAGCGGTCGAATGGAACGAGGGCGCGAGGAGCGCCCGCAGCGTGCGCAGCGCGTCGGGCCGCACCCTCGCAGTTGTTGCTTCTCCTCGGCCGCCGAGTTGATGTTCTGCTGGAGGTCGCGCGTCTTCGTTTCGTACAGGTCGCGGCTGTTCATCACCGCCTGCAGCGCGTTCTCCGCCTGGATCTTGTCGCTGCGTGCCCGCGCCGCGCGCTGCCGCTCGTCCGCGGCCTCCCGCGCCGCCCGCTGCAGCTGCTTCCGCAGCTCGAAGATGCTGTCCTGCTGCTTCGCGCTCTCCCGCACCAGCGACCCCGCCACCTCCTCCGACATCTTGTTCATGTCGTCGCTCGCTAGCGCCCGCTTGTGGTGCTCGTCCGCCTTCTGCTCGGCGTCCTTCAGGGACATCCCCGTCTCGTTCAGCTCGCGGAGCTTGCACAGAAGGAGGTACGCGAGCCGCGTCTGCTGGTCCCGCAGCGGCCCGACGGTGGCGCTCATGCGGCCCATGGCAGTCTTTAAGTGCTGGTTGCGCCCGCGGAGCTCCTTGACGCGCTCGCCCTGCTTCGTGAGAGCCGCGCGCATCTTCACCACCTCGCGCTCCGTCGCCACCAGCTGCCGCTGCGTCTCCGCCGCCAGGTTCTCCGAAGCGACCTGCGAAAATGATTGAACAGGAAAAGACAATTGCATATGCATGACTGGTGTGGCACTGCACGCGCTCGGCAGCGAGCAACGACGCAGCGCACACCGCCGCATCGACCATGCCGTCCCCGACGACGCCGGCGCGTCGAACGAGCAGCTCGCAAGCACCCAACAGCGGCACGGAGCGCGCTCGTGCACGTGGCCACCCAGAGACCGCGCGTGCGGAGCGGGGCGCTCACCGCGCGCGCGTTGCTCTCGGCGAGCTGCGCCTGCGCGTCCCGCATCTTCCGCGGCAGGTCCCGCATCTCTTTCTGCAGCTGCTGTAGAGACACCTCCTTGTGGTGCAAGTCCTCCCGGAACGAGTCGACCAGCGCCTTGCGCTCCATGCGCCACTTGCGCTCCGACTCCACGAGGCTCGCGTGCGCCTTGTTCAGGTCCCGCGTCAGCCGCCGCGTCTCCATCTCCAGCTGCACGTGTGGGAAGGGGGGGGAGTCACGGCGAGGACGAGCGGGTGGGCGCGGCGCGCGGAGACGACAGCAGGGGAGCTGGCGCGCACGGCAGGCGCGGCGGGGCTGAGCGGGAAACCGAGGGGGGGTGTTGTTCGTGTTTGCGAGGTACAAACGCACCCGGAGGACTTTTTGGTAGTTGAAGACGTTCTTCGCGCGGGGGGTCGAGGCGGCCGCGGGGTCGGGGCGCTCGCCCGTGTGCGCTCCGTCGACGCGCACCCAGGTCGCGCGGGGGTCGCTCGTCCCGCCGGACTCGGCGTGTTTCCCGCAGTGAGGACACACCATGGTGTCCCGCTGTGACTTGCGGCCCAGCACGTTGCCCAGCGCTGCGGAAAACGTCGGCGTCGGACGGTGTCTGGGCGCCGGGGTGGCTGGAAACGGCGACGGCGTGGGCGCGTGGCGGGGGGCAAAGGACGCGAGCGCGGTTGCCAGGGGGGCGTCGGCTTACCCGACGCCTCTTCGTTGTCCCCGGCGGTCTTCGCCTGGAGCTGCATTTGCTGCTGCATGACCTGCGTTTTGCGGTTCGCTATGGCGTCGAGGATGTTGCCCTCGAGGTCCATGGCCTTGGGCTCGCCGTTGACTTCGTCGAGCTCTGCCGGGATCTGCTGCGCGACGTTGCTGGCCAGGGCGACCCGCAGGTCTTCCTCCTCGTTCAGCGGATATCCCCCCGGGGCGGGGCCCCTTCTCCCCGTCTCTGCGCGCGGAGGTGGCGGGTGAGGTGACTGTGCACGTGCGTCGCATTTGCAGTCCCTCGTGGGCGGAGCGCGGGGCTCCGGCGGAGAAAAGACATCACCATGCACTGCGCGATGCGCTCGGCGGCGCCAGCGTGCGCGCGATCGACGGCGCGTCCGGCAACGGCGCCCAGAGACCACTAGCACTCCTGGGCGGGAGCGCACCAGACAGACTGACGGACATTCTGTCCGGACGCCGTCGCGCAGTGCGTCAGCGAGAAAAAGGCGTCGTACACGACCCTCACGCTTGGCCTGAGTCAGCCCTGCAGAACAGAGAGCGAGCCACGAACAGGTGGGGGCACAGACGCACTCGACCTGCCCGCACGAGCCACGCACCGCGCCGACCGCGTCGGCGAAGCAAGATACGTCACAGGGAGCACGCAACGCGTCACCGTGCGCCGTCCAAACCGGCCTGGGTGGCGAGATTCCAGCCCGGGGCGCTCTTTGAGGCGTTTTCACGCACCGCACAGTCGCGCTGCGGAGGGTCGAGGGCCGCGCGTCGCACCTTTCGGCCATTGAACCACCGGTCTACGTCGCGGAGGAGTATCGCTTCCAGTTCGTTGACCTCGCGCGCTGCCCGGCGCGGCAGGTGACCTCCTTGGCAGGTGGCCAGGGGGGGCACCAGCGCGGGGTGCTCCGTTCCGCTATCCCCGGATCGTGCGCGGCGCGCGGCGGCTATATCCAGCGGCAGACGCCACGGCGCGGCGGTGAACCCGGCCCGGCCGCGCCCCCCCGCGAAACGGCCGGGTCCCCTCCGCACGACGCAGGCAAAGTATGACGGCCGTTTCTCCGCGTGCGGGCCGCGAGCCGCGATTGCCCGCGCCGCGCGGGCCGCCGGTGCACTCAGCTTGACACTTCCGCAACGATCGAGGCTCGGTCCGTCCAGGGCGTGAGCGGCGGTGGCTTGACACTGCATCGGATGGGCTCCAGCCCGTACTCCTCCGCCGAGAGGGCCGGTTCGTGGCTCAAGAAGAGCGTGGGGGCCGCGGAGAACGTGGAGATATCGCGGTACAACGCGGAGCGCCGCACGAGGATGTCTCAGGACGATGCCGGGTTCAGGGGCGGCAACGGCAACGAGCGCCTGTACGAGGCCTACAACGACCTGCACGCGCTCGCCCAGGACTTCGAGAAGCCCTTTGATGCTCCAGCGATCCTCGTCGTCGGACACCAGACGGATGGGAAGTCAGGTGAGGCCGGAATCGGCGCTCGAGCTGAGCCTCCTGAGTTTGCATCGAACCCGCTCTCCGGACCCGCACAGCGATTTCCGCGGGATAGGTTCCGCTTGAAGCCGCGTACTTTGATTGGTTTGTCCGGTTCGCGCCGCCGAAACGCCCAGTCGAGCCGCATCGGAGCGCGACTTCCACCGGCGCCCTGTGCGGCCAGGCAACAACGCGGTTCCGCACCTTCCCGCGCCCCATTCGATCCTTCGCGGCGCCCCGCCCCCTTCTCAACATATCAATTGCCGGGACCGGTCGCCGGGTACACTCCGCAACCCACGAACGCGGCGCACCGGGCGCCCCAACTCGAGCAACGCCAGGCAGCCCCTCTGCCCGCGACCTGCCCCACCGGCGCCCCGCACGGGGTCGCACATGCCGCGTCCCTCGCCCCCAGACCGCCACCATGCCGCCTGGCGCCCCGGACGCCTCATTCCGGCGCCTCGCGCGGCACATTTCAGGCCGCGCTCCTGCCTCAGCGCGACGTTGGCTCTCCCGGTGCCGCCACGCACGCCCACGGCCCCGCCCTGCCCGGCCGCTGCGCAGCGCTCGTCGAGGCCCTCATGGGCTTCCAGTTCAACCACGTCGGAGGCGGCACCAAGACCCGCCGGCCCATCACGCTGCACATGATTTACAATGGGGCGTGCGTCGAGCCCAATTGCTACCTCGTGACCGAGGAGCAGGGCGACGTCGACGTCTCGCTCGAGGAGCTCCAGGACTACATCGAGGCCGAGAACCGCAGGCGAGCCCGCCCGCCCGCGCCCCGCTCGCCCGCCCGCGCACTGGTCTGCTTCCCGCACCCGCCACGCGTCGCCGCCTGCGCGCCCGCGGGCCGCTCTCCCCGCGGGATTCCCCCCCGACCCCGCTACGTACGCCCTGGGCTCGCTTTCGCGCAGGCTCGAGAACGACGGGAACAAGTTCTGGGCCAAGGAGATCGTAGTGAAGATTGAGTACAAGTACTGTCCCAACCTGACCATCATCGACACCCCGGGGCTCATCAGCGCGGCGCCGTCCGTGAAGCGCGGGTCCTACCTCGCCACGGCCGCGCGCCAGGTCGAGGCCATGGTCCGCCAGAAGATGGAACAGCGCGAGTATATCATTTTGTGTCTCGAGGACAACTCCGACTGGTCGAACGCCACCACGCGGCGCCTCGTGCAGCAGGCGCGGCCCCGCACCCCGCCCGCGCGCTCGCGCATCGCCGGCCCGCGCCACGCGCGAGCGGCGCCGCTGAGGTGTCTTGTTGCGCGGCGTGTCGTGCGGCGCAGGTGGACCCGAGCCTGCAGCGGACGGTGGTCGTGAGCACGAAGTTCGACACGAGGATCCCGCAGTTCGCGCGCGGCGCCGACGCGGAGTGCTTCATCAACCCGTCGCAGCAGCTCCTGGAGGCCAACATGCTGGGCGGGGCGCCGTTCTACACCTCCGTGCCCTCGGGTGAGCACGCACGCTCCCTCCGTGGCCGGCCCGCGCAGACCGCCCGCTGTACGCCGCGCTGATGGTCGTGTGCGTGCGTGCGTCGCGCGCTGAGGCGCGCAGGGGCGGCGTGTGCCGCGCGCCGCGTGCGTGTGGTTTTCAGACATGTTTTCCTGTTTGATTTCCCCCGCGCGCGTTCGAGCCATCAATCTGTGTCACCGTCGGCGCGTCCGGCCGTCGTCTCCGCAGGCCGCGTGGGCGTCGGGCGCGACTCGGTCTTCCGCAGCAACGAGCACTTCCGCACCGCGGTCCTGGACCGCGAGTCGGGCGACGTCGCGGAGATCGAGCGCCGCATGGGGCGGCACCTGGCGGCCACGGAGCGTGCGCGCGTGGGCGTCTCGCAGCTCCGGCGCTTCCTCGAGCACCTCCTGCAGCGCCGCTACCTCGAGAACGTCCCCTCGATCGTCCCCGTCCTCGAGAAGGAGTACCGCTCCGCGTCGGCCAAGCTGACTCAGGTCAAGGACGAGCTGCACGACCTGCAGGCCGACAAGCTCAAGGAGCGCGGCCGGCGGTTCCGCGAGGCGTTCCTCGACAAGCTGTCGCTGCTGCTGCGCGGCGCGGTGTCCGCGGCGCCCGAGCGGTTCGGCGAGGCGCTGGCCGACGAGCACATCCGCGGCGGGGCGTTCATCGGGCCGGACGGCAAGTCGCTCGAGGTGGGCGACGAGCTGCCGAACGCGTACATGCGGCTGTTCGGCGGGGCGCAGTACCACCGCGCGATGGCGGAGTTCCGGCTCGCGGTCGGGCAGCTGCAGTGCCCCGACATCTCGCGCGAGGAGATCGTCAACGCGTGCGGCATCGACGACTTCCACGACGGCGTGAACTACACCAGGACCGCGTGCGTCATCGCGGTCGCCAAGGCCAAGGAGATCTTCGAGCCGTTCCTGCACCAGCTCGGCTACCGGTGCGTGCACGCAACGCCCCCTCCCGAGCACCGCCGCTCTCGCCCCGTCGCTCGCGTCCGCCGGGCCGCCGCGCCGCGGCCCCCTTCCCCGGCCCTCCGCGCCGAGCCCCCGCCCCCCTGTCCTCGCGCCCGCCGCAGGCTGGCGCACGTGCTGCGGCGCATGTTGCCCATCGCCATGCACCTGCTGCAGAAGGAGAACAAGTTTTTGACGGGGCACGACCTCTTCCTGAAGCGCATCGGGGCGGCGTACCACGCGTACATCGACGAGATCGAGACGGGCGTGCGCGGGAAGTGCCTGGAGGACCTCCAGAGCACCACGCGCTACGTGTCCTGGTCGCTCCACACCAAGTCGCGCTCCACGCTCAAGCAGATGCTCTCGCGCGTGTCGCTCCCGGGACAGAACGACGCCGCCGGCAACAACAACGGCAACGCCAACAACGCCAACAACGCCAACAACGCCAACGGCCAGCAGGGTTTGTCGGTGATGGACATGCTCGAGAACACGCTGTGGAGCCGCCGCCTGGGCCCGCTGAGCGAGGAGATGGTCGCGGCGCTCGTGTGCCAGATCTTCGAGGGCATCCGCGACCACATCGTCCAGGCCACCGAGCTCAAGTTCAACTGCTTCTTCCTCATGCCCATCATCGACACCTTCCCCGGCCGCCTGCGCGAGGAGCTCGAGACGGCCTACTCGGAGGACCTCGACAGCGTGTTCGACGTGGCCGCCGTGCGCACCGCGCTCGAGACGCGCCAGGGCTCGCTCGGGGCCGAGCTGGCGCAGGTGGAGCGCTTGCAGCGGAAGTTTGCGTCGATCCACAGCACGCTCGCGCACATCGCGCCGAAGGGGGCGCGGGAGGTGCGCGCGGGGGCTGAGGCGGCCGCGGGGCTGGAGACGGCGGCGGGGGACCTGCGCGGCGCGCTGGCGGCGTCGATGGGGACAGGCGGGGTGCTGGCGGAGGCGACTGCGAGCCTGAACGCGGCGCACGGCGGGCCCGTGGTGACCAAGGGGGCGTCGCGGGCGTCGATGCGCGCGTCGGCGAACCGCGGGCCGATGGCCGCGTCTGGCATGCGCTGATGTGGAGGGTGATGTGGCGTTGAAGAGCACAACAGTTAGGAAAGGATGGCTGATTAGGAATGATGGAAACGGAGTGCTCGAGACAGGGGTGGGACGGGCGGCGCGCGGGAGGCGTGCGCGCGGAGCCGGGCGCCCGGACGGAGTAGCTGAGGCCTTGTCGTTAGATGTGATGTGAAGACGAGCCGCAGTGTCTCCTGGTGAGCTGGAGGCTCAAGACTCACGGGTCGCCCGTGGTGACGTGCGGCGCGCACCGGCTGGGCGCGGACGGCGTCGCGGTGGACGCTGGGGGGGGTTTTGGGTGTGTCGGGGGTGTTACAAGACCCTGGACGTCGGTCTAGCCTTGGGTGAGCAGGTCGAACTTGCCCTCCTTGGCGAGCTGGATCACGCTGGGCGGCGCGCGGTAGGCTTCGAGCTGGTCGATGAGGTCGGCAGGGTCGGTCGACACCAGCAGCGACGCTCGCGACTGCTTCGAGAGGAATCCGAGCTCCACGGCGTTGTCGAGGAACGTCAGAAGCGGGTCGTAGTACCCCTCAACGTTCAGCAGACCCACGGGCTTGGCGTGGTACCCCAGCTGCTGCCACGTCAGCACCTGCGCGCGGCAGGAGCAGCGCAGCGCACACGGCACTCAGAACACCGCGCGGGGAGCGACGCATGCGTTCCCGGACGGCTCGCGGGCGCCGCGTGCAGCGCACCTCGAGCAGCTCCTCCATCGTTCCGAACCCCCCCGGGAGCGCGATGAACCCGTCGGACTCCTGCGCCATGACCGCCTTGCGCTCGTGCATCCCGCCGACGACGCGCACGTCGCCGACGGTCTGCCCCGAGACCTCCTCGGGCTCCAGCTCGGTCGGGATGACGCCCAGGACCGAGCAGCCGCCGTCCTTGACGGTGTGCGCCACCTTCCCCATCAGCCCGATGTTGCCGCCGCCGTATACAAGCCCCTGGCCGCGCCGCGTCATCTCCTTGCCGAGCGCCGCGGCCGCCTCTGCGAACTTCGGGCTCTTCCCGCTGCTCGAGCCGCAGAAGACGGCGATCTTGCGCATCGGGGTGCGCTCAGGACCATCGCCCTCGCCGGGCATGGCCGCAGCCGACGTAGGAGCGCACCGACGCTCCGGGCTCGCCCGTGCGGGCGATGCAACGAGCACCGAGGGGCGGACGCGAGCAAGGTCGCTCCGCGCGGCGGCAGCCTTCGCAGTCGTGCAGCAAAGCCGTGCGCTGCAGCTGCGGGTGGACAGGGAGATCGAACGCTGCAGGTGTCCACGGGCACAGGTCATCGAGGGCGTCATCGGCTCGTGCTTCAGTCTGCGCAGCGCCAGCGCGCGAACGAGGGTCATGTCACCAGCGGCGCGGCACACGGCACACCTCCCTGATGCGTGGCTGGAGAGGCCTCGCGGTCGCGCAGCCGGCACAGGGATCGAGCCGCGAATATGGGGCGCGCGGCCCGTTGTACCGATCGCATACGTTTGTTGAGGCGGTGGAGGTCGTCGGGATTTCGGCTACATCGCTGTGCTGCTCGTGTCCGCTCTCGACGCAAACACAATGGCTTCGGACGGGTGCCAGACGCCCGAGTGGACGGGCAGGCCGCTCTCGCACCTCTTCTACGCACCGAACTTCCGCAGCCAGCCCTCGCAGTCTTACGGTGCGTCCCCGAGCCCTGCGTGTGGTCCTGCCGCAGGTGAAGCGCGCGCCCGGGCTCGCGGCGCGCAAATTCTGGCCACGGCCCCCTCGCAAACTGTACGGGCCATTCCGTGGAGTGCCGACACTCCTGGCCAGCGCGCGGGAGCGACCACAGACGACGTGGTCGGTGCGATCACCTGAGGGCTACCACCACCCATGGTCGTCGCTTGTCTGGTGGCTTTCCTCCTCCTTGAGGAACTAGCGCGGCGGTTCGCTGCCCCGACCTTGGGCCTTGAAGCACGAAGATCCAGGAAATCTTTTCAGATCCCCTCCACCTTGCCTGACAGCGCCGTCATCGAGCTACGAGCCACCGCGGTGTGCCCGCCCACAGCGGCGCGCCGCTCGGCGTCAGCGCGCGGGCATCGCGGCTGCACCGACCCCGGTGCAGCAGTCGCTGTCAGGGAGAGAGCGCTCACCGCGTTTCCGATCGTCGTGTGCGCTGTGCAGCCCAGCAGCGCGAGCAGCAGAGCCCTGGCACGGGGGGACAGGCGCCCGCCGGCGGGAACGGCTCCGTGGACTTCCACTACTCGAAGATCAAGGGCGCGTGGTTCGGTCCCGCGCCCACGGGCTTCCAGCAGGGCTCCACCGGCCCCTCCCAGGCACGCCAGCGCCCCCACTGGTGCCCCTCTGCTCTGTGCATCAACCCCCTCACGGCATGACCGCGGCAACGCGTCCGCAGTCGGCGCCAGCTGCCGACCCGAACACGCGGCACACGGGCGCGCAGCCGCCACGCCGTGCTGGCCACTTTCAGACCTGAACCATCGTCTTGTGTTGATATGTGGGTTCTTGGTTCCTCTGCGCAGTGGGAGAAGGCGGAGGCGGAGCGGGAGGCGCGCCTGAAGGCCGGCGTGCAGCGCGAGGCCGACACCGTCCTCCTGCGCGGCGGCGCCAAGATGCCTCTGGTCGGACTGGGCACCTACGCGCTGACTCAGGCCTCGGCCGTCACCAAGGCCATCGAGCTCGGGTACCGCTCGATCGACTGCGCGATGGTGTACGGCAACGAAGCCATGGTTGGCGAGGGCATCAAGGCCGCGATCGCCGCCGGCACGGTGGCCCGCAGCGACCTGTTCGTCACGTCCAAGCTGTGGAACGACTGCAAGCACTCCGCGGAGGAGATCGAGGCGACGTGCCGCAAGTCGATCGCCGACCTGGGCGTGGAGTACCTCGACCTGTACCTCGTGCACTGGTGCGTCGCCCGCCCTGCCGTGGGCTCGCAGCGGCTGTGCGTTGACCAGGCGCGCTGTGCTCGCTCGGTGCGGCCGCGGCGACCGCGCTAGGCGCGTCGAGGGGCATGGCTCCGCGGCAGTTGAGTGTTTCCGGCTGAGCGCGGAGCGTTGATGGGTGTGTGTTTGTGCGCAGGCCGTTGCGGTGGGCCAAGGGGCAGGCGATCCCCACGGACAGCACGGTGCCCGCGGAGGACACGTCGGCGCTGGACGTGGTCCAGACGTGGAAGGCGATGGAGGCTCTGGTGGAGAAGGGCCTGGTGAAGTCCATCGGGGTGTCCAACCACAGCCTGAGTCAGGTCGAGGCGATTCTGGCCGAGTGCAAGGTGCACCCGGTGTGCAACCAGATCGAGCTGCACCCGATGCTCCCGCGCCGGAAGATGGTCGGCGTGTGCCTGCGCAAGGGCGTGCAGTGCGTGGCCTACTCGCCAGTGGCGCGCAACCGGCCAGAGATCATGGACACGCCCCAGGTGCAGACCGTGGCCAAGGAGACCGGAAAGACGCCCGCGCAGGTCGTGCTGAAGTGGAACGTGCAGCGCGGCGTGCCCGTCATCCCCAAGGCCGGGTCCGAGGTGCGCTCTTCACCAGAACAGAACAGCCTCACCTGGATGCCGTCTGAACGCTTTGTTCTTGGTTCCGCGTCTGGAAAGCGGTGTTCAGAGACCGAGAACGCGTACGTCGGTGCTGGTGCGTGCAGGAGCACATCAAGGAGAACATCGACATGTTCTCGTGGCGGCTGAGCCCGGCGCAGAAGTCGATGCTGGACGAGCTCAGCACGAAGCCGCCGCTGATGATCGTCGACCACGCCTGGTCGCTGCCGTGCTTCGAGAACTTCGAGGGCGGCGGCGCGGGCAAGGCGTCCGAGGTGTTCAAGTACTAGGCTGCGCGTTGAAAACACTGAGAGGTCACAGCTCCGGCCTGGGCGCCGCGCGCGCAGCTGTTCCGCCTCGCGTGGCGCGTGTGACGTCCTTGCGACCGGAAAAGCGCCCACCGCGAGGCTCCGCTGGTCACCCGCGTTGCCTCTCGCTGCTGTACGAGATCGCCGATCCCAGGCCCTGCCACCACGTCCAGCTGGCAGCGCGTCGCCTAGTACGCCGTCAGGGGAGTGTTGCAGTCTGTGTACGCAGCGGCCCTCGCACCACGTCTGCTGTTGCCGTCCGCCCACTGCAGTGCTCCTCACTTGCGGTACGCCTGCAAAAACGCCGGCACCGCCGCAGGCGCCTTCTCCTTCTCCTTCTCGCCCGCAGGCTCGTTCTCGGGGCCCTCCGCGCGCGCCCGCTTGGCCTCGGGCGCCCCCGCCGCCACACCCCCAACCTCCAGCGCCCGCTTCCCCGCCGCCGAGAAGTCCACCTTCTCCGCCGACGCGCCCGTCACGTTCGCCAGCGCCTGCTGCAGCGCCGCCTGCGGCACCGCCTCCTGCTGCGCCGCCAAGTTGATGCGCTTCTTCCCGCCCACGACAGTCGTCTTGCCGATCACGCCGAGGTCCTGCACGCCCGACGGACCCGCGCCGGACGCGCCGCCCGCGCCCAGCGTCGGCTTGTCGAACGGGCTCGCGCCGGCCCCCGCTGGCGCCGCGTCGCCCTCCAGCGCCGCCTTGCGCGACTCGCGGTGGTCCTTGATGTCCTGGACCTTCTCGCGGAGGTCCTCGAGCGTCGCAGCCAGGTCCTCGAGGTCTGCACGCACCGCACGCGGGCGCAGCCGACGCTCACGCCAACCAGAACGAACAAACAAACAACCAATCGAGAAACATCATGTTCGGAGCATGCTGTGCCGCTGGTACCCCACCGCCTGCTCGCTACCGCCCCGAGCAGCGAGCAGCGAGCCCCTCATCGCGCCCGGCGCACCGCGGCTCGTCGCGCCCGCGTCCGGGCCCCGCACGCACCTTGTTTCATTTTGCCGTCCACGGCGTAGCGCTCCTCGTCGCCCTTGGGGACCTCCCCGCGCGCCAGCATGTCGCGGTGCGCCTCGCACGCCGCGAGCGCCTCCGCCGCGTGCTCCAGCGCCCCGTCCAGCTCCTCGGCGTACTGCAGCGCCGAGCACGCGAAGAAGTGCGCCGAGTACGCCATGCGCATGTTGCCGGGGAAGCGGCGCTCCGCGACGCGCAGGGCCGACCGGAACTCCGCCGCCGCGTCCCCGAAGCTCTCCCGCTCCATGGCCTGCTCGCCCAGCAGCATGTGGCACTCCACCAGCGACGCCGCGTGCGCCGCCTCGTCGCGCGCCCAGATCGCGCGCGCCATGTCGAGCATCTGCCACGACAGCGTGAGGTCGTCGTCCGGCGCAGAACCCTCCCCGCTGCCCTCGTTCTCGCCCTCACCGTCGTCACCGTCGTCGTCGTCGTCGTCGTCAGAGGACGAGCCCTCTTCGTCCGGGCTGCCCTCGTTCTCGCCGCCAGCGGCCCCGGCGTCGCCGGCCTTCGCGACGGGCTCCGACGGGCCGGCTTCGTCCCGAGCAGCCGCGGAAGCGGGAGGCTCGGAGGGTCCGGCGCCGTCGTCGGATTTGGCGGGCGCGGGCGCGGCTGCCTGGGCCTTCGCCTGCGCGAGGCCCTCCTCCTGCTGCTTGAGGATCTGCGTGGGAGCGACGCGCGCGTGCACGTGAGGGAGCCGGCCGCGGAACGAGGCCGTGCGAGAGTGCACCTCCGCATCAACTCCTTCCTTGTACTTGACCGTGCCCTCTCGCGCACCGGCGGAAATACCGAGATCCAGGACCGCAGCGACGTAGCCCACAGAGACAGCAATGCGTGACGCGTGTCGCGGTGCGGGGAGGTTGCGCGGGCGCTCACCTCGGCCACTGCTTTCGCCTGCACTGCTTCTTTGATCATTGTGCCCCCGAACGCGTCTGCCTCGTCCTGGCACTTCCACAGGAGCGCGGAGCCGTACTTGAAGTAGGTCTGGGCGCAGCGCGGGTCCGATTCTGCGCGGTGCCGGGGCCGAAACAGGCATCGTTCCCGCAGGGCAGCACGCGCAGCAGGCCGCCGGGCATGGCGTCGCTCGGCCTGCTTTTGCGCCCAGGTTTGACGTGAGAGGCCTGAACGGCCTGTTCGCGGCGCATGCGTCTCGCGAGAGGCAGGAGCGGAGCGGTGCGCAGCAGCAGAGAGGGCAGGCAAGACGCACCGCCGAACTTCTCGACGCACAGCTCCAAGGCGCGCGAAAGCGCGGTGATGGCCGCCTCCATGTTGCCAGCCTGCAAGAGAGCGCAAGAAACGACTCGCGTTCGGCCCCAGCACGCCCTGAGCACGCAATGGCGTCGCCGTTCGCTTGGCAGGATCGTCTCGCGACGATTCTGCGGCGATACCTTGATCTGCTTGACGCCCTCATCGTACGCCTCGGTCTCGCTCGTCATCTTCTCGACGTCTGGCTGCGCTGCGGCGCTCGCGGACGCCATCTCGCCGCGCCGGGAGCCCCCGCTCCCGACCTCCTGCGAACCCGCTTGGTGCCGTCTCTGCGGCGCCTCTTGTCGCAATAAGTCGTTTCAAGTGCCAGCGGCGGCTGCAGACAGACGAGTTGTACCACGGACGGGCGCGAGTCTGCGGAGCCGGCGCCCCGGCCGGCTGAAACCGCCCAGGGCGGGAACTGGGTCTTTTGAACTGAGCTGGCTCGAATGACAGACAATCGTGAGGGCGGGCCGGCGCCTCGAGGCCGTGGCGGCGCGAGCGGGCCGGCAAGCTGCTTCGGACGCGCCGCGATGACGCTGAGGTCGACCCAGGCAGGCGGCGGAACGCCGAGGATGGACGCGCTGCTGCGCGCGAGCCAAGCGAGTGGTCACGAGGGCGCGCCCAACATCTTCGCCTCCGCGCCGTCCACGCGGGAAATGTCCGCGGAACTACGCGCCGCTCAGAGCACCGTCGACCTCTTGTCGAGCCAGTTCATGCGCTCGATGGAGCAATGCAAGGACGTGCAGAAACGGTGCGTGCCTCTTCTCAGTCACCCTGCGGCCCGACACGCGCTCAATAGATAGCCGTCTGACAAATGTTACGCTTCAATTCATTCTTTGATCTTTTCCTTATCCCTTTCTGCAGTCTCGCGGCCGCTGGTCGGATGTGCAAGGAGCTCGAGCGCATCAAACCTCGGTGCACCGACGCAGCCGTCCAAGCGAGCCTCGACGCGTCGGGCACGCCGCTGCAGGGCGCCCGCATCACGGCGTCTGCGCCCTTCCAGTTCGCGCGGGGCACGCGCCGGATCGACTGGGCGCGGCTGCGCGGCATCAACGTGGATGAGGTTGTCGACGGCATCAACGTCGAGGCGGCGCTGTCGGTGCTCGAGGACGTGGCCTTCGGGGACCTCGCGGGGGAGTCGCCGTTCAACATGAACGAAGGGAACCTGACGCAGCTGTGCCGCCTCGGCCAGCTGATCGTGCAGGTGCGCGTACCACGCCCGCTACCCGCTACCCGCGTTGCCGCACCGCCTCGGCCGCGTCGCGGCGATCACGCGCGCGTGCGGCGCCGCGCGAGTGGGCGGAACAGTGTGTGCGCGGTGTGTGTGTTTGCGCAGTTTTTGATCCATGAGCGGCGGCAGGCGGCGGGGCGGAGGATGGCGGACGTCCAGCAGCGCGACCTGATGATGGCGATGCTCAGCCGGCTCGACGTGGTGCGTCGCGGCCCGACCTGAGACGATTGCCCCATCCTGTTGGCTGGGAGTCTGTTTTGCTCGACTGCCGTTGTGCTGGTGCTATAGGTCTGGTTGCTGCGTGTGCCTAGCCGCAGCCTGCGCCGCGCGGTCGTGCAGGAGGACCAGCGGAGCAGTGTCCAGGGCCTGCCGGCGCAGATGGCGCGAATGGAAGACGAGATTCGGCGTCTCGGGGCGGAGGACATGGACGCGCTGGCCGACGAGCTGAGGCGCTCGCACGCGCTGTAGCGGGGCAGAAGTGTGAGCGAATCGACGCCTCCTGCCCGCTGAGGCTCACGTCAGCCAGGCCACGGCACGCAGGAGCCGTCGCGTGGCCCAGGGGGTCCTATTGCGGGCCAGACCGACGGGATGTTCGCGCCACCCTCTCGGGGCTCTTGGCGCCTCCGCTGGTCGGTGAACCGAAAGTTCTTGGCAGCGCTCGCGTCTCACGATGCGTACCGAGTCGCACACGTCGCGCAACAGCTCCTCGTCGCAGCAGCGGCGCAAGCGGGTGTCGAGGTCGGAGAGGGCTGGACTTCAGGCGCGCTCCCACGTTTCGCTGGCCTCCCCTGCGCCGCGTGCGCCTCGCGAAACGCGTCAGGATATTATGGCGGAGCGTCTCGCCCCGCACGCAACATGATGGGGCGTCGGTGCGCGCAGCAGCCGAGGCTCGTCGAGTCGTTGCCTCGTGCCCCCTCGCAGAACACGGGCGCCGCACGACGACCACGCGCGCCCGTTCGGTTCATAGCTCACCAATAAGATTCGCTGGCCCGTCCGCGCGAGCGCACGCTCTCAACACCCCCCGGTCAGCTCCCGCGCGGTGCAGTTCCCTGTGGCCCGCGTTGCCCGTTACCTCAAGCGCGGCAGGTACGCCGACCGCCTCGGCGGCGGCGCCCCGGTCTATCTCGGCGCGGTGCTGGAGTACCTCTGCGCGGAGGTCCTCGAGCTCGCCGGCCACGCCGCCCGCGACAACAAGAAGCCGCGCATTGCGCCCCGGCACATCCTGCTGGCCGTCAGGCGCGACGAGGAGCTGGACAGGCTGCTCGGCAAGACCGTCATCCCCGGCGCGGGCGTCGTGCCGCATATCCACAAGGTCTTGTTCCCCAGGACGAAGGCCAAGAAGAACAAAAACAGGGGGGCGTAAACACTGACTGCGGGGGGAGTCGCGATCGCCGCTCGCGTGCAGCCGCGGCCGCATGATAGGGCCGTCGGAGCTGCTTCTGCGCGCGTTCGGTCCAGACGGTGCGCGTAGGGGACGCGCACGTTGCTGTTGCGTGCGACTGGGGCGGTCGCACGGGCTGTGACGGACGAGGGCATGGATGACGCGATGCGTTGTCGGGCCCTGGGACCATCGGATGCCAGGTGCTGGTGCGCAGCGGAGTGGCCTGGCGCGCATCCTGCTGGACGGACTCACGGCAGCTGACTGACTGAGTTGAAAAGAAGAAAAAGTTGTCGCACCCGTCGATTCCGGGCCTGCACGGCGCGGGGTGCCACTCCCGCTGCACGAACTCATTCAGCTGAGAGAGATGGCGCCGTTCGAGACCACCGTGACCGTCGGGAGGCGCCGCACGAAGCAGGAAAAGAGCGGCCTGCAGGTTCGCCGCGCCCACGCCACGCGGCGCCAAGCGGGATGCGTCTTGCGGCAGGAACCGTCACCGAAATTCGCGAGAGCACGTGGGGCGCGCATCTCCGCCGTGCCCGCCGTTACTCCGGCGAGAACGAGTTGCATCCATCGAAAATATTTTCAGCGGGCCTTCCCGGACACCGCGACGCTTCTCGAGTGCCGCCCTCGCGAAAGACAAACCCGATTTTAACGTCGCCGACGCGAGCAGGACGCGCTCCACCAGGCCTCGCACTGTGCCCGGGACGCCGCAGGTGCCCGTGGCACGCATCGCCCGCTACCTCAAGCGCGGCAGGTACGCCGACCGCCTCGGCGGCGGCGCCCCGGTCTACCTGGCCGCGGTGCTGGAGTACCTCTGCGCGGAGGTCCTCGAGCTGGCCGGGTTTGCCGCCCGCGACAACAACAGGAAGCGCATCACGCCGCGCCACCTCCAGCTGGCCTTGCGCCGCGACGACGAGCTGGACAAGCTGCTCGGCAAGGCCATCCTCCCCGGCGCAGGCGTCGTGCCGACGATCCACCAGGCCCTGCTGACCAAGAAGCAGCGGTTCTCCCTGGACTCGTCCTGAACGTTCACGGCGACGCGCTGCTTTCGAAAAACCATTTCCGCGACCTGGCTTTCGCGGATCGCACGGCGCGCTGGAGAGAGTGGGCGGTCGCGGCGCGAGGGGGCGCGCTGCGCTCGGACGCGCGTGTGGGCGCGGGGCGGGCGAGGCCGCGGGGCGTGTGACGACGTCGACGTGTGCATGACTTGACGCATTCGCAGTGGACTGGGCGCAGAAGCGGGGCCCGGCGCGTCGTGCACGCAGCGCAGCGCGCGCAAGGGCGTGCTGCCGGAACTAGAGGCCAGCGGCGGCGTGCGCAGGTGGGAGTTGGCGGCGGCACTGGCGGGCGTGTTGCCAAGCAGGGGGCGCGATGCGGCGAGGGCGGCGCGTGGCGGCGGGGGTCGTCACGAGGTGCGGTTGGCGTGCGGCGGCGCGCGAGGCTCGATGCGCGGTGGCGAGCGGGCAGCAGCTTTCCCGCCAACCCCCTTTTGAGCGCAGGCAGACAACACCGCGACTTCACGCGGTGCGACGTGGGCAGGGCGTTGGTTGCGGTGCGTGTTCCGGAGAGGTGGTGTTTATAAAACACCAGTTTTGGATTGTTGAGGTTGTCGCCGACCTGGCCGCGAGGGCCCGGCCGACTGCAACAAGGCGGAGCCGAGGCAGATGCCAGGCGCCGCTGAGCGCGCGCGCGAGCTGCTTAGGCCGAGGTGAACTTGGTCACGGCCTTGGTGCCCTCGGACACGGCGTGCTTGGCGAGCTCACCGGGGAGGATGAGGCGGACGGCCGTCTGGATCTCGCGCGACGTGATGGTCGGCTTCTTGTTGTAGCGCGCCAGGCGCGAGGCCTCGGTGGCGATGCGGTCGAACACGTCGTTGATGAACGAGTTCATGATCGACATGGCCTTGGAGGAGATACCCGTGTCGGGGTGCACCTGCTTCAGGACCTTGTAGATGTAAATCTTGTAGGTCTCGGCCTTGGTCCTCTTGCGGGACTTCTTGGCCTCGACCTTCTTGGTCGTCTTCTTGGCGGGCGTCTGCGGAGGAAGCCGGGGCGAGCCGTCGCGGGTGAGTGCCGGAGGACGGTGTTTGGGCGCGTCGGCACCCAAGGCGCAGCGCGCGCGCGCGCGTGGAGCACGGAACCGCGCGACCGGCGCGCGGCATCGCATGTGGAGCGCGTGGGCTCGCGGAAGCGGGGCGCGGAGGAGCGCGGGCGCGCGTGTGTTGGGGCCAGGTGGGCACCCAGGTGCGGTGCGCAAGAGCAGTGCGACGCTGCGCGCGTCGCGCGGTGCGTACCTTGTCGGCCTTGGCGGGCATTTTGTCTGCGATTCGTTCCTTGCGATGAAAGGTCGGGAATGGCACCCGAGTGCGGCCGCGCAGGGCAATGTAAGCGCGCCGCCCGGGATGTCGTCGACTTTTCCAGGCCCGGCCAAACCGACGACGTCCCGGGCCCTTCGCCGCCCCGCCCTCTACATAGCCCTGCCGCGCCGCGCACGCCCACCACTCCCCGCTCTCATCCCGCAACGAAGTCATCAGCAACATGGCGAAGACCCCCAAGTCCGGCCGCAAGGGCGCGCGCGCCTCGGGCTCTGGCCCCGTCTCCAAGTCGGCCAAGGCCGGCCTGCAGGTGCGGGCCCGCGTCCCACCCTCGCGCGCCCACGCGCTCCCTCTGCCCCGCAAGCACGCTCCCGCGCGACGCGTGCGCCGCCAGCGGCCCGCAGCGGCGCGTAGCGCGCCCCGGAAATCAAACGCCGCGCCCCTCTGTTGACGCCTCCCGCGCCGCCGCCCGCCCCCGCAGTTCCCCGTGGCCCGCGTCGCCCGCTACCTCAAGCGCGGCAAGTACGCCGACCGCCTCGGTGGCGGCGCCCCGGTCTACCTGGCCGCGGTCCTGGAGTACCTCTGCGCTGAGGTGCTGGAGCTGGCCGGCAACGCCGCCCGCGACAACAAGAAGACGCGCATCATCCCGCGCCACATCCAGCTGGCCGTCCGCAACGACGAGGAGCTCTCGAAGCTGCTCGCGGGCGTGACCATCGCCGCCGGTGGTGTGCTGCCCAACATCCACTCGGTGCTGCTGCCCAAGAAGACGGCCGGCGGCAAGGAGGCCTCGCAGGACGTCTAAGCAGCGCCGCTGCGTACACGCCCCGCGGAGCCCCCGGCCCCGCGCCCTCGGGCGACCTGAGCTGACCCACCGGGCCGCCAGGCGCCCTTACAAACAACAAAAACCTTACTGGTGTTTATTCAACACCACCCTCGCGGAACACGACACGAACCACGCCGCGCGCCTCACCGACCCACGCGCCGCGCCCGCGCGGGCCCTCCTGCGACATGCGTGCTCCGCGGGTCGCAGCCCGGCGCCGAGGAAGTCCGCGACGGTGCTCGCACGTGCACGGCGCCAGCCCCGCTCGGCCCGCGCACAAGCCCGACGCGGTGCTCCGCGGCCTGCGGCGGGGGCCTGGCGGCCCGCCCCCGGTGCTGCACGCCACGCAGACATGCATGCATTGCACAAAAATAGCACTTGGTGACTTGCATGCCGTGCGAGTGGCTCGAGCGCCGCTCTCATGCCTCACAGCCGGTGCCACGCGCCGCGGCACGCGGCGTCCCCGCGCCTACGCGTCGTCGTCGTGGTCGTGCCCGTGGTGGTGTTCCGCCGTCGCAACTTCCCGCCACAGGATCTCCGGGTCGGCCTGGTCGGGGCACACCGGCTCGCCCGGCACCGCCGCAGCGTCCGCGCTGTCGTCGGGGTCCGTCCGCGCCACGCACACCCAAATCCACCCCTCGCAGTGACCCCCCCCGGGGATCTCCATGATCCATGCCAATTGGTACAACCGGCCCGGACCCCCCTCCTCCCGCGCCGTGCGCACCTCCGCGGCGCCATGCTCCAGCCGGCAGTCGTCGTCCTCCGCGTTCCCGCTCGTCGGGCCCTCGCTCGACGAGCACGTGGTGATCGACAGCGGCCAGTGCTCGCTCCCCGGCACCTGTGTGCTGTCAGGCGTGAGCGCGACCCGCACGAACGCGCCGTCGCCGCTCGCCCGCACCACCTGCTCGCTCGCAACGACCGCGGGGCACCTGTGCTCCCGCTCCGGCTCCGCGGAGACCAGCCAATCGAGGACGTTGACCCACGCGGCCTCCGTGGCTGGCCCCGCGCGCCCGTCGTCGGCCAGCCGCGAGCCCTCGAGGGCGAGGCTGAGGAACGACGTGTCCACGACCACGTTGCCGGCGCCGTAGGAGTACCCCACGACGACCGCGTTGTCGTGGGCGTCTGTCCACATAAGTTTCAGGCTGTCAACCACGGGGTGCGTCACGTGCGACCGCGCGTAGAACGCGCCCGCCTTGCCGACGTCGCCGAGCCAGCCCTTGGGCCCGACGTGCTGGTCGTAGGCGAGCAGGCGGCCCGCCGCGGGCACCAGCGACAGCGACGTGGCCGTCGTGGGGAGGCCGGGCACGAACTGCGGACCCTCGACGAAGTTGTGGTAGAACAGACCCCGGAGCGCGCCGCTGCGGAGCCGCGCGCCGACCTCGGCCATCGCGCCCTCGAGGCCGACGCGGCCGTCGTCGGAACCGTCATCGAACGCTGCATCCGCAAAGAACACGTAGCTGACGTCATCGAGCCAGTCCGACCAGTCGCTCGCGCTGGCCTCCTGCACCTCGAAGCACGAGAAGCCGTCGTGCGGCTCCACGTGCGCCACGTAGCCGATCGCGCGCACGAACGAGGCCCTGGGGTAGTACGCGGCGTAGCGGGCGCAGGCGCCGAAGCCGGCGAAGCCCACAGCGGGGCCGGCGGCGCGCTTTCCGGCACGACGTACGTCATGGAGGACCACGACGGCGATGGCGACGACTGCGGCCACGAGCCCGAGCAGGAATGCGGCCCTCAAGGTGCGCCCTTGAGAGCATCTGGCCCCGCACGCTCCGCGCAGGCCTGCAATGCGATGCCGCGAGGAACCGTGCCGTATGACAGATCGATCCGGAGGCCTGCGACCGACCTTCGCGGCCACAAAGACGCTGGGAGGCAGGGGGGCACGCTGCGAGTTGGTTGTCTTCAACGTCCGCTGCTGGTGGCAACGCGCATGTGAGGGCTCCGCACACGCGCGTCGGGCACCGTGAGTCATCGTGAGGGCCACGATCGACGCGTGTGTGCTCACCTCGACTAGGGGGCTCAAGCATCTTGTGCGCGACCGTGGAGGGACCGTGGCGCGCGGAGGCCAGCGGGGCCGAAAACAGCGGCGCGGGCGGGTGGTGTTGGGGGCCAAACTCAACCTCGGAGCCCGGTTGCGCGCGCCGACGGAGCGACCGCGGCCGCGCTGCAACGGGGAAGCGGTCGAGAGCACGTGCGGCGCAGCGAGTGCGGCCGCAGTGGCGCAGCTAGTCGCCCCGTGGGGCCAACAAGCCGGCGCAGGCGCGGGCGCTGAGCAGTGGCGAACTGCCCCACTCCCTGCGTCAGTACGCCCGTACTGCACGCACGCGCGGTGTGAGAGATACAGTGCGTCCGGAAATCGTGGCGCGCGGAGGCCAGCGGGGCCGAAAACAGCGGCGCGGGCGGGTGGTGTTGGGGGCCAAACTCAACCTCGGAGCCCGGTTGCGCGCGCCGACGGAGCGACCGCGGCCGCGCTGCAACGGGGAAGCGGTCGAGAGCACGTGCGGCGCAGCGAGTGCGGCCGCAGTGGCGCAGCTAGTCGCCCCGTGGGGCCAACAAGCCGGAAATGTCCTATCACCGAAAAGCTCTCCCTAGCGCGACGCAGCGCGGTCCGGCCGGGCAACGAGCTATGCGCGTGCACAATGTGGCGATGCAGCGTGCCACCCGCGATACGTGACCGCCTCCCGCGCCCCGTCACAGGCCTGGATTAGTCCCCTGGATTCATACCTCGGGCAGGGCCGCATAGCCCGTCGTAAAGTCGCAATGCGCGGCTGCGCAGCGCCAACAAGATGTTCGCCGCCGCTCAAAGTGCTCCCGCCCGCGCAGGATGCGCGTGACGCGCCAGGCAGCGTGCATTATGACTGATGACTTCACAGCGCGGTTCGTCCCGCACACGCTCCGTCGCAGTTCGCCTCTTTACGGCAAGAGTAACAGCCGGACCAGGGCATCGCGGTCCGCGGCGCGACCGAGGCACCGCCTTCCTACGGCACGATCTGCCGCAATTCGCCCGTCTCGATGGCGTGGTCCGAGCGGTGCTCTTCAGTCAGTTCACAGTCCGCAACCACTCCGCGGAGGCGCCACTCCTGCGACCACTACCCGCATCCGTGTGACCGGAAGACCAGGCAGCAGCGACAGTGCGACTGGGGGGTTATCATCAAAAGCCCGATGCCAACGTGGGGATGAAAGCGCACGGTAGCGCCCAGGTCTCCAAGCACGCGGCCGGAGGCTCGAGGGCGCACGGGCGCCAAAGCGAGAGTCGCGCAAACGGGGCGGCGCGATGCGAGGGAGCGGGGGTGGCACGTCCCTGACCCGACCTGCTATTGGGTTTATCATCGTTATCGTCTTCAGGCTTGGTGTTCCTGGCCACGGAGCACGTGATCTGGCAGACGTCGCCGTGGCTCACCAGCACGACGACCTTCCCGTCGTACGCGGCCTTGACACGCTGCGGCGAACATGCAACACACGCACAAGGCTGCGTCTACATGCGGTCATGTCATGTCTTGACTTGACTTGACTTGTTGCATCCCGAAGAACGGGTCGCACCGCCAAGGCAGGTTCTACCCCACCCTATCACGGCACTAGTCTCGCGCCAGGCAAGCTGTTCGCGCACGGCGTGTTCGCAAGCAGCGGGTCGCTGACGGCCAGGACTTGGCTCACGCGCCCAGCCACGTCCATCACGCTCTCCCCCCCCTCGCCCTCGCGAGGGCGAGTTCTCTTACGTAAGAGAACTGCCCTACCCAGGCAGTCCCTTATCAAGCCAAGTGAGGCCACCAAGTGGCCGAGCGAGGCCAAGGAAGCCTGCTCACCTGCTGCTGACGTGAGTCTGGCAGCAGGACACTCGAGTGTGTGTGTCGTATTACACCTTAGTGTGATGAGACTGTGTGTGGGTAGCATGTGGGGAGCATGTGGGGAGCATGTGGGGAGCATGTGGGTAGCATGTGGGTCAGTCAGTCAGTCAGTCAGTTCACAGTCCGCAACCACTCCGCGGAGGCGCCACTCCTGCGACCACTACCCGCATCCGTGTGACCGGAAGACCAGGCAGCAGCGACAGTGCGACTGGGGGGTTATCATCAAAAGCCCGATGCCAACGTGGGGATGAAAGCGCACGGTAGCGCCCAGGTCTCCAAGCACGCGGCCGGAGGCTCGAGGGCGCACGGGCGCCAAAGCGAGAGTCGCGCAAACGGGGCGGCGCGATGCGAGGGAGCGGGGGTGGCACGTCCCTGACCCGACCTGCTATTGGGTTTATCATCGTTATCGTCGGCGCCCGGGGCCCGGGAAGGCCCAGACGGCCCACGGGCGCGGTGCGTGCACGCGAGACAGACAGGGTTGGTCGGGCGGGGGGCGCGTCCACCGCATGGGTACAGGGCATGGACAGCATGTGGAGGGCGGGGGACGCCCTTGAGTGCCGCGTCGCTGCGAAAGACGGCGCATGTGCCGCGTGCCGCGGGCGCCTGACGGCGCCTCGGAGCTCCGTCGGACGTGGGTGGTGCCCGAAAATTGCCTGCGACTGCACGCGACGGCCTTGCTCTAAACCGTGCGGCGCCGAGACAGACACCAAAAGCACCTGCCGAGCGACAGCGATCGCCGGGCCCCCGCCACTGGGTGGCGGGCGGTGCTGCTCCAGAGGCGCGGGGGGGCGCGCGTGGTGCGGTTCTTTGTCGTCGCATGCAACGTCAGCCAACGGGGGTGCCGACGTGGGTGGGGGGGCTTGAGCCATACCCCCCCCGGGCCCTCGGCCGGGGAGCGGGTGCTTGCCGGGGCCCTGCCTGCCCGGGCGCGTAGCGCAGCCACGGGCGGCGTTGTCGTCGTGCCGTCACGGCGCTGGCGCACCTGACGGCATGGAGAGCGGGTGGCGAGGCCGCTCCGGCGTGGCGCGAGGTCCGAGACGGTGCCAGGCTCCCGCACAATGAGGGGCCGGCGCATGTAGATCCTGGGCTCCAGCGGGTGCGCCTGTGCTCCCGGATGGCCTTGCGCGTGTGCCGCGGTCACGGCGGGGCGACGCGGTCCGTGGTCGTCGCGCACCTGCACGCCTGGGGGAGGGGCACCGCGCAGAGAGCACCGGCCAGCGCGGGCGCGGGGTGGGACGTGGCGGTAGTGATGGGACCCCCGGGGGAGTGTACTACCTGTTGAGGCAAGTAGGGGGGTGCTGAACGCGCGGAAATCGTCGCGCCGGGGGGATACATGGGCCTGCGGCCCTCCGGGCGGGTGGGTGGGGAAAAAATCGCGCGGCGCGGGCGGGGGCGCGGCGATGAGAGCGGGGCGCGCGAGGCAAGGGGGGTGGGCAAAATTGACCGCCCGGTGCGGCCGTGCGCGCGAGCGGGGCCGCATTGGCCTCGCTGCGACGGGCAGCGGGCCGTAGACCGCCCCCCGCGCGAGGCGCGCGGCTGCAGCGGGGGCTGCCGGCCGGGGCGCGGCACGGCGGGAGCGCGGGCACGGTGGCGCCGGGCGCGCCACACCGTGGTGCAGCGGGTGCGCGCGGGGGCCGGGGCGCGTGTGAGATGTGCGGGGAGCACGCATGTCGCGCGGCGCGGGCGGGGGCGCGGCGATGAGAGCGGGGCGCGCGAGGCAAGGGGGGTGAACAAAATTGACCGCCCGGTGCGGCCGCGCGCGCGAGCGGGGCCGCATTGGCCTCGCTGCGACGGGCAGCGGGCCGTAGACCGCCCCCGCGCGAGGCGCGCGGCTGCAGCGGGGGCTGCCGGCCGGGGCGCGGCACGGCGGGAGCGCGGGCACGGTGGCGCCGGGCGCGCCACACCGTGGTGCAGCGGGTGCGCGCGGGGGCCGGGGCGCGTGTGAGATACGCGGGGAGCACGGATGTCGCGCGGCGCGGGCGGGGGCGCGGCGATGAGAGCGGGGCGCGCGAAGCAAGGGGGGTGAACAAAATTGACCGCCCGGTGCGGCCGCGCGCGCGAGCGGGGCCGCATTGGCCTCGCTGCGACGGGCAGCGGGCCGTAGACCGCTCCCCGCGCGAGGCGCGCGGCTGCAGCGGGGGCTGCCGGCCGGGGCGCGGCATGGCAGGCGCGCAGGCACGGTGGCGCCGGGCGCGCCACACCGTGGTGCAGCGGGTGCGCGCGGGGGCCGGGGCGCGTGTGAGATGCGCGGGGAGCACGCATGTCGCGCGGCGCGGGCGGGGGCGCGGCGATGAGAGCGGGGCGCGCGAGGCAAGGGGGGTGGGCAAAATTGACCGCCCGGTGCGGCCGTGCGCGCGAGCGGGGCCGCATTGGCCTCGCTGCGACGGGCAGCGGGCCGTAGACCGCCCCCCGCGCGAGGCGCGCGGCTGCAGCGGGGGCTGCCGGCCGGGGCGCGGCACGGCGGGAGCGCGGGCACGGTGGCGCCGGGCGCGCCACACCGTGGTGCAGCGGGTGCGCGCGGGGGCCGGGGCGCGTGTGAGATACG